TACAATATAATAGGGTTTAGCCTATTTTATTTAGTATATAGTAAATAACTATAAATACCTAGTAATAATAATAATATAATAGTAGTATAATCTTTTATAGAAAGGTTAGATATACTATAGAACTTAAATAATATATAAATAAAGATAAATAAACTATTACTAAACTATATAATTAAGAAGGATCACATCTATAATAGTAAAGTTATAAAAACTAGCTTCTAGAAGAATAATTAAGTATTAATATATAATAAAAGTAAGAAGAAATTTAAAAGTAAATAGTTCAGATTATATTATATTCTAGTAGTCTATACCCTTAGAATATATACTTTAGTAAAGCTATCTAGCTATATACTTCAAAATCTTATAAATAGATTAAGACTCTTAGAAGTAAAAGTAGATAACCTAAAGTTATTATAGATATTATAAGTTACTTAAACCACAATATAATAAGTTAGTATAAAATTAAAAAGACCTAAAAAGATCTAGAAGATCCTAGAGAATAATACTTTATTACTAATTTACTCTAATTTATTGATTTTTACTTATAAAGAGTAAGAAGAGTTCTACTATAATAGTATATAATAAAGTTTAGTAAGGAAGAATATAATTATAAAATATATTATTAAGAAAATATATAGATATATAGTAAAATACTAATATATATAAGGAGATCTAAAATAGAAGAATCCTAAAGAGTTATAGGAAGAGTTAAGTTTAGACTTAAGCAATAATAATAGAGTTAAGTATACCTCCGAAAATAAAAATATAGATACAGAAGGAGATATTCTTCTAGAAAGAAGTATTTTATATACTACGATAGTATATAAAAGGATATTAATAAAAGATAGTCCTTTTGTTATTATAATCCTAAAGACTAAGTTATAAAGTCTATAAAAAGGGAAGGGGATGAAGTAGAGATTTATATTAGATATATAAAGCTTATTAAGCACCAGCTAAGAATATAAAAGAAAGTACAATTAAATCAAATACAGAAAAAGGTTATAAATATTATGAAGTGATATAAAATAGTATAAAATGGTATAGATTATACTAAGGTACCCTTATAGGACCAACCATAGTAAATAGGTTATTTACTAATAACCTTCTTTAAAGGAGTTACTAGAGATCTAGGTAATATATTAAATAAAAGTTTATTATCAAAGATATTATAGGTAGAAAGTTCAGGCTTATTATAAATAATATCTCTAAACTCTTTAAGTTCTTCCTTAAGAATAGACTTCTTCTTATAATAATTATCTCTCTTCGTAGATAGGATAACTACTTAAGACTTAGCCTTAACTACATTAAGCACAAAAGGATTCTTATCTAATTTAGTCTTACTCTTATTAGGATTAAGAATATAGTATTCTATTAAAACTACTACTATCTATATATGATTATAGGCTAGTTAAGACTCTATAAAAGAAAGCTAATTATACACTATTAGTATTAGCTTAAACTTATTAGTTTTAATATAATAATAGATATCATAGTTATCTAGCAAAGAAAAGTATTAGTCTATTAGATAGATTAGTCTACTAGAATACTTAATATCAGTAGTATAAGTAGGTCCTTTCGGACTAGGAGAGGAAGAAAAAGCTATAAGAAAAGGAGATTAGATCTTCTAGGTCTTTTATATAGGAGAAAGGACTAACTTAATATAAACTAAAGTCTCCGGAGTTATTAGAGTAGGAATAGTTATATACAGCTTCTTAGAGATAGAAGATATAGTCTTCTTAGAAGAAGATACAGAGATAGTAATACAATACTTTCGTAGTATAATCATAGGAGAAGAAGCTTCCTCTATATCACAATTATCCTCTTCCGCAGCTAGATCTTTAACTAGATGGCAAGAGATATAATAATAGGAGGTTAGATAAACATCCCATATAAAGTAAATAAGGTTCTTAGAAGGATTCTAATAGAAAGAGTATCTACTTATAGTATTCCCATATATATACAAAGTATAAGAGCCGCTAAACATAACATCTCTACTATTAAGAACCATAACTACATACAAAAGAAAAGACCTATAATCTATTAAATAGTATATATATAATAGAGAGATAGCTATCCCGATTTATTAGGTAATATATATACGTTTTTGTCCTTTCGAATTGACTTTAATATTATTAATATTATATTAATCCACATTACGCGTGACTAGTGCAGCAATAAGTATAAGATCGGAAATAGATTAGAAGTCAAGAAGAAAGATATTACCAAATATATTAATACCTTTACTATATATAACAGCTTTTATAAATTAAGGTCTAATACCAAAGTTCTAGGATATGATTATACCTATATCAGGGGGTAGAACATCCGATATTTCTATAAGAAACAAGATATTAGCTTATATTCAGCTTAAGTAATACTATAAGAATCTAGAATTATACCTATTAGAAAAGAAGAGACATAATAAGATATTTAGGAAGAGAAGTATAGAAGAAAAAGTATATAAAGAAAGAGAGAGTATAATATAACGATATATAAGAAGAATAGTAAACAATATAAAGGTAGTATTAGTAAGCTTTAGTAAACAAGCAGAATCACACTGCCGGAGAGAAAGATAACATAATAATAATAGTAATACTAATTGCTAAGCTATAATAGGAGGTTGAAGAGAAAGAGGGCTTATAACTAGAGAAGGGGTTAATACTTTATATAGACCCCCTATAAACAGGAAGCTCTACAAAGCTAAACAAGAGGCCTTAGGCTAATATAGGTATTTATATAGCCGGAAGGAGTAATCATAACACTATTCAGCAAATACTATATAACCTATAATCATAGCCTCTCCCTCCACATTATTTACTATATTATCATCAAAACTATCTAGAAAACAACTAGTAGGCTACTATTGAGCTTAAGGCTATTAATTTATATACTAGAAGAGTAATTTAAAAGGTTCTACTACCTTAATACCCCTAGGATACTACTATTATATAATAATCCTTAATATTACTAGTATTCCCTCACACGACATATACTATATAATAAGACTATCTACTATATAGCCGGATATATTATTATATACTATTGTATAAAATACTTTATAAGTAGCTAAAAAAACAAGCAATATGGCGCTCTCAAAAAGGCGAATCGTGAATATTTGTAATCCTCTATATATATAATCACACTATAGGTGTTTTATATACTATCGCCCTATATAAATACTTAAGATTGAGATAATCTTAATTAAGTAGGGGAGGATAAGATAAATTTACCTAATTCTCCCTATATATTTTATATATTACGATCTATTATATTTGTTTATATATAGTAATATCTATATCTATATCTGTTACTATCTATCTATAGTTATCTGATCGTATATAATCAGATATATCTATTTGCTATGTTTGTTTACCAGTATATGTATATTAACTGTCGTTTCCCCTAACTTAGCAATATATGCCCGTTCGCACCCAAAGATCTCAATAGTTAAGTTAACTATTATTAAAAGGGAAGGATAAATTGTTATAGGATTCCTAAATCCCTTTAGATATAATTTAGGTATAATTTATAGCTACTTTATAAGTAAATCTACTTTAATATACCTACTAATATATAACTACCCTAAGCCCTAATAAGCTCTAGCAATATTAAAACATATAAACAATAGCTACAATTCTTATCCTACAAGAATTAGTTCTATATATTAACTATTCTATTTGATCTCTACTATCTGATATCCTTGCCTAGTCACAGGTCTCTAGCCTAATAACTTAGTAACCGTTACATCGGAGACATTTGATACGCCACTGTATGTATCTATTGATATACTACATATTGCAGCGCACAGACAGCTTAAGCTCTAGCAATTCTGTTTAAGCTTATTTTAATTCTGTTTAAGCCTGTACCCACTGTAATAAAAATAATAATCAATTTTGTTAAACAGGTGTATCCAATTTACTTAGTGTCAAATATATATTTCCTTCGGAAGATCATCAATGATTGATTAGTTTTAAATTACTATATTACCGCTACGTACAGTTGAATAAAAAAAGATATACACAAAGCTTTAGTGGTCATCTAATAGCGAATACAATCTTAATTTATAATATTTCACACAGACCATTAAGCAAGATAACAAGTACGCTAGTTATAACCATACCATTCGGATTTCATGTATAGAATCCAGATTTATCAGCAACACAACTGTCACCTGATCGGCTAGAACAGGTTAAATTAGCGGGGTTTATGCTCGTGTCGATAATCCTTCATTATCGGTATCGTACGATATGCCGCAGCCTACCCATTACCGCCCATCCTTAGTACCATATAGGGTATGATGGTGGTGTTATGTATCCTTCATATTGACCTACACGGCTAGACCGTGTCTGCCTTCAAGTATACCCCTCTTCACCAGTTAAGTATCAAGTTCGGATTAGATTACCTATTCAGGGATAGCCGCACCTCCTGAATAGGGTTCTTGGCATTCATGTCCTGACAAGACTAAGTTCGAGTGGGTGGATTCTTGGCCCGTTCCAAGTTTCACTATCCGGCCTGTTTCCATTTTAGTGTTTCCCCTCGTTGGCTTGCGCGTTCCTGTGATCGTCTCGTTCAATAGCTTGCCACGGTACAGACTAATGCCTGACGATGCCCGCACATACCTATCGGAGATTTTGGGCGTGTCATATTTATGGCTTACGTGTCTATAAGCTGAGATCCTAGTAGGAAACGTCCACACTAGCAGACTTTAGGTGCATAACTGCCGAATGTGCTTTTATTATGCAGAAATTTGGCTCTTGAAACTTCAATTCAAGGAATGATCTACATATTCCGCTTTTTGGAAGCAATACGGAATAGTGTGAGAGGACCTAGTGGATTCAGACGTACATAGTACAATCCCGTCAAATCAAATCTTGGCCCGAGTGGTCCGACATTTTGTCAAAAGTGTATAAGTATGGTCTCCTTCTCCGCCTTTCCGGCGACTTTCGATTTCATCCCCCGGAAGATCAAGAGCGGTTAACCCTTAGACCATTTGCGCTCCCATGCTGAAGCTACTCAAATTCCTTGCCGTCACCCCGGCACTGGCAGCGGCTACTACCTTCCCTGTCATTGAAACAAAGTATGGCTCTGTTCAAGGTGCAGCATCTCCCTTCCGGCCTAACGTAACTGTCTATAAGGGTATTCCCTTTGCTGCGCCACCCACGGAAGCAAAGAGATGGACTCCGCCTACCAAGCCTTCGCCTTGGAATGGCACACTGCATGCGACGGAGTTCGGTCCCCAGTGTTCCCAGCCTTACTCTTCAGCCGGCATATTTTCCAGCGGCAAGAACTCTACCAGCGAGGATTGCCTGTACGTGAACATCTGGACTCCCACCTACGATACTACCTCTCAAAGTGAGATACAAGCTAAGAAATTGCCTGTGTACGTGTGGATCTTTGGCGGTCGATTTGAGGGCGGTTCTGGTGATGTTATTACGTATGACGGCACCGGTCTTGCTTCAAAGGATATTATCGTCGTTACAATCAACTACCGTCTTGGTGCCTTTGGTTTCCTTGCCCATCCGGAGCTCTCGGAGGAGTCTGGACACAACAGCTCTGGAAATTACGGTATCTTGGACCAACAGTTTGCTCTCCGCTGGGTCCAAGAGAACATCGGATACTTTGGTGGAAATGCAAGCCAGGTCGTCGTTGGTGGCCAGTCTGCTGGGTCCGCAAGTGCCCTCGATATGATGTGGAGTCCTCTTAGCAGCGGACTGATCAACGGTGTCATTTCGGAGAGTGGTGCTCGCGGTCCGCGTGATCCTGCTACTGGAAGCGTAGCTACCAGTTATAATACTAAGGATGAGGCTGAGAACTTCGGTGTCGAGTTCTTGAGCACTATGAATGTCTCTTCTATTGCTGAATTGCGGCAACTACCAATGGCGGATTTGATTGGCGAAGGCCAGTTAATGGAAGATGACTTCTATTATGGAACTGTCTTTGCAGACCTGTGGTCTGGACCTCCTCGCTGGCGTCCCGTGATCGATGGCTATGTGTTCCGTCACGGCTACGGAAAGTCGCTTTCCTTGAATGCCCATTCAGATGTGCCTATCCTCACCGGAAACAACAAAGACGAGAATGGTGGAAGCGTCTCAAACGTCAGCGAGTATAAAAGTTTGTTCACAGAGGTCTTCCAAAATTACTCGTCGGAGTTCTTCTCTCTCTACCCAGCCGACAATGATACCGCTGCTAGTGACATGAGCACTGAGGTCCTCCGCGATATGGCCCGGGTTGGGACTTGGGAATGGGCTGCTGATTGGGCTGCTGGTGGGGCTAAAAACGATGTTTTCGTGTACTACTTTACCAAAGCACCCGCCGAGGATGAGTCTGGCGGCGCCTACCACGGTGCTGAGCTCTGGTATACCTTCAACAACATTCCGTACTCGGACTACTCGAACGTTACATGGAATACCACCGACTATAAGATTGAACAGACTATGTCGGACTACTGGGTCAACTTTATTCGTACCGGCAATCCCAATGGGGAGGGGCTGACATACTTCCCACCTTCGACTGCTGCGAACAAGACTGCGATGTGGCTGGGTGAATGGAATGGAGCCGGTCCCATTGCGGCTTCCAAAGAGAGAGTGAGCTTCTTGCGGCGATGGATGTCTCATCTTCACGAATATTAGCTATATTGTATACTTAGCCGAAGATTATTGATTAGCTTGCAACATGTAGAGATTTTGGGGTTCATACTGTAAAAATACGTACAAACAAATAGCCCAATGGGATCCAATGGCTTGAACGTAGTGAAGACATCTAAGCTTACCTGGGCACTTCTCAGGAACGCACTACGGTGACTCCAGCGCAACTAGTTGAGTTTCTTCGCGTAGAGACCACCAAATACATTGCGCAAACTGACAATCATCAAAAATGGCTTGAAATCGCAAAGTAGAATTATGCTTTGTCATAATGTAACTTCTCTAGGGGAATCCCGATATGAAGGCCATAAATCCCTCCCTTAATTTCGTGCGCATCCTTCAGTCGGAGAAGCCTCGGCCACCCGACGATCCTTTCTCCATGTGAACATTGAGTCCGAGTTTGTACCCATATTTGTCGCCCACCGACGCAATAAAAAATGACATGTCCCTTCCCTATGGGTCTTAGGGGCCATTGAAACTACTGTAGCATAGCTCACGTTGATAATGCTATGAGCTGTCTTGCTCTAATTGTCTGGTTAGCTTTGCAATCTCCACCTATTCGATCGACAAAGGCCGGAGATGTGCGGCAATGCCGAAGCCACTGATGCATGATGCCGGTATTCTTCACCAAGTTCTCTTCCAATAATAACGACTCGGTGGATAACATCCAGCTTCAAGGTTCACGGCCTCCCGTTCCGCATTTCAATCTGGGATAATCCCAAGTCTATCATCCATCACCGGCCGCGTATATCCCCTGGATTTGAAGTCAGAACTGGATTATTAAGCCACGCAGAGCGTGTCATTCAATTTGATATTTGCACGTTCTATTATTTAATTTCCTTGCCAGCGATTCATTCGTCATTATCTCAACTGTCGTCTTTCTTTTTATCGTGAGATCCTTGGCCAGCCATGTATAGTCCCATTTCCCAAGGGGCTGCCTATTTAGGTTAGGTAATTACCTAAATAGGCTAGAATCAGAAGTCTTGGCATATAAATCAGAAATTTAGTCCCATGGCTTTGGCCCCCACGGGACTAACATTTCATTTGGTAAGGTCAATGTATGGCTATGATCTATATAGGGTAGTTTCACCCGCAAGTCATTAAACCGCCACGAATCCAGATCATTCTGCCCCTGCTCGATCTGCCCTTAGGTTGCCGGCGGTTATTACGCTTTAGGGTAGACATAAGTACCATTTTTGATCGCGACGACAATCTGAGGACTAGGAATGGTGTAGTCCTGCAGGTCGGCACCTAGTGAGGTGCTGGTGAGCAGTAGCCAGCTCACCATATTTCCAAACAGCACGCTTCCCGTGGGACTCAGATGGGTGTAGTCGATTGTCACGCGGTTATATGTTGCCGAGTCAGTGGCTCCGATTGCATCCAGATATTGGGTGCTGGCCTTATTCAGGTCAATGCAGTCAATCCTGATGGACTCCGCAACGGCGATAGTAATATTCCGCTGCGTGGCCAAGTCCTCAATCACTAAGCCCGTCGTGGAATTGAAAGTTCTTCCGGATAGCGGAGTCACGAAGATCTGGTGACCGAGGTTAGTGTTACTGTTGCCGTAAGATTTTGTCTAACTGCCTTGCATACTGGTATACCTCCGGCGGAGACGACTGCCTGGGCCATATTTTCCAGATTGATGGCGTACTCAGCTAGGGTGACACCAAAATCAGTCTTCTGGTCGTTATGGCCGAACTAAAGATGACAGACATGTCAGATGAAGCCTTAACACCTCAAACAGCCTGGCGAATTTTGTCTACTTGAATAGTAACATAGGGCTGGAAGAGCGAAGTGCTTCGGGTAACGGCGTCTATGACATTTGCCCATGCTCCCCCAGACACGAAAGAGGCGGTGGTGTCTCCATTGTATCCTAGGTCAGTGCCAATGGCCCCGTGCTCAAGTGTCTTCAAGAATCCGACGCCCCAGCCTCCACCATCAGACGACTGGGCAGCGGTAGTCGAGTCACCTGCCAAGTAAAATGCGGCCGGTTTCGTCGCAAGAGCGTGTAGTGCAGTGGTCAAGAGGGCGAGAATCCCCCTGGCCCGCCCGTTTTTGAGGTTATCAAACTTCATCGTGCAGAATGGTACAAATCCGAATGTGTCAAGCGATAGTTCCTGTTGGGTTTGCGAGTTTCTTATATCTGTTTTAGGTATTATGTTAAGGCCCGGAAACGACCGTTGCAAATTGTAACGCTGCACTGAAGAAAGATCGACAAGTCCGACGGGGACAGAAACACCGCAGAAGGGCATTCTGCATTGAATGTCTCTGCGCACACAAGGGCTATATGAACCGTTTTTCCGACCAGGATAGATTTGCGATGAGCATCGACTGTTTCAGTTGCTTTCTTGCGAACAGCATCCAGCCAGCGGAATGTTGTCTGCCGAAGGATTTGGAGAGACTGAATGCAGCTCGCACGAATTGTCTTGGATGGCGAAAGAGACAAAACTCTTTGAGACATATTAACCAGACTATTCAGGCCGTGGATTGTCTCCCAATTCTCTTCGATCCCCTCTTTCACTTCGCTAATTTGGGACAAAAGCGCTGATGCGAATTCTTCGTCGGCGACGATCGCATGCCCTAGCCTTGACACCGTTTCCTTCTTTGACGGACCAGCCTGATTGATTATCTGTAAGATGAAAAGTGCCGTCTCGATCTTTTTCCAATCAACAGCTGATGAAGACAATTCTACAAGGATGTTTTGCCACTGAATTTCAAGTCCCAGGGGCATCGTTGCCAAGGACTTGTATTCTCCCAAAGAAAAGTTTACCGGGGTCAGATTTTGTGTGGCGATGACAGTATTGGGTGAAGGGCCATGGGGCTCTTCGGCAGGCCGGAAAAGAAATCGCTGCAGCGCTGAGCTGTGCTGCGGGAGTTGATACATACATGATTTTTCCGTCGAAAGCTTTCTCTCAAAGGTGCCCACAAAACATTCCTTCCGGTCGTCATAATATCGGAAATGTAGACCATTATTGACACAGACCTCTTCCTTTGCAAGGCTAGCGATGGGTCGATCTCGACGATGAGTTCGTTGGTGGGGCTTACTCTGTGAGAGGAGACCAATCCGACGGACATGTTCCGGCACGACATAGAATCCAGAAAGCCCCGAGTAAGTTTGCGGACGGTACTGTGCTTTGGGCCTCTCTTCTGCTGCGTAATCAATGTCCAAGCAATTACTGATGAAATAGAGGGTGATATCTCTCCAAGTCCCAAATGGCTCCGGCAACCGAAGTTCGAACACGGTGGACTTGGCTTGTAGCAAATTGCTTGGAAGTGGCCATTCATGAAGAGCGATTTGGATTGATTTGGCCTTCTCTTTATGTGAATGTCGGAAGCAGCTACCACTATGACGTGGTTCTCGGATACCGTGCCGTTTGTCTACGACAACGTCGACGAATTCACATGTCCCATGATTGAATAAGTCCATGAGGGATCTGTATTGGTTTTGCTTTTGCTGTAGCTCAGCCATCTTCTGAGACCGCTCCTCACTGGCATGGTTTTCAATGGTGGTCAGTAGTTGTTGATGCTCAGGCGAACGGTCAAAATACCGGACAGAGAAGCATGAAGAGGTACCAAAGTCGTGGAAAACTCCAGATCCCCGATAGAGCAACTCGGCTTGACGGTGCTCTAAATACTCCTCGATTGCAGCAAGTCTTTCCATTTGAGACTTCAGTGGCAACAAAAGCGATTGAAAACAGTCCATGGGTATACAGGGATCGTACTCGGCAAGGAGTGGATGACTACAAATTGCGCTTTTATCACAGGCCACCCACAGCTCGAGAAGTGTGAGTATCATCATTGAGAATGCTTCAGGGTTTTTGGAGCCTACTGAAAAGGCTGCCGTATGATAGCTGGTCATCAAGTGCGCTAACTGACTACAGGCTTGCTCTTCTGCTTGGTGGACGGTCATCCACTCTCCTAGGTTCAAAGCAACCCATTCTTCTACCGCAGCAAGATTGGAAATTGAATATTCCTTATCAGACAAGTCAAGATTAGCTGGCATCTCTGTGTCGGAATACTTGTGTAGCCTTGGCAACGGGTGGAATTGCTGCCGGGGCTCGTGCTTCTCTTTACGCTGTCCGATCTGATCAATATATTGATCGAGGCTGGCAATGTCACACGCAATATCTCGTCGGAGATTCAAATTCGACAGGGATGGCAGGTTGAGGTCGCGGTGGGATCTTTCCATGGCTTCTTTCCACCCAAGGTTTGTCATATTGCTTGTATGTCGCAGTATTTTCTGGACTGCAAGCAGCCAGGAGGGCACAGATGGAGGATTGAGTTTTATCAACCGACGAGTAATCTTGGCATTCATGATAAAAATCGTCTCGCCGGGCGTAGTGTCTGGAACTCTCTTGAGGACACCGCATAAGAAGAAGATCATAAATTCCTTGTACAGACTTGCTCCACGGACGTCTATAGAGGATCTACTCAAGATCAGCTGCAGCGCCACCCGCAGAAAAAGCCAAAATGCAGATCGCCTCCATGGTGACCGGCTGTCTCGCCACATAACTTCTTCCCTTGTATGCTTTCGGATTTGTGTTGCATCAATATCTACCGAAAGTGGTCGCAATATCGACATGAAAAATCCCGTGATCATTTTAGGATCGGTCGTGTCCCTGTCTTCGTCGTGCTTTTGGTTCGCTTTCTTGATCTTCGGTTTCATGCCAGCGACAGGTTGGTGACTCATCAGAGCAAGTGTGAATCCAATTGCGTCGAGCAATCCTGGCTTGTCGAGATCTGCCATATCCAAAGCAATTCCAGGCCCAGGAAACGCGCGAACAAGCCGACCGACAGTGGTAATCACAGATTCGTTCCTCGGTGACAGCTCGAAGGATTCCACATGAACTTTGTTGTTCCGTCGGCTCATCAGTATGGAAGTTGCCGCATCTCAATCGGACATGGACTTCGCCCCTTACACTTTGAATCAATCTTTTGACTTTGCAAATACAATATGCGACACTCTTTCGAATCCGGGGAATCAACCTGGACATCCTTCTGTATGGATTCCAATTGAATATCCATATCTTGGTGGAACGGACGTGGCAATTCAGTCATGGAATGCAAACTCCTATGCCGGAACGCAAATACATCCAATGGTCTGCCATCACCCTACACGATTAACTGATTCCTTGACGCTCAGCGCTGAAGGGGGTGCCGCACCTGCTTCAGGAGTAGCCCTTTTCCATCAGAGCATGAACAGGTTTCTGGACTATAGCAATGAATTTTGCGAGCCTTCCCAAATCTCAGGAATCCAATCTGAAGATCAGACTTTCTAGAGTTCTGCTTCAGCATCGTTTTCTCGTGACACGAAGGAGTCTACAGACAGCTTTGAGGACATGATATCTCGTAAAAGGGCCAATCTAGAACGAACTGTTCAAGAGATGCTTTCGGGATCGCGCAGATTTGAAGAAGTTCAAGCGCCTTTTCCACCCAGCATTCGGGCTCCTGATGGATTATTTCACTGTCTGCATAAAAATTGCCACGGAAAGAAGGGTTTTGAAGAATTGCATCTTTTGGAGTAATTATAAGCCTACCTGAAATCTTTGTTGCAAACACTGATTATTTTCGAAGCAAACATTTTCGGCGACACACCAGGCAAATAGTGTGCCCATTCAAAGAGTGGTGTCTCTATACCTCGGCTGATAAAACAGGAATTACTAGGCACATTCGGACGTTTCATCGTAAATGGACCCCGAAGGAATTACAAAAGCAGGTTGATTGGTCATGCGAATTGTGCGGCGGCGAGTTTCAACGGAAGGAGTATCTTGACAGACACAAAAGGGGGAAAGTATGCCTGAGGCGAACTGGGAAGAAACCGGAGCCATTTTTGGTATGTGAAGATTAATTTCAATCAAGCCAAGATTTGGTAGAGAACTTAATGTTTTTTTTGACGTCAGTGCCAATGCGTGCGCCAGTACAATCAGACATCATAATGTAAAACGCATACTGAAGAAGAGCTACCCCGTTAAGATCCGTGTAGATCAATAGATCTTCCAGGCCGGTTTTGCTGGCTGAATGAGGCAATCTATTGTGTGGTGGACAAATATAGTAACTAGAGCACCAATTTCAGCTCATCGTTCGTTCATCTCTACTCGACCGTGAAAATGACCACGTATATATTACCCTATCATCAGATAACTGAAGATCGTCGGGAAGTGACAGGAAATCTCTGGGTTTCACTCTTGTGGTTGCTCGCGGTCGCAGTTGGTGACTTCTTGCATAAAACAGAACTAATTTCGTTGACTAAAGACTTCCCTCTGAAATGCCGTAATAGAATAGCTAGAAACGTTTCCATATTAATTACTTACCGTTTTGAGCGCCCTCTAACGAGGCATTAGTGTAATAATAATAGAAAAGACCCTGAACAGTGTAACTATATAGACCATTATCAATAAGGTATTATATGTGCTCTTTAAGTTCCCCTCCTGGACAACAAACTTGCAACTACATTAGCAAAGTGCCCATCATAGAAATATTCTAGTTGGAGTAAGCCTGTAGCTCCACGTATATTTGTATAGCGAAGTGGTCGCAGAACAAATAAGGTTCATTGGGACGAAGGCAATAAGGCAACAAGGTCCAGCCATTTTTTCTCACTCCTTTGGTGTCCTAAATAGGTCTGCTTCACCCGAACTGGGATGTTGAAAGAAGGGACTGGCCGCACGCCTAGTCGGATACAGAAACCATGGAGATTCAATATGTTGCGTGACTTGACTTACATAATCTAGTAGGGGGCAAATACTTTTGTCGTGTCACTGTACATACAGCCTTCTCGGAAGGAATGGCGCTGATTCGTTGGGAAAGTCGTGCGAATGCGAACCCCGCCAACATCGTCCGCCTCATTTATCAACATCACGCATTCATTCTCCATCGTATTTAATCATATTTCTTCATCGTACTTCTTCAATAAATCATTGCCTGGTAAGATACCACCATCTAAGCACGATGCCCTTCAAGATCGATGCAACTACCCTCTCCTCCGTCGTGTTTGTTGTGGTAAGACATTGGAGATCCTGCGTGGCGAAGACTTCTGTTAACGAATTCGCCAACTAGGGAGGAGCCATATCCTTGATCCTTGGAGCGTGAGTTATTGTGTGCTCAATCACATCTCTAGCTAGAGTTTATTCGATGAGAATAATAATTAAAAGCCCTTCCACGGAATAGGCTATCGTGGGCTCGTACAACCGCACTGTTTCTTCCTTTACCAACATGGGTTCCAGCTATCGCGACACTTATATTCCCAATCACAGCACTCACACTGATAGCCACGCGATTCGTTTTCCCAGTGTCGAACAATGCGACATCTCGAAATTGTCGATGGAGCATAATATCCAGTATGCTTGATCATTTTCAGACCGTCATATCGACCGTCGTGGCCACATTAGCCCTTGCATGCCTCTTCCCCGAAAGTATTCTCTCATGTAACCTAGATCAACAATGGCAGGCTTTCTTTCAAACGAAGAATTCGCACGCTATACGCTCCATCCAAGATGAGTTCCGATGCTGTGGTCTTAGAAGTGTTCATGACAGGGCATGGCCCTTCAAAGACCGGAGTCACGGGGACAATGCGTGTGAGTTGCAACTGGGATATCGGAGGAGTTGCTTCGCTCCTTGGAGAGAGCACCAGAAGAATACGTCTTGGATGGTGTTTGCTGCTGTCCTTTTTGTTTTCGCGGCCAAGGTAGGGTCATTTCCAGGCAGAAGTATGTGGTTTGGTAGTTGATATTCTAACGCTCCGAACAGATCGCTTTTGTTCAGTTTCCTGGCCGACGAACAAGTTGGATGAGCGCACAATATGGCGGAAGGAATCCTGATCACCAACGAATTTCACACCTGGGAGCACAGGACGAAGAGAACGGTGTCCACGAAGAGAACGGTGTCCACGAGGAGGAGCGGAGGACATTCTTACCTCAGTCGAACACCCGGAATTTCAACGACTGGGAGGTATACTAAGTTCAATAAATCTTCCGCCCCGTGAAGGAGGAGACAGGTATCATTAGCGCCAACCTTGGCATGCGCTCGGACCAGGTGTGGATTTAATATCAGACAGGATCGATTTAACCCATAGGATTATCGCTCAAATAATATCAAAATCTATAATGCAGTCTGTCCTTTATTTCTAGAGTGCAGATATCTGCACTTTTGATAGACCAGGGACAGTCGTTCGGTGAGGTACGTGTCGCCCTTGGAATAGAGAATTTCATAGCGCCAATACAATGCACTTGCCCGAAGCGTTCCGTAAAGGCAGTTCCCTCACATTACTGAATTTGTATGGCGATCAACCAGCATTCGAGTGTACGTCAGTGGTGGCTGGCCAATTAGCAACAAAGCTTAATTATGCGGTCGTGGTTCACCTGGTCACTCCCTTCCTCAGCCTCGCCTTCTTCTATGGATGAGGTACGTAATAGCACGGACTTATCTGCGGTTTCAAACCCGCACCCTGTAATCCCCTTCTAACACCTCCGGCAACACTCGGCTCGGGACTGTCCACAGGGGATGGGTCGAATAGTCTATTCAGATAGCATCATGCCCTCTCGTAAACAAGGTCTGCATAGTATGCTGGGGGACAGAAGCTTACGGCTTTGGTTGCCCGTCCGAACAGGTAGCACATATTATGCGTGAGGTCTTCCGGGACGCTCGCTGGAGATAATTCGGCCGCGATATCTAAAGTCTCCAGCTGAGATAAGATATTTATATTTGTCATATCGAGCATACCGCACCTCATATTTTCCTGCATAAGCTCTTCTATCACTTTGGCACAAGTTACAAATCAGCTCTGTGGGGGACATTAAGCCCTACCTTCTTTTTCCCTTTTGCAGTACGCTTTTAAGATCCGGCGGACGATAGTTAGAAGCTAATTATGATACCTACCCTTAAGGAATATCATCAAGAAATTGCTATTTGCAATCCCCGAATTTGCATTTACATTCATAACGTATTTACGGGATCCAAAGGAACTAATTAGTTAAGTAATTTTGAACACAGTGGATTATGTAAGTCCTTGCCTTTAGACTAACTCAATTCACATACGGCGCGGAGTTTCTTTGGGCGGTTTATCAATTGTTACTTCAACATTCACTGCTGTTGTGATTATTGCTACGCTCGTCATTTATCCCCCGGTGTCGGCGGATTCTCAGCCCTTTTTAAATCAAAATTTCTCGGTCATGGTTGTTTTAAGAAATTATCGAGAAACTCAGGGGCCAGTCACTCGCTCCAATTCAACCGTGAGTTCCATCGGTCTCGGAAATGGTAAAATTAGGTCTTGTTTCAACGCGGCGACAACATCGCTCACATAATACTAGGGAGTTCGCACAAGGTAAAGCACGATCCTCATTTGCAAGGCCCAAGTCCTGTTGATGATTGTGGCTATTGGGTTGAACATTCGACCCGCGCGACCAGGCTGCTAACGCGCCACTCTGCCACCAATACGAACTCAGATCCCAATAAGCCTAGGGAGATTTTGAAGCTGAAGATCTCTTCTCATGACCCCAACTTTCAAATTTGGAAAAACTTTGTCGAGAAGGTCAAGAAATACAAAGCATAACGTGATTTTAATCTTCACTCTCCCAAAGCACTCTCCCAAAGTTGAGCCGACCAGCGTGGTTTTTAATGGCCTACATCGTAATTATTTGGCCTCGGAAGAAAGATCGATCAAGATATGTATTAAAACATCTTGATCAAAAAATAAAAATAAAGAATCGTTTCGTCGCACTGACGTTCGGGCCGTAGTCTCGCGCCCTTCTTGAGCCACCCATGGCAGAGCCTGGCTTCTGAATTTCTCTGAATGATTGCGAGAAAGGAAAGTATATATGTCATAATAGAGTGGCTTGTTATTTTGTATTGGTTTGTGAAAAGGTGTTAGTACCACTTTGGGCCTGTCACTATAGGAACTCGGTTTCGGTATGCCGAGACTGCGACGACCCCTTTCAATGAGCAAGACAGGCATCTGTAACAACTAATATAGACCTTTTGCAAATGCCAAAATAGGATGCTTTACGATCTTATCTCCAAAGTGTCTTGTTGCCATTTTAGGACCTCGGACTTTCATCAATACTGAATAGTGAGCACCACGTATTGCTGTTATTATGCATGTATCATCTAGAGAAATCTCCAAATGGAAATTAAGAAGTATATATAACCTTTTTTAATAGACCCGAAGGCCGAGCCTTTTCTTATACTCAAGAATGGTGTTTTGCAGCTTGCGTCGTTCGCAGGGACCTAAGCTGCGTATAATTGGGAAGATGATTCTATTGAGCCCCGTAGTTGAATGAACAATAAGGTATAGGGTAGCGAGGCACCCGATGCTTGTGGAGTAGGTAGCGTTTATATAATCTAGTACGAAAAGTATTATATAACTCTATCGTACAACTAAATATAAGGTCGAAGGCTATAGTTAGATTAGAAATGGATCAGCCAGTGACCACCTTAGTACTGTAGATATACTCCAGAGTCGGGCTTTCAGTTGTGCTGTTGTGAAATGTGAGAATAATATTTAATTGATATAAGCCACTCATAGAGAAGCTTAGACCGTTTACATTTGGACACTATAGTTGTAGTATTACCAATTTTGGTACAATTTATGAAGTGGAAAACAGGCTACAATTGATGTAGAGCTGTCTTTATCACGTAAGTGGTAAAGCTCTTTCACTATGAGAAATGATGTACGATGGCATACCCCGTTGTACTATATTAAGACATATTTGTTAAAGAATCGACATTTGTTCGAATTCCACAATCGTTTCAAACAAGCATCTGAGATGGTGCCATTTAAGGATCTGGAAATATTGGGTTCCTCTTTCAGGATCTTCAATTATTTTGAATCTTGGTGCGAGTGAAATTTCTCGTGGTGTATTTAGCACTCAAGATGGATGTTGAGCCCTTCTAGAATAAATAACTGCCTCTCGAAGAGCAACGATTGCATAGGCGCAGCAATGAACGTGGAGATATGAGCAAGAGTTCTGAATTGAATGTTCGCGGAAGAGTGAAGTTCACCACCGACTCGCCCATCAGATACTGGGATAGGCTGTAGTCGCTCAATATCAGATACAGGAGACGTCATTATCTGACCATGACTCGGCCTGATTGGTGACAAAGGGAACGGAGATTGGACTTGCAAGTCACAATTTTCAGTCACTTACTGCGCGACGGTGGCCAATGGAGGAGGACTCCTGAGCTCGAGCTGTGCAATATTTTGTCCGACTGCAAGCGAGAAAGACGCTTCAATTGCGGGGCCTTGTCGAGGCATATTACATTTGATCTCCCATTCGCTATTCCATGTTGGTGGAAATTCTGCTGGATGGAAGGGACTTGAGTACTTTTAGTAACAAGTTTCAGGTGAGTATCACTCATCCAAGCTTCTTTAATAAATATTTTTTGCTCTGATACTAGACATATCTAAATTATAGTAATTGTATACTACGGCCTGTCAAATCCTGATTTCTATAACTAACCCATTCTGGTGTTATGTACCCATTATTTCTTGACAATCTCGCGAAATGCTATATTAGATATCAATGTTGCCAGCGGAGCGAGCAATGTTGAACTTCCAATGATGCAGATTAATAGGATCCTTTTGATAGAGATTGATCTCGAAGAATTTGTTGTGCAATCTGCACTTGAAGTTTTTATATCTATATGGCCTATGTCAGCTGTACCCACTCTCCAAAGAGCCGCTTCTATAGGAAATACTGACGAATTGAGTTTCTGGAAATTGCCAGTAATCAAGTTCTGTTCCGTGACCTCTAGGAAGCCCTCCCCAACCGCTGGAAAAGAGCTATCCTGGGTAGATGGAATAAAATAGCGCTTGGCTTCAACCGGGCCATAGTTCACCTGCTGGACGAATTGAACAGCGAACTCTGGAAGATTTTCAGTGTCTTGAAAGAAAGAGGCGGAGTTAGCCGCAGGAGAGGTATCGGATTTCTTAGCCCAAGTGATAAATCTGTCAAATTTCCCCTCGTGTTGCAGGTGTGTCGGTCGATAGGGGGCAACTGAACAGCAAGAGAAGAAAGAAGACATGGGGATGAGAGAAGTGGGCTTCGATTATAGATTCCAACTCTGAAATGATCTTAATGATTGTCTTGACCTGGGAGGGCACTCTACGACTTTATAAGCTTGATGTTTTATTCTACTATATGCTTGTATCTATCAAAATACTACATTTTGAACATGGAGCGCACATGGTCAACGCAACAGCATGCCCCCAGTAGATGGTCATTTACTGGTTTATTAAACAAGCCGGTTTCTGATTGAGCAATCATATTCTTTCAATCGGGGGCATTCCTTTGATCGACCATTCTAGCCTCGTATATTCATACAACCAAACCTAAAAATCGATACATGAATTTCACGATCACACGCTCGCGGACTACACAGTATGTGTGGTCTAGCTTATAGAGAGGTCCGTTCGCACCAATAATATTTTAGAATTCGGGGGCATTCCCGCTTGGACCTTTGCCAACAGACAGACCCACTTTGCGTCGCCGAGGGAATTCATGCAGACAGACACAGTCCGGGATAAATACGGTAACTATTTAAATCTTTCCTCTCTCTCTCTCTCTCTCTCTCTTTTCTATGTTCCCAGGCTAAGGGCAGTTAGTCTGGCATCTCCATTCTTTTGGTCGATTTGCTGCCATTGTCTCTCAACCCACGTTCTTTTCGGTCAATTTATTGAATTCGTTCTTCGTTTCCGCGTTCTTCTCGGTTGCGTGCTTTCGGTAATTTTGCATTATTTGTCCGTGATGTTGTTCGGTTTACAGGGATCCATTTTTAAAGAATAATCCCAGGTATCTCCAATTGCATTGTTTCTGAGAATCGGGATTGAAAAGGCAAAAAAGCAGAGTTTGCCGTTTGCATAGCGCAAGCCCATCTCGGAGTTTCAACAACTAGCCTCTGATCGACGGTATAATCAACATCTACTACAACACAAACTTTACACTGAGGGTACCGTCAATTCAGCCTGGCTAGATAAAGCGGCCACTGATGGTCCACTTCCGGAATGTCATTCGACAAGCCAATTCCGGTTTACAGATCAAACATGCGATGGGGAGCAACATCATCAACAGCTTGCTGAAGAGCCGCAGGCACCGCTCGTTCATTCAGAATCTATCAACAAACAGCCTTCATTTTCTCCAAACCACACCGAGCACCTAGACTCCGATGTACATACGTCTTCTAAACCCAGTAGCCGCCGTCGTCCGCTAACTTGTCAATGCTGTGGACAACATTTTGGTGAGCGGCGACTTCTATAGTAAATTCCCCCATGTCCAAATCTTTACCATATTATCATTCAAATAATTGTTTACTGATACTATTGGCCTAGCTTGCACACTGAGAAATACGTGTGTGACGTTCCGTCATGCAACTACGCAAAAGGCAAAGGGTCCTTTGGAACCAAGGCCGAGCTCACCCGGCACAAATCATCACGACATCAAGACGAAGACTCAATTCAGCAAACAATGGTTGCTTGTCAATATAATGGGTGTAAGTTGAGGGGAAGACTTATGCGGAAAGACAAGCTTGCACGTCACCAACGGCGGAATCACAAATTAGATATGTGGACGCAGTTAGTACCCCGCTGAGTGCTTTTTCTGAGTATATAGGCATTCTTTCGTTAAGAAAATGGAAATAATTGAAGAGAGATCTCCCAGTGACGACTTCGCCTAGACTCTCAACCAGTACTAACCCTCATCCCTGTGACATGAAATGCCCTGAGTGATGAAATGCCCACCAGGTACATTCAAGCACCGTCACCTTCAGTCCACAAATTGAATATTGCCTGAGACCTGCAGAAACAATAATTATTTTGATCTCTTATGAGATAACTCTTTTCAAATAAAAATTACGAACGATTAGAGTGGCGAATTACAGGAGAACACGCACTACTTAAAACTCCCCCTGTGACTACTATGGCGCCAAGATCATCCACAAAAACGTTTGCGATACATAGGAATGAAATAACCTGGCCACCATCAAAATCCACATTTTCAACCCTCACGTGAAAGAATGCCTTTTGCCACTACTTGTCGCGGAAAGCCGCTGTTTATCTGCGGCAAGAATCCTCTTTCTCTCATCAGACAAGCGGACTTGTTTAGGAAACTACCATGCATTACGCTCGGCCTTATCCACACAGGTTTGTTACCTAATGCCTTCCCCTCCCCCCGATTCAGAACGGGAATAGACCTCACGGAAATTTTCTTAGTGTAGCTAAAGGGCGGTCTTATCTGCATAAACGACAAAGCTTGTAAAAGAGCCAGAAGACTGGACGTTGTCTCATTCCTGGCAAATATAGATATCTAAGCTTGCACCAGTTGAGGAGCTTGCACCCTACTCCTAATATTCTGCGCCCCTTGCTTGCTCCCTCAACTCACAGTGACTATTCCGATGCACTTGTATCGTTAGCCTTGCACTCCACCCTCAATCATAATCAACGCCTGATTGTACCCATAATCTCTATTTTGAATTTAAGTCGCGGCTCAATGGAACTCTCTGTACTTTGATAGGTTCGATGTTCGTCATCCTAGGCCCTGTGGTGCGTGCGGATTGGACCCTCGTGCCTTCAAAAACCAAGTTCCATGAGGGCCTGGAGAAGACGACGCGTCTTCTCCAAACGCTCCATCGCCCCAAGACTGCCAAACTCTTGGAAACGAGTTTTCTTTTCCAGTCTGCCTAGAGCTTTCCAATGGCTGGATATTACCACACGATTTGAGGCACTTGCAATTGTCGTTCTGATCGCAGTCAATATTGTAGCTTTGCGGTTCAAAACGCCCTCTTGGGCCGCGACACAGCGACGGCCGGTTCACTAGCGGTCTTCCACCTCACTCCCTTATGCACGGGAATCAACTTCGGGTTCCTAGCCGATATTCTTCACGTGCATAGGCCAGGAATGGCATGGACCCACCGCTGGATCGGTCGTATTTGCGTGCTTTATACAGTCCTTCACGGCACGCTGGTGCTATCGATCGCTAGGACCTCGAGTGTGACGAGTATACGTTATATTGGTCCAATCATTGTAAGCAACCACATCATAAGACAAGAACCTAACTTATGACGAACCAGTGTCACTGACATATGTAGGCTGGAGGCGCACTGATTTGTACTATACAGGTCACTTGTGCAGGTACCCGACGGCACCACCCACAGTTTGTCCCGAAAAGTCACTATCTTCTGACTGTAACCGCGATTAGTGGTGTTGTATAGACCTGATTCAACGACAGTTACTGTACCGCTGGTTTCTTCTGGGGGGTATTTCTCTGTGGCTGGCTTGTGGCTTAGGGGCTTGGGCGGCGACCATCATCGCGCAGAAGCCTTGGCGCAACACAAAATGCGAATTGATCACTTTCACGGCTGGTGGATTTCTCTGGTTTGAAGTGATGCTTCCCATAGATTGAACAGTCACGCCGGGTCAATACGCCCAGCTGTGGACTATGCACCGGTGTATATGCTTCTCTCCAGCTGGCCCTGTTCTATGTAACGGTCTATGACTGTAATGGTTCAAAGAGTCACCGCATAGTATGCCTGATGGCGTGACCTCGGCCAGGTCTAACGGACAATTTTTACCGAGCCATTTCGAATTATCCAACCAGTCAGTCCGTGACTGTGCTGGGGCCATACGGGCGGGCGGGCCCACGGTTTTTCGCGGTTCGGAACTGTCATTTTTGTCGTAAAGGACATCGGGTTGTTTCGCGTACTGCTCTACGTCGAGATGCTGGTGGAGGCTAGCCGGAGGTGGGAAGTGATGATTCGGAAGGTAGAGACTCTCTGGTAACGCGCCCAGGTATATAGTCAGTCGATCCCCGATTATGCAGGATCATTCGTAGCGGTGACTTACGAACATCCCAGATCCTCCCGAGTGGTTCAAAACCTGGCGACAAGAACTTCTCGAGCTTGATTGGCACAACTTCAATGTAAGTTCTCGTGCATTGTAACGAGCAGGAAGTCTGACGGGATGTAGATCTTACAATTCAGGATTTACAGCGACCGGGTTTTTTCGGTCCCTCAGGCTGCTAGATAGATAGATATTTATTGCTTAGAAGACAGCAAGGTAGCAATCATCATTGCCTAGATACAATATCCCGAAAAATTTACCGAATTGTTCGCCTTTCAGCCAGCCCCTCAGCCCCTCTCTAGCCACCCACCTAAACAAAGAATGTCCGAGATGCCTAGGGCTCAGGTGCCTTAGGCCAAACCAGGCTAGAACCTCCTTGCACTGTTAGATTGCACGCGAAGTCCCACTACAATAGAAAGGTCTGCGTTCCCAAAGAGTAGTGAATTGGACGTTCAGCATATAGAAACACTTCTCAAAAAGACAAACTGTCGGAGTTAACTGTTACGTCTTTCCCTTAGTCTTTCAGGATATGTTTCAAGAACAATGCGGTTCGTGGGAAGACATGAAACATGGTCATATCGCTGCAGCTTGGATGGCTGCAAGTAAGATTGAACGGTGTGCGAGGTACAATTTTTATGACACTTAAGAACTCACTGGGCCGTCACTCGTTTTCCTCCACGGCCTATTTCTCATATATCCACCATCCTGACAATGGCTGGATAGAATCATTTTCAGCTTCCACGGTTGGAGGACACAAATGACTCTCATTGGGATACTTTGAACCATCTGATCTGGGTCCACTTGGTGTAGCTTGGGTGCGGATTAGTCCAGCTACCATCATTGTGCTATAACTGGCTCCATTTTCGTTGACAGCAACAGGTACGGAGGCGAAACCAGATGGGATATCATCTATATCGATACGACGCGATAAAGCGTCGTCTAAGCCCACTTTAGTGTTCCGTGTCTCGAATTCCGGTGTACACTTGGGATGAATTGTTTCTGGGTACATCATGTTCCCACGTTCATTCCAGAAGCAGAAGACTGAAAGCCAACCAGTCAAAAAGGATGGACCACTGCCCATAGACTGTCTGTCGGCACATCTGCTCCAGAAATCCAGTATATTGGATGAAGAAGCTGGGCGAATCGCGCAGGTTTGTCTCCTAGCCGATGTAACTTCTCAAACTTTCTCAGGAGAATTATCCAGTCCTCCCGCTCACCCAACAGGGTAACAGACGGTATTCCACACAAAAGAAACATTTTGTATGAGAAGTACTTCTGTAAGGTGCCCATCATCAGAATTGCCGCGATTACCTTGTCAGATTCGGTGGTGGTAGTGAAGTTTGGTATAATCCAGTTTCGCAACTCCTCGTCTACCACGTTCTTTTCAATCTCTCTCGTCATATGTACGGCCAAGGAACCAAAGTTGGCGTTCGCGATCGACCCCACGCCCTGTACTTTTAATTATTTTTAACCCTCATATGCGACAAAAGAAGATCGCAGTTCCTCTGCATGTGCGTTGATAAAGAAACTGAGCTGTGTAAGTATGCAGAACCACACATCTTCAGGTCGTATGGTCAAGTGGTGATGATTACTGTACGCGCGGAACACCGCCCAGCCGAACCCATGCTGAGAGGCGGAGATATGGGACGAGTTGAAGAGACTGCTTGGAAACGAATGTTGTATCAGTTTCCGGCTGTGGCGATGATCTTCCGGACACGAGTGCTTGAATAGCTCTTCAGCAGTCAACACCTTCGGGTCTTTCTATTTAGAAGCTGAATGATCGGCCGTAGTAAGAGTGACAGGCATTGTTTCAGGGTATCTGAAACAAAGGCGGATCAAAGGGAGGGACTGAACTGCAGCGATGATCTGATGGGAGGAGAGTGAAAATACAAGGAAATCTGAAGATGATCACACACAACTTGAGTGGGAGGGATAGAGGGAGAAGTAGCTGTGCCGCACGCGTAAATATTGCGCGCCCCTACGGTGGGGGTGCGGGTCAAATATTACCAACCTTCGTGGAGCTATTCCCAACCACAATTATGCCGAATAGACCCAAAATTGAGGAATCGTGCTCTCAAAAAGCTGAACTTGTCAAAGATTGCGCGGGAATATAGTATTTTATACAACATGTTGTAAGGACTCAGCTGAAAGTTCGCAGCCACAATCCCCTCCTTTTATCATAGCGGACTGTCTGCTCCGATCACATAACCCCACAACCTCGATATCTACCGGTTCGTTACACCATATAATTCTTCTCAAGGTTAGGGGCATAGGGGCAGTGTTTTTTTAAATAATCCTATTAGGACAAAACACCTGCCAAGATGCCCCTCTTAAATATTTACTCGGGAATAGCTTCGGAAATAGAATTAATCCGTGATCCCGCATAAAGGCTGCCATATGCTCTTCACGGCCTTGTGAGGGGTATCCCCTCGGCTCGCCACAGTTTCCGTGTTTCTTCGGCTCGGTATAGTTTCCAGGCTGCCAAAGAACATCGGAACGCTAAATTCCCCGAGATTGTGGGTTGTGGATACTCGCAGAATAGACTTCCAAGTTTTTATATAGTTGTCTGCACTTCTTTTGCTGGTCAATTCGACAATGTATGATCCTGCGGGGTCAATAAAAATATGGCGAAATGTAAATTGTAAGATCTGGCCTAGCTCCTAGTAACCCCTCCATACGGCGGGGGAGAGCGGTCACCCGTAATCAATGCACTAGTAAGTGTATCAGTGCCTGATATGCCTGAATTCAGACCGGTAGAAAAGGACCTGGATTACCATAACAGCTGCCCAGCTCTTATGGTAGTAGTACTTTACAATATCCTCCCCTCTGGCCGGTTTATACCATATCCGAATCCATATCCACGTCTATAGCTGCGCCTATACCTACATCTGTACCTACACCTATCTATACCCTTTCTATATCTTTATCTGCGGGATTTATTCAATGTTATTTTATTCTAGCGAAATAGGTTTATTTTCTCTATATCTCTTTATATCCAAATCTCTAATACCTCAGGCTACATAATAAGGAATTAAGATTTTAAGAGAAGGGATGGAGGGGTAATTTATATAGTAAAAAGGCTCTAAGATATTGCGTAGGTATCTACCTGGGTTGAATAAGGCTATGTTGACATACAGTATTTTTACCGGGCGGAGCCCAGGGCGGTCGGAATTCAGGTATAAAATCAGGTGTAAACCCGTTTACCAATGTATTGATAGGCTGCAGCTCTCCCCCGCCGTACCTTCCTTGGGGTATAATCGCGCAATCGGCCGAGCAGCTTATTGAGGAAGCTCTAAAGCTGCCAAATGCAGAGAAATCAGCAGTTGAATGAAGTACAAGAAGTGGTACCTGCGTAACCTTCCAAATTTGGTAGAGTCTGAGTCGTGGGGTATATCGCCCCCGGGGCGGGAAAGTGGGAGTTGTCCATGCACCGACCGCGGACGACCCGAGAGTTACGTACAGCTCCACAGGATCTGGAGCCATAAATTAATTGTCAACATAAAAGGTGCTTTCCCCCACTAGGTTTCCTCGCCGCTGCTCAGCAATCTCAACACCATGACTGTCACCAAAGCCGAGACCGAGTTCAAGATCCCCGTCATTGACGTCTCCGGGTATCTACAAAATGATAAAGAAAGTCCAGACTCCAAAGAAGTAGTAGCAGCCATTCGATCTGCCTGCAAAGACCCCGGCTTCTTCCAAGTAACCGGTCACTCAGTACCGGCTGGTCTCCGAGACCAAACTCTCAAAAGCCTGCACGAATTCTTTGCTCTGCCCGAGGAGGTGAAGTCGCAGATCCACAGAACCGATGAAAATACAGTGGGATATGAAGTTGTCGGACAGCAGAAGGTTGAAGTCGGGGACCGAAAGGAGGGCTTCGTCTTCGGCCCTGAGCCGTTCCCTGCGCAATTCACGAAAGTTAAGAACCAGTGGCTTGAAGACAGTGCTTGTCCTGGATTCAATGCCACACTTCAACAGTATTACGATGAAGTACGTAAGCTGAGCAAGTCGATGTTCCGGTTGCTGGCGTTGAGTTTGGATTTGGAGGAGACATATTTTGACGAGTTTGTTGCGAGTCAAGAGTGTAAGTTGATTAGTCTTCACTGCTGCTCACTGTCAAAGTTCCGTATACTAACAATAAATTAAAGCTTTGACCATGTGTAAAGCTCATAGATACCCACCTACGACGAAGGAGATGTCAACCCAGACGAAAGGTATCGGCGCCCATAGTGATTTTGGTGCCTTAACTCTTTTGCTTCAAGATGAAAGTAAGCAAGTCCGTGATTCGTAATTAAAACAGCAGGACTAATCATTATCAGTTGGCGGACTGGAGGTATTATACGAACCCGAAAACAAATGGTATCCAGTTCAATATGTGCCGGATGCGTATGTTGTAAACATTGGTGATATGATGGGTATGAGATTCAGTCCACTTTGCCATTAACATCGATACTGACAAATCTCTTGCGACATAGAGCGATGGACTAACAACCGATACAAATCGACTAAACACCGCGTTATCTCGCCAGTCTCCGGCAAGTATCGATTCAGCATTGGAATCTTCAACGAAGGACTGATGCATCAGTTGATTGAATGTATCCCGACGTGCATTGACAAGGGAGAGAAGCCATTGCATAAGCCCATCCTGGCCGAAACGTATCTGCGTGAAAGCCTCGCAGCGACATATGCTGTTGGTGCCTAAGGCCCCAATAACACTTGCAACAGAGAGACAGATGGCTAAAACGCTAGATGTAGATAGGCAGGCCAGGAGTCAGTACTTAAGACCGCAACTCGGAAGAATAATTAAATCATTTTCAAGTATATCCTTCAATGGCCTTCTTCAACGCAGCTAGACTGGGGCCTAAAGACTCTGGCCGGTGTCTTAACAACCGCAATTATCAAGCAAAACGATGATATTATAGATAATATAATACCGCTCGACTCAGACTTGAACTCTGATATCCTTGGTACCCGGCATCGTGTGTCACCCTACGTGAAGGTCGTTCCATTTAGTCCCCTCCAGGCTGCTGTAAAGATGCAGCTGGTATCGGTCGTCCGTAACCTAGTGCTAATCAAAGGGGCCGATGTGAATCACTTGGGAGAAGATGAATTAAGACGGACACCACTGCAGCATGCCGTTGACCTTTGAAACATGGATATCATAAACTTCCTTTTAGAGTATAGGGCCGATGTTAGTACTCCATCTACCTACGGTGGAGGCGCGACAGCTTTGCAGATTGCGGCTATTCGAGGGTATAATGGAATTGCAAGGAGACTGCTCGATCTTGGCGCAGATGTCAACCAAGCATCCGCAAGGAAGAATGGTCGTACGGCTTTGATGGGTGCCCCAGAATATAGTCACATTGACATGCTACAGCTTTTTATAGACGAGGGAGTATTGATTGAGGGTGAATGTGAAGGTTACTATTACAAAGCTGTTGAACTTGCACAGAGCCAAGGTCACTTAGCTGTGGCTAGATTTTTGAAGTCACTCAAGGACCCGACTGAGTTTGGCAGCAATCATCCAATCTTTTGTTCATGCTATTGGGTCGTAATAAGCCATAATGGGATTGTACCTCTAGCATTCGTCATAATTTTTAATCTATCTATTCCTTTTATTCTAATAATCCATTAGCTTTATATTTTTCTCTTTATCGTTGTTTACTTAGGAATAGTCGACTATAAGCCTACTAAGTAGTATATAGTAGGAAAGCCTACTAAGTAGTATATAGTAGGAAAGCCTACTAAGTAGTATATAGTAGGAAAGCCTACTCTCTAATCCGAATCAGTCTATAGAATCGCTGAGAAAATACTCCCCTAAACCCCTATATTTTTTGATTATTATTGTCTGGAAAAAGCTTCAAACAATATACTTCACTCCTTTTTACTATTTTTCTCACTCTCTTCTTGTTCCGATATTATGGTCCTACGTAGTGGGAAGATTCATTACAGATGTTTTGCTGTACAGTTTTCTGAGCTGATTTCTGAGAAAGGCATTTCTCCGTCTTCAGTATCCATCTGCTAAAGAGGGGGAAATGCCTGCCCGGGACAACAGGGGATAATATTGGTAGGGGATACTGAGATGGAGACCAATATAGTAGTCGAAGAATTGGAAAAGGTCTAAGTTGACATAATATGTCCGATACATCTTATATACAGAAATATAACCGAATCACACTGACACCGCCATATGCGTGGGGTGGATCCCCACTGCACTATCTAGTTCTCCTCGATGTAGAAAGCGGTCATCCGAATAAAATTCCACCGCTGGTTTTTTTCCTTCCCAGAGCTGTCATCTGCTCAGAGAATATGACTAAGCTGGCTTCTATTAGGCACTAGTTGGAACCTGGGTGGCATTTTGGACTAAGATCTGGGTCATGCGCTTATGAAACTCCAGCGCAGTGATATCGTCGTACTTACCCGGCGTCGCAGGGGTTGTGAACTCTGGCAACGCACCTACCATGGTCTCACGATCTGCCTTGAAGAAAAACACGGTAGAATGGCGCTCAGGGATTATATGATCCTCGCGGCTCCGCTCTTCTGTGGTGAGATGGCGTGGTAGCCACACCTGATGCACGCCGGCAGGGATCACGTCGTTAGACAGCCGTTGGAAAGTATCGCTCACGTTGATGGCGATCTCATCGGGTCTCTCTTTCTCTATTGGAAGGAATTGCCCTGGATGATCACGATCTTCGTATTCCAGTCCTCCTCGGTTGTCCTGGAACAATAGAGTGATGATTCCGAAATCTGTGTGCGGCCACCCACGACGGGTCTCGCCTCCGTAGAGTCTTTTAAGATCGACTTCAGGATAATAGTTGTATCGTAGCTCACTAGCGGCAGGTTTGCAACGGTTCACGAGGGTTCCTGGGGAGATATGGCAGCCCGTCTCGCAGGCGGCCATCACCTGCGTACACAGATCCTGACACTGTAGGTAGAAAGTTTCCGAGAACTCTTTGAAACCAGGGCATCCTTCCTCTTCCAACCATCTATTCGGATACTCTTCATCGTCCGCGGGTCCGATATCGTAGTGTTCCTATGTCTGTCAATATCGCATACTCAAAGAGGGCGGGCGGTCAAGGACATATTTGCTTACCTTTTCATCCATGGGCTTCACAACTTTAATTGCCTTGGAAGGCCGCAAGCCCGCTGTAGTCTCGGCGCCTTTATAGCTCCATCCGCGCTGAGGGTGAGGGCCAGGGGGGTTGACAGCTTTCACTTTCTCTTCCGGGCTGAGGGCAAAGAATTTTTTGTTCTAAGTGCATCATCTATTTGTCAGTCAATAGTTCCAGACACTGAATGGCCTAGCACCGGTTTTGCCTTACCACTTCCTCGGCCTTCTCGATAACCTCCAAAGGGATACCATGGTTGATCAGCTTGACAAAGCCCGTCCGTTTAAACGAGTCGACCAGCGAGATTGCAGCAGCTTGGCGCTCACTGTCTGTGCCCGAAAGAAAATGGGCGAAGTCTACAGTCGTCACAGACATCATGATAGCGATGTAGAACTGCCTGAAAGGGTAAAGAATAAAACAAATTTCCGCGTCGCACTATCATGTCCGCCGCGGTACCTTTGAAACCTATATAAATGCTTTCTCCTCCCCAATATGCCCGGGGCAAAGCGGCTGGCTGGTGGGGGGTGGGGGAGTGTCTACGACAGTTTCCTACACTCTGGAAGGTCTGCCGCTTCGTTCTTCACTTCCCATGTTCGCGTTGGCCAAAAACCTGAAGTCATATTTAGTAAATCTTAGCATACATGACGCTGGCTAAACCAAATTGGGAGGCGAAGGCTGGAGTCACCAAGTTTTTTTTGGCTTGGCACGGGGGTATGGAGAGGGTTCGGGGGCCAAATGAGTGGAATAGGCAACTGAAACGAGTTTCAAGCAGTTGAAATTCGGATTTACTCACTCGACCGCGGGCTCGCCAGCCTTGCCTCTTACCCCACATACAATAGGGCCGGCATGGGGCCGGCCCCATGCTTAGGGGGGCCGACGGCCGAGTGGGTACAGTACATCCGAATTTCAAGTCTTTGAAATTCGTTTCAGTTGCCTATTCCACTCATTTGGCCCCCGAACCCTCTCCATTGTACAACTCCGATGTCGAGGGTCGAAGCTCTAACCTTCACGGCCCACCGAGCCCGTCTTGCAGCTCCCTTATAGGTCCCGAGCTGCACCCAAACCCTCGGGACGGGATATGACGCGCACTGGACTGGATTATGGAGGTGCATAGCAACACTCGTGGCCGCCTCAATTTCACTCGAAAAGAATACGGCCCAGACGTGATTTTCAGTGATATGACGAAGTGTCCATTGTCTAATCTGGCTTAGCTAGTAGTTAATTTTATACGTGAGGTACGATCACGTAATCTGCCAAGCAACGTAGCGAGGAAGCTGTTATTTACATGTTGATCATACAAGGTTTTACATGGACGGGGAAACTCGACACACCCCCTCGGCTTCTGAGCTGCCAGTTTGTGGCAAGAATGAAGCTATTCCGACGTGGCTTTTAGGGCAAATTACCCCGCTATGACGATGTGATGCCGTATGTCCACCAATCCACATGATTTAACGAATTTCTGATGTGCTTGAGGCGACAACAGCTTCGTGAGACCGTCTGCAGGCGTATTTTCTGTGGGAACCCATTTCACACCGAGTCTTTTTCTGATGAACCTCTTACCGAAGCCAGTGATGATGTATGTCGGCGTGACGCAGCTTTGTATCCAACCCAGGCGTCTCCCTGGTCAGCAGACGCACCGTCTGGGCGTTATCACACATGATCTCGAGGTCGCTGTCGATATGCAAACCTATACGTGAGAGCAGAGGGTGCCACCACATCCTTGATTTAGTGGCATCTGACGGGCCTAGCAACTCACCTTCGGTGGTCGAACTAGTAACGGTGCGTTGCTTGGTAGTCTTCCACTCGATTGGGGTGTTGAATAATTTTATGACGTAGCCAGCTGAGCTTTTTTCGGTCGGGTCTGTCACCGTATGATGCGTCGTTCGCAGCTTCACGGGGTTTTGCATCATCGCCAGTGGGAGAATACTCAAGAGCAAGGAAACGGGTATAATAGAGATATTTGATCACTCGATTGGCAGCGACGATATGCTCCGGGCCAGAGTTCGTGAGGAATTCGGAGAGTTGAGATACAGCGTGAGCAACATCTCCACGGGTGATGCAGGAGGGATAATTGCATGAGCCCACTTTACCTTGATACTCTTTTATCTGGCTGCTTGAGGCTTGACCCCCGTACGGCTTCATCTGTAGTATAGCTACATGGAGGAGGTTCCGGTCGGGCATGTTTGCATGTTTGGACGTTTGTTCGGTTTGACCCACTCTCGGGTACAGACCAATCCGTGATTGGTCTGAGAGTGCGCATCCGCCTACATGTATGTGGCAGAGCTTTCCTCTGTCCTTCCCCTTCTTCAACGTTGTTATTAGTTGTTTTTTGCACCCTTTCTCCATTCCGGTAGAGACATAGGCACCATATCACATCTTCCTCGTCTGGCTGATAAAATGTGATGATATCGTCAACGTAGAAGTACATAATAATGCCAAGTCGTACGAAGACGCAGGGATCATCAGGGATCGCCTTAAAGCCTAAAAGCTCCAAAATTCGAGTCGCTTCCTGCTGCCAAAGGCGTGGTGACTTCCTGAGACCGTAGAGAGCTTTTCCTAGCTGCCACACAAGGCTGGAGTCGCCAAATCCCTCTGGAGTATACGTGAAAACCTTGTCTTTTGACGGAAGTTTGCTATTTAAGAAGGCATTAACGGCATCCCACTGTCCCGATTTCAGGCGAAGGCGGCAGCGATAGCGAATATAGCTTTTGCTGTACGAGCTGCTAGTGTTGCGACCGTTTTATTTTCATGATCCATCTCCTGAAGATCTCCTCTGACACATATCCGAGCCTTGAGCTTCGTAAGGAAGCCGTTGCTGTCGAATTTGTATGTGAAAACCCATCGAAGAGGGAGGATCTGAATCCCACGATCTGCTGGTCGTTTGGAATCTCTGTAGGGGGTTGAGTTTTCCGCGCGGACAGGAATCTTCATATCAGGACCGGGGGCAAGATTTATCCAGATCAGGCGGGGTAAGGCAGATCTTAATCTTCCGATACTCAACATGTGCGAGAAGGAGATAGTGTTGAAATTGGCGTGGAGGTATGCTCTAGGGGATTATGAAATTGTAGTGGCCCTTCTTGCTGCTGGTAAAGTATCAGTCAAGCCATTGATTAGCAGCACAGTCCCATTCAAGGATGCGTCGATAGCGTGGGAACGAAGCAAGAGGGGGGAGGGAATCAAGAATTTGATTGCAGGAATCTAAGATTAAATGCTGGGAAGTACTCGGGAAAGTAGAATGGATACAAGAATAGGTATTGTGAACGTGTGGCCATACATCGCAATTAGTACTTGTAGGTAGTAGTGTATGTGTAGATCTAGTATAGTTCATGTATTATATCATGATGTCCAGTCGACGACAGCGTATGGAGAACAGAACCTCCAATTCACTCGCCTGTAGTACTACAGGGTTGGTCCACTACCTTGGTCTCCGCGACCAGCTCGGAAACTTCGCGGAGTCTCTAAGTCAATGAGTACAAATCAAATATACTAGTGCTTGATTTCTTTCAACTCAGACCACTTTACTCGTGCGCAAATCTATCTGTAGTTCCATAAATTTCAATTTATGAGCAAACCATAAATTATTTCAAATAATTGATTACCTAGCTTTGTTTGAAGCAAATTCAGTGTGAAAACAACTAACAAGGATGGGGCAATGATGGCCATTCAATTAGACGCGCGATCGTCCTCTTGATTAGAGCCGCTGTCGAATACTAATGACAGTCCGTAGATTGTCCATTGTGAGACTACCTTTACCCATAGCCAGAACAGATGCAGTCTTGATCAAGTTCTTGATCTCTCTTCCATTCAAATCGACACGCATGAGTTCCTCAAGATTGGTATCATTGATACTATGAGCTCCCTCTCCCACTCTGTCAAGGAAGTTCTTCCAAATCGTTCGGCGAACGGAGTCGTCAAGATTCGGATATCGTAGTATGAGGTCAATCCTAGATAGAAAGGCGTCATCAATTACCTTGATCCGCTTTGTTGTGAGAAACATTAAGCCTTCGTAGTATTCAAGGCGCCGTAAGAGTACTTAATAGTAGAATATTAGTGCCGGTCAAGTCAAGCAGTGAGAAATCTATGAATGAAGTACCTGATACAAGCTCGTTTCTTTGTAGGTTTTCAGAGCTCCTTTGCTCAAAAAAGACTCTGCCCCATCAATAAGAAGGAGGGCATCCCACAACCGACAACAGTCAAACGCCCTCTGTAAAGCACTGTCGACTTGATCCGCCATAATACCTAAGTCATCTGCACCTATTATGTACAATAGAACCTGGTATTTATCCGCCACTACAAAATGTTAGTTTTGGGAGTCGTTGGTTGACATATATAGGTCATTTTAGCTCACCAGCCTCCACAGTAAGAGTTTTACCAACACCCGGCTGTCCGCAGAGTAAGAAAATAATACCCCGGCCTGGAAAAGTTAATTTAACGAGAAGGCGATACCCAGTTGCCATGCGATCTAACCTTTCCGTTGTACAATGTCATCAAAGCCAGTCTTCTCTCTTCGATCGCGATCAGCCATTGCAAGGATCAGTTCCTTCTCATCGGGTGGCAGCACAAGTTTCTGGAACGGGACATCACTCCATTCTGTGGCGTGAAGGACGTCAACGTGAAGTTCGCCTGCTTTGGATTACTATCAAAATCAAAAAAATTTTATCGACGTTCAACTTGCACCATTATTTCGTTTTGAGGTCGAACCCCTTCACATAAGAAGAAGATAGTATGCACTCAGTATCGGTCAGAGTATGTAGTTGCTCATTTCTCTCTTTCATGGCCGGGATGGAATCAGATTGATGTTGCTTGTCGTTCGCACTTTTGGAGAAAGCAACCTCATCTGCTTCATCGCGCATCAGCGATGGGGCCTTGACGCGCTGGCAGTGATAAAAGGCGTAAGCGTCAATGACGACTCTCCCAGAACCCTTGATCAAGATGTCAGTCATCGTATGAGATTTAGCAAAAGCAGAAAATGGGCAGATTGTAGGACTTACAGGCTGAGGTCTCTTTGTTATCTTTGCAGCCGAGCACACGGATTTGCTTCCAATGAAATGCATACCGTGGAAACTTCTCATGGCCTCGAATTTACGACCACGGAGGAGCAGCATTTCCTGAATATCCTGGACCTTTTGCCTGTCCCCTTTCATCTTCAATGGGACCACTGGAAGTTCGGCCACTGAAAGCACATCTTGGTAATGATAGATAGTGGTGTTGGTGGATCTGAAGCCACAATAGCTCCCATTCCAATCAAACTGATGGAGCTTGATTAAAAAATAAGGTTTCTCTCTAGGCTCTTTGTAAACCTTAGTACTAACGAACCTGTATACACTCAGTTGGTCCTTGATACCCGTGACGACCGGTCTCGCCTGGAGGGAATATGTGCCACAGGTGTTCGAAAGACACCACACCACTATCCGTAATCGCATCTAGGTTTTTCTGATGTCGCTCGATGAATGGTGTGAGCTCGTGAATGAGAGAATTGCCGTCACTTCTCATCGATTCGTCTTGGTTGAGGGCGGTCTTCAACTTTTCCCAGCGATCGAGAAACTGTTGGAATGGTGGTCGAAAGACAAATGGCTCTTCACTCTTCATCCACCGAGGGTAGTTTTTGAAGACCTCTTTTAGAACTGCTTGGAGACGGGGACCGTTCACGATGATGGAGTCAGTCTTCCAAGTAGTCTCATCGGCGTCTCCTGATTTCTTCCGTCGGTGTACCACCGCAAAACATGCCGTCGCTGCCCTAGAGCGCGCTTCTTCCTCCCGTGGGTCTTCGAACTCTGACCAGATAACATGGCGACGACCGCTTGAGTAGGAGTGACTGTAGAGGCATTTAACCTCAGCACGCGTTGTCGAGGACTGTGAGACCCGATTGACAGGGGGTGCAGCAGATGATATGGATGATTTATCATCATCATCCTCATTATCAGCCGAAGAATAGTCGCCTATGCGAGCTTGCTGAGACTGCGATGACGGTTTATAGTAGGACACAGGAGAGGCGCGCCTCGACGGAGGGGAAGGGTGATCATAGCTTGAAAATTCCATGAGAAGAGTAAAACAGCTGCTTAGAAGATTGCTAGGTACCTAGGTAATGGTTCAGAGAAAGTGCTGTGCTAGCAGAGAATTGAATGAACTAGTACTACTAGTAGTAGGTACCTGAGGTAGTATATAGGAATGAGAAGGATCGTTGGGGGTAGAAGATGATTAAATATCCCTTGAACTTAAGCTTAGAAGAACATTGAAATGAAGAGTCACGAGATTTTCCAAGGCTCAGTACCTCATAAGCATTTGAATTCGAATTCACTTTCCATAACCACATGTACTAACTATACGATCAAACGGTGCATGGACCTCCTAAACGTACCCTGACGCGGCACCTACTGGATATAGCTTCTGGGCTACATTGAGATACTTATGCACGCAATCAAGTATCTGGGAACCTGCATATCTGATTTACCAATCACTACTGAAGATGAGCCTCCACAACGCATAGGTGCCCGAAAGAGCCGCATGCGCCCAAGATATTTTGACATCAGCTAGGCCCTTATTGTGCATGGTACTAGGCACCAGCTCTCGACAGAGGCTCCTACCCAGCGACGTGTATTGTATGTTAGACTCATCAACATTCGATTTAACCAGTAGATACCTACCAGCTGAACCTATTTCCACAAATTGAGATGCAGAGGCACCTTGCCGCTGTATACCAAGTCGCGTAATTAATACTTTCACAAAGGGCAAAGATCCTCAGGACACAGTTGATGGCATGGGAGGATGTATCTATACGCGGCGGTGAGGCCGGTGGTGCATTCTGCCCGCCCCTCGGTTAGATAGCCAGCCGTGTCTACAGCGCTAGCCGTACCTTACCCTACGGTATGAAACACAAGTCGCAAGGCATCCCCCACAACACTAAAAAAACCTTAAAATCTGACATAAATTCACATGAACTAGGCAGTGACGAGGTTCTGCGTATACAAACAACCTATCTCATATTTCGACTGACCATCTGCGAAAATCGGCCTCAAATTCGAACCCTGGGGAATTTAAGAGCTTGCAGTACAAGACTCAAGAGACTAGTTCATTTTCTTGTTTCCAACCATGGCTGGTCGACCCTGCCGCGATCTGTAATTCTGATAACCATAAACTCCAATACAAAGAAAAGTGATAACAAGTATATTACCTTTCGTCGCATGGTTAGATTATATATAGTAGTGTGAGAAGTCAGTGTGGGAGACCTACTAGCGATAAACTTGCCAACTCCACCTGCAGCTCCCAAAGCGCCTTGCGCAGTATTCAGGAGTGCGCCACAAACAGAAGCGATAAAGCTGAGAATGGTATGGAACGTAGAGAATACGGCATCAAATGCGGCCTTGATGATAGAAAATATGACTTCAAAGACCGAGCTGATCAGGTCTTTGAGGGAAACGATGAGTGACGTCATTTTGGTACCGCGCAGTGACCCTGTCAGGCTCTGTCGAGAATTGTCGATAATGGAAGAATGGAGGTATGTTCTAGTATTCAGTCTTTGTAGGTAGAAGTTTGTGTACACGGAAGAATAAAGACTTGGAGGAAATATGTACTCCTTTATTCCCACTTTCCCTTTCCACATATATATATCTCTCTCTGGCTACGATACTTGTTTATCAGCGGCAATGACGTGAGGTATGCTACACCGCCGTGCAAGTCTGGTTAAACTACCACCACAGCTTTAGAAACCAGATTCTTTGTTCCTGGAGCATAGATACAGAAAGCAGAAAATTCATGCCAGATGCCAGACTGAGACATCATTTCTACGTCACGTTAAAGTGCTTAATTACGATTCCTGTCGTATCCGGATAAATATTTGACTTTGTCCTTCCCGTTGCTCCGCAGTGTTAGCCCCCGTACCATTAGGAGGAATTCGATTATTCGTGAATATTCATGAACGTATGCGTGTTGAGCATCACGGGGTTCAAGGCCTTGTGGAGTGTATCATCAAGAAACATAAATAGATGAGGAATCCCACCTCCGACAAGATAGACAGAACTCAATACAATCAATCCTATCTGAATTCAAACTCCACGAATACGAATATGCCGGATATTGGCATTCATTTATTTCTTTCACCAATGAGGGGTGTGGCTTTTTGGTCTTCTGAAACTCCCAGGTGGCATTGTTTGCAAGCAATTTGGATGCCCCGGACAGAGTGATCGGTGTTGCACCAGGATTGCTTAGATCCACAAAATTGGTCTTGGGGTTCACATGGAAACCCCAATCGTTATCCTTTATATGCGATGTTAGCAGATTGTAAACTTCAGCGTATTAAGCATCTACACTACCTTTTATCACACCGCCTTCAGGTACTCCAGTAACAGGAACTAAGGAAGCGATAGACGATGTGATCACAACCTTCTTAATATTTGGCACTTTAGCTGCCTCCCTAAGCAGGGCCAAGGCTCCATTCACTACAGATGTGAATACGGCATCCGGATCTGTGCTACGGGCAAGAGGTGACGCTAGATGCAGGACAAAGTCCAATCCATCAAGCTTGCCTCTAAGGCAGCTTCATCGGTCAGATCCGGCATGGTGACGAATTCCAGCTGGCTGCGATAGCCTGGCAATACATCTTCGAGCTTCTCCGATCTCTTGCGGGCGCCAATTCAGAGACGGTATCCTGCCTTCAGAGCTTCAAGAGCAGTCGTGCTTCCAATAAAACCGGTAGCACCGGTGAGGAAGACCAGAGCCTCAGATATAGTCGGTATGGGATGATAATGGTAATTTTAAAGATTCGATTCAACAATAACAAGACCAGTTGGTTAATTCATAGTTTTGAGAGTGGAATTGTCAATTTCATCATTCTAGGGCTTTCCTTCATTTTAGATATAGTGGAGTGGCTCATGCTGATGATTAAATACTAACTGATCGGTGACAACCTGTCCGAACATAAACATTTGCATAAGCCCGCAGTTTTACCGACGCTGCTTTCGCAAATGGAATATTTGATAATTCCCGGCTCATGAGTAGTCATGCCGAGTCAAGACTTGCTATCAGCCACGTCGCGAGCACCAAGATCCTGTCTTCCCAGATAACTATGTACCTCAACATTTGAACGATCAAACGATAACAGCGTTGGTCCAAGTATACCCACGGTGACTCTTGTCTTTGTATCTCAGTCGTTAAGCGATTAGCCTCGGTCGAAATGGCGAACTCAAACATTGCTCAACCTCCGTTCCCTGTAACCACAAATCCCTGAATCGAAGAACCCTTCGCTGGAGACTTTCTTCTACGAAAATAGTGATATTTGTCATCAATTGCGTTTTCACCAACGGTGTCTGATTATTCTAGATAGTAGTTAGTATTATGTATTATAATCTCTCTGAGAGCTGACCTTTAGAAGGTCAGCGATTAGTTTTTATATTAACCGAATACTAAGTCTTATATTGTGGAGCACCTTGAAGCCTTCAAGTTCAAGCTTGTATCTTTAGTTCTTTACTTCTTCTCTCCTGCCATCAGTAGTATTGTAATCAATCTGGTCATCGTCTGCGCCCTTACAAAAGATAATATAGTGTAGGTATATAGAGAACTTGAAAGTTAGTAAGTATAAGAGATTAACAGATATATTTACTACTTGTTTACTTAGTTTAATCTACTCTGGGGTATACAATAGTCAACTGATTGGTCTGAGAGATATTAATACCTGTATTTACGGTAGCTAAGCTTCCTTCTCTCTTTCCTTTCTCAACGTTGTTAATTGTTGTTCTTTGCAGCATTCTCCACTCCCGGTAGAATTGTAGGCACACCATCACAAAATAGTCCTTTGCCAAGAAGCTAAAATTCGACAACATGCATTTTAATAGCCACGTCTGGTCTTTTAGGTAGAGCTAAGAATTCAAAAGACAACGTTTCATTTACCGTGTAATATAGGGAGACTCAATCCTCGTCTCCTGTATTGTACAAGTATCTGTTCTTCGGACTGGAGGATGTGACAACCGGCATATGGATATGCAAGGTTGCCCAACTCTGCCCAACCCCACCTTACTATAGTGTCTCGCAGATATAACTCGATTATTTCATTCTTGAAAGAATACTGCACTTAACATCGAGCCTGTTTATAAAGAGAAGCGTATACGCGGCACAAAACGCAACATGTACGAGTTGAAGGATGTTCCAGGGAAGGGAAAAGGTCTTGTTGCAACCGCAAAGATTCCACAGGGCACACGGATTCTCTGCGAAGAAGCTGTCATCCGAGTCCCTCATATTCATGACCAACGGGTCAATAAAAGTTTACAGAGATGCATCTGCCAGCTAGTCAATGCGCTAACTGAACAACAGCGACTGGCATTCCTCTCTCTACACAATAATTACCCTTACAAGAATCACGCCGAACAATACATCGGGATCATCCGCACAAACGCCTTCTCAATCGAGGACGACGGGACCGGAGGAGGAGTTTTCCTCGAAGCAAGCCGCATCAACCATGCTTGCGATAACAACTCCCAGAAGGGTTGGAACGAGAATATCAAGCGACATACTGTCCACGCACTACGAGAAATCAACGACGGTGAAGAAATTACCATTTATTATCTAGCGGTCCACAACAGTCGGCAAGCCCGACAGGAGGCGCTACGAGCAAAATTCAACTTTTCATGCTCCTGTCGTATTTGCTCGTTGCCACGCAAACAAATAAAAGAGAATGATGAGATACTGAAAGAGATTGATCATCTGGATTATCTCGTCGGCCAGTGTGGCCTTCAGGGAATTTTATCATCCCCTCTCCGAACCCTGCGCTACCTTGACCGAGAGATTCAGCTATATAATATGACGGGCCCAGATGACCCAGGCTTATCAAGGGTGTATATGGATGCTGCACAAGTTGCTATTGCGCATGGTGATTTGGCAAGAGGGCGCATCTTTGCAGAAAGAGCTGTACGAAGTTGGCGGATTTCCGGCGGTAGTGATAGCAAAAATGTGATTAAGTTTGGGACACTGCCACAGAACCCCTCACAGCTACAGCTATACGGAATGTCAATGCAATGGAAGACGGCAGTGGATGACGTTCCAAACGCATTTGAATCTACAGAGTTGGAAGACTGGTTGTGGAAGAGGGGAAAATCGCCAAGTTCGGGGGCGCAGGTAGGTCTTCACGACCGCGCGATCTTCCCTGCCTTCAGCGGTCTTCCAGATAATCGAGATGTAGATTTGAATTTTTATAGGACCTCGGACCAGCCACATCAGCATTGGTGCTTTCTAGCGGAAATTCTGAACTTCGATTTTCTCACCCGTCTACATATGGAGATAAGGGATGTCGACGGGAGGAAAATCCCTCTATTTTTCTATACTGATGGTCGAGGACGCGAGTTAGAGTTTGCGAAAATTCAAAGAGGCTATACCATAGCAATTCTCTACGCACAACAGCACGCTTTCCTGTATGACAAGCCAGGTATCCGTCATGAAGACCCGGCAAGGGTGAAGGTAAAAACCCGCACTATCATTCTACTCCCCGAAGATACTAATACACTTTACTCGACGCAGATACTTCCAACTTCGCTGGAAAGCCTCCTTGGATTGAGCGATCAAATTCGGCGTTTTGGGGCAGAGTCTGATGGACGTAAGAAATGTCACGGATGTGGAAAAAGCTCAACTTCCATGAAAAAGTGCTCTAAGTGCTCTTTCTTTTGGTATTGCGATAAGGTGCGATTAAGATATCATATTGCTTAGGTATTACTGCTAATTGAATTAGATCTGTCAAACTCGTGGCTGGAAAGAAAAGTCTCATAAGACCAGTTGCAAACTTCTCCAAGATCCCGATTTGAGGGGCATGTTCCTCCTCGACTGGAGGCAGTTTAACAAATATCTTAGCTTTCCCCTCTCTGTCAACACTATTGAATTCACAGAGAAATATGGAGATGAACAGGTTGCCGCAAAGACTAGCAAAGATGCCATCCAACCGTCTGGCAACCACACGCCATTAGATCAATAGCTGGAAAAGGAAAAGTACTAGTTGCGGCAGAAAGGAGAGCAGGGGCACACGCTTATTATAAGAAATTCTAGCTTCCAGAGTATATCGAGAGGATCTGAACATTGAACCCCTATAAATTAGCGTTGTAAATGAAATAAAACGCGTCAATGCTGACCAAAGAGCTGCTTTGTTTGACCTCAAAAACATCTAAGCTGATCATGCTCATAGCCACACACTCGGCATTGTCCGAATCAATTTTCCTTCTCTAGTAAGGTCAAACAATATATTATCTGGTGGTTTATTCCTCGACGCATTTCAAATCTATCATTTCCATTAACACAATGCCCAGAATACTTGGAATGAGAATGTTGGGGAGCTTACTATTCACGTCAGGCGGCACATTATGGCAGGGCAAGAAATAGCCACTTCTTGTCTGGCCAGTATGTCAGAATTCGCATAGTGGCAGCGTTTTCTAAAGTAGAGATTCACTTTCAAATGCAAATGCGAGCTCTGTTCACTGCTCCAGGCTCAGTCAAGAGTTTGCGACCAACATCTCAATAAGCTTCAGTTTATTGACAGCTCCACAGGAAGTTTCTTTTGATGTGATCTGAATGCAAATATAGCTCTCAATCTCTTATATATGATACTTAGTCTGTTCTATGAGGAGGGAATTTGGGATGCGAGCCTCGATAGAGGTTAAAAGGATGCATTGGATATCGCCACCCAAAATGAAGATGAATCGAGGGCCCACTTTCCCCGAAAGGTGCATACTATGCACAACGTTTGAATTGAAGGGGGTGATAGTCCGTATACAATTAAAATGAAGCAGGCTGTTAACCAAATACTTCACACAACCAACGCAAGGGATGAATGAAGATGAGTTCGAGAATTCGCTTTGGGTCGGTCTGTGGGCAGACTAGCATCCACGACAGAGTATAGAAGGTGACTTGAATAACACATCTCATAATTATTGATTCTTCCGTCCTCTTATGCTCACATTTGAAATCAGCAAACACAACAAACACAGAAGCGGGAGGCTGAAAAGCAGACAAGGGGCTCTTCTTTTTCAAATCAGACTCTGAACCACAATGAACGGCATTCAGGTCAGAACCGAATTCTAAGCCGAAATCTAAGCCGATATCTAAGCCGATATCTAAGCCGATATCTAAGCCGATACCCGGTCGCACGAATGAAACGGAAGACTAAAGGGGGCCAGCGACCCCAAGCCATTCAAGACTTTGACATACTAGTACCGTCTTCAATCTCACGCTCAGCCATGGATGTCAAGAAAATATCTGGAAGTTGTCTTTGCCAATCTATCCAATATGAAGTTATTTTCGATAACGATGCTCCGTGGCCCCCACCGGTAAGTCAGCGACGATATATCAAGAACTTGAAGGACCCTTGAAATAATAACCTCATAATAGTCGGCGACATGCCAGTGTACCATGTGTCGAAAATGGACTGCTAGTCTCTTGACACAATTCATCGTCATTGCACCGACGCAAATAGTTCCTCCTCTGTCATCGTTTCAAACATATTCTGAATATTCATCCTCTCCACGCCGTTACCGTGGCTTTTGCAGCCATTGTGGGAGTTCGTTGATATGGCGATCCGACGACAAAACGGATACATTGGATTTGTATCTCGGAACGATTGATGAAAAATGGCTTGTTGGTGAGCGAGTAGAAGGCTCAGAAACGACTACATTACATGGCATCCATGTTACGAGAAGAGGTGGTATTGGTAAGGAGCTTTGTACACCATCTCAATTTCAGTTTTATTACGAGAATGTTATTCCTGGCGTGACGGATGTGGTTCAGGGAGGACACAAATATCTTACTGAAGACTTGCCCGGCGCAGAAGAGCTTGATTAGGATAAAGACTCGGTTTCCATCTGACGCCAAGATGAGTCGTTTCTAGTCTAAACTAGGAATGATACGCTCTTGAGAACTTGAGCTAAGGTTCAATATGAGACAAAGAATTGAAAATCCGTGATAAAATGATAACGATTGATACTATCCAGAAGTTCCGTCCCTTTGAAGTGCGGGGCAATCCTTGCTTGGCTTAATAATGTGGGGTTCGGCTGCACGAGCAGGATCCATCTATCCAGCGGACAATTTCAATCCCAATTAGGCTTTACCACGAGTAAGATCCTGTATCTGACTTCAAATTGTATGTGATATGCATGAAATATCCTGAGTTGTAGTAAGAAAGAATGCGAATTCCCTGCCCACAAGCATATTTGACCGAAGAGGAATTACTACTAGTATAAGCTATCCCCAATTAAGGGTTGATTTCCTGTATTATGACGTATGCGCTTGTTGAGCTTTTTTAATAACTCATACAAACTGCGGGTTTCATACTCTTTTAGCTTAATGCTAGTACTGGAATTGAGTGCCTCCAAGTTGGCGACCACTAGTACCCACTGGCAGTGTTTAATATATAGTACCTGGTGTCAGCCAACCGCAGTAGGGCCGCGGCGTGGGCTACTACTACTAATACTAGTAAACGTAGCAACGACAGAGGCAGATTATTTGAGACTCTTAGTCAGTATTCTGAATCTTAATATGGGTTGAAATTAAAGATAATACAGCACTCATCATGGAATACATGCGGCTGTACAAATTAGGCTTTGGGGAAAATATTCGGCAATGTTCTCAAGAACTCGGCAATTGCGCTCGTGCATCTATCGACGGTTGTAACATTATCAAATTAGAGCGGGGGGGTGCAGAAGAGCTCTTGAAGATGTGCATTTCTAATATTGCAGAGATGATGACCAAGACGGACGAAATTCGGCCGAACCCTTGCCATTAAGGTTTCCACGATTATAAAGACCATCATGATGAAGTGACAATTAATCGTTGGATTTCTTGGGTCTCCAGGAAACTAGCAACCCATCATCTGAAAATGACTGTCTCCAAGCTGCAAGGCAGTAACGTCCTCCTTATTGGCGGCACATCTGGGATTGGATTTGAGGTAGCAAAAAAGGCCCTAGCAGAAGGAGCCAGCATAATTATCAGCTCTTCTTCTGAACAAAAAGTTCTCCAAGCATCTGGAAAATTGAAAAACGGAAACCCGGAAAGGTCATCTGCAGTCCGCAGCTTTGTTGCTGACCTCTCTATCCGCGAAAATCTCGAGGGGACCATTGTCAGCCTTCTCAAGTATGCTGCAGTGTCTTCGCCAATCGACCACATTGTGTTTACAGCGGGCAATGTACCTCCCATGGTTTCTCTATCCGAGGCTTCTTTCGATCATGTCGAGGCCTTTCTGACTGTTCGCTTTTTCGGTGCGATGGCAGTAGCCAAGCACATGCCTAAATACATGACTTCGCACAAGCGCTCTTCGTTTACGATGACGACTGGAACTCAAATTAAAAAGCCCTCGTCTTGGCTCCCACCTGCTATAGGTGGAGCAATCGAGGGCCTTATGAAAGGACTGGCTGTGACTTTGTCACCCATTCGGGTCAATGCTGTTTCTCCCGGTTTTATCTTGACGGAGCTTTTGGATCGACTTCCGAAGGAGATGGTTGATGGTATGGTAGAGAAGCACTCTCAGCAGTCTTTAACAAAAGATATTGGCTATCCAGAAGATACAGCTGAAGCTTATATATACCTTATGAAAGATTACTTTGCCACTGGAACGACTGTGGCTACGAATGGAGGAGCGTGGCTCTTATGAGTCTTAAGGTCTATTCACCTATTGATATAATCATGCCGTCTAAGGGCTTGGTTCACTTCAGCTGAGCTACTCAGTCTTTTTTTCTGTTTTGTAACTTGAAAGACACATTGCCAAGTACCACTTTCATTCATGTTCAATACGGGTACCCCTATAGCTCAAACTCCAGGGTTATCTTATATACAATCAAATAGTACATTCTTTAGAAGTCCGCCCAACATAATGCGCCCAACATAATGCAGCAACAATTTGAAGACTTAGGAACTTTCGCCCATGTTATGAACAAACTTTTCACCTCTGCCCCTATTTTCTTTGAGGATTTGTAGGCCTTCAAGCACCCCACTCAAGCCACCACAGTTAAACTTAGGTCTGTGTACCTTGATTTTACCATCAGCCAAGAATTGTTCAGCAAGGGTCCAAATTTTAACAGCAAACTCAATGTCTGTAGAGCTTGCGGGCCATGGAGTGTCACCAAACATGAACTCCTCTCCAATAGCACTATATGCTAGTGTGCATCGGTCATTAACATTGGCACGAGCAATCCCAACGTCAAGTAGAGCACTATACTCTCCACCCTCAGCCAAAATCGCACTATCACAGTACGCAGCACTACCTTCCGTGGAAATAGTATCCAAGACAAGGCGGAGCTGATCGCAAGTGTAAGCGCGAATCTCTTCAGCGGATTGAGGATCGTGGTAGTTAAAGACCCGATCAGCACCAAGGCTTCTGACCATATCAAAATTTTGCGGAGAACATGTGGCCAGAACAGTGTAGCCAGATAACTTGGCAAATTGGATGGCAAGCGCACCAGTAGCGGTAGAGCCGCTGTAGATAAGAAGGAAAGGGTCGGAAGGGAGACAAAGATTCAAGCTTTGATAGAGGGCTTGACCGACAGTTGTAATACCAACTCCAAGGGTAGCTGCTTGCTGAAAATTGAGGTTATCGGGGATCCGCATCTGAATATCGCCCTTGGCGACGATATATTCAGCAAAAGCGCCATCTTCTGGCTGTACGGCATTGCCACCATGGACGAAGCCACACACGCGATCACCCTTCTTAAAACTCTTCTTGACATTATTCCCCACCTCTTGAACAACACCAGTGTAGTCACAACCAACAAGCGTGCCAGGGGGTGACAAGAATTTGATATGTTTCCAGTCTGTCGGATTTAAGGCGACAGCTTCAGTTTTGACAAGAATATAATCGTCACGGAGGGCAGGAATACCACGGTCGGTCACCAAGCCTTCTTGTTTAGGAGATGTAACTATGATGGCCTTCTGAGCTGCCATTGTGAATGGTGCTAGTTAAAGGAACCGTAATGGACAATCGGAAGAGATTATTGATGGGCAGTAACGAAAATTGGGAAATAACTAATGAGTATTTAAGGCTGGAGCGGGTCAAGAACTTACCATCTTAAAAATTTGGTATGAATTCGGAAACACACACTAAAATCATGTTTTCACAATATATTAGAAATACAGTGACAACGAGACTTGGGTTTCACTGTCTCAAGTTAAAGTTCACCGAAAAAGATCGCTGTCTCTAACCGAATTTGGTTTAGTCGCCGCAAGGGTTCTTGAACACAAGTCGACAGCCAGCCACGGGATCGTACTGTTTGTTGCCTATCTGATGGTTCAGATACTGTTTTTACATGGAAGTCCGCTTAGCTTTCTAGAAAAGACTAGATGATCGGATCAGCCTTTCGTAAACTAAACTCGTCTGATTTACCCGTGGATCTACAATAACCAGTTGTTGCAGGAAAGAGTGACAAAAAGATAGGACAAACAAAGATTAAAATTAACATGGGTATTATACAGAATTAGAAGAAATTCAATTTTGAACTCGTATATTTCAGATGTCAAGCTTCTTAGAAGGTCTAAATGTGTACACAGCGCTAAACAAGCTCCCCTTCGACAAAGTCCACCACCTGTATCTTTTTCAACTTTGATTTGACAGCTTGCACTAAGGCCACATGGACAGGGTCTTTTTTGACACAATAGTCCCGGTCGTCTATCGTGGAAAAGTTGGAAATAAACGCGTGGGTAATGCCGTCCTAAATAGTCAATGAAATATCCTCAAAGTATGATTAGATTTATCCCACCTGGCATCCTTCAGTAGACATGTCCAGACCTGCTCTCATGGACAATATGTACGGCTTTCCAGTTTGAGGATGAATGCAGTCGCTTTTCAGTCCTTGGATTTTGATTGCCACCTTTGTAATTAGCTAACAGCCGTCTTAACAACTGAGAACATCAGACAAAAACACACCTCTTTGCGATCTCTTTCAACAGTCTCCGGGGTGAACACAATTAAAACAATGTGTGTCACTGCCATCATGGTGCCAGTGAAGATATCCGTGACTTTGAGACTTTTAGTTGGTTTCAGCAATTGAAACCTCGAATTCGTCTACTATACTAGTATTTATATTATTAACAGGTTGAATGTTCAACACCGACACGGTCCCGATCCATATCGTAGTATGTATTATTCAGCTTCAACATGTGAAAAAGTAAATAACGCATTTGGTCACAATTTCGCTAGCACTACTATCCTATGATTCTACTAAGTCCCCAGCATTTGGGAGTTGTGAATTATGTCACTACGGTATACATAGACCAGATAGTATGAACTAAGATTGGATATGCCGTGGTTGGAACCCACATCGTGACCAACAAATGACTACGCGCCATGCCATAACAGGTTTAGTCTCCACCCAGACCTTAGCTTTTGACCCCAATCTTCCAATTTTTCAAGTTGAATAAGAGCTTGCCACATGTATGTTGATATCATGAAAAGTCTTTCCAGAAGTAGCTTAATTCCCGCTTGCCAACATACTCAAAAAAGAACTTCCTCGAAACACTGATATGTAAGCTAATTGATTTGTCATTTATGGATGCGTTCATCGAGGTTCTGCTGCGTGTAATGGTTCAAGGTTTTACATGTAAATCCACATTATTCTTCATGGGTGGTATATACTTTTCAGATTAGAAAGATACCTTATCCTTTGAAATACATTCTCGAGTTCAGCTTCGCTACAATAATCATCATGGTTGCTCGAGTTGCATGGCTAGGCCTTGGAAACATGGGGCGGGTGAGTTCTCTATTGTGTTTCTAGTATACTGCTCGATCAATTTCCTAACAAACCAGGGCATGGCAAAAAACCTCGCCGCCAAGGCAGAACTTGACGGGCCATTGATTGTCTATAATCGCACTGTCACTCGCACAAACAAGTTTCAAGCAGAAAATTCCAATACCGTCGTCGCAGAATCCGTGCTCGAGGCTGTGTCCAGCGCTGATATCGTATTCACTTGTCTCAGTGATGATAATGCAGTTCGTGAGACCGTGAACTCAATTATTGGCTCAGGTAACTTGAAAGAAAAGCTTTTCATCGACTGTTCCATGATTCACCCCGACACTACTGCCGCTATTGCACGACAATTCCAAGACGTCGGAGCCGAGTTCGTTGCTAGTCCCGTTTTTGGAGTCCCTGCTATGGCCGATGTGGGACAAGTGATCTGCGTGCTTGCTGGGCCAAGCAAGTCTGTCGATAAAGTCAAGCCGTTCACAACTGGGGTCATTGCAAAAAGCTTTATAGACTTTAGCGATCATCCACATGCCAAGGCTTCCCAGCTAAAAATCTTTGTCAACATTTTTGTACTTCGGATGGTTGAGAGTATTGCAGAAGGACACGTCGTTGCTGAGAAATGTGGTTTGGGAACTCAAGCTTTGCATCAGTCTTTTGAAGCTATATTCTGGGGCCTTATGTCGCATACTCTAGACGTAGGCTCTCAGGTGATTACTGTACGCGTGCAGAGCCTCTTTTCCCAGTTGATTTGGCTCGCAAGGACGCCAGACACGCCATGAACCTCGCTCAGACGTCACTTACTACAATGAAGGGTGTTGAACTAGTTGAAGGGTATTTGGAGGAGGTAAATAAGCATATGGGCGAACGTGGAGATGTGGCGAGCATCTACGGTGCGGTGCGACAGGATGCGGGACTGAAGTTTGAAAACAAGGAATAAAAAGATTTGAATATTGCGTGAAGTCCCTGTGGGGACACTACTAGGACTAGTAGTCTTAATAATATTCTGAAAAATATTGTCATATATATCAAGGCATAAGGATCTTGGAGTTTTGCTTGAAGGATACTATATGTATTGCTATGTGGTTGAAGAAAACACCATTCATTATGCATTTTTTGAATTGCATAGCACTACTATTAGGTACTACTAGTAATGCCCAAAGTATCCTTTCTACCTGGATAGTTTACACTGCCCGAGCTCTTTCAAGTAAGAGAAAATTAGCAAGCGCATTAACTGTTTCAATTTCTCATCTCAGCATATCCACATCACGAGTCAGATGATCTACGGGATATTAACTTGTTCCTGATGCGCACGATCCGCCAAGGGAATTTCTTTCTACCAAACAAGTTAGTGTAACAGAGTCGTCAAATGAAATCGACCATATGGGTAATTATGGACACCCTATTGAATTTTCCGGCGATATAGACTTTTACGACCGTTGCAACCGAGGTCAAGGAAGCCTGTCGCCGACTGATCCTGGCATACAAACTGAGTGGGGCCGTTGATGCGGCTAAACACCACCGTTTTCCAAATGCGGTATAGATCTACACTATACACACAGGCTGGCGAGAGTGAGGCTTTGGAAAAGTTTTCGAGTTGAATCTTGAATTTGTCATTCTCATGGCCGGTCAAGCTATATAAGTCCACAAAGCCTTGCTATTCAGGTGATATCTTCTTCATCACTCTCCAAATTTTACTTTCCCTTCCATCATTCTCCAATATTATCCATCTTCACCATGGCTCCAGACACATTATCCCTTACGAACAAAGTGGCCATTGTCACTGGTTCTGGTCGCGAAACCGGTATTGGTGCTGGTATAGCCTTTGCACTTGCTCGGAATGGAGCCTATGTTACGATCAACCATGTGTCTGATCTCAGCGCTCCTCGCGCTGCAAAAGTAGCGGAGACCATTCGACTTCACGGTGGAAAGGCTACCGTTATACAGGCAGACATATCGACGCAGTCCGGTGCTAAGAAACTAGTAGAGCATACCCTGGCTGCATTTTCTGTCGATCATATCGATATTCTCGGTAAGATATCTCACCTTTTGCTCACGCAATACAGTCTGAGGGTACGAAGAAAAAGAAATTCAAAGCTGATATGGATTAAATAGTGAATAATGCAGCAGCGGGTACTCCGCAGAGTTTCCTCCAGTCAGACCAAGAATCTCTAGACGCTATATTTCAGTCGGTGGTGTATGGTCCCATTTTCACCATTCAAGCTGCTCTTGCCCACATGCCGCGTGGGGGAAGGATTGTGAATATCGGCTCCATCGCATCAAAGTTGGGCATGTCTGCTTCCGCAGTGTATGGGGCCGCGAAGGCTGCACAAGATGCACTCACTTATTCAATGGCTATGGAGCTTGGTCGTGGCCATGGGGTCACGATCAATACCGTTGCACCAGGCCCCGTGGATACCGATGCACTTCCCAAGGATGTCGCGGCCAAGGTTCATGGCTTCCTTGTTCCCATGACCAGAGTCGAAGAGCGAGCGGGTACACAGGAGGATATCGCGGATGCCGTACTCCTATTGGTATCGGAGAAAAGTCGCTGGATTACGGGGCAGGTGATTTCAGTGAGTGGTGGTATCACTGGGAGCCGATAGTGAATACAGTCATGCCGGTGGAGACTGAACTTGATCAATATTGAACGCTAAAACTTCGCAGATTGCTGCATCAGCGAGGCGTGCAATCCATAGAATGTTCGCAGAGTCTTTGAGCACACTGGCGCCATCATGAAAGCCGCATGCTAGCATTCGTTTGTATATCTCTTTCGTGTATCTATTAATTTGATGTTCCGGCACTTGGAATAAAGAAGCAGTGACTAGAGCCCAAATTTGAAGCCTAGGAAGCAAGTAAAAGTCTCCATCTCGTAGACTTCCCGTTGTTACGAGGGCATAGAGCTTGCTCTGAAGCAAATCCATCTCAGGTGCGGCCAGCTCATAGGCCTGCTTCAGACCTGCCAAAAGTATCAGTAGAGCGACTCTAGTCATCTCATGAACAAACAGAAAGCAACTAGGATCAGTTGATTCAAAGCGCGACATTGAAAGTAGGAGATATGTCGCAGGGCCTAGAATCTGCAGAGAGCTGAGATCGTTCTCCTGTCGCCAGAAACCCTTGTGTAGAAAGTGAAGATTGACAAATTCACATACAGTCGCAACCTCTTCAACCGCTAACACCAGATTATCAGAGTCATAAGATACTTGACCAAGCTCCTTTACCACCTGAGCAAGCAATGTGCCTTCTTGTACTCGCTCCGTAAGTGAAACTTGGAACGAGGAGTATTCCCGTAATCGAGGCGCGGTATCTTTAATCGCCGACCCTACAAGGTCGAACCAAGAGGCAAATAATTGAAGATTTTCACTGAGCCCATTGAATCCATCTCGGAGCTGAATCATTCGCTTCAGTCCGTGGATATGATAAGCCCAGCGATCGAGGGTACCAACGTATAACTACGAGAATGATTAGGCTCACATCAACAAGCGATTTTGAGGGGGTGAGCGAACATCGTGACATATGAAGCCTAGAACACATGTAATCAACCCTTCACTCGCACACTCATCTGGATCAGTCAGACGGCGGGTTACCTGGCTCACACCTTGACCATAGTAGGCTAACGCCTCACGGCTTTTCTCATACTGGAAAGTAGTCGGATGATGGAATTCATCTAAAAACATTGCCGCGTTGGCCATGCAGAGTTGGAAGGCACTATCATCGCATAAAGCCATACCGAACCATACAGTCCGAAATGGGCGATATCTGTAATCGGCCTCCGATTGCACTGAGTGTAAAATACAAGGTGAGAATGAGAACATTAGCTTGAAGGAGGGCGGCACACTTACTGAAATGCACCAATTCATGAGCTCGATCATTGAGTACCATTGGAAATGGATTTGACTTAAGTGCTGGACGAATCATATCGCCAGAATAGTTGCCTTCGTGGGCCACCCTTATGAAGGTCATCGCGGGCGGGTCTTTGGGTTTTCGACGCGACCGGCCAATGTCGCGCATGACCCGCTGCCGAATAGCGCGTTGTGTTTTATTCTCCTTGATATCATCTGGCCGATTGATTGTGACAAACAGAAACTCACTGGCCCCCATTCTTGCGCTCTCGTGGCCATCCTATCACGAAGATTGATCAAGCCAGATGGTCGTCAGATTCAGATTCTACGCTACGCCAAACTGGGATTAGCGCTTTCCCGGTTGGTCTATATCGAAGTCACTGCAACTGACGATGTTTTATAACATATAATTCTTCACTGGCATTTTTAATCCTATGAAAGGGTTCTTCGATCTGAGAATAGGCAGTGCCCATGGCTGGATATAGGGAGCCACTCGTATCAACGGGCTCTTTCAAGTCCTGCTTCTTACCACATTAATTCTTCCCCCCCTTGTTTTTTCCTTTCAATAAAGCACCTTTGAATACCCAAGAGATCCAGATATGGACAGCTATGTCGATTGTATATCGAAAAGAATTTGGGCCACAGCAACAAAACGCGAACGCGGGCGTTGACGTGTTGACGTGTTGATGGCACACTAACCCAATTCCATAAGTCACAGTGCATATCACACTATCCAACTCCAGCCCCCAGTCTGTACTAACAATAATCAAATGCGGGGTTAGAGAAAAGCGCCACACTCAATAATATACCTGAATGTGCCGAGGACCGGGCAACCTAGATCCGAGATGAGTTCCGGTGCTGGTGTCAATCGGTATCATGATAATGTGGAGGATCTATATTCCTGTACAAAATTTGAAGCAGACACGGCCGTACAATTATTTCCGTGCACCAAACTTCGACAATTGAATCGTGTACTATGTTACAAACTTTGGAAAAATGACTCTGAACGCTGCTTTGGCGATCTATACAGCTCTGTTTTACCTTTCCAGCTTCGCCGTCGGTGACTTTTGCAGCAACACGCCGACCTCCAGATCTTGCTGGGGTGGATATAATATCTCAACAGACTATTACTCAGTCACACCATATACCGGTGTTACGCGAGAGGTATTTAGCTAACTTAACTGATTAAAGTTCTTGGGCTTAATGCGTCCCAAATAGTTCTGGCTTTCGGTGCAGAATCAAACGTTGGCTCCAGATGGCTACGAACGAACGGTTCTGACTGCCAACGGTACATTACCGGGCCCCTTAATTGAGGCTGACTGGGGCGACGATTTTATAATCCATGTGACCAACAAGTTCACGAATAACGGATATCCCATTCTATATCCAAGTTTTTTACTCCATCCCATGCGGTGGCTTATTCAACAACCAGGACTACAACTCACTGGCATGGTATCCACCAACAAGGGTCAAATTCATATGATGGTACAACTATTTTTTAGTGAACATCACACCCAATTTTCAACTAAGCAAGACTATAGGTGTTCCTGGTATAACCCAATGTCCAATTCCTCCAGGTGAGACGATGACCTATAAGTTTCATGCCACCCAGTACGGCACATCATGGTACCACTCACACTGGGATCTTCAGCTCGCGGATGGTCTTTACGGTCCAATAGTCATCCATGGTCCCGCAACTTCAGATTATGATATTGAACTCGGGCCTGTATTCATAACAGACTGGTTTCATGAGACAGACTTTCAATCTGGGAAGAGAAAACAAGATACGGAGGATTCCCAGTACGCCAAAATGCAGACCCACAGAATGGCCTTATAAACGGAACAAATACCTACCCATGTGAAGGATCTGATGATTCAGCATGTATCGAAACTGGACATCGCTCAGAGACCATATTCGAAAAAGGAAGAAGATAGCGCACCAGAATTATTGATGCTGCGGTGGATGGTTGGATGAAATTTTCGATTGATGGGCACAAAATTTTTGTCATCGCTGCAGATTTCGTGCCCATCATTCCTTACGAAACAGAAAGTGTGATTCTCACATCTGGGCAGAGGTATGATGTTATTGTTGAAGCCAATCAAGACGATGGAAATTACTGGATGCGAGCGATCTACCAGACAGCTTGCAATGAGCTCTACATGGAGAATAATGACATCAAAGGGATCATTCGGTATAAAGATTCACCAGACACACTTGACCCGACCACATCGCAATCACGGATTCTTGCGGTGATGAGCCCTATGCTAACTTGATTCCTTACGTGCATAAGACTGTGGGGCGGACTAATGAGAAGCACAACCTTGACGTAGGTTGGTTTTATGAAACTGATCTTTTGTATCATTGGGCACTTAATACGAAAGCCTTGACTATCGACTGGGGAAAGCCTACGAATCTCTTAATTTATCACAATCAGTCGGTATTTCCAACTGACTACAATATTCATGAGATTCCAAGTGATGCAGACGTGTGTCGCCTCTTCAAATCCCATCTGCCATATTTTGACTGGATCTGATTTATTCTATTAGTGGACATATTGGGTAATTCAGGATCTTGGACTTGTCGATGCATACCACCCCTTCCATCTGCATGGACATGACTTTTACATCCTTGCACAGGTGATTGGGCTATACAGTTCCATAATACCTCTAAATCGCAACAATCCCCCTCGACGAGATACTGCTACTATGCCAGGTAATGGTTACCTTGTCATTGCTTTTGAAAATGACAATCCAGGGTAAGTCTCCTATATAAATTTCTTTATTTCTATCTAATTCTGAGTATGTTGATATTTAGTTCCTGGTTGATGCACTGCCATATCGCATGGCATTCCAGCCAAAGTCTCGCTCTTCAGTTTATAGAAAGATCAAAAGAGATCCCTAAATTGGTCGAGCCTGTTGCGCTGGGCTTTCAAAAAATGTGTCAAACTTGGGACTCCTATTATAATCGCTCACAATATCAGCAGGACGACTCCGGGATTTGAAACATGCATCCAACATGGAAATTTTAGCGCGATCAATCATGTTAGTATTCCCTGTGTGCGAAGAAAGGGGAATAATATACTAGGTGTAGTATCTCCATGTCAGTGCAAAATCAATTGTCTTTTACAGCATTATCGAAGTCTTTAATCGGGTCGCAATATCTAGTTAGCTAGCTAGCGAAATTGGATTCAAGTGTTCACTCACTTGAGTAATGTGCACACTTTAGGTCTATACGAGGGAATCCTTGTAATTGTTGTTCGGAGGAATGACCCAATCTATTTGTACTCAAAAGAAATAAAAAGAAAATAAAGACAAAGAAAACAGACCACAATCAAAGCAGCACATTCGTTCTTCTCCCACAATTTACCAGTTACTTCGTTCTTCTTGTGCAGGAAGCATCTCGGCCTTCGCAGATTCGCGTATCTCCGACCGAGATCCAGGAGGCATTATCTAACGATGATTTGCTCCACATTCTCCACAACCGTGCAGCGGTTCGGCCTCCGATAAGAGCGAAGCCGAGTTCGATCGCAGTAAACATCCCTGTCTGTCTTGAGAGATGGCGTCCATTCAAGGTGACTAACGCGCTGGTAACCCAAATTGGCTTAATTAAGGGTGTCAATCAGCCTTCTCTCCTATCGACACAGTTCCAGCTGCCCAGGGATCAGCCATCCATGCTGCATCCACACTTGAAAGCATGATACGCCATGGAACGAGGTCTCGAGCGAGGTAATTTGGTTCAGTTAGTTATGGCGACTAGCCTCTCCCTTCATAAGCCACCATTTCCCTAGGATTTCAAACTTCCTACATATTCGAAAGTCGCTCGGCCTTCATTTCAATATAAAATGACGTCCCAGTCAACACCGAACAAGCAGAACCTTGTGGTCCTGGGTGGTTCCTACGCAGGAGTATCTACTGCGCACTACCTCCTCAAACATGTTGTTCCTCAACTTCCCAATAAAGACAGCTACCAGGTGCTTCTTATCAGCAATTCGTCGCAGGCCATATGTCGCCCGGCTTGTCCTCGTGCATTGATTTCAGACGATATGTTCCCCCAGGATAAGCTGTTTATCAGCGTGCCACAGCAATTTCAGCAGTACCCCAAAGGGGATTTTCAATTCATTCAAGGGAATGTAACCGAACTTCTTCACGGAGATCGTCGTGTCACTGTGGCCATCAAAGACGGTGAGACCGAAGAGATCGAATACCATGCAGTTGTCATCGCCACCGGTGCATCCACCAAATCCCCACTTATGGGAATCAATCAGGACTCTGAGTCCTTGCGCGCTAGTTGGAATGCTTTTCGCGCTGCACTCCCAAACGCCAAACATATTGTGATCGCAGGCGGAGGTCCGACCGGGGTAGAAACCGCTGGCGAATTAGGCGAATATCTCAACGGTCGCGCTGGCTGGTTCGGCCAAAAACTCGAAACTCCCAAGGTTCCCATTACTTTGGTGACAGCAGACTTCAAAATTCTTCCAGGGTTGCGTCCTGTGATTTCGACTAAGGCGGAGAGTTTCTTGGGCAAAGTCGGCGTCACTGTGATCAAAAATTCACGCGTCGAAAATGTCTCTCCGCCTGATGCTGGGACTGACACGGCCCTAACAGCCAAGACGACAGTGGTATTGGAAGACGGCAAACAACTTGAATCTGACCTTTATATCCCCGCTATGGGAACGTTAGCGAATACCAGCTTCTTGGACAAGTCCCTGTTGACAGCCAATGGACGCGTAAATACAAACTCGGAAACCTTGCGTGTCATCGATGCAGGGGAGCGTGTCTATGCCATTGGCGATGTGGGATCGCATGCACGACCAGCAGTGCACAATATCTTGAATACCGTTCCCATTCTGTGTGCGAATATCAAACGCGATCTGTCTATTGCTGCTCAGATTGACCCTGCTTCCCTTGGAGAGGACCGCTTGTTCAAAGAAGATACTCGCGAAACCCAGTTGGTACCAATTGGAAAAAGCAAGGGCGTGGGCGCTTTCATGGGCTTTCAAATGCCCAGCTTCATTGTCTGGGCAATTAAAGGGCGAGACTATTGGCTATGGACCACCGGGGGTCTCTGGAGTGGTAATCACTGGAGCAAGGCATCGTGAAATTTCCTTCTTTTCTGTATATAGTCAAGTTCATTTGTCTCAAACACCTCTTTCATTTACAGTTTTGCTTTTCCCACCAATTCCTGCTTGACCTTTTCTTTCAATACCTTTCTCAAAATCTTCCCTGCGGCGCTCTTGGGAATATGGTCTAAGAACTGAATGCCCCCTCTCAGTCTCTTGTAATGCACGACTTTTAAGTCCATCCAACGAACAATCTCATTGGCGAGATCAGGAGATTCTTGAATTCCACCTGCTAAGACCACAAATGCTCTAGGAACCTCCGTGTGTCCCATGTCAACACCAATCACCGCCACATCATCGATATTAGGGTGGGCAATCAACAAACCCTCTAGCTCTATAAACCCTTGTCAGAACATTATCAGAATTTGGAAAGAATGTCGGAAGACTTACCTGCCGGGGCAACTTGATATCCATTGAATTTGATCAATTCTTTAACTCGGTCCGTGATGTAGAAATTGTGGTTTTGGTCTTGAAATCCCACATCGCCGGTTCTGAAATAACCATCCGCGGTAACACTTTCTTCGGTCGCTTGGCGATTCTTCCAATAACCCTTGAATATACTAGGTCCTTTAAGATAGAGCTCCCCAGATTCACCATTCGCGACCTCTTCGCCCTTCGGAGACATGTACTTTGCGGTCAGGTTTGGCATCATTTTTCCAACGCTACCCACGCTGTCATACCATTCACCCCAGGGCTGAGTATGCGTTATAGGACTGGTCTCGCTTAGTCCATAAGCTTGATTAATTTTTATTCCCAGTCGTTTATTAACGGTGTCAACCAAGGATTGCGTGAGGGGTGCAGCCCCTGAAGTAGCCATTCGTAGAGATGTCAGGTCATATTCTTTGCCAAGGGGACTGGTCGCAAGTTTCACGAGAACAGGAGGCGCAAGGTAAGTGAAAGTTATTCGCTCTTGCTCTATTGTTCGCAAGAAGAGCTCGAGTTCAAAATGTGGAATAACAACTAATTCGATCCCTCGGTGCAATGGCTGGTGGACCAGGCAAGTTAACCCTAAATTGTCACTTTAGACTCAGTCTATTTATCAAGGGAGTGTGGGACTTTTCAATACCGTAAATGTGATAGAACGGCAATATCCCCAGCAGCTTGTCATCTCTCCAGGAGTAACTTGTACCCACAGAGGACGCAACCATCAAGACATTGGCAACAATATTGTGATGGCTCAGCATGACTCCCTTGGGTAAACCAGTCGTCCCGGATGAATAAACCAGAAACGCAAGATCTGTCAAGGGATTCACACGTACGCGATTTATTTTTGGGAACACTGATGGCGCAGTTAATTGGTCAAAATGTTGAAATTGACCGTCCGAGTCCCTCTCATCGCCGAGTATAATAATCCGATCAAATGAAAGACCAATTTTCTTCGCAGCACCGGTGACAGCGGGAAGACATGCCTTGGATGTTGCAATAGCACTAGTTCCGTTGTCTTGTAATTGGAAACCAAGTTCGTCAACTGAGTAGCTGGGGTTCGCTGGCGAAACAACTCCACCCGCGAAGAGAGTCCCGTATATGATTGCGGGCATATCAATATTGTTAGGTGAAACTATTGTCATAACATCGCCCTTTCTCCAGCTCCATGACGTTATCAGGCCGGATCCAAAGGAGATAGCTGCGTCCCGAACACCGGCATAGGTATACGATCGTCTTGTAATAGCATCGCGATATATCACTGCAGAATTTAGAACTCGGCTTCCAAGATTCCAACTTGAACTTTGCCATTGAAATCACAATTCATCATACCTTTATCATGAGGAAATCTCTCCTCCTTGTCGGTTTCAAACATCAAACCCCAGAGATCTACCTGGGGAATGTTAATTGCGGGGTAAAATGAGGAGGCCGGCATTTTAACAGCCTAATACTGCCGATATAGCTCTTTTCCCTATTCAAATAAGATTTTAGATTTCCAGCATCAATAGCTGATGCCAATGTATGATATCGTATGTGGAATGTTGAATGCACTTTTAAATTCATCTTGATTGAATATCAAGTTCGTCCGCGTAGCTCGGCTTCCCCGTTTTCGGCCGCGTTGCCACTAGCACCTTCGGAAGCTTGGACTTAACTTTGATGAGACCCACTGCCATTAACTTGAATGTACCGACGACTCTTCAGAGCTACAAATACTTGTGTTCATGGAGAACTCGGCACCTCGGCTATTCCCTCGTTAGACTTCTACTGGCCCTCCCCCTACATACCCGGCACTTTTTTTAACCACATATGTACTTACTTGCTTCCTGCCAAGCTGATCTTCTTCCTTGTTTCCCCTCAATCATGTCCCGAAATTTCTGGGCTCTCGAATGGATGATCTCTATCTTTAAATACTTTATTTGGTCTAAATTTCTAATCATCCAACCTCTTCATTGAATCTCCAAGATTCGATGTACCAGTGTCTTATTAGATAGTCATGTCATATCGTGTAATGTCATTGGGTTTACATCTGTGGAGAGTATAAGCTGTGGTGCTTTAAAGTAGCAATATACTTGACTCGTTGAATAATATTTACGGCTCGCTTTCTGGTATTGAAAATCAAACTAATTGTATGTCAATTTGTTGGGAATTCAACCAGAGAGCGCAAAGTTTCAATTCATCAAGTATCCAGCCACTTATAGATATATGTAGTCTCGCTCCACGTTATCGCATTTGCACTTCCCATATTCTCTCTCCTCCGAGTGTCTGGCTTCGGCCTGCGAAGCCTTAAGCATCGTTCACAGCGGTCGCAGAACCTGATTAATCAAACAATTGCGACTTGGGGAACTTGTACCTGCAGCAACAGCTCGCTCATATCCACATCCCAGGCCCACTGCGCAGCCCCCATAGCACCTACGGCTCCAATGAGAACAGTAAGTAGAAAAATGCTATTGTTGCTCAAAAGACCAAGTCCATGTCCCAGGCGCTTGTTGGTTGAAGCACCCTTGGCATTTCCGTGTGTCGCTGCATTCTTCTGGAAGGCTGCAATCTGGCCACGCTCGCCTTCAACGACCTTGCCAGTCTTCTCATCGATAATAGTGGGTTGTAGTATTCCACCAAGGAAGCTGTTGATGATACTTCCAAACCCACCCCAGATAGTCAATGCAACGACCAACAAGACCCTGTCGAAGATGGCGGAATGATCGGGGTGAAATGGGGCCACTAGCCCAAACGCCAGGGCGATGGTGAACGATCCAGCAAAGCCAGCAACGGTACCGACCAGGGACACGCCACCATTTGTCCCCGGTGGACATTCTCGCAAGTTCCACGAAGTAATTAAGCGAGGGTTGGATTTGGAGAGAATGCCCAGCTCTCCAGACCAATCGTCAGCTGCGCCAGCGCAGTAGTGTCTAAGAATTAATTAGTTAGGTTCAAGAAAGTGAGGATTGTATAACAAAAGGGTGTTCAGAAAAAGCAAATATCAACGTACGATACTAGTCCGATAAGTAGGATATCAGCGGCATTCTGACCAAAAGTAAAATACTGAGCATCTGGGTTAATATACACCGCTACTGCATGAGCGGCACACAGGATAGTGCCAATCACTCCACTGGATAAAACCTGAAGAGCATCATGTTTAGCACTTCCCGGCTTTGATGGGGGCGCAGAAATGGTCAAGCGCGCCTTAATATCGCGTTTCACCTTTGGTTGTTGAAAAAGAATAAATCAGCTTATTATATCAACAACTACTATGTATTACCAGACGTACCTTCTTTACCCTGGCCGATCCAATGTGGAAAATCACCAGAATAATCAAGGGTGTATACCATGGGTGTACAACATATACGAGACTTGACAAGGCCAAAACAAGGGCCCCGAGAGAAGTAACAGTCTTTGTTGTATAGCTGCGATAGACCGAAAACGCGAGCAGAAGCCCACCGACATAAGAACCCATATTGCTGTTTATTTTGTGGAGGTTGAATGCTGATAAATCGTGGGAAAGGGTCTATGGTAAAGATGTTGTTCGAATATGGCCACCTGGGCACAATTTTAAAGCTACAATGCGAGTGAAATAGTTGAGAAAGAATGAGAGAATGAGCGGGTATTTAGCCCAGCCGGATGGGCTTACGTCCCTAATAAAATATACTGATTCAAGCCAAAAATGGTACCATGTAGATACGTAAAAGGCAATAGGTTCCAGACTATCTATAGATTGACAGCTCAAGGTCGGGTGGGGCCATGGGTAAGAGATGGATGGGGTCGCCCCCAACCCCGGTTGTTGGCTGTTACTATGACCGCATACGTGAATTATCGGATTGCTATTGGAAGTCTATGATTTCAAACTAGTCGACCATGAATAAAATGGTATGCTCAATGTACTCTGTTGGCGTTCAAGATCTCAAATGTTTCTTGACAAGGAGACTCCAAATCCTTTCAAGAACACAAATAGCGCGTTTTGCCACATGAGGCTATGAATTTGTGCGATGAATTTGCGTGTACGACATCCCACGATCTACGTAATTGTACAAATTTTCAATTCATGATTACCACTTTAGGGAATATTGGCAACATGCCTGCAGGGGTGTGGCCAAGGCTGGGCGAGACTCGGCGAAGCTCTACGACACATAGCATTGGTTGTGACCCACACCATTATTCACTGTGAACTTGGCGGGATGCCTTGCATTAAGGATCTTCATCAATTCCTGCAACATCTTCCTCGTATCTCGTGCGGAGTACGGAGTACTAGATTTCCCCGATCATCCGCACAAGGCTCGTGAGTCGCTCCATGGAGTACAATGCGTTATTTGACACCTTTTCACCTATCCATATTTCTATGTTTCTTGGATTTATCGTTCTTACATGCAAGACATAAGATCCAACGCTAGCCTAATAAGACTGTCATCCGCCAAGTCACGGAAATTTGGATAATACGAGCCTCCGACCACGAGCTGTCCTTGGCTTGTCTCATCATGTCATTCGGCCCCAAAATATTATGTGCCGTCGGGGCGGAATAGATCAATTAAGCCAAAGACCCCACTGATCTCCTTGGCCCCAGCTCCGGCGATTGCCTCCCGGAGTTATTATCTGTATCATGATAGAATTTAGCTCCATCATACATGTACCTCGTTTGCGATTCGTGTGACCTGATAGGCTGTGCCCCAATAGCTACTTAAAACTATTGTCAACTTGAAGAAGATGTACAATATGTGCTGCTACATATGTTTACCTAGAGTGGACCCTTGGTAAATAATAGTATGAATCAAGTAAAAATGTGATGTATGATGTATACTATCTAACTTCAAGTTGATGGTCACAGTGCAAATGCACGTGTACATGATTTTGCCATGTCATTAATTGGCACAACCGACATTTGAGCGACATCGAAAAAAACGTTCAAGGTCCAGCCAAGTGTTAAGAAAACAAAATCTAGCCAGAACATCTTAGGAAGCACTTGAAGCCAGTGCAGGAATTTAAATCATAATGCCGAATCCGAAACCCAGCAACGGGAGCCAGCTTGTGACCAGATTCATAGCCGCAACTCCCTCAGATGGACTCGAACCCTTGTTCGCCTCATTCAATGTCTTGGTTGGTTGGCTCGTGGGAGTTTCAAAGGCGAGGTCGTCTGTGGGGGTCGCAACAACCTTATCAGGCCCTGGGGTCGTCCATGTAGCCGCAACTGAGGTTTGTCCTTTGTCGTACGCATTGGCAGTAGCACAGTCTTGTTCACTAACCAACTCAGCGGAGAACCGGGCGGGATCATCTGGACAATCTACATAACAACTTTTGAATGTTAGGAGAATGTTCATGACGGAGATTGATGGAACTGATAAATGAAGTTTCTTCACTTACTTTGCAATATTGGCACTCCCAGAGCACTTGCAATCCCAGTCATCTTCAGTACATTTCGCAAGAGAATGGCCCATTGTAGCCACGCATTGGTCAACAAGGCTAATTTATTTCAGGTTAGAACGGTATGGCTACTCAAATTTCAAAGGTCGTACCTTTGGGAGGCGCAGGAGCCGCCGCCACTTGTCGGCGCTGGGCTCGGGGCTGCTTGAACTGGGGCATATTGGGCTCCAACAGGGATCGCCGAAGCGGCAAGCCATAGCGAGGGATTTCTGAATATACTGAGCATTGGAGATATAATGGCCACCGATGTGTAAAGTGCTGTCACCCATCGCAGAAGAAACGGCTGATATTATAACCTCAATCCCAAAATCTACTAAGTCGACAGTTACATTTCGTTGAAAGCCCCTATCTAAGCCATTGTTCCCCATTTCCGGTCAATAGATGATGAATTGGAGCTCCTTGAGCAAGGAACGAGACGTTAAAAAGCCACCTGGAGCCCTCAAACCAAAGGAACACAAAATCGCTACCATGGATATGCGGGACTTCGGGGACTTAGGTTCCGGTTGGTACCTGTCAGATTAGCCTAAAACCACTCTATGTTCCTTTGTACTCTAATCTTCTACGTATCCAAGCACTCTTTCAGGTATAAAAGGTCAATAAAAATGCGATTATTAGTAGCATCGCTCAGCAGTTTCAATCCACGGGCCCAGCGTTGAAGGAGAACATATAAACTTAACTCATCAATGTAATATTCGATTTCATGCGACGACTCTGCGCAGAATCTGGACTTGGACGATCAAAATTCCCTCGGTCCATGAGGATGGCGAGAGGATAAAAGTGGGTCTTGAGGTCGCATTCCAACGCGCGCTGGGGGTTACATTTCTGATTTAACAGGCTGCTTTCGGCGCTCACAAATACAATCTGTGAGCCGCATCAAGAATGTGAGATCTTTTATTTTTCGTATCGTGCATGGCCTTTATCTCATGATTGGGTAAGTGGAGGTATGGCACGTTCTCTGGTACTTGGAATGGCGAGTCTAGACTCCAGCAGTTTATCCTTGCCAGTCCCTTGTCTTTCCTATTTTGAAATTGTCAGTAATATCATTACAATGGTCCTTTATTGCGCATAATGTACATTGAGCTAACAGAACAATGGAAAGTATTATCATTTGTGGCTTGTTGCGTGACATGGTTGTGCAGGTAAATACTGTATACAGAAGTATATATCGTGCTTTTCAAGATGATTTTTCTCAGCTTGGTGAACTTGAATACCTACACATACTATTGCTGGCCAGATTTGTAGTGACGGTGCCCCAGTAACATGAAAATCAGAAAATTTAGCATTCAACTATCTTGCACTCGCGGATATCAGTAGAAAGTACGGTCGGTTTCTTTCATCTGCCCATTCTGGGTGTGTCGCAACATCTTCCTTGGATGGAACCCATTCCTTCAATCCTTTAAGCATGAATCCGTTATTTATCAACTCGCAAATGTAGGTCTCCACGGTGCGATGATACTTCCTCACGCCATTAACGCCCAGCCAGTTAGAAATCCGCCATCCCTCCTCACTGTAAGAGTTCAACGGCCATACATTCACTTCTTGGCCATCATCCACTGTGGTGAGCCAATCCGGGCTAGGGCGAATGGGCGCAGAGAAAACGGGGTGTTCCACCGAGAAGACCAATGTTCCACCCGGTTTCAAAGAGCGATGGATCTCTTGATAAACCTTTCCTATGTCCTCCACGTAGTGGAATGTGAGAGAACTATAAACAAGGTCGTATGGCGCGACTTCTGGTGCATCGGCAAGGTGAATGGTTTGGATATCTCCAACTTCATATTGTATTTCCATGCAGGCTGACCCATCATATTCAGCTCGGTCGCTAGACAGTGGCGTCTGGCTCTCAAACGTCCTCGCGTGAGAAATCATCTTGTCGGAGATGTCGATGCCTTTCACATATGCGGCTCCTTCATCTCTAGCCCACCGCGCAAACCAGCCATAGCCGCATCCCAAATCCAGAACACGAAGGTCGTTCAGGCCGCAACGCTGCGTTGCGTGATCAGGGCCTTTAATTTCGGAATAAATCATGTTGCGTAGAGTTGGCCATTCAGGTGCGCCCGCCAGGCCATTCTGTGATCGCGGCAACTGGCGGTATGCTGCGAAAAAATTCTGATCCTCGTATATATTCTGGGCTTGGAGTGACATCTTCAAGGGATCTAGCCAATGCCTCTAGACATTAATGTAGAACGTGTGGTACTTAGGAAGAAAGAAGATCCATGCGCTCGGTTTTGAGAGGATTCGGCCGGAAGGTGCCGACAACGAAATTTCCTGTCTGGGACCCCGATTTGAGACATGAGACATATCATGCAGTAAGGGATTAAAGTATTAGAAATGGACCTAGATCAATATCGAACAGGGATTACCACTGGCTCAGCATCGAGGATGGAGCCCGGATCCATAATTCATGCCGTTTACCTTTCTACACCGGGGCACGTATATCCTCCGTCGCCATGTTTACCGTTCCCAGTATGTACGTCGCAGTGGGCCAGCACCGGCTCCCCAACTTTGGCGGCCCGGGATGATTTCGCGTGAGATCCCAGCTCGGAATTTTGATCTCTCGTCAAAAACCTCTTGTTACTGAATCAAACAGGGCTCCTAGTGCGACTGCTAAGTATAGATGTTCTTCGAGAAAGATTGATGAAATTGATATATTGTCTCTGGTAGATTGTGCGAGTCTTCAAAATAAACATTATCTTCATGCGATCTTGCAAGTTTATCTTCCTCGTCCCTTTCTGTGGTTGGCCATTGGTCGCATTGGGTCACTCCCGCTCCTTAATGGTGAGATACTGGGCTTCGAGGAGATTTCATATTTCGTATTTGTGTGAATGGCAGCGTTTGGGAAGAAGTCCGTTTGATTGGGCTGACGCGTCAAGGAATTGCTTGTGAAATCGTGAGGAAGCCGCTTGGGCAGTCAGCATGAGGCCACAAGGCGTCTCACCAGGAACACATGCGTTAGGTTGTCGTTTGAAATCGAAGTCGCAGCTAAGATGATGAGTAAAGCGATGTGAAGATTCCGTATGTGGTGTATGTACTGCGAAGACAACTTTTTCAAGGAATGCTTTACCTGGTGCACTTGGGAAGAGGAGTCAGAGTTGAGGTAGTTAGCGATCAATGCTAACTATGGAACTAGTTGATGCCTGAGGTATTGGGTGTCTTTAGTCACATGGAGAATTGCTAATACCACCCCTCAAATGGCTAAACCCACCCCTTCTAAGCCGCTTTGGGAAATTCTGCCGTATTTGTAATATGAGCCCTTAACAAGGCGGTGTAATTTAAAATGGGCGGTCAGGCGAGGTCCAGGCGGATCCCAAGCTTATGGGAGCAGCTAGGTGCCGTTGAAGATGCTGTAGATCGTGAGTTTTATGAGCAATGGTCCCAACAAGGCTCACAGCAGCCAGCAACTCAGCAATCGCGGAGGAGACCCGATACGTGTGGAAATTGGGGCGTGGAGGGGCATAAAAGGCCTGGATGTCCGCAGATCAACAGATTTGCCAGTTAATTCGACTGAAAATGCATTTTCCGGTGTTTTTAAAATCAGCCCCTGTTTCCTCTTTAGGTTAAGCTTGGAATGAGATAACTTGCTTGCATATTAAATGTCGTTAAATGTGTGGTAAAATGGAAGCTTTTTACGTGGAGATTTAATTTAATTCTGGACCGTATTCATGCTGCCGGCAGAAAATTGATGCCTTTGTGCCTCGTGGTATTACAAATACGGCGGTGAGCTTAGAAGGGGTGGGTTTAGCCATTTGAGGGGTGGTATTAGCAATTCTCGTCACATGGTGTTTACCACGTGATGCTTTACGCTAAACAAAAAAGGGACAGCCCTTGCTTAGTAATCACACCGATTCGGGCTTACGTGATTCCGTCTGACGTGGATCATTGATTCAACAACCTTGGAAGGCAATAAAGACACCTCATATTCAGTGAAAAGCACATTAAACAAAGAAAATCGGCTAGACTAGTCAAAATGATTGCCATAAAATCTAGCAAAGATGTCGATCGTCAATGTAGAGATGATGCATCAGGTCAATACGCTTGTACATCGCACTGGTTGAAACCCGTACAACCAGCGAAGCAATTCTTACGACATGGAGATCCCTGACGAGTCGATATGACAGAGATTACTTTTGTGAGTCAAAGTATAGTCCTTTTCCAGGGTTATATGGTCTTGGCCAATTTCAATCTAACCGTCTTTTAGCGTGAATTGACGCGGGATATCCCGCCTTATTGGCCCATCGGGTATTCTCACCTCGTATTCCTGGAGTCAGTAAAAGTATAAATTGTGTCAATTGCGGATGGTTGCAACCATCCGATCGAAAATTGGGCCGAATCAAACGGAGATTGGCGCTCGATTAAGTCCGATTGCAGATTAAAAACATTTTCAAATTCGCGTAAATCGCGTCGACCATGTTCAGGGTTTTTATACACACGTTAAACATCCAGACTGTGACCTGCCTTGTTACTGCGGTCAGGTTGAACTAGGCTGCATAGAGAATTGTCTGCTAGCGCCTACTAGTTTCAGCATGGAGAACTCAGAATCCAATGTGAAGCTCGACGAGACTCGTGATGTTGAGTCCGGCTCGGAGAAGAATACCACCCTCGCGACAACAGAAGGGCCGGAATACCCTTCTTTTGCAAAGGTGGTGGTCATAATTTTGGCCCTCTATCTTGCAGTCTTCCTCGTGGCACTTGACCAAACCATCATTGGTGTGGCAATCCCCAAGATCACAGACGAGTTCAAAAGTATCTCAGATATCGCATGGTATGGAAGTGCTTACTTCCTAACGTCTACGGCTCTCCAGCCCTCGTATGGTAGGATCTATAAAGTCTTCAGTGTATGTTTCTTAACCCAATTTCCTTTATATGCATCTGGATGTCTGCATAAACACACGTCCAGGAGTCATCAAATTCTCTCTAACATCATTTCAGGTGAAATGGGCATTCTTATCCGCCATTGTTATCTTCGAGATTGGTTCGCTGATCTGTGCAGTGGCCCCGTCCAGCACGGTGTTGATCGTCGGACGGGCCATTGCAGGAATTGGAGTCGCCGGTATATTCTCAGGGGCCATGGTCATCATCGCTATGACTGTTGCACTACCAAAGCGCCCGCTCGTTTTTGGTATGTTTGGCATGGTATGGGGAATCGCCTCGATTGCAGGTCCACTTCTCGGTGGTGCTTTTACCGATGGTGTTACATGGAGATGGTGTTTTTACATCAATCTCCCGATCGGCGCTCTATCAATCGCAGTCATCTTGTTCATTCTTAAACTTCCAGTCAAGAATGAATTCGCTGGTTCCTCAATTCTAACGCGCATCCGACAGTTGGATCTCATCGGAGCCACACTGCTTATTCCAGCCATCATCTGCTTACTGCTTGCTCTCCAATGGGGTGGAAATAAATACCCCTGGGGCAACTCAAAGATCATCGGCTTGTTTGTTGGATTCGGCTTGATGATTATCCTCTTCGTTGTCTCGCAGATCTGGCTCGGCGAGAAGGCCACACTGCCACCTCATATTCTGAAGAAACGTACAGTTTATTGTGCTGCGCTTTTCGCCTTATTCTTCGGTGGTGCATTTTTCCTTCTGGTCTATTACGTGCCCATCTTCTTCCAAAGTGTTAAAAACTCATCTGCCATGAAATCAGGAATTCAGCTTCTTCCCTTGATGCTTGCTACTGTCGTCTCCTCTGTAGCGGTGGGGGTATTGGTGACTATTGCTGGGTATTACACTCCATTCTTGATTGGCAGTACTGCAATCGCAGCAATTGGAACTGGATTGATCACCACATTCGACTCCGATACATCCACCTCCAAATGGATTGGCTATCAAATATTGGTTGGCGCAGGAGTCGGCGCTGGCTTCCAAATCCCAATGACTGCAGTTCAAACCGTTCTTACCCAAGAGGATATCCCCGTTGGAACTGCCATCGTGATGTTTTTTCAAACTCTGGGCGGTGCGCTCTTTCTGGCCGTTGCTCAATCCGTCTTCCAAAACGGCTTGATTGACGGTATTGGCAAATACGCTCCTGGTGTCAGTCCTGCTGCCATAGTAGGGGCTGGTGCAACAGAGATGCGACACGTACTTAGTGAGCTTGGTCAACTTGACCAGCTTGGGGGTGTTATCAAAGCATACATGGGAGGGCTTCAAAATGCCTATCGTGTGAGCCTTGCCCTTATGGTCGTCGCATTTCTATCCAGCTGTTTCTTCGAGTTCAAGAGCGTGAAAAAGGCCGACCAAGATGGCAAAATTGAGCATGCAATTCCAGCTCTCTAATTGATCCATTGATAAACACATGTACAATAAATACCAATCTCCCATACCAAAATAATAAGATATCAGTATAACAAAACAAACCAACTTTTTTCCCTTGGCGTCCTCTCTCCCTATACTCCAATTAGACCATGTCTACGTAAAGTACTATGTAATGCATAGGGCAGGCAGACTGTTCAATTGTTTTCTTTTATCTGCTCTCTTTTCTTCTAGATTTGTAGTTCAATGTAATTTCATCTATTGAACATGATCTATTAAAAAATAGAGACAACGGGGTTGATACAAAAATATTAAATCAATAGTGCAGTGGGGATTCAATCTGGAAACTGTCATGATGCGCAACTTGTGGCACCCTTTGCGGTAGCTGTCACGGTACTGGTGAGAGTAGACGTAGTCTTCACAGTCTTGATCTTGGTAGAGGTGGGACCTGTGGTGACAGTAACAGTGGGTGAATTATGGTAGGTCGTCGTTACAATCTTCGTTGAGGTGAATAGGGGTAAAGCAATTGTAGAAGTTGCTGGCACAGTCTTTGTCACGACCTTTATCAACGCAGTGGGTCCAACGAAGGACTGAATGATGGTAGTTGTAAGACCTGTTGCCGTCTTTGTAGCAGCGTATACAGTGGTTGTAGATGTGGCTGTCGATGTTGAGGTGACAATGTGCGTAAATGTCACTGGATCAGGTGTTATGTCATTGCCAGCTGGAAATGACTTCGTAACTGTCGTCGTCGCTACAGCTGATATTGTCACAGACGAAGTTTTTGTGATAACTGAAGTTGCTTTTTTGGCCGCATTTTGCCTATCACCTGTATGTGTGGCTGTTATTGTTTTGACTAGGAAATTCTTCGATCCCGATGCCATCACCGTGGAGGTGGTAATGAATTCAGTGGTAGTTGAATAATCTGTGACTGTGGTCGCAAGAATAGCTCGTGGTGGGAGAAGACTTCGTTTCACCCTTGTAGCCTGCAGACAACTCAGTGTTGTTGTTGTGCTCGTTGTCTTGGTCTTTATTGATGTTGTACTGAATGTTATGACGCTAGTTCCAGCCGAGACCGTTGTTGTGCCTCCAGTGCCGGCTGTGAATGTGATGGTAGAGGTTACTTCGGAGGTACGAGGAGCCGGAGTTGTGAGTCTTGTTGCCGTGGTAAATACAGTTGATGTCATCGACGAAGAAGCAGTGACCAACTCAGTGCTTGTCAACGTCCTTTCAACGGTTTTGATAGAGAATGCCGCCGTGATGGTTTTGACAGCGGTCTTTTGAGCTTTTTCTGTCTTGGTCTTAACAACTGTCGTGGGTGTTAATGTTGAGTCGCCTACGACCGTCTCAGTAGAGGTTGTTGTCAAAGTTTCTTTGTCATCTGTGATTGTTTTCGTGACCACTGATGTCGATGTGGCGGTAGCTTGGGTCATTGACTCTGAATCGGATGCCACATCAACAGTAGCAGTTGTCGTTCCCGTTGTGGTTGGGCTATCCCCGGGAGTTTTTGTTGTCAAAGATGTAGCCTCGTCTGTCACAATCATGGTTGTGGTGGTTTTCACTGGTCCAGAAGAGGATGGATCGGATGAACTGGGCGTTGGCGAAGCTGGAGATTCCCCAGGGGCAAAAGGGGTTGCGGAGACATGCGTGAAATCAATCCAGGAGGTAGTGTCAAAGAAATTCGATATCTCGAACTGTACCACCGACTTGTCATCTAATTGTGTCGCAAAAGACACTCGCCCAGATGTATCTGATCCCGGACCGTCATTATTGTATTCTCCAAACAAAACATTACTAGTTCGAGCACTGTCAGAGGACCATTCCTCCCATCCAGCAGACTCTATGCAGGACCCCAAATGACAATCAATGTATGCAACTCTCGCGTTAGGATTTTGAGGTCTTCCAAGCGAGATTCCTGACATGGAGCCTGCCCCATCAGATGGTGTAATTGTGCATTTATCGAAGACAAAACCTCCAGGTGAATCAGTGGAATCGCGCTTGCCTGCAGTAATACTGATGCCGTCATCATTCGGAGACACTGTCGAGTCGAGGAAATAGCCCGATCCGCTTCCTGCTATCACATCCATGTTGCCTTCGATCTTGCTTTCCGCCACGAAGAGATATCCATCAACCACAATGGTGTTATGGCCTCCAGATACCTGGCATCCATACAGACTAGCATATGTAGATTCTTTTACTGCTAATGCGACAGACTCTCTGTCTCCAACTGCTTTGTTTGTATTGGAGAAATCGATGTTCATAGCTTGTAGAGCATCTCCTGCAGCATATACTGTCGCGCTGCTACTTGGAGATTCGCCAAATTTGGTGTCTGCCGCTTTGTTGCTGGCGATTGTGACTTGATTCTTGTCATTGCTGGTAGGCGAATTCGAGTAGCCGATTAGGACCAGAGTACCTAGTGTAGTGATCTTCAGTGTTTCATGATAAGTTCCAGGATAGATAAACACTTTCTTGGTAGTCTTCGATGAAGCTGATGATGATAAGGCATCAAGGGCATTCTGTATGGTCTTGTATGTCTTCTGGTTGTCGATTTTGGTCTTCGACACAACGAATGCCCCATCAGGTGGCGTCGTCCCATCGGAATCAGAGTCATCGGTTGGTTGTCCCGGTGACGTTTCTGGTGATGGTTCACTCCCTGGTTCGGCCTTGGGAGTGACGATTTTGTCCCAGTATGTCATGTCAATCCAGTCTGTAGAATCCATGACATCAGCTAAAGCATAGGCGTCGGATTCAAGCAGCTTTGCGAGGCCAGATGCTTCCCGAGCGTCTGCATTATTCTCCCAGTTCCCTTTTCCTGTATTTTCATACTCTGCAAGGGTGATATGGTCTGTTCGAGGGTCTGTAGAAGACCACGCCTTCCACCCCGATGGATTAATCACGTCAGTAAGATGCGACTTCTTGACCACAACTAGTGCATATTCTGATTGGGGACGCCCAAGAAAGATAGATCCACCCAAATCTGATGCTGCATTTGAGGCTGCTCCAAAAAGACATTGATCAAATATGTAGCCACCGACGGCCTCTTGAGATGCGCGACCTTGTGCTGTAATTGCGTTTCCTGGAGACTTGGCTCCAATAGTGCATCCTTTGAAGTAAGCTTTTGCGGGCCCATAGATGAAATCCAAAGCCCCTTCGATATAGGAGGACTCATAATATTGATAAGAGTTGGCGCCACCAGTCAACAAGGTCTCTTCCCAGCCAATAAATGAACAGCCGTAGAAGGCATTCTGTGTTCCATAGACTGAAGCTGCTACTGCGATGTAAGATGCCTTTGAACCGTCGAGGTTGTCACTGTTGATTATGTTGATGTTGTAAACAGCAATATTGATGGAGGCAGTCGAAAAAGTTGCAGTGTCCGAATCGGAGTGAGTAGAAGAGCGTGAAGAGACGGGAGCTCCACGAGAAAGTGTGATAGTTACTTCATTGTCCGAGAAGTTTTCACCGACAGCTCCAGTTGTGTATCCAATGATTATTGTTGGACCATTTCTATCAATGACTGGCACTTGTTCATTATATGATCCTGGGTAAATAAAGATGGTCTGCAAAGAGTCATCATCGGGTAGTGAGTTCAATGCTTTTGCAACAGACGAGTAGGAGCTCTCGATGGAGCTCAATGTCGACACGAGAACTGCTCCCGGTGGTGGTTTTGTCCCACTCTTTGGATGCCCGGCGGTACCAGTTCCGGCTGGATTAGATGGGGATGTCTCTGAACCACTTCCCGAAAGCGTCGGAGTTCCTGTACCAGATTCTGGAGCTGTGGGCGAGCTCCCTCCGTTGCCATCGGTTAGACTGTAGGAAGGATCGTAGTTATAGGCAGTCATATCAATCCAAGAGGTGTCTCCAATCCACGCGGAGAGAGTATAAGCTTGTGCCTCGCCCTGATTCAGCTTTTTCGCGAATGGTGCGCGAGCGTCTGACCACTTTCCTGGTCCGGAATTATGATATTCACCAAATGTAACGTGGTCAGTTCCCGATGGTCCAGACGAACTCCATCCAACAGGACTGATATGCTTATCCAAAAAGGAGTTCATATAAATCACAAGACTGTACTCGGAGGCAGGGCGTCCAAGATAAGTTCCCTTGCCAGACATGTCGTAGGGGCTAATGTATGTGACCACGCAGGTGTCGATGACAAACCCGCCTTCAGCATTTTCGGATGACCGAGTCTGTGCAGTGATGGAATAGCCGTTCGTGTTTGATGCAATGTACGATTGGTGGAAGTAAGCTATAGAAGACCCCCATATAAAATCGATTGAGCCTTCGATATAGCTATTGGAGAAAACTTGGGTTCCCTCGTTTGCAAACAAAGTGTGATGATAACCAATGAACGAACAGCCATATGCAGCTACTAGACCGTTGAATGCTCCTGAAATGGCCACGGTATCGCTCTTTTGGGGATATGTATTGCGAAGGTTGATGTTATACAACGCAATTATTGTTTTTGCATTGGAATCCCCAGAGCCAGAACCATCAGAGCCTGAGCCCGAGCCACCTGATCCAGAGCCACCAGAACCATCTGAGTCCGAGCCAGATTTGACTCGAATGACAGCTGTCAACTCATCATTACCGGTCTTAGTTGCTCTTCCATAAGAGGTTTCGATCGTCACCAGATTTTTAGTGAAATCGTTCTTGTATGTAGTTTGCCCGCGTAGTGTGACCTTCCCTTTTCGATTGATGGTTATCTGCTCCTTGTATGCGCCACTTCTGATCTCGATGACATATGGTTTCCCATCAGCGGGAAGAGCTTTAATCGCTGACGAAACGCTACTGTATTCGCCATCTGATGGGTTGGTAGACACCACCAAGGTGCCCGCTGGTATAGCATCTGGGGACGTTGAGCCTGTCGAAGATGAACCGGAGCCAGACCCAGACCCTGATCCTGATCCATCTGACCCTGAATCGCCAGACCCAGAGCCACCAGAGCCACCAGAACCACCAGAGCCCGAGCCATCAGAGCCATCAGACCCTGAGCCTGAGTCTGATCCAGAGCCACCAGAGCCTGATCCAGAGCCTGATCCAGCGCCTGATCCAGCGCCCCCAGAACCATCAGAGCCGGAGCCTGAGCCACCAGAGCCTGATCCAGAACCCCCAGCACCATCAGAGCCTGAACCTGATCCTGATCCTGAGCCTGATCCAGAGCCACCGGAGCCTGATCCAGAACCATCTGATCCAGAACCTGAGCCCGAGCCCGAGCCACCTGATCCATCAGACCCAGAGCCACCTGATCCACCTGATCCAGAACCAGAGCCTGACCCTGAACCTGAACCTCCAGATCCATCATGTATGTCGGTTAGAATACCAGAGTCTATCCAACTGGTATCAGATGTAGCATATCTGGGGTAGGCGTTTCCAAACACGGTCTCGATTGCGAACTGGGCCAGATCAGCAGTATCCAATAGTGTCACGTACGGCGATCTAGCGTCCTTGTTGCTCGGATAGGCTCCTGCCCCAGTATCTCCATGTTCGCCGTAGAAGTTGCGACCACTCTGGGTTGTTGCATCGATATGCACTCCGGTCGCAGCGATGAACCCATCCAACACGGAACTTAGATATACTGCCACCGATCCCACACCTTTGGCTTTCGCCAAGTAGACCTCATCGTTGTCGCTTCCAGACTTGGGGGAAATAGTGGATCGATCGAGAACTATCGTCGAGTTGTATAAAGTATCATCTAACGATGTACCCAGGTTGTTGATAACGGTGGCCGAGCTATCGAGCGGGGAAATTGATGTTCTGAAAACATACACTGTGGCTTTCCCGTCAATTGCTTTCTCATGAGCTTCGATATAGCTGTTTGCGATCAATATGATACCCAAGTCTGTTTCAATCCCAACGGGCCCAGCTGAAATGAATTCACACCCATAAAATGCTATCTTCGTTCCTTTCACTTGGATGGCTGCACTATCGGAGTCTGTATTGATGAAGTTGATGTTTTGGAAAGTAATACCGTCGATATCCGCCGTGATTGTCAAAGCTGTACCAGCATCGGAAATGATAACCTTGTTCTTGGAATATCCATCTATATCTTGAGGCTGGCCGATGACGGCGACGGATGGAGTTGCGGAGACAGTTACAGCTGGGTAAGTACCCGCTAAGACGGTAACAGATGGGATATCATTATGCTGAGCATATGAAATAGCATCACCAATGGCTGTAAATTGACCACTCTTGTCGGTCGCAACTGTGACTATGGGGGAGGTGGCTGAGACATATTAGCGCACGGATCGTTAATCAAACTCAAAGAAGACCCACGAGAAGGTGATGATGGGGAGGTTGGCGTTGATGGTTGTACTGTCGCTGTAACGTAGACAGTATGTGAGCAAGTGCAATCTGATAATTGCAACGCTTTAACCAGGCCCAAATAGCCCAGAATCGACAAAATCCTCATCCTGACTTGGCGGATGAAGCCATATGCATGGACAGTGAAGATAATTCATTTAAGGAGATTTTACAATTTCCGTATATCCCAAAAGAGAGACAAGAAGCCTCCCGAAATGAAAATCGAAAAGCATAAAAAGAAAAAAGAAATAAAAGAATAAAGAATAAAGAGAAAGAGAAAGAGGTATAGCATTGGAATGTGCATAGTAAGGGCTTCATTCAGACATTCCTGATCCATGATTCAGGGTCCTCTTGGCCATGTTGGTCCAGGTACGCGGGAAGTACAGGTGGAAATGTAAACAGATTGGATCATCATGCAGAAGTTGACACGATTCGTCGGTCTCGTTCTGCATACACATCTGAATGATCGTAGCTTGAGTCTTCTGAAGCAGTAGGATTATTCCACTCAACATGAAATGAGTATTCCGTTCATCACCCAGTCCGATCGATTTCCTACGTAATTCCTTGCAGAATCGGAGGGCGCATTCTGTGCCTGGATCGAGGATCTGCATTAGAATGACCACCTTTTGATTCGTCCGATCTGTTGATTCAAGAGGTCGCCAAGCTTTATGTGCCTTGTGGCATATTTGACAAAATATCCTAATATAAGACAACAGATCTCCTTTCCCCAGCCATTGGTAATCGTAGCGATCAGTCTCTCCACACTGGGTAGTCGCTGCATCCCTTGTGTCTTTGATGTGACCCACACCAATTTTGGAGTTTATTTCGGCCCGTGAACAACTCACATTCTGTAATTCCAAAGGTTAGCATGCATTCTCGAAGCTTAAGTAAAGCTCAGATCTTCATTGCTAAACATTGCGTTTCGGCAGCTTCACGTCTGATTGAGAGTCGGACTTCCGAGCATACAGTGGATTGAAGAGTGGGCATACCGTGTCTACATACGGCCCTGAAATGACCGTTTTATAGGCAGGGTTTTCGTGGGTTTTTCCAACTGGAAATTTCCTGAAATCTTGCTGTTTTTTCCCGATTATCCTTAATTCCCGATTGCCCCGTAGCCCCGGATTATACTTTCAAGCTTCGGAGTTTACAGGTTATGGGAAAGTACAATGCCCACAATTTGCATAGTTCAGATTTGCAGATCGTTAGAATTCTCCGAGCATCAGTTGTATTCTCACATCCTTTGGGGAAGTTCATTTCTCTTCTGATAATTGATGCGCCGTTGACTGACCAGCATTTCGTGCAACAGACAGCAATCATCCATAGCAATGACTCGCCAAATCTACTCACTTGACAAGGTCACAGGTTCTTTATTTGGAGTTTGTGAGTAGCCATTTCTGACATATGCACTCGGGTCTTCTTAATTGGGGCAGATTTCCTCCATGTTCGGCTGTTCACTGTTTCTTGGCCGACGGTTCAAGAATAAACTTCACCAAAGCATCCTTTCCGATACGTTTTATGGGTCCCTCTATGTGCATTGCCCCGGGTACGACCGTTCTCTGAATATCAAGGCCAAGGTCTCGTCCTTTGCATTCCAGTTGGCCGGCGACATGAGCTGGAATAACCTCGTCTGATTCGGCAGACAAAATCAATATTGGTGGAATAGATTGAGATGGTTGGGTCAGTCGTGGATTGGATGGATTGGGCAGATTTTGCTGGCCCTGCTCAGTAACCTGATCACGCCAGGCGGCTAACCGTTCCAGCGATGAAGATGTGCACCAATTATTCCACGAAAACGGCCAAAGGTATCGGTACGGAAGCCACTTCTGTGGATATAAACCAATCAGCATATCCTTGATATTGGATATGGGTGCTTCCATGATTAACCCAGATACAGGGATAGGGTTGGAATGGGCAAGATATGTTGATAGGGCAGATGATGCAACGGCCGAACCGACACTGTGTCCCCATAAGACGATTTGGCAATTTGTGTTTGCTTCCGAGTAGGTGTTAGACACCCAAGTAAGAAATGCCTGAGCATCCTTCTCAATGCCCGTTTGTGTCGCGGTCCCAGAAGACTTCCAGTAGCCACGATATGATAAAGCTAAGACTATATACCTCGTGTCGTCGCGCGTTTCGATCTCTTTGGAATTCTGGCTCTTGGTATTGATGGCTCTCAGCACTTGAGATAGCAGCGGTAGTCGGAGTGGTGTTGATCCACCATTTCCTTGGAAGTAACAAATCGCAACCAACTTCTTTGGTTGTTTAAGTTCGAGCTCATTCTTGTCGCTCTTAATGGGGATATTTCCTTCGCAAATCGCTAGCTTTGTTCCATCAAGGCTTCGGATTTGCTTTTCCTTCCATTCCACGGGCTTGCATGCACGCTCGTATTCTGAAATTGTATCTGATCTTGAGAATGGTGGTAACCAACTCAAATATAATAACTTATTCTGCATCGCGATAATCCAAAAGCATTTCCATGTCCAAAGAGAGAGAAGGAGCCCGATAAAAATGACGGGTGGAACTAAGATAGCAGGAACTGAACTGATGGTCCAGAAATTGCGAGGATTCAAATTCTTTTTCGGATTCTGTCCCAGCCGTTCGTAATGGGCGACTGATGTTCTCCGTTTCACAAGAGTGTAGATATTTCGATGTGGAGCATTGAGTGGTCTTGACTGGGCTATGTGAAGCTGTAACGCGCTTGGAGAGAACTTCTGCGGGAAAAGGCACTGCATGCGCTGGCTTATATGTCTCCTCAACATCGTTACATTGATGGGATCTGGCCCTTTACCCAACCGTTTAGCTCGCTCTCGACATTGAAGCCAAATGGGCCAAGGATAGGAAGAGCGAAGAAGATCTGCTTGGCGCGTGGTTGGAAGTTGAACCTGCAAATTCAGGCAGTAGTTAACGTAATCCACTAACGTAATTCCCAACCGAGTGGCGCGCCCAACCGAGTGGCGCACCTACCGCCTACCATACAGTTTTAAATACATTTTTAACCACCATAATGCTATTAAATCTAAATAAACTACCTACTAGGGCAATGATCTTTTCGATGCCCTTTATTATTGCAGTTTTTACATGTTGGAAGGGCACGGGGTGCCCGTACAGGTGGAATATAAGGTGCTGGGGCTCTATTAGCCGGAGGGGACGGAGGAGCTTCCTCAGCCTGTACTGTAAGCTGTATAGCTTCTTGCATCTCCTGAACTGTCATTCCACCCTCATTTGGTATCTGTCTAGTAGACCTTTGGCGCTTTTGCTTTTGTTTTTCATGGGCGGCACGTAATTTGTATGTTTCAATCTTAAGTAAAGCTGTTGAATGCATTTGAATCTCACAAGCCTTTAGAACTTGGTCAATTTGCTGATTTAACGGACTAGGAGGGCTTCTTGAGCGTTCTTTTAATAAAGCTTTAATTGAACTAGCTTACCGTTGAAGTTGTTTCAAGTTCTGAGGTGTCTTTGGTGAGAATTAGCTTAATCGACTGATTGGACGGCTACCCGGAGGTGTAGATGTTCCAATAATAATATTGAGTTTTGAGAGTACTTGTTCTGGGTTAAATAGTACTATACCAGCTGCTGCAAAGCTATTTTTAATAGTCTATATCTTAAAAGCTTCTTTACAAGCGATTAGATATACTGTAAGGAAATCAAATTTATCGATATGGTTGAAGCCAAGCCGCATCTAATTCTTAATAAGATGACTATATACACGTTTAAGAGGTGCAAAACATCCAATATCAAATAGTTAATAAAGATATAAAGAATGTACTAGTATATATATTAGAATAATATCATTTTCTTTGCAAGTTTGGTCGAATTAAGGAGTTAAATGACTCCCATAACTATCAAGAATTAAAAGTTGATATTTCCTAAGTATACAGCTAGTTATAGCTGGAATAAAGTGTTTCTGAAGCCATCGAAGTCCAATTTCATCAGTTATCCAGCCATTTAAACTAGTTTCGAAGCGCCAATTAGATAGAAGGTTATCGAACTACCCTTCAATAATTACTTTACCTTTAAAGATAATTACTGGCAGGAGTAACTATCCGGATATATTAATTATCTCAATTACTATGACCCATTTACAATTTCTAGGTTGTAGAACTGACTGTCGACCGTAGTATTTAGAGCGAGTGACTACCCAAGCTGTTGCTGTAAGCCCTATTGCAAAGCCTATCTTATCAAAGTTGTAGATATCCTCTTTAAGTATACCGTTCTCTTAGATTGTACGGAGAATAAGATCGAACTATGTCTGGGAGACTCTTAGATCCTCTATCTTTACACACTTATAGTTATATCGCTAGGAGAATCATATAGTAAGCTCTGGCTGTCTTTTAACAAAATTTGTGACCCAATTTTTTCCAACTATTTGAGAAAGAATATCACTGTGTGTTGCAAGTAGAATATTAGCCATTTCTCCAACAGTAGCCAGCCGAGGAGCTACTCCACGAGTATCCATATCAAGCACCCATTTAACAAGAGAATTCTCTTCATTTTCAGTCAATTTATGACAATTTGCGCGTATTTCTGTGCGGTTTCGATCACCCAATCGGCGGCGGCATAGAGTTATCTCAGGTATACTAAATCGACGTGCAGCTTCACGAATAGAGGGTATTTCTTTCTTCTTAATTACTTCAATGGCAAGCAAGATTCTACCCTCCTGTTCCAGAGAGTTCCGATTCAATTGGACGCGTTTTGGTGGCATGATGGGTGGTTGAAGATAGTCAAAAGCGACGCAGGTGACGCGATCGCGGTAGGTGCGCCACTCGGTTGGGCGCGCCACTCGGTTGGGAATTACGTTACCGAGCCGCCAGAACCACCGAGCCGCCAGGCAATCCATACCTAATAGATTTAAACACAATTATATCAACCAAAATATTAATTCATTGATATTATAACCTATATAGCTCTATTTGGACATGCGTTTCTTTTATGTCCCTTATTCCCACATAATCCACACTTTAGTAAGGCTCTCGTACGTAGTTGTAAAGGTAGTTGTGGCCTCTAGGCCCGTCTTACTCCTTGTACTACTGGGGGTATAGCCAATAGATCAATAAAATCTTAAAGCTCTATAACTGATAGGCCTGTTTCACATAGTATCTACTACCTAGATCTAGTCCTTTTTTGCTTCTTCTTCTCTATTCTAGCACGTAAATCACTTATTTCTTTCTCGAGAAAAGCATTTGATTATATATTAATTTAGCAAGCTTTTAAAATCTAGTTAAGCATAGAATTTAGCGGACTTAGTAGGCTCTGTAAGTGTTATTTTAGTAGTACTTTAATCGAAGATACTTACTTTTATAATTAGATATAGTTTAAAGATATTTTTGGCTCCTACTCACTACCCTGGCTTAAGGAGGAAGTAGATATTCGAAGTTAAATATTAAGCTTTAAAATAACTCAATTAGGGTTAAATAGGACTAAACTAGCTACTACAAAACTATTTTTAATTATCTCTAATTTAAATACTTTATCTCAGATAGAAGAGTAAACTTTAAGGAAATCAAATTTATTAATATAATTGATCCTAATCCGTATTTAATTCTTAATAAATTAACTATATGAACGTTTTAAAACCGTAAAACATCTAATATTAAAAGACTATAAAAGATATAAGGAATATACTAGTATATAAATTAGAATTGTATTATTTTCACTATAAAGTTTATTAAACTTTAGAGTTAAATAACTTTTGTGACTATTAAGGATTAAAAGTCGATATTTCCCCTTTATATAAAGAAAAGTTAAAGGAATAAAGACTTTTTTAAGCTAGTAAAGTCTAATTTTATTAGAGGTCTATCTATTTAGATTAACTTTAAGTTACTAATCCCTTAGAAGACTATTATCCTAATCTTTAATATAGATTTTATCCTTAAAAACAATATATAGAGGAAGTACCTATCCTAATATATCTATATATTTAATTATAGTTATCTACTAGCGATTTCTAGATTGTAAAAGTACTCTCCGATTATAGTATTTAGCTCTTATTATAATCCTTATAATTATAATTAAACCTATTACAAAACTAGTCTTATTAAAGTTATAGATATTATCTGGGTTAATACTATTTTTAAGGATTAATTTTTAAATAAGATCAAACTATTCTTAAATAATCTTTATATCTTTGTATTTTATATACTTATAATTATAGTATCTAGAGAATCGGATTGAAAGCTATAGGTGTCTTTTTATATATTTATTGACCTAATTTTTACTAACTGTTTGAACTAGGGTCGATCTATATACGGATAGTAGTAGATTTACTATTTCTTGTATAGTAGTAGGCTAAGGGGCTACTCCACGATTATCTATAGAAAGTATTTATTTTTGAAGCGATTCTTCCTCAATTTCAGTCAATTTATAACCATTTGCATATGTTTCGCGTCGGTTTTAATAGCTGTGTAGTCGATCGTAGAGGGTTGTACAAGACACATTGAAATAGCGTACTGCTGTACTAATAGAGAGCTATTCTTATTTCTTAATAGCCTGAATAGCTAGTAATATCCGTCCCTCTTATTCTGTCAATTTTTGACTATTTTGGGTGCGAATTGGTAGCATAGTGGGTAGTTGAAGAAGGAAGGTCTAATTAATTGACGCGTTTCGTGTTAGCCTGGCGGCTCGGTGGTTCTGGCGGCTCGGTAGTGGATTACGTTAACACACGTACCTCGACACCTTCTTTACAAGGCATCAAATATCAGGCGTCAATTAGGCAGAAAAGCTGAGTCATTTTGATCACGTGACGTTGGGCGTTTTTATTGGATCATGGGGAGTGTGAAGACAACAATTTGAACATTTGAATATTTGGGAGTTATAATTTGCCTGGAAATAGAAAGCTTTTAGATAGATTGATAATAAGATCATGTAGCTTCAAACCATAGTAGCTGCAACAAGCCATGGGCTAATCATGCCCTGGGGGAATAAATCAACTTGAACTGGTTTCCAAGGTTGAAGGGCTACCATCTGCCTCCTACTAGTCTATATATATATGTCCCCGACTCCCATAATGTTATGAAAATTCAGGTTGGGCAGAATCAGGCTTTCTTTTTTCTTTTCTACCAACACCAATGTATTAACTTGAACCCCCGATAATTAATTTAAACTATGGAAATCTAGATTTCTGCCTATGATTCAGCCAAAAATTGGGTCTTCCAGTTCAAGTTACGCAATTTACTAGTATTGTGGCTCCGTGGATGGATGCAATAATAGGTTAAGGACATCAGAATCTCCCAATCTTCAGGTATGAAAGCCTCCGAGTGGTTAAATTTTGTTTCCTTTCTAAAATATTTGGATAGATAATGTAGCCAAACCATGGTCTCCGACTCACAGATGATACTCGCGAGGATTTTCCACTGGTATGCCGTGTCTTTGCCACATACCCTCCACATTCATATCCTCTCGTCCACTAAAGCGACAGGAATCAGTTTAACGTTTCAACATGTATTATCGGGTGAAGAGGTAGTATCTTACTCATCTTTCTCGTTGGTCCACGGTTCTGTTTGTCCCTCTGCGGTATTTGGGTTCCTAAAGACCATGTTGTATTTCTTTTCAAGTCAGACTTTGTTTCCTTTTGGTACGATAGAATGACCATGCAGATGAATGAGACTTACCATGCCCATTGTGATGTGGATGGCACCGGGGCCCTTAACATAAGTCTCCAACGGCCCTTGGCCCTCAATCAATGAAGCAATATTCTTTGCAACCACCGCTGCTTGAGCTGAGCCAGGTCTCGCAGCCTTCTGGGCCCCGGTATCCGCAATATCCCCAACTGCAAACATATTCGAGTATTGCTCGTCCAGGAACTGCATGGTAGGTCGAATGCGGATATATCCATTATCTGGGTTTACGACAGACAACCCATCAGATGTCGATGGCTTCAAATGGCTGATAAGTTGATTGTTTGGTTTTTGACCGGTCGCTAAGATCACAAATTCGGTTGACACGGAATCCCCATTCGTAAGTTGGACATTGAATGGAGTGCCGTTATTGGGGAATCCTTCTAAAGGAATATTGACTCGGGCGCCGGTGATAAGTTTGATTCCCAGTTCGTCAAATCGACATTTGACGATCTCGTGCAATTTATGGTGGAAACTGGGCATGAGCTGTGGCCGAGACTGAACGACTGTGATATTTTTCTCAGGATAGTACTCTTTCAGATCAGTCGCCATCTGCACACCCACGGCTCCTCCTCCAACGAGAAGAATTGATTTAGCTTGCTTGACACCGGCCTGATGATTTTGGAGGTATTTCACAGATGATGGTTTGTCATCATCATCCATGGCTGCTGGCTTTGAGAGGCGAGTGCCTGTAGCAAGAACAATATATTCGAATGGGATTTGCTTTGAACCTTGCCATTCACGATCAAGCTCAACATATTGAGATTGAACAGCTGTCACTCGAGCCTGAACGACCCCGTGCGACTCTGGGTTAGGTGAGGCCGCATAGAGACCACCGTACGGAATGAACGCTTTATGTTCTTGTCCAGGGACGATCGCAAACCGAGGCTATATGGTAGTTTGTTAGATCATATATTCTTTGTTTCTTCATCTTTCCTTTCCCTTCGACTGATTGAAAAACCACGGTCGCGATTCTCATGGAAGACAGCACTTACAAAAGTAAACAAGTGGTGAAAATGGCTATGAGGCTCAATCAAAAGAACCTATGGAGATGTCAGTTTCAGTCTAAACAGAAGATCTTCTCAATTGAGATCCAATTTGCAACATACTCTGTGTGTGGAAGGAATAACCCCAGCTAATTGTTGGGCAGTTCCCTAATAGTCAACCATATTAGTTACTCTGTTCTGTATTCACCCATGCAGTAGTAGGTGACTTACCCGCCCGACAAAAGAACCTCCGACCACGACAATATTGCGAAGTGCATTAGCGACCATTTTGAATTTGAATGTTTGAAAAGGGGAAATGTACCTGGAAGGAGCTCAGACCCTTATATACAGCCCCAGATGGACTCTCGGCAGAGACTCCGGGTGTCTCCATGATGATCTGATCTCGTTATCTGATTAACTCCGACGCGGATTTCCTATTTAGGTTAAAAACCGAGATCGCGGGCAAATCTACATCCGGATCGGACGTGATCAAGTCCCGACGCCACTTGGCCTCTCTGTACTCTGTACTCTGTACTCTCTGAGTCTCTATCAAGTGTCTGTGAGGGTACGGTGGGGGATCTGCCCCCGCATGAACCGGTCATCACTGTCCAAAATGGTTATACTAAGTTTGTTGCATTACTAGGAACTGACATTGCTCAACCAGTCTGAATTAAAGATTATGACAACTAAAATACCACCACCGTCATTGATAGGTCTTTCCCAAGTTACAAAATAAAAAACGTCGCTTTCAAGATTCCCTTATGAAAAGGTAATCTTCACCACCTTCGCCGGTTCCTTGAAAGTCCCCAAGACAGGAGCCACTTGCCCTCCACTTGTCCCGACATATAAGGTTTTCCCATCGGCAGTTAACCGACAGGAAGTGGCACCGGGCATCTGGGTGGAGAGTTGACCACCAGCAACTAAGGAAATTTGACCATAAGGAGTCACACGAACGACCGAATTCTGGGGATCGGTCGCAATATACGCAGTGCCATCCGAAGCCACATCCAGACCATCGGGGAGGAACCCGCTGGCGATGACTTGGTACTCTCCAGCTGCATTGGCCTCTTCATCAACTTTGACACGACAGTATTCCATTCGCGTCGTACTGGAATAGTACACGTATCCATCGACGACTTTCAATCCATTGATCCCCAATGGCAATGCTTGACCCTTCGCTGGGAGCATTGTAGTGTCATTCAAAGCAACGGCGTAGTCACCCGTCTCCGTGTTGACCTTCCAAACAACCCCCGCGGGGCTATCTGCGATAAGCACAAGGTGGGACTCTCTGGTGAATGTTGCCATGCCGTTGAGCGCTTGAGCGTCAGGGAGTGGAGCAATCTCCGTTGCGACCGGAGACTGAGACTGAGACTGAGAATCTCTCTTCTTGTCACTGGTATTTTGGCTTTGAAAATTTAATTTCTGAACGGAAAAGGTCCCCGGAGTTGGTGCATATGTCTCGGTTGAGAAGTTGCCAATCACCACAGCAAATACATCATCGTCAATTTCACTGATGCCGAAGCAACTTGTCACGTTCGGGAAGGAGTAGGCAAGTGTCGCATTTCCACTATCTGCGTCCACAGACCATACCTCTGGAACATCTAGTCGCGTAAGGAGAAGGCTACCGTCGGATCGGAGAACAACATTGTCGATCCAGGAGCCATTGTTTGGAAATTGGAATAACGTTTCCACTTGAACGGCGGGCTCTTCGTTGCGATATGGGCTTGATAACAGGGTGTAAAAGGATGGCCATGCTGCGAGAGCCTGTGGCAAGAGGGCCAAAGCACCCAACAAAGCTGTTTGAGGTAACATACTGAGTTCCGTCAGATATGAAGGCGGTTTTGGAAGCTAGTTGGCCGGATAAAAGTCCCCCTAGATATTGGTTATGAGCCGTAGCATGCGAATCTAATAAGTATTAGGTCCAGACCTTAGGCAACTTGTGCTGTTTATCTAGCATTCCACCCTACATTCCTGTAAAGGCTGATGTGAAGTGTGGCTGTCTCCCTTGGAAGGCGGGAGTCCACAACCAAGACTACGAATGATCCAATAGTTCTAGAGCTGAGAAGGTCTAAGCTGATTTTAAAGAACAATGTCAATCAAACTGTCAAAAATAAGGTTAACCTTTTCTGGTATACCTAGTATCCTAGGTAAAACATCAAGATACTGTAGTGCACTTTTGACCGGTTACGTGTGACGTATCTGAAGTCATGAACCTCAGACTCCAGGGTTACCACATGTGCAATTTTCCTATAGCCAAAACTAAGTCATTGCCTTCCTGGGGTCTTGCTGGGATTAATTTCGCATAAATAGTGATTGGTGTTTGGTGCTTCTATTATGTTGTGCTGATAGAGTAGACATTGATGCCTCAGGCATCCTATCATCTTAGCATCCTTGCCTTCTGCATCACCGGCATCATCACCAACCAAGATTAATCACTGCATATTTCCTCCTTTCTTCAATTTCCAGATCTTGCAATGTGCCCTCGATGATATACAAACCTCAGCCTTCTGGCCAAAATCTGTTTATCTAGTCTTGGTGGCAAAATATCATGGATGCCCCGCACCACAAACATATAACCGAAGAAACCGAGAAGACCCACTTCAAAGATCCTTATAACCGAGTGAGCCGACACATTTGGGTGTATGCTGCCACTGCATCTCTTTCAACAGGGTCCTATCACATAAACAGCCTATATCCATTCATAATGGCAAATGAAAGTACAGATCGACCGCGCACGCGCGCAAAGAAAGCCTGCATGGCTTGCAATTCGCGTCGCGTTCGATGCAATGTGCTTGAAATGCAACCATGTCGGAATTGTGTGGCATGGAACTTGTCCTGTGAACTAGGAGTGTCAAGAAGGGGAAAGTAAGCTGATATGAAATAATTTATTATTCATCTTCTATTGTTCGTGGTTATCCTTTGAATACATACCAACTGAAACCTATAGATATCCTCGTCGCAAAAAGAAAGGCTCTCTGGAAAGTGAGCTATCTACAATTTCGACAAGCACAGTGGAATCTAGAGATATACGGCAAAGAAGTTTACAAGATCAAACCTTGCAATATATGCCTTCAGCTCGCCCTACAATGATAGACGATGCAATTCATGAAACTGTGTTTCTTGGGGAGTCAAGTCCCCTAACATGTGTGGTGGATGAAGGACGGCGATCACCAGACAAAGGATACGCATCTAGAAATCCCAAGGGCCGTTTACATTATGCTATTCCCGAGACTCGAGGGAGCAGTGAAATAAGTGATGACCAACACCGGAAATTCCTGCAGGAGCGCCTTATTCGTGAGAGTGCATTGGTGTTCCCGTCACCGACCATTTGTGATACACTTCTAAAGGCATATTTCGAGTGGTTTCACCCTTGTTTTCCGATTCTGGATCGAGTAAAAGTTCATCAAGAATATAAAGAGCACACCATCTCGCCGTTGCTTCTTCAAGCAATGCTCTTCATTGGGGTGAGCTTATGCTCAGACGCAGCCTTAAAAACCACCGGATTTACCAATCGGTATCAGGCCAAGGGCCTATTCTATCAACGCGCGAAAGAAATATACGATGTCGATTGGGAAACTGACATGTTAATCAAGATCCAATCTTTGTTCCTATTGAGCTTCTGGCGTGGAGGGCCAACAGAGGAGCGAGATGTTCGTTTCTGGCTCGGCGCGGCCACCAGCATCGCACAAAAGAAAGGAATCCATGTCCTGTGAGTGAATACTATATACTGGAGGAGCTTGATGCGACTCGAGTTAAATGGCTGATTATATAGGTCAAAACTATCTTTTCTCAATGCCCGTGACCATCAATTATGGAAAAGGATTTGGTGGGCCTTATACGTGAGTCTTTATCTCATGTCAACGAAGCCTGTATCTGCCCTCCTAACACAGCCATAGGTACGCGACCAACAGACCTCTGCTGCGTTAGGGTTACCATCTCGAATACGCGATGAAGACTGTGAAGTTGCCGAACTGGAGGAATCGGATTTTGAAGCAGAATATGACGACGATATGTCTTCTGACGTGTTCCTAAAACCACCAACTGCACATGTTTCATATGTGATCGGAATGACGCAACTTGCAAAACTCTGTATGATCTCTGAATTTCTGGAATACCTGATTTACAGTGTTAGTGACTAACTTCTCTTTTCTAGTGCGGCAGGTGGTATCTAGCCAGTATTCGCCAAGTCGTGCCAAATTAGACAATCCATCTCGTCCCATGCTTCACCAGCGATTGGCAGATTGGGAATCTCAACTGCCTGAACAGATGCAATTTTCACCTTCAGCCAAGCGAGAGGTAATCTTCTTGGTGGGCATGCTTCACATGGCCTATAAGTAAAGTCTCCATGCTCCATTCGACCCGTAGACAAGACTAACCACTCGCACCCATCACTATAGCAACCTTCATATCTTATTATATCGTCCAATATTCCTGCAACCGCCCAGTGAATCAACAACCGTCGAAGGGAATATGGCACTGGAAGCAGCAACCAGGAGCACGCGTATTTTGGAAGACATGCTCTCACAAAATCTGGTTCAGCATGGATCAGTTCACCTGTAAGTTCTCATCAGAAATATAGAATATGACTACAGCCTGACATTTGGAATTTAGCATTACACATACTTTCTCCGCGCTATGTATTCACACAATTCATTTCGGGCGGGTGAATAGTACAGCTCGAAAACTTGCTGAACACCGGGCAAAATTATGTCTCCTCGGGCTAAAAGAGCTACAAAAAGCATGGGATCTTGAGAATTGGGTGTTGGACCTTTTCTTCCGCTGTCTTGATGATAGAACTGCTCGAGACCTCCGCTTAGCTGATACAGGGACTTCATCTACAGCAGTGTCCAGTCAATCGACAAAGGGACTTTCAGTACTGACATCTCCTACTATGAATCCAATTGATGGCACATTAGCCAGCCCTTTGTCTTCGAATGCGAATGATCTTCTACCTGCAATCACGCCAACAGGTACTTCAATGCCGCCACCCGATGACGCATCGGTGAATATGGACTGGTATGAACTGTTCAACGTGGAGGGGGATGATTTCACAGGCCTGGCGGGCTCATTGACGAACCCGGAATATTTGAACCCGCAGAATTTGGAATTTTTGTATCGATTTTTGTGATCATAAACTCGAGAGATAGAATTGACCATGGGTCATGACTCAAGTGGACAAAAGAACTCCGAATCGAGAAGTAATAGCCAGGATCAGGACACGCCAAGAGACGTCTCGGGCCAAGAAGAGCACAAACGTGGCGTATACCGTGGCTCTTTTTTAGCTGTGGGGCGATTCAGTCGTTTCATGAAGGAAACTGCTGATCACAAGGCTGGGAATCAAGGATGAAGAATGTGCCCGATGTCAGTTTCCGGAATGCTGGGGATCCCGGCCTCCGTACTCTATCGTGGATGTGGATAAGCTGGCTATATTCAATTCCGTTTGCAGACAGCGACTTCCTTTCATGATGATAATTACATCAGTGGCACTCAATGGAGGCTGGCTAGCCTATAGATGCTGTCCATGCACAAGCTGTAGCAGTTACATCTTTCACAAAGTACAATTCCAATGTTTCTGGAAATCCCGCTGCCTAATTACCATTCTAATAATAATAATCTCGATCATAATAATCGGATTTAGCTTTCGCGCTCTTATCTAGGGGGATCCACTTACTTTCAAATCTCAAACATGTCCTGTGCACGAACCCGGGCTGTGCACTCATAGGTTTCCTATGGAGGCAAGATCTGCTCTCTAAAGCTTGCGAAAGCAGTTGTCTTGGCTTGTACAAACGACAAAGTACACTGTTATGAGCCATCATAAGTCATCCATGTGTGGCAGATGTGGAGATGTGCATGCGTTGACATTGTTATGACTCCCCACACAATCGATATCCATTCCAGACGCGACATTAGACATGGGGAAGAATTTTCGAAACTTTCTGTCACATATTCAAGGGCGATCAGAGCGACCACTAAGCTGTTCATAAAAGGGGGAAAGTGGAGAAAGCCAAGGGACAGCTTCGGCTTAGCACACAGTACCTGCATGTGTGGGCTTTTACGATTCGTAGCTTTCTGTCGCGTCTGTCCAACAATTCGTCTTGTTCCTTGCAGCTTTTTGCAAAGTTGGGGCTATTTTAATCGTTTCATGCTCTTGTACAGGACCCATCAGGGTCCCCATTATCTCTCGGGTACCTGGATCACATCCGTCTCTCCCGTCTCTGTTGGAAGCTCGTTCGCTTCAGCCCCTGATGATTGCGTGGCCCGATCTTGCTGATTGGACTCGTCCTATGCTAAGCATTCTACTAAAGGTTAGTGGAAGCTTGGCCAGCCAGTTGGAACGCGCCGTTTCGGGAGGTGTAACGTCATACGGAATTGAATGCTGTCGTGGGACGCGACCCACGTTGATCACAAGCTGTCCAATCAATATTCAAGCCTCGCACTCAGTCTCGCCACCTTTTGCGTGATCTTGAGTCTGATTTGCAAAATAGCAGCCTATTCTTAGCCGGGGGGACCAGACGGATTTGCGTTTGGAGAAGGGTAAAAAAAAAGACATTGCGAATAAAAAGGAGCCTGAGGTAGCTGCTTTTTTTTTTCTTTTCTGATCTACTTTAAACCAGGTGTTTTATTACTTTACATTTATATACGAGACAAGTCAATTCAATTTGCCACAATCAAATCTCCGCTTGACTAGTATCACCGACCTTACCCTTTTGATCCATAATGGCCGCTTCACGATCATCTAGTGAGCGCACTGGCTCCTTACAGTCACTTCACGCCGGAAAAACACCGCTTCAAACAAAAGCGGATCCTAATACAGCTCTATACGAGGCTCAACCAAGTAAGTTAACTCCCAATTTACTTCTGACGAGTTGTTTTCCCAACGGTCGCTTTTTTTTTTTGGGTTTGCTTTACTAACAATCGCAGTGGCCGTTAATGCCGAACCTGGCACAGGAGCGTTCTCTCTTCGCAGTATTCAGCACAAGGATCGACAGGGAAAAATAATTGGTACGTGAAGAATAAATTGATTTGTATAGAAAATTGTTTCGCCCGCTAACTTGTACACAGCCGATCCCGACCGGTCGAATCCTACCCGCGCTCGCCTTGAGCGTCCACTCGATACCATTCGATCCTTTGAAGCTGCCATTGAGTCTCATCGCAAGCAGAATCATGCGTGATTATAATAAATAGGGGGCGTTTCGACTGTAATCTACGAGAGGAAAAACGAAGGGATGCTTATGATACCTGTACAATTTATTTTTTTGCGATCGATTGCCAGCTATTCGGATGGGCTTTGATCCAAGTTCTTCTTCTCCTGTTTTTATTAGAAATATATTTGAATTTGAGTATATGAATGGCGAGAGCTCATCAATTGTCAATGCTCCACTTCGATTTTTCATTTTCATCTAAAAAAGAGGTCGTAATTGGGTGAACTGCCGTCTACTGTACTTACGGGGGAGTATACATACATAGTGGAGAGTGCAAACATTGAAAGCTGCAGACATCGACAGTAAAACAACCAGACTAGAAGCTTGGTTTGAATTAAACTACATTCTCTGCAGTAGTTCCATAACGTCTGAGCCTATCAATGACACAATGGAATCATTTCATTGAATCCACTCCAGCAACTCCCCCAGATCATCGCGTCTTGGCAGTCTCTGATCATTACTGCAAGTTACAACGCCAAGCCATGATTGCCAATGTCTAATCAAGTTAAAATCGATTAGTGTTCAGCCTTTTGACTTGTATTGGTTGTATAATTCTTTAACCTATGGAGGAATTAGGAAGACTTCAACAGAAAACAAAGCCAGATCACCACTACAGACTCCTCTACTCCTATACATGGCAGCGCTAACCCCTGAGCGAACAGAAGAGAAGTTTTGGAAAAGGAGGAAAATCCTCAAGATAAAAACCGATCACTCGGATTTAACTATGATCAGCAATCATCTCCGAAGCGATGAAGATATCCGAGTTGCGATCGTCTTAAATCTATTGAAGCTCATGGACATTCTTGACTCTATCGCGACTCCATATACAGCGCGACCCAGAACTAAAACATGGGAAGCCTCACCCTTTGATTTATATTTAGACGTGATCTGACCTCTTTTTACGGATATATTTAGGAAAAGAGAGCGAATTCCAGATAAATGAAAAATAAATTCCCAAATTTACGTGGGCATTGGGTGAGTTTGGAGCTAAGACACGCAGTGTGTACGCCATCCCAAGGAAACGGCCCCACTACCGCGTCAGCTTCACCAAGTTTTCTTTCCCACTATTGCCGGACGGAATAATAAACAGAAAAGGACATTCTGAGGGATAAATTAAGTTCCCATGAGACCATATCGCTTAGAAGATGTTTAGGTTGCCTTTATCTTTCCTTTGAAGTGTCTCAGATCACTGAAAAATAAAAATAACTGGGGCAAACATCACCACTCATAAACGAACCCACTTCAGGCCAGCGGGAGAAATCATCGGTACTGGTGACCACAGTGGATGCTGGGCAAACTTACTGTGGCGCACTAATGGGTGCTAGGCTGCAGAAGCCAAGATACTTTTAGTTAGTGGATCTAGAATGATTGGCTCATATCTTTTGCTCGGGGCGCATGAACCGATGTAGACCGATTTTAGTGTCTACGCCAGCCCTAGACTGGTTGACGCGGTCCATATCATCTCCGGCCAGGAAAAAATGACACCCGGGGCGCCAGTAGTGTAAGTTCCTCCATACACTGAAAGGGGAAAAAACCCAATCCGCTGGGGGCATTAGCTCGGTGGATGCAGTCTGGGTCAGATGTACGCGTCCCCCATAAGGGGGTTAGGGGGGCAAAAGGGCAAATCATGGTGATTTGAATGATGCCACAGGGTATTAAGGGCCAGCGGGGACGAAGCCACCAAGGGTACTTCTTTTCTTCTTTTCAGTCGGTTTCTCTTTCGCTGGTCAAACAACGACCTGTATATACATTCGCTCCTGAGATTCTTTCTTCTCTTTCTCCCACTTTAGTCGTCCTTCTTTTTAACTGACCCCCAAAGGAGGCATCCTCCTATTCATTCGCTACAATTTTATTTATCACACAATCGTTACACTCACCATGAAGCTGTCTCTTCTGTCCTTAGCGACCCTGGTCGGGGCCGCTATGGCTGACCTGGACCCCATTATCATTAAGGTAAACCCGATTCATACCGAGATCGTTGATTCAATGATGGGTCGTCCATACTGACAAGGTCATGTATAAATATAGGGTTCTAAGTTCTTCTATTCCAGCAACGACACTCAATTGTAAGTCATCTTGCTTCCCACCGACAGAATTACATGTTCAAAATGTGCTGACAGTATCACAGTTTCATGCGTGGTGTTGCATACCAATGTTCGTCCCTTTATTATCGTCAACTGGGATAAAAAACTTGCAACTAACATCAACATAGACTCTCAAACTGAGGATCCATTGGCTGATGCCACCGCTTGCAAGCGTGATGTTCCTTACTTGCAGGAGTTGCGCACTAATATCATCCGTACCTACTACATCAACGCCACTGCTGACCACACTGAGTGTATGAAGCTGCTGTCAGATGCAGGCATCTACGTGGTCTCTGATCTTTCCAGCACAACTGAAGCCATCGACCGTAGCGACCCAGCCTGGAACGTTGCCCTCTACGACCGTTACACTTCTGTCATTGATGAACTGTCGCAGTACAACAACACTATTGGTTTCTTTGCTGGCAATGAGATCGCCAACTCCGTATCTACTACAGATGGTACCGCTTACGCCAAGGCCGCCGTTCGTGACATGAAGAAGTACATCAAGGAGAAGGGCTACCGATCTATGGGTGTTGGATACGCCACTGCCGATGTTGAGGCTATTCGTGTCGAACTCGGTGATTACATGGACTGCGGCACTGATGATGAGAGCGTTGACTTCTACGGTTACAACATTTACTCCTGGTGCGGTGACGCAACTTACACATCTTCTGGCTACAAGGCACGCACTGCAGAGTTTGCCAACTACACCGTTCCCGTCTTCTTCGCCGAGTATGGCTGTAACGCAGATCCCCCTCGCAAATTCACCGAGGTCGAGGCTATCTACGGCGATGAAATGACTGAGGTCTGGTCTGGTGGTATCGTTTATATGTACTTCGAAACAACAAACGATTATGGTAAGCATTTCCCACAGCCCACCTCGAGCTTTTATCGACTTGACTCAAGGCTCGACTGGAAACATGAAAAATACTGATCATCATATTATTGAAGGTCTTGTTTCTATCGTTGATAGCACCAGCGTCAGCACTTTGACCGACTTCAGCTACTACTCCAAGGAAATCGCCAGTGCCACTCCCTCGGGAACCAACAAGGCCTCTTACACCCCAACCAACACCGTTCTGCAAACCTGCCCCACTGAGGGTGCTGATTGGGAGGCCAAGTCCTCTCCCTTGCCCCCTGCTGTTGACGAAACCCTCTGTGGATGTATCTACGATGCCGCCGCCTGCGTTCCCGATGCCAGCCTTACCTCTGCCAAGATGGGCACCCTTCTTGGCCTTGTCTGTGGTTCCACTGACTGTGGCGGCGTTGACGGCAACGGTACTACCGGCGTGTACGGTGCTTACAGCATGTGTAGTACCAAGGATCAGCTTGCTTTCGCTCTCAACAAATACTACGTTGCCCAGGACAAGGTTGCTAGCGCCTGCAGCTGGGGTGGTTCCGCCAGCACCAAGGCTACTACCGCTCCTACCGGTACTTGCTCCTCGCAGATCAAGGAGGCTGGTACCGCCGGTACTGGCACTGTTACCACGGAGGCCACTGCTACTGCTGACTCGAGCTCTGGATCCTCCAGCTCATCTTCGTCAAGCAGTGCTGGTACCACTGTCCACTCTAGTGTCTCCTTTGGTTTCTTCCAAGTTGGCGTCCCTGCCGCTATTGCGCTCATGACTGGTGTGGGTATGATTCTTCTGTAATTGTGGAGAACATGTCTTTTGCTGTATTCATTAGCGGCAATCTTCTTTTCGTCTCTTGTTTTACCTACTTACACCGTGACTTTGTTGTACGTATATAAATAGCTTCTTTCTCCCCCATGAGATCCATTGCTACTCTGAGCCCGAGCCCTCGAGTAGGGGGATTCAACCAAATAGCTTTGAATATCCGACCAAGTCTTCTTTTGCTCTAATAACAAATCGGAATTGGTATTTTGAATAATTTTATTTTTTCGGTTATAATTTGGGATTGCTTTATTGCGTTCAATACGAGAAGCTTTCGAATTTCCACGTCAGAATTCTCTTTATTCAGTCATTAAATTTCATCATGTATCAATTTCTGATCTTAATAACAACCAGGTCATTCGCCAACAACAGCTCTCCTAGTTAAAATAGCAGAAAATTCGTCCAGTCGACTCCAATCATGCGCGTCTTGACATGCCTGACGACTTAACCGTACAGCACGACTTGTCCGTGTCCTCATTTCCTCTTCATATTCATCGATGGCCGTTTGAGCAGTCACAGCACCACTATACAGTTTCTCAATACCTTGCATCAACTGGAAGGCGTCGAGAATTCCGTGATTAGCCGCCTCTCCTCGATCTGTTGAAGTCAGCTACCTTAAACACCTTCTATTGATCAAACCTTGACTTACACATGGTCATTGCGTGCGCCGCATCCCCAGCCAATGTCACACGCCCATTATTGTTGTTCCATGAAAGACATTCCCAGTCTGCTAATTTGATCTCCGTGACCGGTGTGTCTATTGGGATTTCATCCACTACTTGCTTTAAAAAGGGGGCGAATCCATTGGCCCGTCGTTTCATGTTCTCCAAGCGCGCCTTATCTGTTCCAGCCACCTTGTCCTCTGGTCCTCTTTCCACCCAAGACATACAGATCTGAGCTCGATAGCGTTCTGTATGCGACCCAAGAGTTCCATTCACATGCGGAGTCTCCAACATGGAAAACCAGAAGAATGCACCTGTAGGAGGATGGCATCCCTGAAACAACAGAGGATCCATATCGCGCAACGGCTTTATTTGGTCAGCAGTCATATCCACTGCCACCCCCGTGAAGTTGATTCCAAGAGGTATGTTGTCGAATGAATCTGGTCGAAGCACCTGTCGAACGATTGATCGGCTTCCCTCAACGCCAACCACGATTCGTCCTTTAACAGAAGCTTCACCTTCGAATAAGAGCTTCACTTCACTCTCAATTGGTGAAACATCAACTCCAACCACTCGTCGGCCCCAATGGACGTGATCTTCAATACCCTGCAACAATGCCCGACGCATCTTCTCGCGATTGACACGCCATCGAACACTAGGTGGGATTTTGTATTTTGGCTCCCCATTCTCAAGATTAATGAACAGGAAATTGCCGTTGTCATTGCGCGCAACGTCTGGATCAACCTGGACCTCTCGGATACGCGCCAGTGTCTCTTCCGAAAGCATCTTGAACATATATTCCAATGCCCAGTGCAGAGTAATTGCCCAACCTTGACCTCGCGCCTCAGGGGTCGCATCGCGTTCGTAGATCTCGAAGGGGATGTTTTTCTGCTTGAGTGCTTGGCCGAGGGTTAACCCAACAATGCCAGCACCGACAATGAGAACAGGTTTCATTTTGTGTGTGTGTGTGTGACTACGGAGTCTTCATTGTTGTCGATTCGTGCTTTCTTGTGTTCTTTTGTGTTCTTTTTTTCTTTTTCTTTTGCCTCCGTGGTCTCTTTGCCATCCGACTCGTATCGGACTCCCGTCGCATAGATAGCATACGGTTAGTGCGGGGCTTATCCGCCCAAAAGTCACCGTCGGCTATGAACATCCCACGTCCCACAATCCGGTGGTGGTCAATGCGACGTTATTTGGTAAAGTAAAATGGAGATACGATCTGTAGCCGCGGTTTAAATTCTAGATATAAAGTATCTTTCGCGGGGGACGTTTAAGGATCTTCTTATATCGTCTCTATTCATCATATACACATTCTTCGCTACTAGTACAGCTGTCATCATGTCTCACGAGGCACTGAATCCCATCCATCCATCTGTTCTCCCTCATCTGGATCCAGTGTTTGTGAAACTATACAATGATAATGTTGCAAACATCCCAGCAGGACCAATTGACCTCTCAGTGTTACGCACTAAATACTCCGTTCTTTATTCATATGGCACTGGACCAGCCCCCGACTGTGCACGAATCTATGATAGTCAATTACCGGGACACAATGGCGATTTGATTCCTGTGCGAGTGTACGAGCCAGCAAGCCCAGGGCCGTGGCCAGTTCACATTGATTTCCACGGTGGAGGTATGTGAATTCCCCACGATTTCCCAGATAAACCCGAGTTGTAGCTGATTCCATTATTCGGACAACCAGGATGGGGTCTAGGTGATCTCGATACCGAATCGCATATTTGCAAACACATTTGCGTCAAAGCCAATGTTTGTGTGATCGACGTTGCATACAGACTCGTCCCCGAACACGCTTTTCCAATCGGGATCCAAGATTCATTCGCGGCCTTGCAGTATATCCATGCAAAAGGCGCTGAAATTTTCAAAATTGAGCCAACAAGAATTTCCCTGGGAGGTGTTTCGGCTGGTGGCAATATCGCATTGATATGCGCACATCTTGCGCGGGATGCTAGTATCCCTCTTCGGCTAGTTGCAGTGGGTACACCGACAATTGATGACATTTCGAAATACAAGTCTGCAGCCGAGGCGCCCTGGCCATCGATGCAAGAAATGGAACATGCTCCTACGTTGAACTGGGGACGACTCAAATGGTTCGATAATCTGAAGTGGCAGAGTATTGAGGCAGAAGGTTCAGCTAGAGAAAGCCAGATTAGCGCTTTGAAGTGGTATGCGAACGCTCTTCAAGCTCCTCGATTCGATGGATTGGCCAAGACAGTCATTTATACCGCTGGGTGCGATCCTCTGCGTGATGAGGGTGAGGAATACGCCCGGCGTCTCATCAAGGGTGGAAACGAAGTGATCCAGAAACGATTTGCTGGAGTTCCCCATCCATTTATGCACATGGATAAAGGTATGTTTGGACCCTACCTTATAAAGCGAACAAGAGCAAAAGCTAACATTGTACAGATTTATGGCAAGCAAAAGACTTTATTGATTTAACAGCAGAGCATATCAAAACAAGCCTTCATCAGCCCGATACCAATTAGTGTACAAGAACAAACAAATTTTGAACCTTAATAGACGGAAAATTTGACACCTCAATTTATATAAAGTTGAAGAATTGCAATAATTTAATACTATAGAAAAGAGATATCAATAGTATATCTAAGGTGCACGAGGTAAGGCCAAGCGTCAAAACGGGCTAATCTTACAAGCTACAGCGGAATACATCAGGATATTCAAATGTTAAATATAGCTTAGAATGTCTACTAAAATGAGAACTTGAATAAGATTCAAGAAACTGTCACAACATCTAAAATTGTAGCAGTTGATGATAGCAGAAGCAATTATTGAGATGAGCATTTAGCACCCCTCCATGTCATACAGCTGGGCAGCAAGTGGAACAATTGATTCCTCCAATCCTCGAAAACTCACTCCAAGCGCAGCTTGTACCTTGCCAGAGTCGCACGAGTAATGCGAATTAGCAATTCGTGCACCGGGTTGACCAGTAGGCGCTCGGTGTCTTTCAGGCAACTGAACACGAATGACGTCCGCAATTTCCTGGGTATCATAGCTCGAACTAGTGACTAGGAAACGTTCATGTCCAGCAGCTTCAAACACCAGAGATTTACGGCAGACATCAGCTAGATCCTCAACATCTACCCAGACTGCAGATTTTTGTAAGTAAATTTGATTTAAACAACATGGAAGAAGTGATGTATACCTGGAGCTTTCGTAATTGGGATTTCTCCATCTCTGCCAGCTTTCAAAACATCCCATACAATTTGATTGCTAGCATTGAGTTGAGACAGAGAGGAAATTGAGTGGATCATCTTGCCAAACACCATTCCAGGGCAAAGAGTCACCAATTGGTAATTCACAGGGTTGTTTTTCACATAGACCCATGCGGCACGTTCAGCGACTACCTTTGAGGCGCGATATGCAATAGGCTGTTAAATGTTAGAGAATGAGTATAATGATGCGACTATCAAGGAAAAAACGTACCACTGCGGCTGCATTGACCCCGTCTTCATATGTTAAGGGTGACCAGTCTTCCTCTGTATAGACTCGACCTGGCTGCAGACCCAATCCCGCATCATAGACACTAGCAAAGCTTGACATGATAATCAATCGCCGGATGGTGGGCTGTCTCTGAGCTGCTTCACATATTGTCTGAGTCCCTTTGAGCGCAGGTATCATGAGATTTTCCTCAAATTCGCCCGGACGGGAATCATAGTTAAAGGCAGAAGCGAGATGGATGATAGCTTGACAGCCCTCTAGAACATCAACAAGATAGTCGATATTTGTCGGATCTGGGACAATGACTAGATCCAGACGAGATAGATTGTCAACGCCTGCCTTCTCGAGTGCGAGACGAATTGCGTTTGCTTTTTCCGTTGAACGAACGGTGGCTCGGACTCTATGATCGTATTTCAGCAGACTTGCAATACAGTGAGCGCCGATGAACCCATTCCCGCCAGTGACAAGAACTAGCGATCCAGCATCAATGGGAGCCATTTTGAAAAGCAAATATGTATTGGAAATTATTGAATTCTGGAAAAGAGGATTTCAATTCCCTTGATATGAGGAAAATGAAATTTTAAGTACCTGGTGGGGAATCATTATAAAGGGCTGTCGGACATGAATGCGCCGCCGTCGGATAATGTATTGCAACTTGAAACTATACAGCCGCGTCCGATCTCCGCTATCTCCCGAGTTCAAAGTCATTTCTCAAGGTATGTACATTATTTCCATTCTACTAGTATACGGTTATTTTTTATTCATGGTGAAATATAAGTTATTCAAGTTGGAGCTATGAAAGTAGTTCAAATTGACAAGCTAATAGTAAGAACAGTAACAAATGGACAAAGTACGTTCAAGTTCTTATGTGTGGCGACTATCAATAAACATAACGGAAATCAGAATCGTCATGAACATCTTGCACATTTGATCTGCCTGCTAAACGTGCTTCCATCGAGCTACGCGCTGGTGCCCCCAGACGATCAGCAGTAGCATTCCGAACTCCATACATGATTCGCAACGCCGTTGAGACCACAATTGCCGCCGCGTTGACAGCGACCAGCGTAGTTTTGGCAGGTAGATATCTGTTCTGAAATTTAGTACGATAAGACTTCATTGGGTCACTAGTTAACTTACTGGGGCGCGTCCTTCGCCTGGAAAGTCTGAGGGCCAATGATATTTGCAATACTGAACCCAGCAGACACAAGTGTAGTTCCAGCAACCTGTATTCGTTTAGGGTCTGCTAGAGTGACTCCGGAACAGCATTTTCAACATACCTTCATTGTATATCCTTTAAAATTTGCTCCCGTCCAAGCATAGATCAGGGCAAGTGGTGCGACCGTCTAAACCAGACAGCGACTCGTAAGCAAAAGATGAAAGGGTTATGCATTGCACATATCGTGAGTTGACATACCGTGTTCACCAGATAGATACCCGCTAGACACCCGCCTCTGTTTGATGTTGGAAGAAACGACATAAGACAAGACCCCAGTAGTGTTGGGATCAACAAAAGATCAATAGCTAACCAGCGGGAAAATCCCTTGGAAATTGCATATGTAGACAACATAGTCGCAAGGATACTCACGACACCAGATGGCATGTTAAGCAAAGCGCTTGCCTTGCTATCATATCCAAATCCTTTGATGAGAATAGAAGAAAAAGTAGTTATCACTCCACTGGGGATCGTGATAAGTATGGTTAAAAGTACCAACAACCATGTCTGGAGATCCCCAAACACCTCAAGAACAGATCGCCAACGGAAAACCTTCATTCCAACACCCGCCTGATCATTCTGGAGCCTCTGAGCCACACGATCTTTCTCAGACTGGGTGAGAAACTTGGCCTTATCTGGGGTTTCGGGCAGCACAAAAATAACCAGAAGAGACACCAAGACATTGACCGCACCAATGACAACGAACATTATGCGCCAGCCACCAAATGAGATACTGGCAGGGGCATGCTGAGCCCCGAAAGATATCAATCCTCCTATAATTTGCCCAGCACCCAATCCACAGTACCAGAGTCCATATCGCGGAGTTGACTCCGCTCGAGTGTACCACATGCTGGTATAAATGGTGAGAGCCGGAGCTAAACTTGATGTCAGAAACTTGAATACTTCTCAGACAAAACTTGGGAAGAAGCTAAATATCGCATACCTATCACTGCTTCCATCATTCCGAGCATAACACGCAATGCAAGCATACCAGCAAAATTCTTGGTCGCCGATGAACAACATAGAATAATACCCCAGCAAAGAACATTGACACCTAATACCTTTGAGACCGGAAATCTTTGGAGCAAAGCTCCCTGTGGCAATTCAGCTAATGCATATGCTATGAAAAATGCAGTTGCAAGCCATGAAAAGTCGTTCCCAACGAGACCCAAGTCTTCCTGAATTCCCATCACATTCGCATACTAATTTCCATCTGTCAGCTTGTGTGTTTATCTTGAGATCGCAAGAGACGGCAAGATCATACATTGATAGAAATCTTGTCAATCATCTGAAGAAAATAGGTCAGAAACATAATCGGTAGAATCTGCCAGTCAATCTTGCGTATGAGGCTCTTGTCATCGTTCTCAAGGCTACCAAGCCCATAATCTTCGCACCCGTCGGATTTCATCTCGATCGCAGTCTTTGTCTTCATTATGAAATTGTCGGATACTCTCAATCGTCACGAAGAAGGTAATAGTATAATAATTATCTGAGACCACTTTCATGGCGGTGGTAGTCAATTATTAAGGGCGGCAAGGGGCGAATCACTGATATCAGCCAGGACCGCGATACTGTACCACTATCTATCCCATGCAGTGTCTGATTTCCCCGGAAAAATGAGCTGTCTAGTCCCAATTAGACGGGAGGCGAATTAAATCAAGGCAAAGATCGGCATCGGAGGACCCAAGCGACGCAGCCGTCGGATAGATAAACAGGTGGAGGTCAATGCGGCCGTCGCATAGCGGACGATAATGGGAAAACGCCGAGAAGACAGTTCTAACGATGGATAAAGGAAGAAATGACTTCACAAGGACACATGTATTTATTCTAATAAATAGTCAAAATAGAGATCCTAACTGGTGATCTTCTAACAATCCATTCTTCTCATTTCCATTGCAAACATGCCTTCACGTACTGACTCTCCCCTCCAAGTGGCTATCATCGGTGCTGGCCTCGGTGGATTGGCTGCTGCTGTGTCATTGCGCCGTCAAGGACATAATGTCACAGTCTACGAGCGATATGATTTTGCTGGTGAAGTAGGCGCATCGTTAAGTGCAGCATCAAATGGATCAAGATTCCTCGAGGAATGGGGAGTCGATGTTAAAGCAGCAAAGCCAGTAAGTTAAGATTATTACCTCGGTATTTCAATGCGATGAGAAAGCTAAGACAAGAATATAGGTCATTCTCAAGCAGTTGATCATGCATGACTGGTCTAATGGGAAAGTCCAAAGTACCTATCCATTAGGCGACTATAAGTCAAAATTTGGCACTGTAAGTTGAAGGTTACCAAGAATAGAAAGGGAGAAAGATCTGATACTGAGCAGGAATATAACAACTTCCACCGGATTGATATTCACAAACAACTTCTTAAATCTGCATTCGAAGAAGAAGGGGAGGGATCTCAATGTGTTCTGGAAGTCAAATGCAAAGCGATTGACGTGAATCCTGAAGAAGGTCTGATTCAATTTGAAAATGGATCTCAAGTATCTGCCGATCTGATTGTCGCCGCTGATGGTATCCGAGTAAGTTGACTGATCCTCTGCGCTTTCAAGGGTTAGATAAAGTTGACATGTTAATTCTTTCCAGTCCCTGGCGAGAGAACACATGGGCATCACACCCAACTTCACAATGTCCACATCCTGCTGTTACCGCTGCATCATTAGTGCGGATAAGCTTCGCTCCTTGGAGCTAGAAGACTATATCTCAAACGAGGCCATAGAGTACTGGGGTGGATTTGGCATAAACAAGATTGTCATGTCGCCGTGTAGCAATGGCGAGATCGTGAGCTGTTACTGCTTTTATCCAGCATCTTATAATAATCTCCGTGATGACGGATGGAATATCAGCGCATCACCCCAGCAATTGGTTGATACGTTCCCTGATCTGGACCCACGAATGAGGAAATTGATGCTGAATGCGGATGATATCAAAATGTGGCGTTGTAAGTTCTCACAGCGAACTCTCTATCACCCTGAAGTCTTGAGAATTGGATACTGACTCCCGGGTGGAAAAAGTGTACAGACACGAGCCTTATCCATACTGGGTTAAGGGAAAGGTTTGCTTGCTTGGAGATGCTGGTATGTCTATCCCATCAGCTTTTTATTTCACATTGAGCACCGCGACTGACGCAATTTAGCCCACCCAATGATGCCGGATCAATCACAGGGATCCTGTATGGCATTTGAAGACGCCGGAGCCATCGGTCTCGTTTTCAACAAAGACTTCCGAAAGAGCTATGGAGTAGCTGAAGGCTTGTCTCTGTATGAGAAATTGCGAAAACCCCGAGCATCTCGAGTTCAAGAGGCAAGCTTTCGAGCACGAGAGGATCTAAGTGAACGTATTGGATGGAGTTCCTCATCTGATCGTCCAGGTAAATTGACAATCGAAGAAGTCTGTGGATATAATATGAGGGACCATTTGGCTCAGTTGGTGGAAGAGGCGGTACAGTCTGATAGTAGTGTTTAGATTTGAATTGTGTACACTGTTTATGTATGTTCATTGCAAAGTCTGAATAAAACAATCATGAATATATCTTTACTTGATTCAAAATACACCGTGAGGCTCGTTATGCGTATAGATAGAGCACAATTTAAACGAATACCACGCCTGGAAACTGACTATATCGTACAGCTGCCCAATTCAGATCGGATGAACAAGTCGCTCCATCCCAAACAGCCTCCAAGAGCTGTCGTGCATATTGAATATGATTGAATCCCAAGGTATTTTCCATAACCATCAGTCGCTCCTTGACTATCATCCGCCGTTCAATGTCGACACTGGACGATCCAGCAATGACGAGAGGAAAGAGAAGACATCCTTCCACTCGACTGGCATAAGGTATATTTTGCACAGATTCGAGAATCGTGGCTATGGCCCTTTCTACAAATTCATGTAACGGGTCATAGCCTTCTACGACCTGGTGCAAACGTAAACGAATTGCCCACTCAAATGCAGTTGTGGCAAATTCTGTATCAGGTTGTTGTTGTTCCATATGATCGCGCTCCGATCGCCATTCATCAATTCGCGTCTCTACGAGTGTTGATGCAGTCCGGAAGCCGATTTCAGATAGCTCATCAACCCGTTTACTGCGATGATTGGCTAAAACATTGACCATTCCTAAAAAGTCAAATAAGGTTGGGGAAATCCCATATATTGCATCGGTAGACTGGCTGCATTCCAGACCCGGGACACTGGTGCGGCGAAAATTGGTAGTGAGCTCTTTCATACTGTCTCCACTGTGTAATAGAGGTGGTTTACATCGTGAGATCGTTGACATGGAGTCCAAATAGTGAAAAAGGCTAATGCAGAAGCTCGACTCACTCGTCGAAGTCAGAGATTGAAAGGCCGGTGATTTGAGAATGGCACTGGCTGCTTTGAGGTGCCATTTCCATACTCGTGACGTACCATCGAATAGTTCAGTCAAACATAGTAGAAGAACCGTAGCACAAGCTTCAAAAATGCATCTTCCATCTGATTGGCCAAGAAGGTGATTCACTTGGGTCAACGCTGAAGGGGGTTTAGTCTAGTTCGGCCTGCGCGCTATCGCTGGAAAAGAATCTGACCTTGGCCTTGTCTTCTTAGAGCGCGATCCCATATGCTTGGATAAACGCGCTTCCAGTGACATCCACTCAAACTCAATATAACACTAGTCACGGTATTAGACGTTTCCGCGAGAGGCAAAAGGGTCACTAGGAAAGGATTCCGATCGGAATCGTGAGAGCGGGAAAGGGCACGCGCAACAACATGAATGTAATGATTGTACAGGGAGCGATCTTCTTCGCTCTGCAAATGAGGATTTGTGGAGATAGGCGACCAATTAAGGGGAGACAATCTGATCCTCCGCTTAGGCACAGGATGCGGGAAAAGCGACGCGATAAACTCCTCGTCATCATCGGGGGCGACCAGACCGACCGATAGCGGATCTTCATCGGAAGCATAGTTCGGAATTGACCTTGATGCGTCCGTCGCATATGAATCTGGGGTAGGTGGATTGCTCGTCTCGGATAGACTCCGCTTGGCTGGCCATTGACATGGCAGGTTCAATCGTCGGCAATCGCTACAACGGGGGCGGATCTCGTCGCATTTCTTTTTCCTGTTTGTCAATCCACTCTAATCAGCGATCACAGCTTCGCGGTCTGGGTTCTCCCAATCTGCTGCGGGTCCATGATCTACCTTGCCTTGCATGTCATACATCCGCCTCGAGACCGCGACGCTCGGGGTCTCCGCGGTCCCGATGTCCCTCGTGTGGTATCTGTGTCTTTCTCTGTCGGTGCTCGTGGCTTGCAAATATGACCTAAGCCTGTTATCACGAATTAATTTGTTGTCCAGGCCCTACACTTTCATCTTCCATCTTTTCTTAGAGCACATACGTTTGCAGCGGGAACATGGTTGGGCACCATCACAACGTTGTTTCTGTTCAAATAGATGAGCTTTGGTTGTGTGCACTTCCACGGTCACGGTTGCTCACAATCTGGGCGCATCGAGCACAGACTTGACCGGATTTATCCATAGCGTGTTGTATGCGGGTATTCTTTCTCGGTATCAATGTGTAGCCACGCGAGGCTTGCGGGGGAGGAAATGGAGGAGTTATCGATGCGACGGCAGCTTCATTCTTTCCAGTTCCATCTTTCGGCTCTTCTCATGCGGGCATTGTCGGCATTTTCCGATCCGACGGCGATAAGCTGGAAGGTTATCTGTACCAATCAGGACTCGTGTCCCTAGTGACCGAGCTAGGATGAGAGGGGAAAGTTGACGGGCGAAAACGAGACATCCCCACTTTGCAGAGTGCGGGGGTGGGTCGAGGGAGACGAGACAGGGAAATGCCGCCAACTAATGAGAGGAGGGGGAAATGAACAGGGATCAAACAGACAAGAAGGAGATCTGCAGGAATCACAGCTGATAAATTTCGAAATAATTCATTCAAACAAATAAACATACACGAACATCCACTTCTCTGCTTCCCCCCATTTCTCAGCTTCCACTGCAGCCTGTCTCCGATATCCTGCATACAATCGACAACTGTGTGGGTCCGTGTGGAAGAAAAATAAATCGACTTCTGATTGGAAGAGGTGATACACATCACTTGGAGCTAGACTTGTTAGAAGACTCGGTTGGGGCTGGTGGTTGGTACCACGATTCACCCTTGCCAGTGTTGTAGTGCTTGCTCCCATCCGGGTTGGAGTAGTAGTAAGACCCATCCCTGTGATAATCGAGGTTAGTTGATTCACTCCAGTCAAGCAGTCAAGCATCCTCAAAATACCTACTTGTTGGAATAATGGTAAGAGTTCTGGTTCGGGGCTGATGGGCCAAAGTATCGACTGCACCAGTGAGCGTCTTAGAACACGAAGTTAACTCAACGCTGATACAGAAACAGTTATGTTATTTCACATACATCCTTGTTGGCTCCAGAGCCACGATACATGAACTCGTTATCGAAGTTATCAGTTGGCATTTTGAGTTCAAAGTCGTTAGATTCGTTTGAACCACTCAAATCGCCAGACTCCCCAAGAACTTCAGTGGTTTCAGTATCGACACTGTTTTCGAAGTCTCCAAAATACTCTGGCCCTTCGTAGATTCCGAGATCGTCAGAATCGGCAGAGACGTCGGAATTTTCTGAGTCCTCAGGGTGATCAGCATAGTCTCTGCTGTCAGCGTAACTGGGCTCATCAGGATAATCGTAATCGTTGTAATCGTCGAAATCGTCGCCAGAAGACATAAGGCACGTCTAGGAAAGACAGATAAGGGAAAAATCGAATTGGTGATGATGACTGTTGGATTGCAGTGAAGGTAGGGAAGAATGGAAGGAAGGAAAGTGAGGGTCACTACTATGAAGCGGGGTCTACCACACCCTCTCTCTTCCCTCTTCTCACAACTTCACGACTTCAACTCTCTACATCTTCATACTCTTTAATCATTATATTGTCAACTTGAACTTGATTCAATCTTGTTATACACTGTCTAATACTGTCTATCTATAATACATCAATCAAAATATATTTACCACTCGTTCACCAACACATATCGGTATCGAGCATCTCCAGCTTCCATGTCTTGAATCGCCTTGTTAGCCTCCTTCATAGGTCGCTCTTCGATCCAAGGCTTGATCTTCATAGTGGCAGCCAGGTCCAGCATCTCTCGGATCTCACCTGGGCTACCAATAATGGATCCACCGAGCTTGATACCCTTCATAATCAAAGCAAAAGCAGGGATTTCGAGACCGCCATCCTCAGGGGCGCCCAGCTGAATCAAAGATCCCCGGGGTCGGAGCAATTGGCTGTATTGCACAATGGGCATCTTGGAGGATGATACGGTAGAGATGATCAAGTCCAATGATTGAGCATTATTTTTAGCCCAGTCTTCATCCTCATCCGTGGCGATATAAGTATCGGCTCCAAGTTTCAGCGCATCGTCCCTCTTGTTTCCTTTGCGGGAGATAGCCACCACCTTGTCTGCTCCCAGAGCCTTGGCGAATAGAATACCGAAATGACCCAGGCCACCAACACCAATGATTCCAACCTTCTTGCCAGGTCCACAGTTGTTCTGGCGCAAGGGTGAGTATACAGTAATACCACCACACAGCATGGGTGCAGCATCGGCGGAGGGGATGGCGTCGGGAATTTTGATAACGAAGTGTGATGGAGATCGGTTGTACAGCGAGTATCCACCGAATGACTTGCCCCCGTTGGGATAAACACCGTTATAAGTTCCGACCATGCGGTTGCAGTGTTGCTCAAAGCCAGTGGCGCAAGCTTCACAGTTGCCGTCGTGGTTCTGACAAGAGCCGCTCTGGGCACCCACACCAACACGATCTCCGACCTTAATGTCGCCTTCAGCCTGTGAGCCAACTCGGACAGCATAGCCTACGATTTCGTGGCCAACACAGCAAGGGTAGGTAGAAGGGCCCTACTCATTAAACAACAGTCAGTTTCCTTCTCTGCTTTTGTTTGGGAATATATGAGCATCGGGGAACTATAACATACCCATCCACTGCGCAATGTGTGCAAATCAGAACCACAGATGCCACAGTGAGTAACCCGGATATCAACGTCGGTTTCCTCCCAGGGCTTGGGCTCGAACTGCTGCCAGACCATGTTGCCATTGGCAGCCGTCTTGTCTAGGCCCATCCAGCCTTCAAATTGGTAGTCGGTGGAACCCATTATGTGAATATGAATGTGAATCGTTGAATATCAGATTGAAATGATTGTCAAGTTTAACGTTGTGTTTGAGTCCAAGTACCTGGATTTTCATGCTACATTTTATATTCCTGGATTTTACTATGTGAAATCAGGGTCAGGGATTGACTTCTGGAAAATTCCTGAAGAGTTCCACATCTGCGAACACACGGCAAGGTACAGGCTCCACATTTTCCATTTAGGGGAATGTCATCAACGGTTTTAGTCCGTCTTATATCCGCAATGAAAGGAAAGGCGCTCCACTAACTCCTGTTGATCTGGTGATCTGGTAACTCATGGAAGACAAGTGAATTGTGGAAAGAACCAAAGAAAATATGATCAATAAGCTTGGAAATATTGTGTTGAAGTTGTCAGCGAGGTCCATCCGGTGTTAAAGCAGTTCAAGGTTAAGGTTAAAGTTCTCACGCTTGATGACAGTGACAGTCGGGATGACGCACCAACGCCGGTGCCGATGCTGCCGAGTCTTCAATTTTTAGTTTTTACGTCCGGATTACGTGTCTAATATCCACCGAAATTATGAAACTATGCACGGAAGTCAGCATTATGAAGTATCGCCGTTGAAAATTGTACTGTATAGGTGCATAGTATGTATATCTGTTTCTCTTCATCCGGGTGTGGGATTTTATGCAAAAACAATACACACGTTGATCAAGTACCTGTATCTCAGCAGTAGTGTTTTCCAATACTCCAATTTTCCTTTAAGATCTTCCAGATTTTTACTTCATCGTCTAATTGATGTGATTCCTCCAGGGCTTAAATCTTTGAATTTTCTTCTAGTAGTACTAACCGGCCCCACAATTTTTCTTTCACAAAAATAATGAACCCTCGCTTACGAGGGTCCGCCACCCATATGGAACAGATCACCCATATGGAACATTTTTTCTAAATCTTACCACAACCACTATTATCATCTACCACACCACCAACAATGCCTAAAACCAATAAAGATATAGAGAACCAGATTCAGCTGGCAATAGAGTCTCTCTCTGAGCAATCTAAGCCTAATATTAGGAAGACTGCGCGAGAATTCGCGGTTCCTGAAGGCCGTCTTCGTCGGCGCTGGCAAGGTGGAAAATCGCTTTTCCAACGACAACCTAATGGCCGGAAGCTTAGTATTGCACAGGAGAAGGCTTTATGTGAATATATTGATTATTTTGATGCGGTCGGAGCATCAATAAATCGCCGTCAAATTGCTATTGCTGCCGATTCAATTCTGGAAGAAGATCATACCGACACCACCACAGATCCCCCACAAATTGGCGACCATTGGCTAAAGCGTTTTCTTAAACGGTATCCTGAGTACTATATACGACGTCGGCGAGCTCTTGATGTTGAAAGAGCTACTGCACTGGATAAATCCGTTATAGAGAGATGGTTTCAAGACTATCAACGTATAGTGGCTAAATATGGCATCTGTCAACAAGATATCTACAATTTTGACGAAACTGGCTTCCAAATTGGCGTCGGTCGCGATCAATTTATTATCACAAGACATCCAAAAAAGAAGCTATTTAATGGCTCAGTTACCAATCGCGAGTCTGTCACTGTTTTAGAGGCTGTTTCGGCTGATGGCTTTACATGCCCACCGCTGATTATTCTAAGCGCTAAACAAGCATTACTACGTTGGTTTGATAAAATTGAAGACGACGAGCATCTTGCTATAACTGATACTGGCTATATCAATGATACATTAGCATATCAATGGATTCAGCTGTTTCATAAATGGACAATTTCTCGTACCATTGGGAAAAAGAGGCTAGTTTTATGCGATCGTTTTGGATCACATTTAACGCGTCAATTTGTTGAATTTTGTGAGAAGAATGATATCATTCTATTCTTCTTACTCTCACATACTAGCCATATACTACAACCTCTCGATGTTGGAGTGTTTAGTGTATATAAACACTGGCATAGTGAGGCAGTTGAGGCGGCTACAATGACTGGATGCCGTAAATTTTCAAAGGATGAATTCCTACATTCAATCAGTGAAATCAGACGCAAAACCTTCCGGCCACATACAATCAAGCTTGGGTTTAGATTAACTGGCCTTTGGCCAATTAATTCTAAGCTTATTACCGATGAATTGGATTCGTACGATCCATATTATGATAATATATCCCGGGAAGATACACCATCAGTTAACTCACAAAATACTGAGTTTAGCACCCCAAAAACCGCTGAGAGAGTTCGAAGAATTAGCGATCGTATTAATCAATATGATCCTACTACTCAACGTTTTAAAGAAGGGCTAGCAAAGCTTGTAAAGGGTGCTGAGACTCAGGCAATGTTGGCTGTCCAACTGCAACGGGAATTCGATTCTACACAAGCTATTATGGGAGCACGTCACGCTAGATATGATGCTTCTCGCCGTTATACGCAAATCACTGGTATTATCAATTCAAGCCAGATCAAAGAAATGAAGCTAAAAGAATATAAATTGACTGAAAAAGCCGATCAAGAAAAGACGAAGCGGAAGTGGAAGAAGATATTGGTTGAAATTAGGAAGCATGGAAGAGCCAAAAAACGCCGGGGAAATTAACTTGATTTTGTATTCTAATATTAAAATGGCTGATTGATTTGTTTATTATTTTTAGTTAATTAATTAACTATATGGTGGTGTGGTAAATAGTAGTTGTAGTACGATTTAGCAAAAATGTTCCATATGGGTGATCTGTTCCATATGGGTGGCGGACCCTCGTAAGCGAGGGTTCATTATTTTTGTGAAAGAAAAATTGTGGGGCCGGTTAGTACTGTAACGAACCGGTAGATGTCGAGTTGATTGAGCCGGGATCATGTGACAGGATCACATGATCCACAACCCGTCCGTTCTTCTGTACGATAACGCGTGGGAGCCTTCCTCCCTTATTTCTCTTTTCTCATCTTTGATACTTTTAGTTAACCATACAGAAAGTTCTTTTGTTTTCGAGTCTTCATAGTTTTTATCCTTCTAAAAATAATCCTAATTCTAATACTAGTATCTAGACTGATTCGATAGCTACTATTATTTTTATAGCCACATATAAGGGTATTACTGAAATATGGAGCTTACGGGAACAAGGGGTATAACAGAAACGCATATCTAGATAGAGATAGATAGCTTATATAGTCAATTTTATGGTGTTTTGGTGGAGATATATATGTTCAAAGTTTAGGTGTTCAGGTGGGTGGCCAACTCGTTTACATGGCCAACTCACTTAACACATACGTTAATAGTTAGATTAGGTGGCCTACTTGCTTGTATGGCCTGCTCGCTTGTGGAATACATAACTTAGGCTTTAATGTAGTTTGTCTTGTTTGTCTTGTCTGTCTTGTTTGATCATATATTAATACCTTAGGCCTCAGGTGTCAAGGCGACAAGGCATCAAGGTACCAACTTCATGACGCGTGATTTGTCTCTCTCTCTCCCTCTTTCCGTTGAATACTTGTTGCTTTTCGATCTCTTCCATGTTCATATGCTTCTCATGTTCTGAAGTTTCAACTCTATGTTAAGTCTGTTCCTTCAAGCTCTTTGTTATCTCATCTCAATTAAGATGAGAGTGGAGAATGGCGTATGATGCAATCCCATACTTGTATGGCGCACCCCATCGGCTCTCCAGACCTCATGGAAGTACAACCCCACCCACTCCACACAACGTCCATGATGCATTCTAATCACGGACTCTGCTATTCATCCACGAGGCGGATATGTCAATCTGCATACAATATTTTTCAAACTGATCGTCCGCAATGACCACCTCTTCGCAATCACCAAGTCCCCTCCAGGCTTGTGTACCCACATCAACTCTAATCCATCGTGAATCCCTCTTATCCGGAGTTTGATATGCTGTCAGCCTCGCTCCCCACTATCAATATGGCGTGCTTTACGATCCCGATGAGAACACACATTTTCTATTCAAATTCATTGGCTTTTGGTCTTGGACAGTTAAAATTGGGCTATTAGTGTCTGGGCTAAACGGTGCGACTCAAATAACGCAATGCGCTCGTCAATTTGACCCCCCGGTCGGGGCTCATCGGCAATGGCGGATCGATTTCGTCCAACACAGCAAGCGAATCCATGACTTCTGTCAATTTCCCACCCTTTGTCGTTCTTTTCTTCCCTTCTCGGATATCCTCTCATTTTATTCGACTCTACTGCTCGCTATTCCGGATCGCCGTGACCAAAGAGCCGTGAGATTGTTTCGAAATGGCCAATCTGAACTATGGCACCGATGCGACAGCAACAACGACAGCAGTAACGACAGCAGCAACAACCCCGGACTCCCCACAAACGTCAAAATCGGCGATCGACAATCATCAAGATGCCGTTCATGACGAGGAATCGCCTTTACTTCCCTCGACCCCTCCTGCAAACTCCCAAATCACACCATTAAAGGGAGTATGGACTATAATCGCGGTGTTATTGCTCGGTACGCGGAAAGACAATCCTTGTCGGCTCGATCAAAATCTAATCGCTTCTTTCTAGGCGAATTTATTTCCAACGCCGATTCGACTCTAGTAATCGCAGCTGCAGGTCGGATCTCCTCGGAATTTGATCGATTGCGCGATGCGAGCTGGCTGTCAACGGGTTATTCCTTGGGTCTTTGCGCCGCCCAGCCGATGGTAAGTCAACACCCCCAAAGACGAAGAACCACAAACAGCGGTTGGAAAAGCGAAAGCATACCTGCGCAGAGAATATGGACTGATAGTGGATGTATCTAGTACGGAAAACTGAGCGATATCTACGGTCGCAAACCGCTCCTCTTGATCTCATACTTCCTATTTGCTTTCGGGTGCATTATCTGGTATGTGAACAATCTCTCTGTCGCCGAAATGCAGTCCTAGTCCCTTATCTGACCTTTGAATCTAGCGGCATTGGTTCGGAAATGTGGATTGTCATCTTAGGTCGTGCGATCAGTGGCATGGGCGGTGCAGGAACTATGACAATCAGCTCAGTCATCATCACAGGTGATACTTCCCCTTCTCTGTGTCCCGATGAGACGCTTGCGCGAAAAGGATTAAAGAATGCTGATAACATATAGACCTTGTCCCCAGGCGAGATGTGGCTAGCTGGAGAGCCTATGTGAATATTTCCATGACCCTGGGCCGCAGCGTAGGAGGTCCATTGGGCGGATGGCTGAGTGATACGATCGGATGGCGATGGTACGTGGACACTGAATCATAACGCACAAAACTACCTAGTTCACCCTCTAACTTACCATCTTGCTTGTTTCTTATAGGGCTTTCCTGATCCAAGCCCCATTTGTCGCATTTGCTGCCTTTCTAGTTGTTATCAAGCTCCATATTGAACAAAAGTCGTCGGATGATTCCACTAAAGATGGCCAATCAAAGCTCTCACAGGTCGACTTTCTGGGAGCCGGCTTATTAGCGACATCGATTGTTTCTTTAATCGGCCTAATGGATCAAGGCGGACAGTCGTTTTCCTGGAACTCAATATTCGCGGTTCTATTAGGCTCCGGTGGTCTTCTGTTGCTCATTGCATTCATTTTGGTGGAGGCATATGTGGCCAAAGACCCCATTTTCAATCTGCGAATCCTCCGCCGACCCAATGTTGCAATAAGTTATATTCTGAGCACTCTCCAGGTAACCGCTCAATTGAGCATGTTATTTGCAGTCCCCCTATACTTCCAAGTAACACAGGGGGCATCGACCACCAACGCAGGTATTCACATGGTCCCTGCAGTAGTTGGAAACACCATCGGTGGCTTATTAGCAGGGGCGTTCATTCGAAAGACAGGTCATTACCGACTTCTCCTCGTACTTTCCGGCTTGGTCGCATCAATCTCGTACGTCCTGCTTTATCTGCGCTGGAACGGCCATACAGGTCCATGGGAATCCCTGTATATTCTCCCAGGTGGGATAGGCACTGGAATGGCCGCTGCCTCTGCATTCATCGCAATGACAGCTACACTGCGCCCAGATGAAATGGCAATGGCCACATCTGGATACATGTTAATAATTAGCTTTGCGATGACATCGGGTATAACAATGTCGAACTCAGTGCTTGGGACCGAATTCCAGCGTCAACTTCGTCGCAATCTTCAAGGCCCCGGCTCAGAAAGGGTATGACCCCTAACCCCCCTTGCCTTCCATTGGTACCTATCTTGACGTTTACTTATTAAATTGAATAGGTGATTAAACGTGCAATGGCCGATACAAACTATATCGCCCATCTCGGAGGTCGTCTTCGTGAGATTGTCGTGAGCTGTTACCTTGCTGGCCTCAAGCACACATATAGTAAGTTCCTCCCATTCCTATTCCTTTTATTTTTCGTATTGATTCGAATCGTCTCTTACCAATCATTCCTTAGTTGTTTCATTGGCGTGCTCTTTAGGCGCTGCTGTCATGGGATTGTTCATCCGGCATCACCAGCTCTAAATTAAAGACCACTTGATACTCTCAGACTATCTTCTTATTTCTTATTTACCATTGTTGCATGTGGTCTTTTCTTGGATAAACCAATGTATTTTCGAAGCGATACCCAGTTTTCAAGCTCCCAGGCGAATATCATTTACTAGAGAGAAAGCACCTGGTCAATCATATACATTCATCCTCTTAAAGCGACCGAGTATTCTACCATCCTTCTTCTTCCAAACATCTGGGCCTTTCATAAACAAGTCTTCACAATCATCTCCAAGTGTCACTTTCCGTGACAGAAGTCTCACTGCAAACTGCCGGCACAGTGTACGAACGGTTCGGATCACTCTCCCATTCGATAGTTCCATCACTCTCAACACGGATATACTTGTACTCGAAGACCGTACCCGCAGGAAGACTAACATCGACAAACCAAAGATTATCACTGGAAGTGTAATCGATCGCACTAAGTGCTACAGCATCACTGGTGTCCCAGTCTCCAAGCTGAGAAATGGATCCGGCAATCTTAATATCCTCACCATATGTCGTTGTCGCGATGAGATCAAAAGTAACAGCCACCGCAGTAGGGGTGGAACAGGAAGTGCTTGTCGTGCTAGTAGTCGAAGTTGACTTGGTTGTGGTTGTGGTTCCAGTTCCTGTTGCGGTGGTAGTGGTAGTGACCGTGCCAGTTCCACCTGTCAATGTACTGGGCCAAGAAGTTGTACTAGCCGTGCTAAAGGTACCAATAGCTGAAGTCGAGCTACATGTGGCTGGTACACTGCTAGCAGAAGTCTCACCCCAAGATGGAGGAACGACTGAATTTCGGCGGTTATTTGCTGTCAGAAGAGCCGCGTAGGACCAGGTCAAATCACGGGCTGAGAGGGGAGTGCCAGCGGATTTATCAAACTGTTCAGACAGTGATCCGTTGCTGTAAGCGTATTCCTCCTATATTATTGCTTAGTTCAATGTTTCTTTCCATTATGAAACCTGTTAGAAAGAGATCACATACCACAATGCTCACATATCCATCAGCATAGGTCTTAACAGCGCTCACGATAGAAGAGTAAGTTGCACTAGACGAGGAGTAAGTCCCAGTGGCTGCAGAGCTGTAAATAGCCGTGAAAAAGCTCAAGTCCACACTAGTGATAGTTATGGACCCAATACGGTTCCACTGGTACAAAGCATCATAAAGCTGCTCAGCAGCAGCCAGAGTACACAGATACCAAGGGTTTCCATTGTAGTAGCTGTCTTCTGGGTAGCGACCGACTGCAACTGCAGCCCCAGCGGCAATACCAGAATTGAGTGTGTAGACCGAGCGGAAAGAGTCAGTTACAATCTTATGGTTTGCCAATGCACGAGGTGAGCAAGGTTGGAATGTAGTATCATCACAAGCTGCTGCGGGATCAAAAGTGTGGATGCTGGCGAGCACAGTGTTGGAGTCCTTGCCCGTACGACCGCTGTTAGTGTTGGCGAGCATGTATGTTCCAGTCCAGAATGATTGGAGGAAACATAGCACCTGTGGTGCTTGGGAATCACAGTATGAGCAAGAAGAGCCCACTGCGCTGGCGAATTTACTACCTTCAACCAGAGCACGATGCTGCACAGCGATTGTGAAGAAGGAGGATCCTGAAACTTCTTCCCAGAGATCTAGTGCAGGTTCAGAGTTAGATCTTAGTTGTCTAGAAATTTGATTCTTCACATTGGAATCTCACCATAACCAGTCTGGTTCCAATATTCAGCTACATAAGAGAGATCATTGCGCACAATCGGCCAAATGTAGCTTGTTGCAAGAGTAGTGTAGCCATTGTTCTATATAAAAACGCGTTAGTGGATACCTTAAACATCAATAAAAGCAAAACTCGACTCCCAAACTTACAAGTAGCCAATTGCCAAAATTGACCAACGCAGTAGCCCGAAGAGCAGGACCATCACGTTGAGGTCGACCCCATGATCCAGTGTAAGCACTTTCATCGACGTTGAACTTGGGCTCTCCCAGGCCCAGGCCTGAACCAGAGAGACTTCCAGATGGATTGGAAACTGTTTGGATGTACGCCTGCGAATTGATATACTCCTCGATCACAGACAAGACACTTGTGTCGCCATTCACGAACAGATCCACTAAGCATTTGATTGTCAAGGCTGAATCCCGAGTCCAAGTATAGTAGTCTATTAATAGTCAAACGCAAGTTCACAATTCTCTCAAAGTATGTCTTTCGCAAGAGCAGAACTTACAGTCAGGACTATCGGTACTGGGACTAGCAATCACAATACCAGAATCGGCACTCGCAGCATATTCGCCAGCGGACCCAATGTTGTCAAGAATACCCTGCTTTGCGACAGTTGTCTCAGTTGCCAGCCAGCTAGCCAAGCTAGTAGTGGCACGAGCTGCCAGGTTGATGTTCATGTGTGGGCTCGCCATCACAGCTTGTCCAAAGGTCAGCGCACATAGCGCGGTCCACAGATGAGGCGCCATGGGTCAAAGTCGTGTTCTTGTCTTTAGAATGAAACTGCGATCCTGTGAATGTTGATTTTTGGACTTATAGTAGGAGGGATGTCCCTTTTATATCCTTGCAGACCAATAGATGCAAAGCCACGCTGCTGAATCTGAACTCGGTTTGGTTCAGTTTTGATTCCCATTGTCGCCATACGCCATGCAGTTGGATTGCAGCTAAGATTACAGGTGCTCGGACCATCTGGAAGGTGGAGTTGACGCGACAAAGCGGAGATTCCAAGGTTCTCCGGTGGCTGTTTCGTGGTGGCTGTTTCGCCCTTTCCTCTAGTGCTTCTTTTTCCTTCTAGTCACAATAGTTCATGACCAATGGACTGTCACGGACGTAATGGAACAATTTTATTTGCATGGGCAGAGTCGTATGTTTTTGATATGCGAGTCACATATAGACTATGATCTACTTGATCAACATCTCCATAGATCAGCAATGATAGACACTTCTCTCCCCACTTTAACTCACTTTAAATCTTGCTTAATGTTTTTGTTTTTCTCTTTCTCTCTGTGATTTGCCCAGTTTTCCCAGTTTTCCCAGTTTTCCACCACTTCTTCTCCTTCCAGACCTGACGATCCTTCTCCTCCATGCAATTGAATCCTTGTGGATCGCCATCAGGGGGTCTAGTGCACCCTTCGGCATTCAATCATGTCGCTTCGTGCAACTCCGTTCATTTCCCCGCAGTTTTCCCGTCCCCTGTCGACTAAAATCCCCAATCCCTGCGGGCTGACGAGTTAGCCATAACCAATCAACACCATGCATCTTCCCCGACCGTGGACTCTTCGGCTTCGCTTATCTTCAGGGCGTTTTGACCATGACGCGATCGACATGTGAAGAGAACATCACCCGTTATCCCAGGACCAATAGAACAAACGGACTTGTGCAAAAGGCGGACTTTTGAAGAAATCCCCACTCCACTTGGGCGCAAGAAGACCCGGAGAAGCTTCTTCTTGCAGCCTGGCGCTTTTCTATAGCGCCGTCCCTCGCAGTAGTTTAATTACCGACCGCGATCATTTCCTCTTTTTGTGTTGACGAGGTATAGCCCCGTCGGTGAGTACCCTCTTTAGTCATCGGCAGTTGATCTCATTCCCGGTTCTACATCACCGTTATGCATCTCGGTTAAAAGACGGACGAAGAATAAACCTCGAGAATTTCCGAGAGGCGTGTTGATCTATTCCGAGTTTAAACTATTGGGCTGTTGAGCCTGCATTTCCCCTGCGGGGTGCAGCATGAAGACATGCTTCTGCGGCCCGGAGATGGTATCCGTTCTAGAAACATGGAATCATCAGGTATGACAGAGGACAGTCGAGTTGACATCAGGGAAGTAGAGCAGGGATGTAGGGTATATTTAATACAGGACTAGGGTTACGGTTCTGGTTCCGAATCACCGTTTTCTATCTTTATTCTTTCTGCGAGCAAAATGTTCAAGACCGCTGTCCAGACAGCGCTGTTGTTTGCGCAACTTGCAGTAGCCCTCACACCTGCTGAATGGCGCAGCCAATCTATCTACTTTCTCTTGACTGATAGATTTGGCCGAACCGATAATTCAACTACTGCTGCATGCGATGTCTCAGACCGAGTATGACCCTCTTACCTGCGATTATCTCCAAACTTCTAATTTTTATAGATATATTGCGGTGGCAGTTGGCAAGGAATCATTAATCACGTAAGCTTCTCCTATATCATTTGCTTAATGTGATACTCAATGCTTTTCCTTTCCTCAGTTGGATTATATCCAGGGCATGGGATTCACAGCTATCTGGATCACACCTGTTACGGAGCAACTCCCGCAGGATACCGGAGATGGAGAAGCATATCATGGATATTGGCAGCAGGAGATGTAAGATACATATTTTTGCATTGTAATAAGCATGGATTAACTTATGAAACAATAGTTACGAAGTCAATGCCAACTTAGGTACTGCAGATGATATTCTGGCATTATCAGAGGCTTTGCACGCTCGAGGGATGTACCTCATGGTGGATGTTGTTGCAAATCATATGGTATGTCGCCATTTTACCTTGACACATGCAGTCAAATTGGAATTCTAATACTCATATAAATTGAAGGGATATGATGGAGCTGGCAATACTGTCGACTACAGTGTCTTTAATCCATTCGATTCCTCATCTTATTTCCACTCCTATTGTCTGATCAGCAACTATGACAACCAGACAAACGTTGAAGATTGTTGGCTTGGTGATACTACTGTGTCCCTCCCCGATCTTGACACAACTCTGTCATCCGTCCAGACAATATGGTATGATTGGGTGGCGAGTTTGATCTCTAATTATTCCAGTATGTACACCTTGAAATTAATAAATATCATAAACCGGTGCTAATATGGTTCCTTCAGTTGATGGACTGCGCATTGATACTGTGAAGCATGTTCAAGAGTCATTCTGGCCCGGCTACAATGATGCTGCAGGCGTCTACTGTGTCGGTGAAGTCCTAGATGGGGACCCAGCATACACCTGCCCTTACCAAGACTACTTGGATGGAGTATTGAATTATCCAATGTGCGTCAATTCCGTGCCGAAAGATTCTTAACCTCATTTCTAACTAGAACTATAGCTACTATCAGCTACTATACGCTTTCGAATCCTCAAGTGGTAGCATCAGCGATCTATACAACATGATCGAATCGGTGGCCTCAGACTGTGCCGATCCCACGCTTCTTGGCAACTTCATTGAGAATCATGATAATCCACGATTTGCCTAGTATGTTTTCGTTTATTTTTACAGAAATACAATTTAATACTGACTTGTTCATCAGCTACACTGATGACTACTCTCAGGCCAAGAATGTCATCTCATTTGTCTTCCTATCAGATGGTATTCCAATTATCTACGCAGGCCAAGAGCAACACTATAGCGGAGGCAATGATCCTGATAACAGAGAGGCAACATGGCTCTCTGGATACTCTACAACCGCCGAGCTGTACGAGTACATTGCCACCACTAACAAGATTCGCAAGCTTGCTATATCTTCCGACTCGTCTTATATCACTACTCAGGTTAGTTTACAGCGCTAGTACATGGGATGTGACTAATTGGCTGTTTTTCTCCTTAGAATGTCCCATTTTATCAGGATAGTCATACTTTGGCCATGAAGAAAGGAGCCAGCGGCTCACAAGTTATCACCGTTCTCTCTAACTACGGTGCTAGTGGCAGCTCGTATACATTAACACTTACCGGCAGTGGATATTCTTCAGGTGTCCAGCTACTGGAGGTATACACCTGTACATCTATAACAGTTGATTCTAGTGGTGACATAGCTGTACCAATGGCATCTGGTCTTCCTCGTGTTCTCATGCTGGCTTCATCTGCATCCGCCTTCTGTGGTGGTTCCGCAACCGCAACAACCACAGCAACGACCACATCCACAACCACCAAGTCCTCCACCTCAACCAGTATTACTTGCTCTCAGGCAACAGCTCTCCCAGTCAGATTTGAAGAAGTCGTCACTACCACCTATGGGGAGAATGTCTATATCTCCGGCTCAATTAGTGCGCTAGGTGACTGGGACACTGATGATGCCATCGCTCTTTCTGCAGTCGACTACACATCTTCAGATCCGCTATGGTATGTTGTTGTCACACTGCCAGTGGGAACCTCATTTGAATACAAGTTTATCGAAAAGACGGACGGTTCCTCGTCAGTAGAATGGGAAAGCGATCCAAACAGATCGTACACTGTTCCAACAGGGTGTGCAGGGACGACAGCAACTGTGACGGCGAGTTGGAGATAGTTTCTGCTTTTTTTTAATTGAAGTATCGCATCAGTTATTAAACATGTTCTCAATAGGAATTTGATATATGATGTTGCGCCCTTTGAATTTGAAGTGATAAAAATCAAATTGCCCTCAATCCTCCTTGCGGCCTTTCTTTTTTTTTTGTTTTTGTCGCTTTAGTCAAATATGAAAGAAGCCACTGTTTTCCATAATAACCTCAAATGAGCCGTTACTGAAATCATCAGTAATCATAGTTGAATTATTCCGCAAGAAGTTCATCAAACTGTGGTTGGGTCGCCATTTTGGCCAGAAGGTATACCCTGTGTCCCTGGAGTTCGGATCTAAGTCGTGGGCAAATGAAAGGAAATATGCTGGGATAGCTCGAGAGACATAGTCTGACCAAGTCCCATAGAAGATCTGCAGGATATCCGAGCCGTGGAATGTTCCTAAAATGGGTGTGCCGTAGCCATAAGCCGATAAATAGGACCAGCATTGTACCTCTGGCCTAGCTTCACTAGCGAGGGTCAGAAACACTCGCCGAGTCAAAGTGAAAGTAAAGTCGCCAAGAATCGCTGCGATTCTTTTGTACTGCGGATACAAGTTGTTCCTCGTTCCAGTGCGAAATGGTGAGCCATCTGTGGTGATGTTGGAATATGTCGCGACTAGACTCTCTAGAAGCTCTCGTGGAGCATCAAGGTAGAATATATCCTTCAGGTAGTCCACAATCTCTGCTTCGATAGTAATGTTGGGCTGAAACAAGGAAAATATTGTGCCTTCATCCTCTTGGTCACCGATAATAAAAGGAACTGAAGCATATCTGCCACTCTTAACCAAAATCTCCGGCGTGTCGGTTAAAATTGTTCCATCGGGTCGGGGAAGGTATGATAAGGCGACCGAATTGTAGGAGAACCACCGAGGAACCGAATTGACAGCCTTCAGAAATGTGGAATAATCCAGGCCACGTAGACATGCAAGCGTGTCGTTAGTTTCATTGCATCCAGCTTCTTTGACAATGGAATTGAACACTGCCTGGCCCTTGACACCGTCAATTGGACTGGTGGGGGCAATACTCCCGGAGCTCATGATCGCCGCACGAAAAGTGGAGAGCCCTTATAATTAATCTTCCCATCATACATTGACATTTGACTGAAGACAGAGATTGATCCCGCAGACTGACCCCAAAGCGTGACTTTTAAAGGGTCGCCACCAAAGTCCCGAATGTGATCTGCAACCCATTCCAAGGCTAACCGCTGATCGAGAATGCCCAGATTCGCGGCGCCGTCTTTGAGGACTTCACCTCCTGGCAAGAACCCAAAGCCACCAAGACGATAATTCATGGCTACGAATATCACAGGCATTTTAAGGTCCACCGAGGCTGCAATGAGAGTCGTCGGGTTAACTGACTGTGGATCCGATTTCAAATCCTCCACCGAATATCCACACAAAAACCGGTAAGTTTGTACCTGCGACAGTCCCCGATGGACGCATAATGTTCAGGTTCAGACATTCCTCGCCGGTATTGCTGATATTGTGGAAGAATGGGGCATTCGGAAATTCGCTGATAAGAGTAGAGGGTGGGGGGTCGTGGATGACTGTCTTGTGAAGCAACTGGGGGCAAGCTCTGATTGCACTATTCAGTTGTATTATCCCCATTGGCGCTGTGATGACCTGGGGAGGTTTGAGGCGAAGTGGCCCAACGGGCGCGCGAGCGTACGGTATTCCACGAAAGCTGTCAACATTTCTTGCAGTTGATCCAATGAACGTGGCTTCGGGTTTCGATATAGCGACTATCGGTGTGTTGGCCCTTTGATGACAATGAGAAACAGCCAGTGGTAATAATAGATATATCAGCAGGAACAGTGGAATAAGCAACATCGCGGGTTGTGGGCAAGTGAGACGACAGAGGTGGAAGTGCACGTGAGGCAGGCAGCCCTCTCTATCAGCGCAAACAATTGACCCAAGCCTGTCTCGCGTCTGGTGTACTTTGATACTTCCACCATAATAAATAGATCAGTTTATCCTGATTTTTATAATTTTATAATTGAATATTTGACCTCATGCTTGTTTGAAACTGTCAATCAATCATGTTTGATACATTATATCCCATCTAAAAACGCCCAATATATGCAAAAAAGAGAACCAACCCATCTGAACGCTAGCAATACATTTCAACACCATTCGAAGACTTTCCTTTAACTGGAATGAATATGATGAGGACAGACCGTGGGTAAGATCAGAATCATTTCTCAGTCTGCCATCCCTCCCATCTTTCAAAGTCTCCTGTATCCAAATCAAACAGATCCAGCATGCGTCCCACGCTTTGATCAACCAAGTCATCAACTGTCGCAGCTCGAATATAGTAAGCCGGTACAGGAGGGAAGATAATTGCACCACTGCGTGTAATTTCCAACATATTGCGCAAATGAATATCACTCAATGGTGTCTCCCGGGCTACCAGCACCAGTCGTCGTCGTTCTTTAAGCATCACATCGGCTGTCCGCGAGATCAAATCATCACAGAAACCACTGTGAATTCCTGCGAGCGTCTTCATACTGCACGGCACGACAATCATGCCATCGGCCTTAAAAGAACCACTGGCAATGGGCGCAGCCATATCATTGATTGAGTGGACATGGTCGGCAAGGGCTTTCACATTCGCTGGGTGGTAATCGGTTTCATATTTGATGGTTGCTTCGGCCCATTTGCTCATGACCAGATGTGTCTCAATGTTCAGTCGGCGGAGGGCGATAAGCGCCTTGATTCCAAGGATAGCGCCCGTAGCCCCTGTCATGGCGACAACGATTCTTCGACGACGATTGCCCGATTGTTGGTACACCGGGCCATGGTTTTCTTGTGGCTTCTCAAGGCGCATTGTAGATTCGGTCGGACTTGCACCAGGTGACGCACGGGAGGATTGAGGTGTTCGGGTACCGGAGAGTATAGAAAGCATTGAGTAGTAGGAATTGGCTTTTGGTTGCGGGTATTCTGCGTTTCTTTGAATTTCTTGCGTTGAGTGAGACAACTCAAGGAGGATCTGAGTCGCCTATTAAATATTTCATAGTGGCAATTCTCGGACTTGAATTTTTTGTTTTTGAATCCATGAAAACCCATAAAGAAAAATCACCACATGCATCTGACGATCGGCCCGAGTCTTTGCGATGCAATTTCCGAACTCCGATGCCGAAGAGAAATGTATGCCTGAATGCCTGAATGTCTCCACAAAATCTTGCCCAGTGGCCATTCAACTCGCTGCGCCGAAACTATTGCGGCAAGTCGGCAAGTCCAATATTCTTTAGTCTTAGACTTTGTCTTCGCCTTTGCCTTTGTATTTTATGCGACCGTCTGAGTTTTAAACGCCCAGATATCAGAGAAACCCATTTTCTTGGGTGAAATCAAACAAAGGGACTATACAGCTTAGTATATGCGCGATGATGGGAAAGGAATAACATACCGTTCATGATAGAATCCAAATAAGATACTGGAGATGTATCAAAGGGATTAACCACGTCCATATAACTATCAAGGTTGCCGGCCCCAAGCGGCGGAAAGGGGTCATAATTGACTCCTGTCAGATTTTGTGGTTCGTTGGCCATTCTGTCTCCCTCTCGATCTAGAGCAGTTCGCAGGGTAACCAAAGCTCGAATGTGTCGGGCTGATAGCCACTGAGTGTCGTTTTCAGGCAGTGAAGCTCTGTCTTCCGTTGTCCTTGAGTCCGAAGACGAAAATACGTCGATCACTCTCTGTTGCAAACTGCGACATTCAGGGTCATGGCGTGTCTCTTCCCAGATACAAAGAAGCAAAGTGGAGCTTAAAACAGTGTGAACCATAGACCAGCTACGCAAGGGAACAACGCTGAGGGCTTGGAAGTCCAGAAAGGCCTTGGATGCATCGATCAAGCTCCCTTTCGCACGCGCGCGAAGTAAATCATCGTGGGGGAAAAGTTGTGGGGGTTGGGACTGTTTCATCGCGGGCCGACAAAGGACAGAGACACAGAAGGAAGTATGCATCCGCAATGCTAGATGTTCGAGATTATGTTGCAGGGACATGCAGTATTCTCGACTCTGCAAATAGGGTTGACCCTGTTTACAGATACTATCAAGCTTTTGCAATCCTTCAATGGCTGGATCACCCTCGGTAAAGCCAAAATTTCCCGGTCGCATGATATCTAATCCAAGACGACAGATGAGGTGCATTGTCTCTGCATATGATAAATCCAGTCGCTCGTGAATTTCAGCGTCGAGAGGCCAACCCGATACTGAAACAATAGGTGGCCGATCATAACACATGCAAAGAAGGCTGTCTTGCCATACTATGGCCCGCCACAGAGTTTTCACTTTTCCTTGCACATACGCTGGCCAGTGTATGGTGCTTCGTTCAGTATGCAGTCCCATGGTCTGGGCTAATCGGACAGTTGTTCCCAGTAACGCCCAAGCAGCGTCGGATTGTCCCATATTTTGTAGTGTATTGCCGAGAATCAAAAGGGCCTGAATTATGTCTAAAGATGGCCGGAAAAGAAAGTTGGCTAAGCGCAAAGCATGGAAGGATCTCCGAGCTGGGAAGTTGTTAGCGACCTTGCTCGTATCTGCACAGGGGTTCCAATTCCAGCCGTACCAAAGTCTGTAGTAATCTCTAATCTTTTGGGATATTCGATATCCGAGTAATGGGCCCCTGCAGCCAGGGTAGCCAGTAAGAGACTTATGTGACCAATCGACTTGTCCGTCGCCCACCGATCTGTGATCTTTTCTGGATCTCGTAGCTCTCCTGAGGCATGGGCACCAAGATAAGTGCACATATCTGCTTCAAATCGATCCATGTCTGCTAGAATTGGATTAAAAGGGTATGCTGTAACACGATAATAATGAAAGAATCTAGTGGGAGGTTGCAATTTAGCAAACATCATGATTGAGAGAGGAACTGAACCTTGGAAAGAGGTGTAGAAAGAGCGACCAACATACTTCAATATCTCAGTTCGTTGTGGTAAAACTACCAGTAATGACTCCCATTTTTCTCCAGGCGTCTTAGAGTCCATGAACGGATAGCTGTTAAAGGTATTCTGAAGACCCAGAACCGAACCAACCTCGCGTGCCATAGAATCATTCGCGTCCGAGGCTCGTGATCTTAAAATCGAGAGAACAGAATTGTCTCCCGAGTATACATAGTTTTTAGAAGTATCAGGCTGTGCATCAGACTGTGTATGACTATCCTGAGCTATATCAGGTGTACCTTCACTCCCGATTGCGATTGGAGGGGATGATGGTAGAGCTGAACGACTCGGGGCACTAGCTTGCGATTTTCGATTGGATGCAAGGGCATATGTGCAGATGTCCGGATGTTTCCGCTTTTGACATGTTCGGCATGGCTGATGTCCATCGCATTTAACCTTACGTTTTCGGCAGGGATAGCATGCCTTTCCTTCTCTTTCTCGGCTTTTTAGGCGAAGAACTCGATCAGCCTCGTCGCGGCTAACACCACTCATCCTGCCGAGATGTCCGAACTTGCAGGGTCAGAAAGACACTCAGAAATGCGTTTAGTAAACTTGGAAAACTATGCCATATGGTCGAATTTTCCAGTACGATAGTTAAAGCCCAAGTAATGCAATGGTCGATGGTCGTCAAAGTCGAAGATGAACTTGAAGCAAGCGTGACTACGCGATGCGGATGGGTCACGTGCACCGGCCACCACATACTATGCAAGATATACTCTACAACAGAACTGGTTTAAAAAATAATCGAAAAAGATGTTATTGTTAAGAATTCAATGGTACGTAGAATTCAAATTTAGCATGCAGCTCCGATGGTACTTCCTCCTACCAAGAAACTTCAAGTTATAGTACTACTCCGCGTAATTGTTCAAGCCAATACTACTACTATATACCATACATTAGTGTCAACTTGGCCTTGACAACTTTCGAGATTTATGAAATTTATTGTTTTCTGATGAATCTTCTTGATTGTATAATCTAAATTACAAAGGGCGAGTTATCCAAATACAGAAAAAGCCACATCAATAAATAATTCTGTCTTCAAAAGGTCACACCAAGTCTTCACTCGCCCCGAAAGCCCATCTGGGTCCACTTGGCTAGAATTTTTTGCTTCAACTCGTCCGGATAAGAATGCTCAAAGTCTGCCGCCACCCAGTCTTGCCCGGTAGTATACTCAGAAGGCATCAAGGCATCTGAAACAACCTTACCACCCATAGTAGGCGAGCCATTACCATGTCCCATGTAGGGAATCAGTGGGAATCCACGCACATCCTCGAAGAAGGTCTCGTCGAAATTAGGGCGACACCGGGTAGAGAAAGCCCACATGACGTCCTTGCCGTTGTAAACATCAATATCATCGCCGACAAGAACCAAACGATGGATGGTATAGCCAGCCTTGTGGTTAAAGACCACGTCTCCGACCTTCTTCGCAAATTCTTGAGGCGTGGCTTTGAGTTCTCGCAGACGAGCAGTGTCTACTTTTAGCGCTACCCAGGTGACTTGCGATTCAAATGGGGAAAATGAATCGGTGATGGGGAGACCACTTTGTTGGCAAATCTTGCGGATTTCAGCGGCTGCCAGGGCTCCAATCATAGTGTGCTATGAGAGATCAGTAATGCGACCGTAAGAATTGCAAAATGGAAAGATAAAAAAGAACTTACAGTCTCATCAGTCAATCTACCACATGATGACATAGGTAGAATAGGGTCATTGCGGTAGGTGATGCGATTGACCTTGTACTTGGGCCACAGATGAGTGTCACCCGGGAAGACATATCCATGCATCTCACCAAAGGGACCCTCCGGACCCGTCTCAGAGATGGACAAAGTGCCCTCGAAGACAATTTCAGAAGTGGCTGGGACATAAAGATCATTTGTGTCACATTTGACCAGTTCCAGCGCGCTGCCCGTCATAGCACCCACATAGCTAGCCTCCGTAACTCCATCTGGAATTGGCATACTAGATGCCATGATGGCAGCAGGCGGAACACCGAATGCCAAAGCCCATGGCACATCTCGGCCTTCTTTCTTCCACATTTGATGGATTTGCCAGATATGCTGAGGTTCGATCACCAAACCTGTGAGGTGCTTTTCGTCGGAGACCATAGCTCGGGCGATAGACCAATTGGTCCATGATCCATCTGGGGATTGAACGATGTGCATTCCATACGTTTGAATGTACTTGCCTCCATCAGCTTGGTGAATGAGCGGAGCAGGTAGAGCAGTCAAGTCAATTTGACTCTCCTCGAGGAAGTTCTCCTTGCAGGGACCATCGGGAACGATTTGAGGCGGAATGGGTGTCATCTCGCTGGCTGATAACATCTTGTCGAGGATATCTTTCATAGATGCAGTAGGTGGCAAGGCTAGATGACGGGCCAAACGACCATAGCGATCCTTGGAAGATTTTCGAAGGGATGCTGGGGCACCGAGGATTCGAAACAAGCCATCTTTCGCACCAATAACATTGTTGAAAAGCGGAGCGGCGTCGTCTGTTTCGCAAACAAGACGTGTGATTGCAGCTACTTCGAGATTGGGATCGACAGGCTCATTGATCTCAATCAGATCATTGTCAGCCTTGAGAGCTTCGACAAAAGATCGAAAGCAAAGATGAGGTTCGTTGGCGACCATGGTGTCAATGATTTCTATGTTATGGTGAATGCGTAAGTCAACTTGAGGTGGATTATCTTTCATTATACAACGGTCACTTTATATATCACCGCCCGGCAAACTCGGATCGGACCATTATTCCTCGTCAGAGTGAGACCCATCTCTGTCCCAACTTTATCGGCATGCCGTATATGCGTCAAATCTTGCTTGTTTAAAGTTCCGAGTGCCGAACACCGAGATCTCCGAGGGTTCCGAGGAAAATCCGGGCTTGTTTAGCGGTGGATGACATGGATGCACATGCGTTGTGGGGTGCGAGAGTTAAGCCGTGTGTTGGTATGAAGACGGAACGATATCCGTCCCTCGTCGAACTTGAAACTAGCGTGCTGTAAGGAAAGTGGGCTACTACGGCACCTTCGGCATGTCTTCTCGGCTGCGGGACAGCGCATAAATGGAGGGGCAAGACCCGACATTGCTAGAAGCAGACGATAACAAGATACAGCACAATCGCCAACGCAATGTTTTATCAACCCGGAGTCACCGATCACAATCTTCCACATGATCCATTCAAGGTAGGTGATCTATATCTCAACACCTAGACTCTTGAACACTAATTGATGTCTGTATAGGCTTGTGTCGTGCCCCGCCCGATCGGGTGGATTTCAACCAAGAACAAGGAGGGTCAGACAAATCTAGCTCCATATTCACAGTTCAACAATCTCACATTTGACCCGCCGTATGTGATGTTCTCTTCCAATCAAACTGTCAACGGTACACGAAAAGATACAGTCATCAATGCAGAACAGACCGGCCGTTTTGTGTGGAATCTGGCGACCTGGGATCTGCGCGAGGCAGTAAATATCTCAGCAGAGCAGGTACCATATGGAGTCGATGAGTTTGAGCGTGCAAAAGTGACCAAGGAACCTGCAACATTGATGGACGTGCCGATGGTTCAAGAGTCACCAGTCAAGTTTGAATGCGAATACCATTCCACTGTCCGATTGCCGGGAAACCCCCCCATGGGGACGGTGGATGTAGTCATTGGACGTGTTGTGGCTGTCCATATCAAAGATGAGGTATTGACAGATGGGATTTTGGATATTCGGAAGACCAAGCCGATCGCACGTTGTGGATATTATCAGTATACTGTGGTCCAAGAAACATTCGATATGGTGATTCCCGGCATATCAGAAGATGTGCTATACGGCTTGGAAGGGAATGCAAGGCGCAACCGCGAGGCCGAATCACGAAATACCGAGTGAGAAGCCTTGGAAAGTTTTGGTTAACGACATCTGGAGGCAAATTCCTTTCTCTGGAACAAACTCAATTCCTCGCAAGTCCGACGGGCGAGCGAGCAATTAGATAGTATATGAAAATAGAGTCAGTTTAGCCGAAGGCATACCAAGAGAAATCAACAATAATTTCATTGCAATTGAAGTCTTACCTGCTTAGTATCAGCTGATTAGGACCCTTGTCTGTGGCGTTGGCTGTAAAACAAACTTGGCAGACCCCACTCCACTCAATATTTGAACCAGTCGGGACTCATTAAGTACAAGCTCTATTCCGATCTGAACCACTCACAATCATGCCCGCCTCGTATCAAAGTCCTTAAACACATCTTAGCGGAGCCAAGAATCAAGGTTGCAGTGTAACTTACCAGCCAAGCGCGCAGCGGATGCCAAGGGACGCCAAGGGGCAGAGAATCAGCACTCGGACCTTCAAAGAGGAATCACTTCATTGGATATAAGTTGGAATCAAATCAGGGTCCAGCCATCAATCTTTGACTAGAAGGTCCAAGCCACGTTCCGCTGTGTTTGCACCACTATATTGATCTCAGTAGTTAGTACACTTAGGCGATATATCCCGGCTATCGTCGGTATTTCCGGCTTTTTCCAACATTTAGACAAATCAAATCACTTGAATTGAAACTAGTATACATACATAAAAGTCAAATTCAGCACTAATTGAAGTCGCGTGGCGCTGGGGGAGATAACGACCTTCCGAAAGCAGAATGGGAGCAGACGAGACTCTGTATCCTTTCCCTTTATAACGGAGCCAACTTCACCTCTACCAACTCCCTCCGTCAATTGTATATGAGAAGAGACACTCACATTATTATTGTCCACAGGGGGAATTTTCACCATGAACGCTTCCGATCCAGTCGATGTCGCCGAAATCGCAAAGTCAAGGGCTCTTGCCCATGATGCGACTGTGAACGAGAAAGCTACATACAGCAAGGAGGCCACGGTCGATGAGATAAATATTGAGCCTGCAGCACCTGTGTACGTAGCTGGAGATCATGATGACGCGGAAAAAAAGGTCTATCCTAACGAGGAAGATCTGCGCACTCTTCGACGTGTTGCTGGAGCATTGCCATGGACTACATATACAGTGGCATTTGTGGAACTCTGCGAGCGATTTTCCTACTATGGCACCACTGCAGTTTGTAAGTCCCAGCGAATGCGACCGTGATATTGAGGATTGAAACCTTTCCTGACACTGAAGCTAGTTGTGAATTTCATCCAGCGGCCTCTTCCTCCCAACTCCACGACCGGCGCACTCGCAGCCGGGGCTAACTTTAGTAACGATGTACCTGGTGCTTTGGGTATGGGACAGCGTGCCTCAACCGGATTGACATTATGTGAGTTTGTCAAGAGAAAGCCACCCCATCTCCATCCCACATAGCTAACAATACAATATAGTCAATTCGTTCTGGAGCTACATCACACCCATGCTTGGTGCATTCCTTGCGGATCAATACTGGGGTCGACTTCGAACAATTTTCACAGCTATCGGGGTGGCCTTGGTAGGCCATGTAATTCTTATCATCTCCGCTGTCCCAAAAGTCATGGCAACCCCCGGGGGCTCTATCGCGTGCTTCTCTATCGGCCTAGTGATCATGGGTATTGGAACTGGTGGATTCAAGTCCAACATCTCCCCTCTTATCGCAGAACAATATCGCGAGGAAAAGCCTATCATCAAAGTTCTTCCCAGTGGAGAACGTGTTATTGTGGATCCAGCTGCCACAGTCGCTCGCATCTACCTCTACTTTTATCTTATGGTTAACCTCGGTTCGCTCATTGGTCAAATCAGCATGGTCTATGCAGAGCGCTATGTGGGCTTCTGGCTGTCCTTTTTGCTCCCGACAATCATGTATTGCATCTGCCCAGCAGTACTTTTCATTTGCCGGAAGCGTTACTTTTTGGTTCCTCCTACGGGCTCAGTCTATTCTCAGGCATTCCGTCTATGGCGCCTAGCCATGAAGGGCCGATGGTCTCTCAACCCAGTGAACCTGTAAGTTAGCGAGATACCATTTTGTGACAAATCAGTCTACTAACACACGCATAGCTTCAAACGGACCACAAATTCAGCAGACTTCTGGGACCATGTCAAGCCAAGCCAGCTTGGCTCTGAAAAGCCTCAATGGATGACATTCGATGATGAATGGGTAGATGAGGTCAGACGCGGACTTAAAGCATGCAAGGTGTTCCTCTGGCTGCCATTGTTTTGTATGTGATCATACTTTTGACATCATACGTTTTCTTTTTCCTCTGCTTACATCTAATAGGGCTGGCATATAATCAAATGCTCAACAATCTCACCTCCCAAGCGGCCACGATGCATCTTGGTGGCGTACCAAACGATGTTATCAACAATCTCAACCCCTTTGCACTTATCATCTTTATCCCAATCATGGACCGGATTGTTTATCCAGGTCTCCGTCGCATGGGATTTAACTTCACCCCAGTCAAACGAATCACTGCAGGTTTCTTCGTGGCTGGCCTCTCTATGATAGTCGCAACAGTGACCCAATATTACATTTACAAGAAAGGACCTTGTGGTAAAGACGCCAACTTTTGTTTGGAAGTAAAGGGAGAACACACCAATATTTCAGTCTGGATACAAACTTTGACTTACGTTCTGGGTGGCATTTCCGAGATTTTTGCGTCCATCACCTCCCTTGAGTACGCATTTACCAAGGCCCCGCGTAACATGAGGTCCCTTGTCCAAGCTATAGCATTGTTCATGAACGCCTTCTCTTCGGCTTTGGGCCAAGCCCTTGTTGGACTATCTGATGATCCCTTGTTGGTGTGGAACTACGGGGTCACGGCAATTTTGGCCTTCGTCGGCTGTGCAGGCTTCTGGCTTTCTAGTTATAAACTAGACCGCGAAGAAGATGAACTCAATATGCTACCGCAGAGCCATTTTGAAGGTAAGGAGGAGGAGCGAGGAGTATAATGACGGGGTGAAGGCAATTATTGTAAAGCAATTGCTTAATGCACGTATAACAACAGTTTTGGCTACAATAGGACAAAATGACATTTCAAATACTTCAAAACACAAAAGCAAAACCTATGCAAGTCTGGTGAGCTCAATGATTTGATCATATTTTCTTCATAATCAAGGATATTGCGGACCTAGCCACGGGTTAAATTCCCCAACATCTCCCATTAGTTAATGGAGCAACTTATAGATCTTGAGAGTCCAATATATCGATGATTAATTGAGCAACTCCCTTGTATTACCTATATATTCCCTCGCGTGTATTTAATATGTGTTTCGATTCCTCTCCAACTACTCATTCCTTTCCCTCATCTTCATCTTCGTCTTCATCGACCTCCTCTTGCTGTTGGTTCTTTGTCTTTTTCTTCGGCTTCTTAGACTGATCTGCACTACGCTTTCTCCCTGCGCCTTGCTTACTTGCCCCATTCTCCTTAGCCTCTTTTTTGGGTGTATTATTCTCAGACGTATTTTTCTTCCGGTCGCTCGAGCGCGTTTGTCTAGCACGGGTGTTGTGCTTATGCGTATGTTCCTCCGCATCGTCCGTACTACCATGTTGACTTTCATCCTGCGAGCCACGCGCGTCACGACTAGCATCTTTTCTAGCCAATTTAGCCTTAGAGGTATTTCCCACGAATTGCTTTCCCTTCTTAGACTCGTTGACTTTCTTCTTGTCGGTTTCTTCCTTCTCATCGTCACTCATTTGCTCCCACGCCTGTTTCGGCAAATATCGTTTGCGTGTACCATTCTCCTTTTTCGCAGTGCCAGATCCCTCTTTAGTTTGCCAATCTTCCTTTGTCCACTGGTCGAGATGCCTTTGTGTTTCACTTTGCCCTTCTTCTTTCGAGGTGTTGTAACTTCCACCTCGCTTCTTGTACTCCGCAGCCATCATTTGCGCCTATTCTCGCTTAGCGACCTGTCAGAAAAGGACAGAGAAGTACAGAATACCTTTCTTGCAGACCATTGGCCTGGTTTTCCACCTTTATCACCTCGATGGATCTCCTCTTTAACTTGATCACGTAACTTGGGATCGGTATATTTGTCTGTTGGTGCCATTTTGGAGGAATTGATAAATAGTTCGATGGTGACAGTGTGTTACAAGTGTCAATGAGCGAATTGAAATAGGTATATTGACTAGAATAACCAGGATCATTCTACTTTCATCTTATATCTGGCACTGAGTGGTGAGCACATCGATCTCAATGTGCAGAGTGACATCATCGTATGGAATGTGTGATGATATCGCGAACTCAATCTGAAAGAAAAATGAAATCCCAGTTTTAATTACGGTCGGAACCATGTTTCTTTGCATCTAATTCTCTGCAAGTCAAGGTCTTACACAATGGATGAAGAATTCAAGGTACGATAGTCGCATCGTCACCCAATCGTCACCATCTGAGTCGGAAACCCCGTGGACTATTTTTCTTATTCTAACAAAATGCAATTCAATTTGGATATCAAACTGTACAGAATTCTTGGTATCACAATTCCATCATTTCTAAATCGTCACATTAATTGATTCCGATCGCGTGGTATTTACGCTTTCTGGAGTTCACGTTCTTCACGCTCCGCACGCTCCTGTTGCTCTCGCATGTACTTGAACTTGGCAGACTCCTTGGAACGAACATGTTCTTGTAACCAAGTGGGCATAGCGCGCACTATCCTGGCAATCGACAGATGGTTGGGAAGGATGACTTGGCCACTGTTCTGAGAGAGGACCTGCTTGACGATCGCGTTTGCCACCTTGTCCACGGTCATGATGGGTTGGCCAAATTCTTTCTCCCAGTCAGTCAAGACCTTGATCATGGGGGTCCGGACCCAGTAGGGGTGAATGATACTGTGCATGTGTATTAGTTTCATGATCACGAAAAGGATTGGGGGCGTCATCCTTTAGTATGAAAAAGGAAGGGGGCCGTATGCCACGGCCCCTGCAACTTACCTGGTACGTACGCGTGGCGCCTTGTAATAATAGTTCAACTCTTGTCGCAGAGTCTCGTGGAAAGCGAGCGCACTGGATTTAGAGCAACAGTAATCCGCCATCTCAGCGAGAGCAACAAAACTGGCCATACTTGCGATCGTAATAACATGGCCATGGTTGGCGCGGACCATGGCAGGGAGGAATTCGCGGACCATAAGGAAGTGTGAGATAGTGTTAACTTCAAAGCTTTGGCGAATCTTCGCCTCTGTCTCTTCAAGAATTGTGCCGTCATTCCCAACGCCGGCGTTGTTGATCAGAACGGTCGGTTCTCCATGGTCGGTGCGAATCGACTTGGCAACTTCTGCAATGTTTGCGGAGTTTGTGATATCGGCACGGTAGAATGCCACGTTCGCTGGGAGCTTGAAGTTGGGCTCGACGATATCCAGAATAACCACTCGTACGCCTCTGCGCGACAGTTCCTGCATGACTTGTTTCCCGATGCCACTGCAGCCACCTGTTAAGAGCACGAGCTCCCGGGAATTGCTCCATGGCTCAGCGGAGGTCCAATTGTTGAGAGTCCATTGTGTCAGAGAGTTGTTGATGGTACGCAACAATCCCAGACCCAATAATGCACCAGCAGCCTTTTGCGCAACGGGATTTTGGACCAATTGCTGTGCGGGCGCGGGTAACTGCGCCAGCGCGGTTTGCGAATATTGTTGCACAAGATCCCAAGCTGACATGATGGAGGGCGGTAAGACAGTGTAGAATGTCGGTATTTGGAGGTTGAGTGAAAGTGCAGATTAGAAGAAAGAGATACCATCGGCTTTTAAGATGTCATCAGCAAAAAAAAGGTATTGGGGGCTACGTCGCGGATTCTTTAGCTCAAACCCTGACGACGATCATTCAGCGATTTTCTGCACCTGCGATAAGCCGAGGCATGAAAGACCGGAGGATATGCGGAAGCCAATCAGAATCATCCAGTTGGAGCTTAAACCGAACAGGAAACCAATGCGAGTGGGACCACTACCGAACCACTATGACCATGTTCATGTGGGGCAGTTTAGGTTGAATGTGGCTGCGTTATTCGTATCTCGGTTGCATTCACATGTGTATATGATTTAATTCCCCCGCAAAAGCGTGGTTAATCATGAGACTATCCAATCATTGTCATTTTTTGAGATATGCGGGGAGCTATGATCACCTTATGCCTGTTCTCTGGAGAGTCAAATTGTATCCCTGATCGCTTAGCCTAATGCGATCGACAAGATCGGCCCTGGTCGGCTTTTCATTGTAACCCGTTTCTTTTGGCACACGCTCATGGTATACCTCGTTGCCTAGGATAATAACTACATGTGCAGTTCGGACAATCATCATCCACTATCATAACTACAATCATCACAATGATAAGGCAGACGAATTATTTTCCTTATGAAAATACCGAGGTCGACCCGTTTACTCCTCCTTAATCTACTCTCATTGGATTACTCGACTGCCGATCACTTTCTGGAGTCCACCATAAATGAGCTGGGGCAAATATGGGTCTCGCCCATATTTGGACATATCTCTCCGGGTTTCCCTCTTTCTTTCAAAATTCTGAAGTTGAGATTATTCGAGCTGCAGGTTGTGAGAAAAGGATCCCCAACTAAAATCACGCTGTTACCGAGGACATACCGATTGTTATGGCGGCTGGTGACCGTTTACCGGGCCTGGGGATTTTTTCCCTAATTGAGGCATATTTCTTGCAGCGCACGATATTCGCTAATGAGACATTCCCCATAGTGTGTCTAGGCACTTTAAGCGTCAACCTTACACTACTGGCCCTTTGGAGTGTGGTCATTTATCCGTTCTTCTTGAGTCCATTGAGACATCTGCCAACTCTTCCGGTATGTGATGTTTGCAAGGATGAAAATGATCAACAAAGAAAAAGCAGGAAACAAAGAGTAAAGGGATTGAAATACTAACAGATTCCTTAGGGTTTCTTGAATCATGGAAAAATTATCTTTGACTCACCCCGCGGCCAGGCTGTTCTGAACTGGATGAAAACAATCCCCAACGATGGACTCATTCATATGCGTGATCCCGTTGGCCAGAGTTATCTCGTGGCCACCAATCATCAGGCCTTGCTAGATGTCATGAGCACCAATACCTATGACTTTGAAAAGCCTTGGAGAGCACGAAGCTTCCTTGCACGCATTCTCGGATTCGGATTGATTCTGTCCGAGGGCCATGCTCATAAGAAGCAACGGAAGGCATTGACGCCGGCCTTCAATATCAAGAATATTCGAGCCATGTATTCCCTTATGTGGGATAAGACCAACGGGCTCCTAGTCGAGATGGAGAAGGAAATCAAGTTGAATCCGATGGAGGGGACCAGTCCAACCGAAGGAGTCGGCAAGGTAGAGATGTGTGTTTGGGGAAGGTGAGACTACCGATATTTTAGCCTGAGTCCCATCATCTTCATGGCTAACAATTATCTAGCCGTTTAACCCTTGATATCATCGGCCCAGCCGCTATGGGACGAGATTTCCGTTCGTTACAAAACTCTGAGAACAAGGTTGCCGAGACTTTCCTTAGCATCCTCGAGCCAACGACTGAGAAGATGGCCTTCCTGGCAATGAATTTGGTTACTCCTCAGTGGATTGCCCAGCGTATACCATGGAAACTTAACGACGTTATGACGCACGATACTCAGTTCCTCAGAGAATTGTGCAACAATATAGTCCGCGAGAAGCGTGAATCTTTAGCTGCATCCAAAGCCTCCGCAGAGGACCTCGAAGCCGATATCCTGGGAACGATGATGCTCGGTGGTGACTTTTCTGATACTGAGCTTGTTGATCAAATGTTGACCTTCCTTGCTGCTGGCGTAAGTCCCGCTTATTCTAATTTTATTCAGCAATCATTTTGAATAACACCCTAACTTATTATTTTTTAGCACGAAACAACTGCCAGTGCCCTCACATGGGCCTGTTACCTATTGACCCTCTACCCGGATGTTCAGGAACGCCTGCGTGCCGAGATTCGAGAGAAGATACCCTCTGCTGAGAGTTCCATCACATACAACGACTTGGAATCACTACCTCTTCTTAACGGTGTAGCACAGGAGGTTCTACGACTATATCCCACCGTTCCTGTAACAATTCGCGAAGCTATTAATGACAGCATGGTAGCGGGAACCCACATTCCCAAAGGAACCCGCATTATCCTGTGTCCATACGCTATCAACCGCAGTGCTCTGTTCTGGGGAGATACTGGAGACGAATTTGTTCCAGAGCGCTGGGTCGACACGGACAAGAATGGGAACCGTGTTCCTAACAACAACGGCGGGGCTTCGACAAACTTTGCACAGATTACTTTCTTGCATGGCCAGAGATCTTGTATTGGGAAGGATTTTGCACGAGCTGAACTTCGATGTGCTATTGCGGGTGTTGTTGGTCGCTTTGCGTTTGAGATGCAGGATCCTAAGCAGGAGATTCACATTGCAGGCGCTGTGACGACAAAGCCTGTCGAAGGTATGAATCTGAAGATGAGTCGAGTTGAGGGGTGGTAAAATGGAGTATCCGAGGCGTGGATTATGAACTAATGCTATAATGAAACCCGTATGTGACCTCACTTGCTTGTTTGCCTTCTACCTATAGCTATTATGTGGATATTCCGTACCCCAGTATAGCGACTTTTGTATATAAGAATGATTAATTCCTTTATCGCAATATGTTTTAAGTACATTGTTTGCCAACTAGGCTTTATTTTAGACTGAGTGTATAGAGCGCTTAGATACTCCCTTACATGGATTAAATTGGCGGATGAACTGAACTATACTATTTCACGGAGAAATTTGAGTAACAGACATACAAGTACAAAAGGAACAATCTCAAATACCAACCCATGCAAAATCATTTTTATCAGGTTATCTCCTATGCAAAGCCTTTCAATGCGGCGTTTGTAGCCCTGGACTATATAAAAGGCCAGTTTACCTGGCATGGCCTTCCTTCCTTCCTCTCCCCCTGCAGTCGCAGAGAGAGCTGAGTTCTAGTAATAATCATACCTCAGCTTCTTGCTAGACCCATCTTCAACAACCCACAAATATTCCACATCATCGCGACGTCTCTTTTTATTTTTAGACGTTGGCGTCTCAAAGATAACACTAGGACGAGTACGAATAGGCTCGATATCAAACCTCATGTAGAGAGTATTGTAGTTAAAAGTTGTCATGATTCGAGCTATGTGATGAGTCCCTGGTGCGAACGACCCCAAAACAATATACGCAGCGATGGAACCGATCTTACCCTTCCCGAACCAAATTTCATAACGCCGCGTAACTGGGAAACAAAGAACTAAATATAGGCTAGGATAATAGAAAAATAGATTGAATGGACGAAACTCAATGCCATAGTGATGTTAGTCTGAAACCCTGCCCAATAATAGCGCCAAATAGTAGTCTTGTATTGAACAACGAATTCGCAAAACATGAATGAAAAAACCTGCATATTTAGCAATGCTATGTTGGGAAGAATCGGGGATTGTCATTTTCAGTTTCATCTATGAAGGCCAAATCAAGCCGCAGCACTGGATAATAGAAGAAAGACTCGAAACAAACAAAGACCAATTTGGAGGCAAAATCAATACATACTATTTTCAGGGACTTCGAAATATAGGTTAGCGCCAACCCGTTTCAGTCTTGAACCATGTCACGCTCGTATATGGCTTTTGTCCTCGGACAAATATAGTTGAAGAATCGAAGTCCAGACCCAGTCCCCTTGAAATAAAACTAGTACATGGTGATGAATGTTAGGCTATTAAGCTAGAGCTCAAACTATTCCATACTACACTAAATGCAGCCTTGGAAGTGCTGCGACCAGAGTTTATCTTGATGTGGTAGACTTAATGCGTATACAATGCAGTATGTCTGCCTGTAGACAATGAATCCTCTCCTTGCTTTCGGTTTCCGAGGTATCCTCATTCCTTGAGCTCCTAAGCTTCAATACCAAACTTGTAAAAGATTTGTAAGAAATCATAGATCTCACTTATTTCATTTGAACAGCAGGCCATTGGGGAATATCATCTGTTCTGTCTTGACCATGAATAGTCAAAGGAAAAGGCTGAGACGGCGTGCGCTTTGGTATTACGGATCCCACATTCCATAATCGCCACATGCCACGGCCTTGCATAGTTCATCATCAGCATTCTTTCCCGCCACAACTAGGGAGTATTGAATAGAGTCTAGCATAGGCCCTTCGTTGGCTGCACTTCTTTTCGGTGGCTGGGGACTGGGAGAAGAATGTCAATGTTGAAATTGGCTATGAAATTTCTTTGCCGAAAAAATGCGATTCCAGACAAGATAATCCCCTTTAATCGGCAACCCAGTAGCCAAATTTACTCTATATGCATTATATAAGTGATCGTCTCTTTTAATTCCAAAATTAGCAAACTTCCGAGTCTAGACAGGCTTGACAGCCGTCAAGGTGAACTTTCCTAGGAGAAGGATTCAACATGAATTTGGTGACTTAGTGTAGTCATTTCGTATTAAATATATGCTAGTATCCAATGAATATCAATATGGATATTCGAATAAGCAGAAATCTCCATATAGGCGTTAGTATCTTCTTTAGTCAATCTAAAAAGTTGCCATTGCACTGAACTATACAAAAGTCCATATCCGGCCAAGTGGGGCCAACCCATCCCTAATTAACTAGACGAAAACGGCGACTCAGTGTGAAAACCGGACAACCAATTCCGGTTGCGCGTAAGAGTGTATTGAAAACAGTAAATAGAGACTCTATATTAGACCAAATATCCCAAGTAGTTTTGAAGTTATTCAAGTCCATTACTTTTTCTGATATCACACCCGCTTGGAAGCCAAAGGAAGATCGCACATCACATTCCATTATATCCTCTTATACCGTCCACTATCTATTACAAACCTCCAAAATGCATTTCACCGGTATCTCCGCCATTGCCATCGCTGTACTTTCCTCTACCGGCCTAGCTGCTCCAGCCTACGAAGTATGGCCCCCGGCCGCGACCATCCAAATTTCCAATGATCATTCTGGCGCCCATGCCAACGTCGCCGTTCCAGCTGATGGCGTTACACGATCTGTCCAAGAGCTTTGGGGCCATACTCCAGTCAACTTCGAAGGCAAGGTTTTCGGTTCGAGCGCTCAGCTCATCGCTTTTGAACAGACGACAGTCTGCACTTTCTCTGAAGAGCCCCATCTGCATTCAGCCTTGACTGCTAGCCGAAACTGGATTCAGCTAGGCAAGCCTGTGGTTGATCTATGCTTTGCCACCGTTGTTTGCGAAAGAAACGCATAAAACTGCCAATTTTTGGGTTTGTATTGGGGGTGACAACGAGAACATACCCCGGTACTTGGTAGCCTTCGGACCAGATGCAATTGTCTCTGAGACGAGGCTATTATAAAATATTATCAAATGTATTGTAATGTCTATTGATGTCTATTTTCATCGCTGGGTATCATAGCCCTTCAAAATAAACCATATTGCATACAACATTTTTCCTTCCTGAGAAATTCACTGGCCACGGGGACTTTTACCCGGCTTTTTGATCTACCAAGACTTTCCCATTCGCAATTATTGTCGGTAGATCATCGGAATCTTGATATGAATTGCGAATCTGATCGATTTAGATACCTTTAACTTTATTTGGAGCTTGGAGCTAAAGCATATTATATAGTATCATTAAATTCTTCACAGCAGATATACTATTGAATTACTAACGCGACAAAAGTTTCGATATACAGCAATCAACTAATATTAGATCGCTGAACTTCAATTTCGCCAATGGGAGCCGCGCCATTGCAATAGAATGGTAGGGATGATAGTGACAGCAACAATCATTGCAGTAGCAGCACCAGCACCTCCACCCCATCCAGCCACTTCGAATAGCTGAGGGAACCAGAACGGTCCAATGAAACCCCAGATCTGTCGCACAAAAGTGATAAAGACACCAACACTTGCAGCATCGCTGCGATAGCAGTCCACGGCGTAGGTAATGTTGATCGTTGTGACGATTTGATTGCCACCGGCTGCGATCGCAGCACCAACGATGGGGGTAATATTCCAAGTATCACCAGCCTTGCCAAGCTGAACGCAAAAGACAACAACACCACAGATAGTCAATACATGGCCAATATAGCCCAGCCACAGGCGGTACTCATGTTCTGGTCGCTCGCCCTTTGACTTTTGACGGGCCAACATCCAACGATCAGAAATCAATCCGCCAACTTGTTCACCAATGACCGAGCCAAGGATAACACCCAGGAACTGCAACCCTACTTGTTGGGTGTTAAAGCCGAACTGCTCTGGGAAGATCTGAGGAATCTCAATAGTGAGCATGATACTTCCCCATAGGAAAATCATGGCGTAACCTGCAGCAGGAATCATCACGTTTGGCTTGAAGGCATAGCTCAGTGGCTGGATAAAGTCGTAGAAGCGCAGAGGAGTTGGGTCAATGCGACGGAACTTGAACAGACTCTCTTTAACACTTGTCACTTGCTTTGGTGCGCCTTCCTCCCTGATGTACAGAGATTCCGATCCCAGGAACAGGTATAAGATGAATTGGACTGCGTTGGTCTGATATGGATGTTAGTCTTGTCTTCAATTTTTCACTTGAAGAAAGGGAAAACTTTGTAATGACGTACAATAGCCAGGATCCAGTAGATCCAACGGTATGATTGACGCAGGGCAAGGAAACCAAAAAGGAATGGAGCAACCGGTACTCCGATCGTCACCATCAAAGTCCAAACACCCATGGAGCGGGCGCGATCTCTCTTGAAAAATGTCTCTGCGACGACTGCACTTCCAATTGCTGCCGCTGGGCTAATGAAGAAGGCAGTGATGGCACGGCATAATCCCATTGTTGCATAAGAGTGACTCTCAGCACATCCAATATTCCCGACCATGGCACAGATCAACGAGATGAGGAAGATAGGACGGCGGCCATAGCGGTTGGCAAGAGGGCGCCAAAATAGGGGCGCTCCACCAAGCACGGCGATAAACAGCGAAACCAAATAACTCGTTCTTTGCATACTAACTCCCAAGTCGGCGGAGATATTGACGAAAGCGGATTGGATGCCCGAGGCGGTGGAAAGACCGATCATTGCGTGGAAGACAAGGAAACTGAGATTCAGGTTTTTCTAGGTCACAGCAGAAAGTCAGCAATTGATTATCTTCAGAGATCACCTTTCTTCAGGACTGTCGGGAGCTAGGGACTATCATGCATAGAAAGACTTACCCGCCATTGAGGCCAGTTATACGGATCTGCATCATTCATATCTGGGATTGGATCAAGATCCAAAGTACCATGACGAGCCAGGAGATACTGGCGATGCTCTTCCGAGAGATGAGCTACCCGGTCTTCGACATAGAAGGCTTCCTGTTTGCCAGCCTCCATCACACCGGGGCTTGAGGGAGCCCCCTCGACATGTTGAGAGTTGCTGTCAACCTTTCCCATTTTTTCCATCGCTTGATGTTGGAGGGAAAAGGGATGAGAAAGGAAAGAAAGAAGGGGGAAGATGGAAAAGGAGGGGAAGAGATAACAGAGGGACTACAGAGGAGTGGGAGAAAATGGAAAAAAAGCCAGCGATCTAAGGTCAGAGGTCATGGGAATGACTTCTTATAGCACGATCGCCACTATGGTTTCCCCGTTTCCCCGTCTTCTTGGCCGCGTGGTATAATAAACTGGGGGAAATATCTGGGGGTGGGACAAGGAGATGAGTGACAGCTCCACCCCCAGATCCAAACTGTATTCTGCCTCCACGCAGGATCCTCATGGGTCCAGAATCCAGCCAGCATCCACCCAACATCTAACGGGGATAAGATGGTCGATGTAGATTGGTTGAGGCTGTTGGAAGCGGGTAAGGAGTTAACCGGGATTGTGGGGAGGTTTGTGGGGATGAGGGGTAATCAGCCAATCAGAGTAGGATAAAGAGATTAGTCATCTCTGTTGACATTGAGCCGTGGTTGAAGCTGTTGAATGTGTTGAATCTCCTCGTAATAGAATGAGATAAATTCGACATTTAGAAGCGAATAAATGATAAATTGACAATTATCAAACTCAAGATGCCACGAACCCATCATTAAGTTGTTGAAATTTGCCTTCCTTTACACCGAGAGGCGATTTGTGGCCAACCGGACTAGCGAACGGAGTCTCCGCATGTACTTCGGAGTAGACAAAGAGCTAACACTGTATAGTACTTTTCCCCGTAGCTTGGCGGCGTTGCTTCATGTTGCTTGGGTCTCTGCTCGGTTAATCTTCTTTTGGGCACATTATAGTCCTGAGCTGAAACTTGGCCCGGTGACTTTTGAATTTATCATCCATGACTTTTTAACTCATCTCCACACCGAAGAATGGTCAAAGCTCCGTTGGGCCGACTAGAGATCTGTGTCTGTCCTAATGTACGTTTTTTTTTGCCTCTGGTTTCTTTGCTTTTCTGGTACGATACAATTAAATAAGCAGCTGTCCAAGTTCTGGGCTGTACGCTGTAGATGGCTGAATATCCCAACGAACCAAAGATTATGTTTAGGTCTCTAAAAGAGTAAACGAATTTAAAATAAGCGACCTTGATTTCGTACTAACAAAGGTAGCTAAGTCCGGGATCCTCGGATTTAATTCCTAATCCCCCTTTCACGCTTATTTCGTTTCGCCATTTGTGGCTTAAGTAGAGCTTGTGCAGTTCACCCCAATGCTCCCTTGAATCCCATCACAGATAATCTCGGGTGGGCTTCCTGCTGGACTGGTAACGTTTATGCGCGACAAGCTGATATTTGAACAAACCGCGTTAGGCGAACAGGTCAGATCAGCAATAACCTTTCCTTCCTTTCCTGAGGATGTTCCCCAAATATTGTCAAACACGATATTGGTAACGTTGACCTGCGAGGGATACTTCGCACACTCGGTCGAATTGATATCAAAATAGCACTGATCCAAGACAATTGGATTGTCCGTATTTTGAATCTGAACATTACGATAAGTGACGTTCGTGATGCGACCGTATCCTACATCTTCACCGGCCCATGCTTTCAAACGCGCCCCGTTCTGCTACAGTCAATAACTGATTCTGATGGATAGGAATGCTCAAACTCACCTGGCCATTCAATAATGTCACATTCTCCATGTATGCGTTCTCGATAAAATCCATTACACCCGAGTATTGTCCGATACTTCCCATGCTCACGCCATGGGAGTTATTGCACCATAGATTTTGCACAAAAATGTGGCTGGTATTGGATTTGGGCGAGAAGCAGTCATCGCCGTTATCCACGCGTGTGTTAGTTACGCGAAGGCCATCCACATTCAAGGTATCGAACCCATCCGTGTTCGCTGCGTCGACTGAGGCATTGGTGGAGTATGCATGAATAAACACATCGTCGAAAGAGACGTCATTGGTGCGAACGAAGAAGTTGGTCCAGCATGGCGAGTTCAATTGAGTGATTCCCTCTACACTGACCCGTGTAGCATTCTCCGTGAGGAATAAAATAGGCCGATAGAAAGTATTGTCTGGGTCCTGCACAGATCAAATGGGTAAGCCGCTGAGACACTTTAAAAAACAGGGCAACTTTTTCCATCTTACCAGGATCTGACTTCCAGAAAACTCATCATACCATTTCTGCCCATTTCCATCAAGTGTTCCTTTGCCAAATATCTTGATATCCTGGCCGCCCCATCTCCAAAATGTGATGGACTTTTGAAATGAATAATAAAAGTTGTTGGCTTGCCAATAAGTTATATTGTTTGTAAACTTCAATTGACCTTCGAGTTGAACTTCGATATCATCGAGAAAGGTTAAATCGAGCTTTGTTCCAATCATATAAGTCTTTCCTTTTTCAAGGAGAAGCCGACCGCCATGATTTGCTTGGTGAATAGCCCAGAGAAAGTCTGAGGATATATCATCCTCCTCATTCTTGGAGGCCCGAATAGTAACAGTTCGTCGGTCAGGGTATATCTGATGATGAGCACCAACATTCTTTAGTGCAGATTTATCGTTTGCTGGGATTATTTGAGCGCCCGGTATTATATGCGATGGGAGGGCACTGGCTGCAGCTAGCAGTACGCTGAGAGCTGCTAGTCTCATATTGAACGACGTTGAAGAATAGTACAAGAAAGATCAGGCAAACCAAATCAAGTTGTTCCTGGAACTTGAAAATATAAACGTTTCATACAGAGTCCAGTAGAGCTACTTATATACAATTCTTAATTATTACAATCAGGGCTATATGCAATACCAAGGCTCATGTTGTCAACACGGTAACATTTCTCCGCCTGTCAAAATCCTCGTTGGTATTGTCACTCCTTGGCAAGTTAATTCAAGTCAGATTGAGTCGATATTCCCCGCATTCTATGAACAGAAAAGTGCGGGGAATCTAAAATCTTATTATTCAGGGCCGAAGCTGGACAGAGCTACATGTATAGATGAGGTCTATACGGTCGGACGGATTAGATTCCACCGTCTGCGTCTTTGAATTTTCCACCAATCAAGGATTTTCGATCGGCAACACTATAATACTGCAGTATTTTCTTGCCTGAAAGCTTTCCCGACGTCGTAGACATAGATGATTATATATCCGACTATGGATTCACTAAAATTGTTGTGGGATAACGCATATTCGGACCGATTAACCAGCCAGCTTGAGACACATGACAGCTATCTTAGGCTTTATCCACCCGTACACCTTCATGAGCGAGATGTGAAGAATCATCAATGTTTGGCGATGATATCTTTGATCATTATCCTCGTTTTCTTGTTACATTTCCTTCCCATCATAGCTTCTTAGCTGCCAACACCAAGCCTGTAATGCAGCTGATGTTGCCGGACCACCATACCACAGAGCGGAGGTAGCTCAGTGATCTGTTCTCTATGTATGTATAACAGAGACTGTATGACAAACGGGATAAGCTATACCAGACACCAATAGTGTTGATGGTTTCGTTGGGAACTCCCGCAAACAACGCGGTAAGAACTTCGACCGAATGTCAGTGATCATGAATCCAAGTATATGAGGCCTATGAAAAATGGCGGAACTTACTAGCAGCAACAAAAAAGCTGTATCCTTCGACTGCATTTGCATGGGCAGCTTCCTGGCGCTTCAATTTGTTCAAAGCCTTTCTGTCTATTTTTCCAGATTTCACGGCAGCTTCACCGAGGGTGGCAAGGTCCTCGCGAGGAGCAACGTTATTATCGATCCTAAGGCGAGTCTTGGTAACACGGGTGCTCATGACTCCATACGCGAAAAACCAATTAACCAACAGCAGAGTGGCAGCATGGTTCGGAGTGGGCACGCCGGGCACGGAGCGGAGTCCTAGGGTGTTGACGATGGAACTGGATATGTTAGCTGCGGAGACGGCCATTGAAAGAAGTGGAGATGAATACATACGACATGATCGTAAATGTAAAGTGAAGTTCCAATGCAGGAGGCTTGTTTACACGATCAACTTTTGCCGGGCGGGTTCGCAGTTTATGGGGGATCGATCGCATGTGGGTTTTATCAGGGACCGAGGAAGCCTGTTGGGATGAAATCATAGACGCCGATCATTACCTGAGGTGGTAATGATTATCGTCTAGCTCCGAAGAACCGGTGAGGTTCTCAATTGAAGCTGCATCAATTCAGTATTAAGCTTATATTGTAAATATTTCGCAGAATTCGGACCTGCACTACATCTTTTACCCCTGAATATGGAATTCAATATGCCCAAGATAAGGATACCTATTTTAGTACCTGAATAGCGACATGTGGACTGGGATTGTATCCAAGATGGCATTGAATGTAATCCTGCATCTGTTTTTAGTGCTCAAGATGCGTATCAATGATCATCAACTAACCAAGATAAACTCCATATTTGAAAATAAGTAACACCTTAACATTGCAATGAGAACATGTAATTTTGCGCAACTCATTCCTATTAAGAGTAAAAGGTTATTTGGGTTTATCCTCGGCTCCTCGGTTCGGCGATCATAGATGCCATACCAGATAAGATACCTAGTCCTCACTTCATTTTATTCTCTTTGCAATTGGATCTTAAATTGCGAACCGTACGCTCTTTATGGATATTGCTAGTGCTTGTAAGGTTGGAAACTTCGCAATCACTGAATTTTACTAATCATATAAAGATTCATGGACCGAACAACAAAACTACCTCAAGACCCCCGATAGAATCCCGAAGGGCTACGATGAAAATTACCAGACGTTGATTCGACGAAATCCTGAGACATATGTGTGGTTCAGTGTTGGATATTGGTACTTCCAGCAGACTCAGTGGACTTCGAAAAACCAGAGGTGGAGTTTCCATTCTGGTGCAGGTGAACACCTTCAGCTATAATTCAGTGAAAAGGATCGTGGGACAGAGTTTAGTGAAAGCTCGGTATGATCAGGCGTGCAATATATCAAGCAAGCGGGACGAGAAAAGAAAGACATTTTTGCCACTGAAATGTCAAGCTAGAATTATTTTAGATGACGTTTTTCATGAAGCCCGAAAAATTATGTTAAGCCCGTAACCTCCGGAAAGAGCAAAAGTCTTCTGTCCATTCCACTGAGCCCACCTCTTGTAACTTGGCCATCTCTTGTAGCTTAGCATTGAAATCTTCCATTCTGGACCGCTTGCCTATAATTGTACTGCCAAATAACACCTCTGTCAATCCGTGCCTCCACTCGGATTTTTCCGAGTTCCGCCAAAAGTGTGGCCACAGCATCAACTGAGTCGCATTGCTTTCTGGCTGGGTCGCCCATGCCTTGATCGGAATTTCTGTTTGAGGCCTATGATTTCTCGGTACGCTGAGCCCCGAGGCTGGCGGACGAAGGCCTCTGAGCTTTGAAATTTCAGTCCTCTGAGCGTCGGTTACAGGAGCCTGGAAGTAGACCCAGAATAATTGAATGAATGAAGAATCCAAGACCTCAAACCAATTCCCAACATAAGAAATTTCGTGGGAGCTTAAGATTATAATGTCCTTTGCTGCCAAAGTTTCCCAGAGAAGCTGGGCTGAGGGAGAGTCTTGAAAATATTTTATTGCATCGGTTGTCTCCCACACTGAGAATTCATGAGCACGTCAGTATCTTTATCTTTAACTTTCCCGAGCGGTACTTACAAGTCGCTAGTAGAGCAGTTTTTGGTTCATCTTGAATCATTCCCCACATAGAGCGATTGTGGCCAGGGGAGTGAATCAATGGTTGAAAATATTCTGACAATTGCGCATCATCAAGCTCTCCGCTGGGGACTTGAAGTTTCGTCAAGACAAATCTTTCCGGGAGGCCAATTTTGCTGAATAAATTGGAATCGGCCATAGCTGATGAAGAAACAAGAGGGGCAGATTGTTAGGGGAAGTTCATGAGAATATCAAGAGTAAGAATTGGAGAGAAACAATGCCGCTAGACTGAAAGGGTACACACTAAGGATTAACCATATTACTCGATTACTAGTATGAGTAACGTATGAAACCAGAAACAGCCGTCTTTCCGTAATTTTAGAGGGCAAGCAGACACTTCACCGTCCGTGCCATCACTACCCAGTTCTTGGGACTGCGAGCGGTCCTGCCCTGGTAAGCCGTAGGATCGGCGGTCTCTTGGTGGTCCGTCACACAGGGTAACTTACAGTTTGTACTACCTTATGTAGAGGGATTATTATACATTAAAGTTATATAACATATGAATAGAAAATATATTTCATTCATCGCTGATATGAATTCTAAGAAAATCAAAATATATTCAAGGTTACCTTCGAACGGAATCACGTAGACTATATATATTACATGAGTTTTCTCTGTTAGGGTAGGGAAATAGATACTACCTGGATTGAAGTCAGTTGGTGGTTCCCAGGAGGAGCCGAATTTTCCAAAATGGCTATAATAAATAGCAATATGCAGAGGATCAATGCTTCAAGAATAGCGAGACCAGCAAAGATCAAAAAGCCCAATTTTAACCATCCTTCCAAAGTCCGACAAGAGATTCTTTTGTTCAGAATTTGGATAAAAGTGCGCACTGGCTCGCCGTAAAGCTTGGTGTTTGGCGGCCAGGGGCCATTTATTCGCCCTCCCAGGTTGTCCAGGCCAAGTACTCCACCAGCTGCTTGAAACTCTCTACCGTGTCCTTCAGATCCTTCCCATCCAACAAGCCGGACGCTAGAGTAGAACAAACCTTCTTCGAAATCGAAGAGACAGCACGACCTCCAACCGACTCAACGGGTGCAGAGCTGGGAATGAACTCGCCTTGGCACAGCTTCACAATCTCCTCCTTCGCACCAAACTCACTATAGTCAATGAAAATCTCCAGCACCCCCTCAATCCTGTCTCGAAGTGACTCAACAGATTTGAATTCCCCAGCAGCATAAGTCAACAATTCATCCGAGTACCGGAAAACAATCAAATCAGCAACAGCTTGCCAATCGAAAGCACCAACCGGGGGTTCCAGGGTATTAACCATGGCATTGATATCCCGCCGAATGGGCTCCAGCAGCCCAGTGGGAATATGATCCAACACCGGACGATCAGAACCACCAGGGAATAGATCCAATCCATACCCGAAAGCAGTAACAAAGTGATCGAAATCCAAATGGACCTTTTGTCCAAGGAATTGATCATACCTTGTAGCAAGCGAGCAATAATCACCCCTTATCGGTCCAAGAGGTCCACCGCCAGGCCTATGACCCTTTCCGCCATTCGGGCCCTTCGGATCCCATGGTCCTCCATGATCTTCACCTACACCGCCATCCGCTCTCGTCTGTATAATCTTCACAACTTCCAGATTACGCTCGAACTCACACAGGATTATTTCGAAATCGCCTTCCGTACGCACAATCCCATCAATTCTTCCTCCCCATTCTTCCTTGGCCATACGACATGTCTGGAACGCACGTTCCATCTCCGGATCAATATTGAGAGGCGGACGCAGACCAGGCACCGAACTGGTAATTGTATCGTTAAAGAGGATCCGATCTTGAGATTGCATGTCCCCGCCCAGCCCAGCTGAGTGACCGTCTATGTATAGCAGACGCAGATCTTTGGCAGCAGCATATGTGTGCAGATATCCAGCTGTGGGTACATTGAGAGGTTGTTGTGTGTCTCGTTTTCCTTTCCAGTTGCTGCTGTGAGCGTAACGCAGGGATTTCTGTGGTTTGAAAGCTAGCCATTCGACGCCGATGATGGGGTCTGATTTGTCGGTTCCGTGATAGAAGCGGGTTCCTTTTTGGACTGTTGCCAGGTGGAAGGCCAATCCATAGGGTTTTATGGCTGTTTCATAGTGTCGAAGGGTTGATTGGATCCCGTTGAAGATGTGGTTTGCATTTTCAGGTTCTTCGGTACTGGAATTTGCATTTGCCAGTCCAGACTGTCCTAGGCATAGAGCCCAGAGGTACTTTATTGGTCGCATTTTGTAGTGAAAAGGACTTCGTCAGGGGAAGAGGTTCAAAATGTTATAGCCGCCAACAGGCCATAATGAATTCTGCCTGGCCAAGACCTCACCGCTAGTGTCACCGGCTAGGCCCGCCCCAGCCCGGCCCTCATTGGTCAGGTGACTCAGGTCTATTTAGTACGCGACAGCTCGACAAGCATGGGTCGTTACGGTCAATACTACTGTTCTTTTTGAGGAGGGTAGTGATTCTACTCAGATGGCTCTCATACATCTGCAGCCTGGCATTCATCTCTTTCTATTATATTCTCTGGTCAAGCATTGTTGGATCCATATGCTCACAATCAATAGCCCAGATGTTCTCATTGTCTCCTGGAATAGGAACGTTTGTGATCGTCTTTGAAACAGTAATAAAATCTTCGAATTTTCTGGTGATCGGTTTCAAAATCTACTAAGAGTTAGACATGAGTCTTCAAAATCTGACAATTACTCACCTCGCGATGGATTGGGATCTTCCTAGATCTGAACCTCAATCCAGCGAAGAATACAACCAGTCGGTCATCCTAAAGAGTATCAATGACATGTCCTTCAAATATGAGCTTCAAATTCATACCTTGCTGGCCTTGTACCGCATCCATCCACCATCCTTCCGATTGACAGACCACCCTACTCCAGGTCCCAGTTCTCCGATTGCATCTACGCCCACATCGAACCCGATTTTGATCTCCTTTCCAGCTTGATCCCATACATGAATAGCACAGTCTTCCGTTGCCCATATATTAGTGACCACGCACAATCCATGCTCTAGAATCTCACTGCGATGCTTAACCAATTGCGCAGCGTTCTCGATTACCCAGTTTTTGAACATGGATTCGTGATAGAATCGTTCATGAACGACTGGAGGTGCCGTCAGCAGTAATGCACCTCCAGATGTCGAGTTCGAGAATGACAACTCTGCAGAAAGATTCACAGGGAGGGCTGCAGCAAGCCCAGAGGATATCCCACCAGAGAAGTCGATATTATGCGCGACCACATTCTCCGATGTAAGTGGGCCCCATTGAATGTCGGTATCTGTCGGAGCACGTTCTAACTCTTCATTCACTGTGGAATAGCCTTGTTTCTCTAATTTCGTCGAATCCGATAGGTCAGCGATGGGATTCCAAGACCCATTTGAATCGAAATAGCCACAGATTCCGGGGTGGAACTCCTTAATAGACAGTGGGGTGTATAGAGCTGTGCCAAAGGGATGATTTCTCATATAAGAAGCATAGGTAATGTTCAGTGGTTGATGTCGTGGTGACATTATGTGTTGTTGAGTTGTTGAGTTGTTGATCGTGGACAGCGCGAGACATGACGATACGCGATCGTCTCTGCGGGGTCATAGCGGGGATCCGCGTCGCTGGCCACAACCAAGTTGATTGATCCCTCGTCGTAGGATTGGGAGGCGCACTTTGCTCTATTTCAACACAGAATAGTATACGCAAACTGCGTATAATAATGCAATATTCGCTGATCAAGTCAAATAGCTTATATTCATGCCATCAACGCCGCCATTTAGCAGAGATGTGTTCACACGCGACCATGAATTGCAACCATCTGTCGCGTCGCTTTTACCGGCTTCAGCCACCATCGACCACGTTCTCGTACGTCCTACTGATGATATCCACAGGTATTTGTTGAAGGATCTCGCGGTAGAGAGGCTCAACAAGATCCACGCATACCTTTGGCTGGCCGGCTGGCCAATGCCCCCGAAACCCCTGAACTTCCACGTCGCCGCCACTCGTGAACTGGTCTTGGATGAGCGAATCAACATGCACATGGTGTGGGGCTCATCGAATAGTCTTCACTTGAAGCCAATTCCTCGATATATTATAGATGCAGACTTCTGGCAGTCTCATCTAATCTGTTCTTGTTCATCGTGTGGCATTGATCAAAATAAACAAGCGAAGATGTGTACCCGGGAGTTGTACAAGTACAGCATGGGCTTTCTACGCTCATACATTGGCCTGATTCAGTTTGAGAGTGACATTGCGATCGCTCATAGCCATCACCTTCTGCCGAAAGAGATTACATGGTCGAAATGGCTCACCTTCGTCGAACAGGTTCTAAAGAATGGAATCTCGGATCCTGCGAACTTCAACTCACGATATTTGTTTGGCGAACTGAGATTATCTCGGCTTAATCAGATCTGTGTCTTCAGGTTTGGGCAAGTCCTTCGGGGCTATCAATTCACATATCAGACATATGGAGAATTGTTCCGTGCTCATGTTACACCTCTCACTGCTGCAATCGTGTATATTGCGCTCGTCTTGACTGCTATGCAAGTCGGGCTAGCTACAAATCGCTTGGGAACAAGCTTGTCTTTCCAAAATTCCTCATACGGATTCACCGTTTTTTCCATTCTTGCTCCGCTCATTGGGCTTGTGTTGGTTGGGATGTTTGGCGTGTTTCAATTTGCTGCCGCTCTAATAAAGTCTTGGAGATTCCAACAAGATCAATTCAAACTTTTCAAGACCCCGGTTCCATAGCACCAGTTGGCTTAACCTTTACTGTCCGAGGTTAAACCTGCTTAGCGAGTTGAGATCAGCAATCAAGCAGCATGAAATGTGGGTAAAAGCGGTTCATGTTGCATAGTATATTTCTATATTTTACGCTATGAATGAATGAGTCTATTTTCAATACGGAATTGAACAAAAAATTCAGAATTCTACTCAATCGTTAATAAGTAACCACCTAGAGAGGCTTCTAGTAGATTCATCGGATGCTCTCAGGAATTTCAACTCATTCGGATATTCCAAGGCTCGATATGACATGAGAACGAATTCCCCTGCTTGTTATGGTCACCTCACTTGTGATATGCGTCAATTATCTGATCTTTCCGAGCATTGACCACTCGTGCCGTCACCAAGGGGCTTCCTTCGATTCTTGAAAAGTCGTGCGCATCTATGCAAGCTTGTCGTGATGCAAGAAAAGAAGGCTCGGCACGCGAGAATATATCGTTCGCGTACGCGTCCAAGGAATTCTTCAAGGAGTTGAGAGCAAATGACTCAGGATTCTGCATGTAAACTCTCTTGACAAGGTCTAACACATCCACAATGGCATTATTTGCACCTTCGCCTCGAACTTTCATCATGTCAGCTATTTTTTTCTTTTTCGCTTTGCCAAATGATTTTTCACTTACACATAGTCATTGTATGAGCAGAGTCACCCACAAGAACTGTCCGCGGATGTTTATGCTCATTTCCAAGCTTAAACATCCAATCTTCGATCCGAATTGACCTCACTTCAGCATCTTCCGGCAACTTCTGTACCAAAGAGCGGAACGGCTCAGCCCAGTTATCGGTCAGTTTCTTCATGAGCGCAATGCGATCTGGACCACTGGCTGGAAGGACAATTCCCTTGCTATCTGCCCATGAAACAATAATTTGGCAGTGGTACTGGTCTTTGCTACTCTCCTCGAAGTTGCTTGGGGTATCCAGGACTAACAGGAATGGTCAGCAGTGACAAATATCAAGACGCGGTCAGGGAAAGAAGGACACACAGCTGAAAAAAAGGAATACGTTGGTATCGGGGTGTGATCCTTGGAAGATGTAAGGATCAATCAACTCCACGCCACCCATCTCATCCTGGGTATAGAGCTTAGATGCTCCGAGAAGCTGCACGGGGAGCTTATTCATCTCGCTGTCCGGATACAAAATTTGACGAACACGCGACCGAGCGCCATCGCAAGCAACTAGCATACGTCCAGTATAGGACGTGCCATCATCAAAATGCGCAGTGATGGATTCTTCGCATGACTCGATATCCCGGAGAGTTTTGTCCCACTGAACATCCAGTCCAGACGTCAATAGTTCACGCAGTCGCCCTCTATTGACACGAATCCTCTCTTCCGCTGGGACGTTGTACAACGCCTCGCCTGTTTTCAAATCGAAGAACTGGAAGCTTCCAACATCCGCTCGAGCCACAGCCTCCTTATTGACATAGGTGTCAGGGAAACGTTCAAGTATGTGTTTAGGAAGCAATTGACGTAGAGCAGGGAGACTCCAGTGTAAAGTAAGTCCCCATCCCCCTGATCGTGCATCTAACGCAGAATCGCGATCGAATATTCGAAAGCGAACCCCTTGGCTTTGGAGATACTGACCTAGGATGAGGCCGCTAATGCCTGCGCCGACGATCAAGACAGGGGGATCCGACATGAAGTGCGGAGTACGCCGTCCTGTTTGCCAACGTTGTGAAAGAACTTGAAACGGCTTTCTTCTTTTCTTTTTGTTTTCTTTTTCCTGCACTCGAAGTTTGCTTCTTTCTCAGTCTATTTCCCCCTCTATTTTGTGATTGATCAGATCATCTGTCACTACCGAGTATGGAGTGGAGCATCCCTAACTTCCAGGGATTCAGCGTTGCCTTCGGGGAGATGCGCGCATTAATTCACTAGTGGAGAACGCAGGGTAGAAGGATTCGGATCCTGGTGCCCAACATAACCAGATGTTGAATTGTGCGTTATGATTCTTTCACCAAACAAGGCATACATATGCGGGTCTCCGTACATCGGAGCGGAAGTTAATCTTTTCCTTCCCCCCCTCTTCTCTCACTCTCATCCCTAGGTTTGAAAGTTAATACTGGTCCCTGGTAGCGGATACGAAGTCTCCCCTGGGCTCTATCTAAAACCTTTCTCGTTGCTTCGCCGGACTCCGCCGAGTTGAAACTTTCGCGGCCCGAAGCTACTAAGATCGGCGCGCGCGTTATCGACGGCGCCAAACTCAATGCCCACTAACCAGGATGCCGTCATGATTTGACCCTAGATTCTGAACGATCAATGGATCGACCGGCCCCACTTGATACACATACTTCGAAAAGGGGGTCAATAAGTTTATTGTGGCGCTATACCCCAGTCTAGCGCGATGCATCGGGACGGAAATCTAACCAATTGGTCCCGATTAACGCGAAAACCAGTCAATCTTGAGACGAGAAATCAACAGGCGCATGTGTTTCATTTCCTCTATATACATTATTATAGGATATAAGAACATCCGGGCTTAATGCCACGAGCTCTGCCACCTGGGCACCGCAGAAACCTCGGATATACTACCGGATCCAGAACTTGAACGATCTAAGCAACATCACCCTCTGCTGGATCCTCGCATTGATTCATTTTCTACCCGATACTCCACTGTCATCTCGATCCCACCGTGGGAAGGTTCGCGGCTAGCGAGAATTAACTCTTCGCTCGGTGTTCGTTTTGGGTGTGCTGGACCCGATACGTTCGATTGTAAGTGTGAGCGCTGGTTTTTCGACCAATTTTCCATGATATAGCTGCGTCCATTGCTGTCGTAGTAGTATCTGCGACCACTGGTTGAGCGGAAGTCGCGCACAAAGCTTTTGAGAAGTGGTGCCAGGTATGGAACACAGGTCATGATATTCTAAGAAACAGATTAGCCTCTGATAGATTAAACTTTCTCTCTTCATTATGTTCTTTCTTTCATTTCACTTCGTGTTGCCTACCCCGACATTAAATTCAATGGTGCCCCACAGGACCAGCATTGTAGAGTCTCCATCACCAAAAGCCACCCGATGAATTTGTGACAGTCGAAGAATTGAGCATGTTGTGGTGAAAAATCCCAATAAAAATAAGCAAACCACGCCTGCTTTCTGTGCCGGTTTGATGTTGAGTTGTAGGAGAACTGGAATCGGTAATATAATGATGATCACATCGAAGACGATCGTTACTATGGCTAAGGCGTAGAAGGTAGGGCCAATTGGTAGACAAGTTCCGTTGACAGATGTATTCCAAGCTTTTTGAACCTAGACAATCAATAATTGGTCAGTATTTCGGACTCAGGTGACGAGCTGCTGAAGTGGAGTTCATACTGGTGTGCAATTAAAGATCAAAACCAACGCGCCTCCAAAATGTCCCAAAGATGAGCCTCCAATTACCAGCCAGATCATATTGCGATATAGTGTTTTCGATGTTCCAGATAATAAACGAAGATAGCTCAGACAGAGCGAGGCTTTGAACCCAGCAATACCGAGCTGGTAGAATGGACGACCGGCGTAGTTTAGCTAGAGAGATTAAAAGAATATTAGCAATTGAGTCTGTTTCATTGAATAATTAAGCAAACATGCTGTATACTTACCTTTGTATATGTCGGTAAATTGGGCTTGGGTCGCAATAATAGTGGCAATCCAAGTCCATATCGAGATTCTGTATGCGAGGAAACGGATCAAATCAGCGGAATGTTTCAGGAAATAACAGACAATTGAGTAGAATACTAACGCGCTATGCACAATGCACTGTAAATTACACTAAAAGTCTTCAACCGAGTCAGTCAATTGTTAAGCCACATTTCCCAGCGCATACTGACCATGCTTCCTACCATCACCCAATCTGCCGCGCCTAGTCGACTTGCTTTCGCCCGCAGAACCAGTCGCAAGCAGACCGTTATCACCATCAGAGTCGTCAAACTGAGGCATACCTCCAGAATTAGCCGGTATTGAGACGCCGCTTCAACTTCAGGCGTGGCATTATATACCCATCCCATCGTCGAGGATGAAATGCTTCAAAACGCCGAGCGAAAGGGGGAAGATATTATAAAAAGCAAGAATTCAGGACGTGGAATCCACGTGGAGTCCATACATGCAAGTCCAGCGTGATTTTATTTAACTTTCTTTGTATTTTCTTCTCCCTTCTCTGTTCTCTCATGAAAATGCTGGTCGCAGGGTTTAGGCTTTTATTGGTAGTTCAACCCCCTTGCACATCCATTTGGACCAAACTCGGTGGAACCAGACGATAATTCCGGTCGGAGACATCGCGGTGGTCTCCGATGCGTGAAATAATTTATATTTTATTTAATTGTAATTTTTTAAAAATTTCTCATCGCGAGATTGACCTTGTTCGGGTTGATGAACTGCCAACCACGTACAAGATAGAGGAACCAACCCCCTTTCCGACGTACTTTATTCCATTCAGCAAGACAAAAAACGTAAAATAAAAATAAAAAAATATATTAAATGCACTTGGACTTAATGCTATGTAACCATAGCCCCAAGCAATCTCGTCCTACCTTCGTTATCCCGAATGCTGCTTCTTTCCACGCACAGGTACATCCGTCCATAGGGTGATGCTCCACATATTAATATTTCACCGAATTCTGTTCTCATTTCTCCTTTCCTGTCTTCTTTCTTAACTTTAATTTTTGCTTTTTTATTGTTTCTTTTCTCTTTCCCTTTATGAACTCGGGAACTTCTTTTACTGTCCATTGTTTGCCCCCTCATTGTCCTACATGCAAGTTTTCAACATGGACAAGAAACAGCCCGACTCGGTCAATTCAGCTCCAAAGACTACGGCACAACTTGACGATGCTGCTTTTTATCTGGAAACTCACGCGGAAGAAAATATCAATATGGATCTGAAAGCTTTACGAAGCAAGATTGATCGGCGATTATTACCCTTTTTCTTTTGTTGTTATGTCTTGCAGTTCCTGGATAAGGTCATGGTCAACTATGCTGCAGTCATGGGATTAAAAACCGACCTCAACCTCACGGGAAATGACTTTTCAAACATTGCCAGCTGGTTTTTCATAGCGTATCTCATTGCCGAAGTGCCGAATGGTAAGTTTGATCTCGACTAAAAGAAGCTCAAGAGAATGAAAGAGAGAAAAAGAAGAAAAAAATCACCACGCCCCCTTGCTTGCATTCTTGCGTCTGCCGATGATCTTCCTCATTTTTTCTAACGCATGGTGTCATGTACAGTCTACTTCTTGAACAAATTACCAGCTGCGAAATGGTTAGGATGTAACGTCTTTCTATGGGGTGTAGCTGCCGCTGCATCAGCTGGAGCTCATGATTATCGATCTCTATTAGCTGCTCGGGTATTCTTGGGGATTTTTGAAGCAACTATTGGCCCATCCTTAATGCTGATCAGCAGTCAGTATTATACACGCAGTGAACAAGCCCCTCGATTCACCTTCTGGTATATGGGCTTGGGCGTCGCTCAGATTCTTGGTGGCATCATCTCGTTCGGTTTCCAGCATGTTGAACACGCAAGTCTGGATAGTTGGCGCATCATGTTCCTGGTTCTCGGTCTGATCACAGCTGTCGTGGGTGTGTTGACTTTTTACTTCACGCCCGATACACCCATTAAAGCTACATGGCTATCTGACCAGGAAAAGGTCGCTCTCTTACAACACGTCGGCCAGAATCAAACTGGGGTGTGGAGCTCCAAGTTGAACTTCGAACAAATATGGGAGGGTCTCTTAGATCCCCAGCTCTGGCTCTTAACACTGACTACTATTGCGGTAAGAATTGACGTATTCGAAACTGTCTTCTTCCAATCTAATTTTTTTTCCCAGATCTCCATCTCCAGTGGCGTAGTAACTACATACTCTTCTACCTTGATCGCAGGATTCGGTTTCTCTGGTCCCATCTCTGCCCTCTTGAACACACCATCCGGAATTGTCAGTATTTTCTTCACTCTGCTAGTTGGATACGGTATTCGCAAGACCTCGAACCGGTGGGCCTGGAATGTCCTATGCACTATTCCAGGTATTATCGGTGGCGGACTCATGTCTTTCCTACCACACAGCAACACAGCGGGCGTCTTGATCGGCATTTATCTGGTCAACTCAATCGTCGCAACGCTTCCAATCCTCTACCAGTGGACAATGGCAAACTGTGCAGGTCATACCAAGCGCAGTTTTGCTGCAGCCCTTGTGGCTGGCAGTTTTAGTGTGGGTAACATTATCGGGCCTCAAACATTCCAAGCTAGCGATGCACCAGAATATCGACCTGCCAAGATCTCTGTTCTCGCCACTCAAGGAGCTGCAGCAGTTCTTTCTGTCTGTCTCTTCCTTTACTATCTTTTTGAGAATCGCCGTCGGGATCAGAAGCACGTTGCTGATGATAACATGATTGATGAAACCAAATGGGCTGGGCTCACAGATCAACAGAACCCTCACTTTCGATATGCGTACTGACGGATTATCGGCTTATTGCAGCGCTTTTGACCTAATGATGAGTGGAATTATGAGTTCTCTTGTATATGTTATGACAACAATCGCATTCTGCGAGTTTTGTGTACAATACCACACACTAGTGTCACAAGGTTGTGCGGATATCAACATAAAATGACTCGAACACAGTGTGTAACTGTGACCTGAATATAAGCGTCGACCTGTGAATCATAGTTCCTCGACTGACAACTCAAATAGCTTGGTGTGCACTATGTACAAGTACGACGGAGCACCGCGGGCAGCAATCGAAATCCGGTTCGAGGTAACACTTCGTCGATAAAGTATCGCCACTGTTAAATATAGCTGACTAGCTGGTTGGCTAAACACCAAGTTTGCTCGATGCGTGAACCGAACATTATTAGGAAAATGAGGAGGGAAAATATTTGGCAAGATGATCGAAAAGATGGTCCTGCACAAGATTGGAGATCATAACCTCAATTGAGTACACTGAATACGGACTCGCTGTAATCTCACTAGACTGGGGACGCATGTCCGATCCGAAATGGTATGAAAGTCCCCATCTAATTCGACTGTCTGGCCACGATGATCCGTCACAACAACATTAAAATCCAGCTCAATCATAAAACAAAAATCCCGCAAACAGTCATTAGTTTTTCCGCCAAACAGATCTCAGGTAAACAAGAGCATAAATCATCAAGTAGTTTGTAACAGTAAAAGCAAGAAAGATACCAAAGTAAGGCCAAAGCTTCGAATCGTCCAGACCAAGACTAGATAAGTAGTCATCTCCGTAGCTGTACTCGCAGTATCCACATACCCCAGTCGCCGCTGGATTTGACAGATATCCCATATTCTTCTCAATCAGCCAAGGTCCGGCATACTCCTGGCAAGTCAAAATGGATGGGCTTTCGAAGAATGCCAGCTCGCTCTCTTTGCAAACCACCGGCGTGCCACGAAGCACGGAAGTAAGGACGCCACCAATCCAATATGTGAAGGGGGTAGCATAGTACATTGTATAGTGCCATACAGCCGGCATCTCATGGCCATGCTGTAGCACTCCACTGAACAGCTCTCCTCCTATCACAAACATGGGCATCAATGTAGCTGCAATCATGGAATCAGAGCTAAAGTCAAATGTTAGCCGGTGATGTTTGTAAAACTCTAAGAGATGAAGGAAGGAAAATCGTAAATACCTCAGAGCAGCAATCCATTGCCCCCAAGATGTGGCAAAAAGAAAGAAAAGAAAAAACATCAGAAAACTGTATCCTGCCGCGAAACCTAAAGGTAGTCCCACCATGAAGTAATACAGGACGTAGAAGACAACTGCACCAACGATGGCATATGGAATCTCCGACACTATCTGGGCAGTGCTGAATGCGACCCAATTGTAGATACCACTCGGTCCTTCTCTCGCGAGCCATAGATCGCGATTCATGATGAAACGCATTGAAATGGCGTTGATAAACTCAGGGACCAGCATCAGAACCAGGAAGCACGAAAATGCCTTCGACTGAAGATCTGTAGTGCTGTCTCCGATTTGGAGATATGTAAGACCGTTCACAAGCGCATGGATGAAAGATGCATAGATCCGAGAATAGGGGTATTCAGCTTCTCGCCAGAATTGACGAGATGTTCTCTGGGTAAGGAGAATAATCTGCTGGAAAATGGAAGGACCGGCAGGTGCAGGCACAACTGCCTGGATGCGTGAGCGAAATCCAGATATTTCATTCATTATTTCGTTTCGCTCTGAGGAATTCTTCCAGATAGACGCCCAGTCAGTCTTGTCTCCGCTAGAGACCTTTGATCCACCAGCAACGAGTTCAATAAGAAAGTCGGCTGCATTGGTGACATTCCGAGAGGAAAGTCTATTTTTCGCAAAATACTCGAATATTTTCTGGCCGGAAGGACCCACGGGGCCAAAGTAATATGTCTTACCACCAGGACTCAATGCGAGAACTCGATCAAACTGCAATTCATTAGTGAAAATACTTGAATAAATCAATACAACTAAGTGACTTACCTCCTCAAACTGTTCTTGATTAGCTTGATGAATAGTGCATAGAATAGCGAGTCCCTGGTCGGCAAGCCGTCGAAGTAACGCCACAATGTTGGTGGCACCTTGGCTGTCGAGGCCGCTGGTCGGTTCATCCAAGAACAAGACAAGGCTAGGTTTGGCAACAAGTTCAACACCAATTGTGACTCTCTTTTTCTTTTCGATGTCTAATGATCCAATAACTGCATTTTGGAAATCCACAAGGTGCAAGGTTTGCAAAACGGTATCCACATATGCCAATTTCTCGTCCTTTGGAGTCTCTGGACTCTGGCGTAACAAAGCTGAGAATTCAAAGGCTTCGCGAATTGTACTACTCTCGTCGTGAATATCCATTTGTTGACAATATCCAATTTTTCGATTGAAAGAATTATCGATTGGCCGACCGTCCACATAGAAAGTGCCTGACAAATTACCAGCAGATGGTCGTTGAGTAAGAGCAGTCAAAACTAAGTAGCAGGTTAGATTATGATATCGAGAGACGGTATTTTGGAGATCGTACGTGTTGATTTCCCTGCTCCTGAAGCACCAACTAGGGCTGTTAAGCTTCCTGGTTTGCAGAAACCTGATACTCCATCCAGTAACTTTCGTGACTCTTTGCCAATTTTCACATCCAGATCAAGATCAGCCCAGGTGAAGGTGGATTCTGTGGCGGCTAACTTGCTGTCCGAGATTTCATGTGGGAACCCAGCTGGGGATTCCTTGTTGTTAATTGGAACCGTTACTTGTTCCTCGTCGGGGCTGATGGGGGTTTGTTTTCGTCGTCGAGGCCAATGAGATGATGACTTATACCGTACTGGGCCAGCACTGTCTAACTCCCAGGACAAGCATTCACTCAGCCAACACGTCAATATGACAAAGGCTACTGTAAAGAGACAGAGAATTCCAAAGTTTCTCCAAACGTGGCTGTAATAAAATCCGAATTGCGTGGCCAAGTAGTCATCGCCATTGACTACCGTACTGCCGATCTTGCCTCCAGCATACGCGCAGGTTTGGTATGTGATCTCAGTGTAATTAGAACCCGACGGAACAACAGACCCAGCAGCACAAGTAAATTCTCGGTTGTGGAACTCCGCCGCCATAACTGCTTCGTAGGTGTATAAAGCGGGTGTTGTATACTGGTCATTAAGTTAGACTGATTTTCACCCCGGAAATGCAAATTTTGTACTCACCGCAATCCATCCAACCCAGGGGACCTCCTTGATCATATTATCAATGGACAGGACATATCCACCAAAGACGATGCAAAACAAAACAGATACACCACAATATCGCAACGCAACCTCAAAATTTGGAGATAATGCTGCGAAGACACGAAATTGCGCTGTAAGGCATATGGTGCTCATGTAGATGAACAAGAAATCAATGAAGAACGGCCCGGCCTATTCAATTTTAGTATAATATCCTGGAAGATGGTTCAAAAGATTTTTCAAAAGATTGTTCAAACAACTTACCTCTGGTCGTAGTCCACAGAGGAAATATAACACAATCAAGTATAAGAAGGTCAGCAGGGCGCTAATGACCATGTCTTGTAAAACACGAGCCAAACAAACTGCGGTCGGCCGAACAAATGCCAGGTTTTTCTGGCGGCTGATGATGTCGCGCCCGTGAATCGCATCTTCTAGTTCTGACATTTGTAGCCAGGCAAGTAGGATAGATGAATAGAACAAGACGCCTCCGCGTGAGTACATCCCGTCGGTAGTCTGAGGCTGATCATAGAACATCGATCCGATTAACAATCCATAGATCACAGCAGATATCATCTTGATATATAAAGGGCCCATATGACCCTTCAATTGCCATAACTGACGCTTAGTGCATAAGACAACTTGGCGGAAAAGGGAAATTGTATATGGCGATTTGGATGATACAAAGCGCGACTTGTCACTCTGCACGGCGCGTTTGATCTCCTCGATACTTCCACATTCTGAATCAGAATTGCATGTAGCCTGAGAGTCTCCTTTGTCTCGTTCCCCATCGTACTGCTTGATAGAATCTTCAACTTTCTTAAATGCTGCGCCTTGTCGGAATGTTGCCTCTAATTCAATGGGTCCTTTTGGGGCCCGGCCTTCCCAGCCCGGTCGAAACCTGCGTCGCTCAGGGACTGTAATGCTCGTTAGGAAATCAGAAGTGGTCTGCATATGAGCACAATGATAGCCCAGGTCTTCAAAATACTTCTTGGCCTCATTTGCAGGACCCTGAAAAAGCATTCGGCCTTCATCGATGAGAATCACTTTATCCATTAGCTCGTATATAGCATCTGATGCTTGGTATAGAGTAAGCAATGTGGCCTTCCCGCAAGTATCGGTCATGATGCGCAAACTGCGAGCATAATCCAAAGCAGAGGAAGCATCTAGTCCGCGAGTTGAATTGTCCCAGCACGTCACCGATGAGTCTGTGGCTAAAGACTCAATGATTGAGATACGTTTGCGCTCACCACCGGACACGCCTCGAATGTACTCGTTGCCTACCAAGGTTTCCATGGTATGGCTCATCCCAAACACCCGGCCGTAGATTTCTAGGTAGCGCGGGATTCGATCTTGAAGTCGTTTGGGTGTTTTACTTTGTAAAGCAAATTCCAGCGTCTCACGCACGCTTAGAGTCGGGAAGTGAACATCGTCCTCAGGTACATAGGTCACAGAGTTACGATACTGTGTTTGAATTTCCTCGTGGGATAGCCCGGAATAGTCAATGGAGCCTGTTACTCCTAGAAACGAGGAATGATGGCCAGCGATTGTCCGCAAAAAGGTCGAACAGCCCGAGCCTGGTCGTCCGAGAACACTAATTATTGAATTAGATTTGACAATATGAGTCGACCTTCTGTGTACAAAATATACTTACAGCATCATCTCTCCACTCTGCACTACCCCCGAAAAATCCCTGATTAGCGGACGTCCCTCCTGTGGCCTCTTGGTTTTTATCCATGGCAATATGGTCCATTCATAGATATCCTGTAGCGTCAAAGTTCGCCACAAGGCAGTCCCCAGCGTCTTAATATCATCATGGCCATTTCCCTCTCCCCAGGTCGAGACAGATTGAAAGCATACACCAATATTGGCATGTCGTTTTCCATTCTGAACTTGCTCTTCCAAGAATTTGTCGAATGAGGAGTGAGGTTCCGAGTATTGATGGTTAGCTCTGGGGTTAGTCAACGTCCTGTGGATCTCAGCAATCGCATCCTCATCTTCATTTGACACATGAACTCGGGGCCCATGTGGATCTGAATATTCCTCCTGCCCAGGAGCAAAGGAGGGATTGTGAGGACGTGAATGTAGAGGAGCGGGCATGGTTTACCCTCGATCTTTCCACGTTTTCTGTATCAGCCCATGGTCCAAGCTGCTCCGTACGGGAATTTCCATTCTTATAGAAATGGAGGTTCAAAGCTGACAGGTCCCAAAAAGGCAGCCAAGCTGTTCCATGTGCGTATCTTGTTCTGTTTTTTTATTCTCCGATTTCCATAGTGGATCTGTGGGGCCGTGACAACAACCATTTGGAGTATCCTGTCATCATGGCGAATCAAATGATGTGTAAAAGCTCGTTGCCTTAAGACTTTCGATCAATTTGTCAGCTCATTCAAGTGTGAAGAATAGCAAAGGAATTCTCGGTTATATTGCGGCGAAAGTTTTGCAGAATCGGGAAGCCAAGAGGAGAAGATCCACAGCAGCCGTGGCGGGGCCAGTTTGACTGGACCATGGATGGAGACCGAGCACATAGTGATAAAGAACTGGCGGTTAACGAAGGAGCTGCTTGAGGAAAAAAGCAACTCAGCTGAAATTCATTGATGTTCTGAGTCATAGCCATTTATGATCGATGAATTGACTCTTGAGAATGATTGTGGGGAGGGAGAGATGGTGTTGTAGACAAGTGGTGTTTATGCCTTGGTGCCTTATGACCTGTTATATCAGGCATGGATGTTTAAGTTACATAAGTTAATGACTTTTTTTATGATGGAAAAAAAAGAGAGAGAAAATGCCCAGAGTACCCCCGTCTCCTACAATTCCACCTAGAGTTGCCTTGGATTTTTCTACCAATATGCCAGAAATACCAAGGGCACCAGAGGCCATATGGAGTAGGTGTCTTACCACTAGACCATCTAAGCTTTGTGTTCGGATAAACTCCACTTTTGCCCTCATATCTTTACCTTTTTCGGCTTTACCCTAATCCGAAATTAATATGGAGCTAATATTAAGCCAGTACTAGGCTAATACTAGACTACTATTAGCCCTGGGCCAAATATAATCTCTCTCCTTTGTATTCTCTATGTATTCAGTGTCTATGCATGATGGCAAAATACAATGTTATTACAAGTTATGGTGAAACGTATTAATCATCTTTTGCTTTGGTTCATCCTCTATTTCTGCATATACATGAGCTAAAGGCTTCCCTTGCATACATCACTTTCTATAGTTACAAAAGACTATACCCTTCCAATTGAAATGCCATATTATCTTCGAGTTCTCAATAGACATATCTGAAGTTTGAGTTTTCCTTGTCTGTAATGTCGCTGAATGCTGCCAAATCAGCATCGAAGCTAGTCTTGTCACCATGAGCACTGCTGGTACTGCTTTGCAAATCATCACGTCTCTGGTTCTCCCGCTTCAGGATGATCCACAGCACTATGACCACTATCACTTCCAGGAGATGAGAGACTATCATGCTCCATATACCGAGAGAATAACCCGGAGCTTGATCGGACTTGTAAAAGAAAGGACCGGCGATGTTTCCAACACAATATCCGACGAAAAGACAAGCACTGCTTGTGACCTTTTTGGTATGTCCAGCAATATTTGCAGTCGTCAAAGATAGAAGCATCACAAAGGAAGCGTTGTAAGAGCCTGTTAACTAGAATACATGTTAATTCTTTCTCTGGCTTTGCTGACAGGATCAGGGAATATTTACGTAGTAGCAGATCAGTCGTCCCACTTTAGCACTGCTAGGCACAAATCGCAAGCCAAAGGCTGCAGCAATATTTGGAAATAGAAAGATAATAATCATCAGACATCTACTGTTTGGTGGCATCTTGTCGTTGATCCAGACGCAAAAGAGAATAATCAGCGTAATAAAAAGTCCGTAGGGTATTTGCAAGAGAGTCGTTCCCACTAAAATTGTCAGCGAGATAGCTCTCCGAATTAGATTTTATGGGGAAAGTGAGGAGGAACTCACAGGTTGTGTATCCGAAGCCTTTTACAATTAGTGTGCCAAAGTTTGTAATTCCTCCATTCACGATTGCTTGAAGGAGCGCAATCAGGAAGAAGCACAAAACCTTGACGTCTGTAAAGGCTTCAATGAGTTGGTATCGTTTGAAATTTCTGTTTTCAATTCCAGTTTGATTTTCGCGAAGTCGTTCAACTGCCAGTTTGCGCTGGTCCACGGTCAAGAGAGGGGCGGAGACTGGGGAGTCGGGGAGCACAATGAGCATAACTATGCCCCAAGTAATGCAAAGAGCCCCAATGATAATAAACTCGTATTTCCAGCTTGGTAGAGATCCCTTGATCTGGCCAATTCCATAGCCTAGCAATCCACCTCCTGCAATTCCAAGTCCCAAAGACGAATACCACAGACCAATTCTGATGGGTTGTTCTCTCCTGGTATACCACATACTAGTTATTAACATGAATGCTGGATCCCCACAAGCTTCGGCAGCACCACTTAGTCCTCGAAGGACGGCTAATGTGGCGAAATTCTTAGCCACCGATTGGAGAGCTAGTAGAATGCCCCAGATAATGATGTTTATACTAAGATACTTTGCCGTTGGGGATCGTTGCATCAAGAGATTAGTTGGCAGTTGCCAAGAGAGGAATCCAAAATAAAATATTGACGATAGCCAACTATATTGATTTCCGACTAGATGTAGATCATCATCGACTCCGAATATGGCAGCATAGGAGAGCGTTGTTTTGTCAATCTTGGTCTTCAGTTAGCTTCCATATTGCTAGCTTGGAAAATGCTAACTTTGGCACGGATCTTACATAGAAAAAGATATAGCAGACAGATAAACATGGAAGTATCATCAAGTCAATTTTTCTAATCAGGCGCTTTTCCTCCACGGGGTCCACCAAAGCATGTAGTTCTTTGGGATCATTGAAGAGCGTGAGCGCGGCGTCTCTGGTCACCCTGCTTGAGCCTTTCGTGCTCGTCACATTCTCGATGTGATCAATTGGAGGCTTTGAATCATTCTTAGCAGTCTCAGTAGTCATTATATGTTCAAGTTGATGGTAGCTTAAAATCGCAAAATCTGTAGTAGCATGAATAGCATCAATTAAAAGAGCGAATTTTCTGAATCATGCATCTTGGGAAAAGCTGGGAAGGGTTTTATTTCAGCCTTATATTTCCCTTCCCCAGAGATTCACTCCGGGGTAGGCCCACTTAGCCTTGCTTCTGACCCCAGGAAAAGTTTCCGGGTCTTACTCTTACATATCCGAGATCAACGGAATCAACAATGCGGGGTAAGTCTTATCCTCAAAACAATTCATACCTTTCTCTAGAATGAAGCCCTTTTCCGAGGTCAAATAGCCGGGATGGCCGGATAACCAGTCTCACTTACAATGTACTTAACTGACTCCGATTCCTTGTGGGGAAGTTGCCTCGGGTTATCACCCCATATCGTAGACATCTGGAGTATATACCTGCGGGAGAAATATAAGGGCTTGAGTCAAATAGTACTGGTACCTTGGATTCTCCTTCAGTCAGCTCCTGTTTTTCTCTAGCGCGTTTAAATCTTGACGCGATCGATAGAATGATCATCATGAAGATTGTTGGAAGAGAGTGTCAACTGTCAACTGTGTGTATGTCGCGCATTGGCCAATTGAATGTGCCCACTGTGTATGACTAAGCACCCACGCTTCAACTTCAACACGCATCCAAGACACTACGATGCTGATTCTGATGCTGATTCTCTCTAGACCATGCGCTTCCATGCCTTGATTCGCACCCACCACATTACCTCCCGCAAGAAAGTCGCTGCTCTCAAACGCGCCGCCGACACACACCAATGCTTCGTCCTGCTACGGTCCGGCGGCTGCCCAGGAATCATGTATGTCGAGGGTCGTGATCAAACAAATGTGGAGTCATGGGTTACTGTTGTGCGGAAACTACGATACAAGGATTATCAACTGGTTACTCGGCCTGGCGCGATAGAAGCAGAGGGAGACGCTGAACCCTTACCCTCCCTCATCGATGGGCTCTCTGAGGTGGACAGTGTCAAGGAGTTCGGGGAATTGATGTCGAAGAGGAAAGTGTGGAACTGGTGGAGGAAAGGCATGGGATATGCTTAGTTCTCTGTACACTACTCGGGGCTCCCTATACTCATATCGCATGGACTGGTGTTTTGGTTTGTGTGATTGTTATTAAAATTTACATTCAATGGCATATAAGTACGGTCGTTCTGGATTTCGTTTATATCTACATTCTCCATCATCACCGATAATTCGATTCATGAACTGTGTCGCCTTCCTCGGTCAACAATAGTGTCCCTCCCGACGAATTGGATAGTGGGCGACCTTGCCGTGCACGATCAACCTGTACCACAATATCTGTTTTGACTGTGACGCATCCATCATCTATATGATCTGGTTGCTGGGCTCGAGATATGCGACTCTCCGAGCGTTCAGTGGGCATAGGCCAATCTGCGGGCGCATTTTCCTCGTCTTGACAATTCGTAACGGTAGAATCCATCCATTGGTCTTTTGGGCGTCTTTTCAGCTCCGTATCGTTGCTTCTGTTGTTATTGTCGGTGGATCGAGACCAGTATCCTGGACGACCATCGCGGCGAGATTGATCTAGAGTCCGAATGAAGAGACGCGCCACTGGGGCGCAGGATGCTAGCAAGATGCTATAGTTCTCGATTCTATGCGATGTTAGAGCTGAGAAAAGCATGCGTTTAGGAAACGGAGAACACTTACTTCACCCAAAGTATAAACGAAACAATATTATAAGTGAAGTCCAGGCGATCACCAAGCGATTTCAATTTCTGATGACCAACTCGATTAGCTTCTCTGCTAGATGCAACATGGACATAATAGACAAGGTGATGCTGATCATAGCTTACATATGTCTTGATAATCGAAGCTGCGCCCGAGAGAATTAATGGCCCACTCAAAGTAACAGTCTGCCAGACTCGACGGGCGCGAACAGTCCTGTTGATCTTGCGGAATTGCGACCAAAAGGTTAGATTGGGATCGCGGTGCAACGTCCGCAGAAAGAACTGCCATAGTTCTACTGCAGCCATAACAGCCAAGAAGAAATCAATAACCGTGTTGAACCCCCCTTGAACGAAGCCCACAGTGGTCTGGACATCTGGAGATTGACACTTGACAGACCCATCTTCTGGAAGTGGCGTCCACATATAATGAAAATACTGAACGCGATCAGCCTAGGAGATTTAGTTAGCGTTATGTCCCGTAGATACATTACTCATTGAAAGCTGAGACGTACAGCACGATATGGATTTGGTCCGCATTGTACAATTATCTGCACAACAGTAACCATGTTGGCAGCAATTTGCACGATTAAACAGGCAATGATTGATATGCGAAGCCTGCGATCGCTAGCTGCAAAACATGTCATCAAAAACGACATCATCCCTGTGCGGGACACCATAGCAGAAGAGACTGCGATAGGTTGCGATATAAAATCCCATTTCATGGCATTTAGTCTTTCCTGGGCTGATAGATAATAATAATGTCGTCCTAGGCCCCAATGCGCGCTGTTTGTCTATATTAGAGACTTGATCTCTCCATGGGGACAGTATAAATTAGAAAAAGAAACCGATCATACCTCATTTGAATCATCGACATATGAGTCAAGTCAAACCCATAAGCGATCAGAAAAAATAAATCTTCAATGCCCCAGATTCGCTCCGGTACAGAGACCTGGGGTAACGCCCATCGAATCCAAGCTTTAACCGCGTACCGAAACAACAGAACGACTCCCACAATGATAGTGAGGACCTAATCAAGAGTCAAAATTGTCAAACTAATCAAAGACTGCAGATACATAGTATTTTGACTGACCCAGCATGCATCAAACGTGCCAGTACCTATAGACAACCTGTGAGTTCAACTCGACCCTTCGGAAATATGCGAAGATAATGTTATGCATACCTATATTGACGTCTCCTTCCTCAGGACGTGGAACATCCATTGTGAAGAATTACACGCAAGGGCTGTGGGGAGAAGAGGATCCTGAAGACTCGATATGGCGCGAAGAGCCTGATACAAATAGGTGTGAAGTGTCCATATATTTCGTGATCACTGCCCGACGGGAATTATGACCCTGTCGGAAGAGAGTTTGAGACCGACAAGCTTTGGATTACAGGTCAGACAATGTTCAAATGAGGGCCTAACAAGGGATGCAAGGTAAATCAGCGGCAAGATATGGCTTGGTGGATTCCAGATTATTGACTTTTGGGGAAACCCAAATGTGTATTTGCTCTATTATTTTTGCTTTATTATTCTTTCTCGTATAAAGATTCTTCTTAGTTAGTTGTTGGACTACATGAAGTAATTACAACCAGGAGAAATCCTTGTTGGGACATGACAACAGCCAACCAGCGAAGCTCCAGACAAGAATTCCAAGTCTTCCACATTGGACGGTAATTAGGACACGCACAAGCAGAAGACAATATTAAGCGAGTTGAACGCGTTGTTCTTTTATCTCATTTGACGTTATTCATGATCGTTCCCATACGCCCATGTGGATGTCATAGGCAGCATTCCAATCCACCGTAGAGGCAAATGACAACAACAACCACGCAATGACCATGTGTGATGTGCAAGGGATGAGACTAGGAAAAGTAAAGTGGCGCCGGGGTGTCAATAGTCGCCTGTAATTACGCCGTAGCTGGAGATTAAAATAAGTATTAACAAATCAGAGACATGATAAGCAGGAAATACAGAAGAACGATACGAGTTGCGGAGTAGAAAGGCGTATCCATGCAGAATCAAGTGATGGTGATCTTGAATTTGTACACCATGAACTCAACGATATGTACTGTGATTATCGTGATGTGATTATAATTGGCAAATCACCCAGAGTGGATCGTTCGTCTTCGCTTCCGGTTCCCGGCAAGATTGACATGGTGGATGTGATGAATCAAATCCCACCAAAAACAGACGTTCATCAATCCCAAACTTTGCAGAGTAAGATTTAGTGTGATCTTTTAAACTCTCTTAATTGGACTTTTCAAGAAATGAAACATGATATCTCTTATTATTACATACAGTCTGTTCTATCACAATACTAAGAAAGTCTCTTAACCTCCACCATCATCATAGAGCCGGATTTTCTGCAGTTCCCACTCGAATTTTACGCATTTCCACCAACGACTCGCCTTTCGATACATATGCCTCAAAATTAACTTCTAACCCAGACACTTGGGCAAGCTGTCGCCATTCAGTGGGGCTTCGCTCACGGCCACCATAAAGGGCAATCATACTGGCATGAAGATGAGTGTACGTTGAGTTCTTGGCATACTCAATGATCAAGAGACGCGAAGTGAAGGACATTGCACGCGAGAGTTTCTGCAACAGCGCCACGGAATCCAGATCCGGCAAATTGTGCAAGATATGCTGAAGTGAGTAGATCCGGGCTCCAGTGATTGGTTGTTCAGGACTGATCTTATAGTTCCACTCCATCAGGGACAAACCGGGGACTTCCTCGATATCTGCATTGAATTCCTGCAGAAGCAAATTCTCCGCAGTTAGATGTGGAAAAGCCGCTTGGACTTCAAGGAGGAGCTCTCCACGTCCACCACCAATGTCAACCATGGCAACAGAGCCGGGCTCGCTGAGCGCTGCGCGCAGGTCATACCCGATTGACTTGGCGCGATCCGGGAAAGTTTGGAATTTGAGGAACTTGCCCTCCATGAAAATATTGAAACTAGGCATCCGCCCTTCAGCTTCCATGATGGAGTACGTGTGTTGTTTGGATAACTCTTTTTGTCCCATCTGTTCATATGCATACTGGACTGGGCCATTGGCCTCGTCGAAGGGATATGCAAAATTCTGACTTTGGAGCTTTTTCAAAAGGAATGCACCGGCCAGCATTCCTTCTGTGGTAAAGTGCAATGCTCCATGCTGACTGGAAGGCATGTCAAATGCCATGTGGCGAGTAATAGCATTTGGACTGAAACTGTCCTCGTCCACGCGATCCAACAGGCCTAATCCAGACATGATGTATAGCGTATCGGCTGCGTTCAAAATTAGTATCAGGAGCTTTTCAGCAAAAAGGATTCCCAGTTTGGAACCAATGCATACATATAAGCCTTGGGCTAATCTCCGCTCCATTCTTCGTTGATTGTTTCTTGTTAACGGCCTTCGTTACGTCCTCAATGCTGGCTGTTGTTCCAAGCTGGGCAACGATAGTGAATAGATCTAAATGGACTGCGACCGGTACAAATCCCAACGAGGCTGGCTGTATGAACTGCATGAGTAAACCAAATTTTTATTTCGTATTCGCTGTCCAAGGCTGAACTTACTGTAGTGACTGTCGCGGCCAATACTGCCCCCGGGTGCACTGGAGTCGACTTGGACAAGCCTAGTAGATTACCCAGCCGATTCAGCAACGACATGGCTTCAGATTTCGAAACAGATTTAAGTTGACCTATTAATGTCCTGCCCTGACTCTCGCAGGTTTATCTACTTTTTATCACTTGTTTTTTCGTCGATCTCTGAGACAAGGAGATCTAGATAGATTCAATCAAGGTAAACATTCCAACCTGCATACGAACAGAGGGGAATATACCCGAGCTCGCCTTTTGAAATGAAGGATCCAGTTGGATTGATCCGCGTGTCTAGTGCTTCCTAACGACGAATCAAACCGTGAATGAGGATGCCGCCAAGCAAGGGAGGTGGTAGTTCATGCAAGGCTGATCGGGCGGAACTAGCGAGTCACTAGTGTGTCCCAAGTGACAAAGGGACAAAGTTTAGTACATGTTTGAGTTTGTGATGGGGAATTAAGATGTACCCTGTCTGTTCTGTCTGTTCTGTTTTGTTTTCGGCACTTGATCTGACCGGGTTGAAGTTTTATGATCTATACAACTCACAAGTGGGGGCATATCCACACCGGATACGATCGCCTGCATGTACGAATCTCTGGAATGTGATTGCTCCTGAGAACTGTCTATCGTCACTCTGTCCGCCTAAATACGATCTATCTATAGAGTTCCCCGACACATCCGATCGTCGGGCAGATACTCCATCGTCCCATCTTCCAGAACAACTTCCACCCCCTTTTTTCCGCGTTTCAAGTTGACTTTTTACTTCATTCTTTATCCAATGCGAGTCAGAAGCCACGCGAGTTTTATACTGGCCATGTGTTAACCTGATTCTTTTCCCCCGATGCATAAAACCTTCTGTCGCCCTCTACGTGGGAAAAAGACGTGATAGTCACTCTACTTCCCCTTGCCGCGAGGTATTTCCAGATCGTTGTACTACTCCGGAGATTTTCTTTTATTCTTTTATTCCTTTATAGCTATTGATTAGGATCTGCATTTGCATTATTTCTTTTCATTATGGCCTCATTAGATCCGGTTGCTGAACTGAACGAGTCGGACGGCACAGCCAGTCTGTCTCGTTCCAACGAGGACCATGAATCTAATCTGAAAGCTTCAAATTCCATGGAATCTGATGATCCTCGAAACTGGAGCTCGGCGCGGAAGACACTGCTCTTCATAGCGCTGATGTCAAGTTCTCTCTTAGCTGATGGGTAAGACAAGCTGACCTTCAACAAAATCAACGCTTTTCCCTTTTTTTTCTTGACTAAAACTAACATGCGGAATTAGAGCAATGGTTTGGGGATCAACGCTGGTGACGCAGCAAGCAATGGACTGGAATATCACAATTAATCACAGCGCTACAAGTATGAACTATGGCATTCTTCTGCAAGGATTTGGTGGAATCTTCGCTGTGCCCTTAATCGAGGCTTATGGAAGGTCAGTCTCGTGTTTTACCTCTTATTTGCCGTATCGCATCACAAAAACACTCATTTTATCGATGACAAGGTGGATTTGAAACTCAACCAGCTGATACTAGTATCTCGCTTCGACCACAGGTTTCCCATATGGATCTGGCCACAGGTCATCACCATGTTTATGGTTTTGGGAGCTACTCTCTCGCATGACTATGGAACATTTACCACGTTTCGATCTCTGCAGGGCCTGTTCGGAACTGTTCCACAGGTCATTGGCTTACCTATCATTCATGATGTATATCAGCCAGATGGTAAGCGAAGGAAATAAAGTCACCTGAGCAAAGTATTATGTACTGATTTTTCCTACTTAGAATGGCCTCGAATGATCAACATCTGGCAAGTACATTTCACCTGGGCCTAATGCTTTGATACCCGCCTACATTGCTTGGACTCACTGGTGATCTTCTGCTAACAAAGAATCAGGGGCACTACATTTCTAGTTGGCCCTTTTATCGGACCAGCAATAGCCGGATACATTGGTGCTGGCACCAATTGGCGGATCTCTTTCGGTGTCTTAACAGCCTTGTACGGTCTCTCCACTATGCTAGTCCTCCTTTTCGGACGTGAGACCTACTATGTACCGGGCAAACGAGCATGCTCTCGAATAAGCTCATATTTCGGAATTGGGAACACTCAGTTACCAAAATTGGCTACACTGGCATACTGGTGTCAAACTATAGTAGTCTATGTCTTTCAGTTTCCGCTGTTCATGACAGGTACCTATGAGCCCAATCTTCTCGGGGTCGCTTTTCGAAGTTTTGAGTTGTTATACTGATTTCACATGCATAGGATTCGCTGTTCTTGTGACCTTTCTCTGGCCGATAGGCATCACCACAACAATAGACACATTCATGCATAGCCCGCCATACCTTTTCAACACGATTGAGGCTTCATCTATGCGTTTTGCAGGAGTCATCGGTGCTCTTTGCGGTAAGTTAATCTATTCAGATAATCCATATGATAAATCATTGTACCAGCTAACTCTACTGGTGCATCAGGATGGGTAGTTGGATATGTCTTCAACGAGCGAATCTATCACCGACATTCGAATGACTGGCGTCCCGAGTATCGACTACATGGAGTCTGGTTCCCAGCCGGTAGCTTAATAGCTGGTCTTCTTACGTATGGACTTACCATGAAATTCGGCAAACACTGGATTGGAATCGCATTTGGCTGGATCATGGTAAATATCGGCATGGTAGCAATCATTGTGTACGTTCATGAAAAAGAACATAAGGATGTACCACGCCTGCTAACAAGGATACTTGACTCGATAGAACCATCACTTCTTATGCTCTGGCAAAATATCCAGAAAAGTCAACCTGTGTATCTGCAATTCTAAATATGTGGCGAACATGTGGAGGCTTTGCCGTGGGATACTTCCAGCCTGCGTGGATTATACGAAATGGGCTGGGGCTTGTCTTTGGAATACAAGCAATTGTGGTTTGTGTTGCTATTATTTTGACTATCACGCCGGTCATTATTTGGGGGCATCGGAAGAGTCAGGTTGATCATGAAAGGGTTGAGAGCAGTGAGGCTGGAGTTGAAGCTGTGTGAAGCCTTTCTGGAAAATGCTAACGAAGGCCATGAACCGCATGAAGTAAGAATGTGATGGGCATGATGGACAAAGATGGAGCCACATCTTAATTATGATGCTTTTCTTCGAGCGTGGGCTTCTTTATTGTAACTTTGAAAGTGCCCTGTGTGATATAATCACGTATATATACGATGAACACGATGATTTGATATGTCCAATACCACAGGCGCAATCGATATTAACCCTTGGAAGTATTCGCAACCGAGCTAGTTTCCGTCTGACATTGCATGAATCGTGTCGGTGTAAATTATACCGATAACAGAGGCCTCGGTATCGGGTGAACTTGACCTACCATGTTAGGGAGTCTTGATAGGTAGAATACAGAAAGGCAAATAATAGAACTGACTTACCCAGAAATCTGGAAACATTCTGTTGACATGGATTATTCCAGCGATCGTGTCGAGGATGGAACGCGCCGCAGACAGACAGGAACTGATATCCGACCACATAGCTTCCCCTGGTGCCAGATGCGAATCTTGTAATTTATATCAGAACCAGGCTCGATTCATCAGAATGATTGTATATGAGCCTCATTATATTACTTTATCTCTCAAATTTGAATGTCTTCGCTGTATTCGCACATCCTTTAACCATTGGCGTAGCAACGGGGATGATACTCCTGCTGCCCCTGACCCTGCAGGCGGTAACATGTTGCGGATTAATTGTATTTGAATAGGTCTCTCGATGATGGGGCCCTTGTATTTCTCCGAGGGGCGTGTGTAACTCTGTAAGTGTTCACCCACAATCGACATCGGGACTCGAGATGGTGAAGCCTTCTAAGAACGAGAGAAGGCAGGTGATCACGATCTCCTCGTCAATCTTCGAGTTGGTTGATTCGGCATCGATGATCTTCTTTTGACGCATTCGGGGAATCTGCATAGCTCCCAGGCGAAGCGCTTCACCCTATGTAGTCTGGTCATCGTCGATCTTCCAGTGCTGTACCCGTCGGTTACTCCTCACAAACTCCAGATAGGTCTGAAAGGGGGGGGCATCTAGCCATTTCCAGCAGTAGCAGTCTAAAGCTGGGGGCCAAGCCGTTCTCTCATTTTCACGTCGAAGGTAGAGTTTTCATCCATGTCGGGCCAGAGGTCTTCTCATCGATGCGCAAACCACCCTTCCATTCAGCCTCACCCAGTTTTACCCTCGTCGAATGTCTCATTCGCTTTTTCCCGCCATCCCTGGATAGAAGCTACCGGGGGCTCGTAGTGAATTGAAAGTGTCGACAGAAGTGAAATGAGGGTTGACAGATTGGAGATAGCTGTCAGACAAAACAAACAATAATCTGACTGGGGTGGTAAGAGAAGAATTGAAGAATAGCGCCTGGAGATCTAAGCGCGTGCGAGACGCCCTATAAAGGCTCAATTCCCTACCGCGTATGGCGCTGAGTACAGCTTAATTCGAGTGTATATAATAAAAGCAGCCTAGTCGATTATTGGTATCGATTTATCATAATTGATGTGCGTTTTACAATTCATTGAATATATGATTATAAACAAAAAATACATCTCAAAGGTAAATAGAGAGTTGATTCATTCCAAATACTCGGAATGAGATGAAGAAACCCTAAGTGGACTTGCATATATCCGTAAGAAAGCATTCCATGGAGCTGTTGCAACATCGTGAAACGTATGTAAAGGAGTGATTCTTAAAAAGAGTTTCTCACAGGACGTATTCGATCGGATGAATATGCTGAAAAAAACCAAGACCTTGTAAATAAGTACACTGACAAATGAGTTGTAATGGCTCAGTACCTACTAGGAACAATGTTTTATCTTCAAATCCTGCTTCATATGATTAAAGAATATTTGAGTAAAGGGGAATATTCGACAGATTTGAAATATCTTCTCGATTTATAGTTTTATTTCTATCTTTACACTGCTGTTTTACCTAACAATGATAGTTAACTAGTTATAGTTAGATGGCCCGTTGACATAAGAATGAATGGCGTGTGACTGACGATATCTCAACGCTTTAGTTAAGCGGGTAATCTCTTTCGGTATAGTAGAAAATAAATAGCTGAGTTAATTCTATAGCGATCCCAACGTCATCATGATGTTAGTATTTATATGTAGGTAGGTAATCTAGCAAAGTTTACATGCAATTATCTGGTACCGTGGTCGTCTAATTCACTAGGGGGTGTTTTAGAGGCGGAGATCGCTATTGGGATCCACGAAGGTATGTCAACAACACCTCGGAAGGTTGCATCGGTTGACCGTTTTAAGGTCTCTTATACTTACATGAATATATTTAATCAAATCTTGGAAAGTATACTGTACTTAGATATACATGCATATAGCCAAAGATATTTCCCAGGGTACAGCCCAAGATGTAGTGAAAGGTTTAACCAAAGATACAGATAAAGGTGTATCCTAAGGCGTAGGAAAAGGTTTAGCCAGAGGTTCAGCGGGATATGTAGCCAAAGGTGCAGCGAAAGGAGCAGCGTAAGGTGCATCGAGAACTGCAGCGAAAGAAGTGGTCAAAGATGTAGCAAAAGATGTAACGAAAGAAGTCTATACAGGCATAACCAAAGGTACATATGAAGAGCCTTGGAGGTAATTTAGATATCAAGTACATTAGCCCTACTACAACCAAGTGTGTATTACGGATGGAAACATTAGATGTAGATAGATTCATTTGATAAGGTCTATGCTTTCATCTATACCGAGACTCTATGTAGAACTCCGTAAGTGAATAGAACCAAGTCATCAGATGTGACCGCTCTATCCAGCAAATATCTCGAGAAAGAAAAAAAACAGAAAGACAAAGAAAGAAGAAAGCGCTCCAGTATAACGCCCCATCAATGATCTCATCATTCGCCGAGATGAAAAAGTAAAGTTGATGACGATGTGTTTGTGGTGGTTATGATGTAAGGTAGATGAAAAAAGGAGAAAGACAAGGTGTGAAAGATGAAAAGTATGAGAAAGGTCAAAAGAAAGAAAATATGTGCAGCGAAGGGTATGCGTAAATATATACAGTTTTGAAAGAAAAAGCCAAGGCATTCGAAAGGTCATTTAGTCAAAGATGTACTGGACTTCAGGACATGATGACTGGAAAGTATTGAGAAGTTTTTGAACACGACGAGTATTCCAACCAGAGGAGGTCCCATTACTGGCAACACCTTGGAGCGTCGTGGCGGCATGCTTGCATGTACTTTGATCGTGGTTAAACGAGTATTGCAGACATTCTTTATTCATCATGCAAGCGTCGGCGCATGAGTCAACAGAAGGGACGGTGGGCTCCTCAAAAACGATCTCAGCTCCTGAGAGATTATCCCAATCTTCACGTTCGGAAAGGTTTTTATCGTGGACGAATTCGCGGTAGACATCGGCGTGCAACAGAAGGGCATTCTTGCCGCTTGTGAACCAGCCTCGGTCAAAACTCCAAAAGTCTTCAATATCACTAGGAAGCATGTGATGATACGAAATCACTGGGAAACACCAGGGCTGTCGGCCGTAAGCTTCGGAGAAATGGTCGACTTCCGACGGTCCAGAAGTCATCATCATAGGCCAAGCCCACGTCAAGAAAATATTTGTCTCTTCAAGGGCTTTGGCCAGAACACAATCACCAGCCCATTCAATGGCGGTCATTTTCTCCAGTTCCTCTTGAGCCTCAGCGCGATGAGCGTTCAAACGAGTCATTGCCTTGTTCGATAAAATGACTCCTGAACCACCATATGCGAAAAGAGTATCACCGATTTGCATCGGGCTACCAAGATAATAACTTCGAGTGTGATCCAAGTGCTGCAACCAGTTGATCATGTTTTGCCAGACAACGTAAGTATCAGCCTCAATAAAGATATACCATTTCGCATCTGGCATGAGTTCCATCGCACCAGCGGTCATAGGCAGAAACTTCCACTTGTCCAACTTCCATCCGGGATTGTTCTGTTTTCCAAAGGGGCCATTGGAGTCGTCGCCTAAGTCATCGCTGGACAAGCCGTCGCGACCGACTGCCTGCAGATGTTTGTAAAGCTCGAATTCCGGTTCTCTGTCAAGGGTCTCTTGGGTGACGTTTTGTAGGACATCATAGGTGCGCACACCATGAATGACTTCTTCGTAGTCTGAGAAGACTGCGAAATGCGGGACGCATTGGAGGCCAGTGCGTAACTGTATCGGCACCTTTTCCAAAGATTCCGTTGCACCGGTTTTCAAAATGACCATCACATCGTCCATAGCGTGGCGTAGGTGTTCGCATCGTTCCTCATGATCAGTGCTGCTAGTAGACGGGGTCACCGATTCCACAGGTGATTGAGTTCCCTCCAAAATCATGTGTTCCTCCTCCATTTGAGCCCATTGGTCCTGGTTTTTCGGGGCGGCCGGTGTTGCGTCATACGTGTTGAAGACGTAGTAGAGAAAGGTAAAGGTAAGGAGCGGTGAGACGATGAGAATCCATCGTCGTGGAGAGCCCAACATGGTCGATATCGGTATAATTTCAAAGGAATGAATCGGGTCGTTCAAAAAAGGAATGTAAAGAGCGACGCCATAGAAAGAAACCACGGGAGGTTTCAACAAAGCACAGAACAAACTGTCAAGGGAAGAGGAAAAATGCAGAAGGAGAAGAAGAAGAAGAAGAGAAAAAGTTGTGAAGGAGACTCAAGGACAGGCAAGCGGTGCCTGCTGAAACGTGCAGGAAAAGACAAAGGGACGAGGATCATCGACGGCAAACAGGTCTATCGTTCTCCCTTTTCGCATAATTTTCCCCATAACCCAGTGCTGGTGAACCCGACGATCCATGGGGCAAGCACAGCAGCACGAACCCAAGGATTGGTTGACCGACAATGAAGCGCGGGAGTGATAGGCTAACCGCCTGGTTCATTAGGGAGCGATCATCGACCACGCGGGCCATGAACCAACGAGGCTGTGCGCGGGAGTTCAAGTCTACCCGCCAGCCCCACGGCCAGCGTCATCGGTTGCGGGTTTGGAAACACATAACGAGTAAAAGATCGACGGGGGGGCAAGTGAGGAGTGGGGAAACAAGGGACAAAAGAGTTGGGTTCGTGGACTCATCTCAAGGATGATCCTGATGATCGCCAGGGGTGGCACAAAGTGGTACAAACAACCATAGTGAAAGAGCTTCAAGGAGAGAAAGGGAGCTTCAGTAAGTTTCAGGAGGAAGTTGAAGATGCCGAGGTTCAAAGGTTAAAATTGAGTTTGACCAAAGAGCAAAAGGGACAAAAGGGACAAACAGTCCAAGCCTGCAGTATACAGTAGAAGGTTAAGGGACACCTACAATATTAGAGTAGAAGATGAGATCTTGAGGATTTGGATTAAGATACATCAGTCTTTTAAGATTAGCACATAAGTTAAATCAATTAATGAATTATCATTATCTGTCAATTTCAGTGTTGAAGCTGTCAAATCACCTAAAACCACGGGTGTTGAGTCACGTGAACGGTCTGCAGAACAACAAGACTGTAGTTGATGTATATACTACGGAGTACAAGTTAGAAGAACACTCTTTACTGTAGACTCCGGATTGGATTAAGTATCACCTTAAATCACACAATCCTTTATTTCTGCCAAGTCATCTCAAAATCCCTCATAGAATTCAAGATTATCGCGTTGCCTGCGCGGAATCTAACCCCTGAACATCGCCAGATCCACCCGGATCCATCCTTACCAAAAACAGGCTACGTCGATAATTATTGACAGATCTACAGTAATACGCACATGGCTATTGAAACTATAATGAAAGCTTAATCCAAAGATATCGATTCATTAATATCTATGTAGTTATGTGTGTAGATTCAATGGGCCCATAAATATTCACTTTTAAATCTAGATATCCGGCCGTCTTTATTCCGGATGGAATACAGATTATCTGTATACAATAATACACACACCTTCATGCCAGAGAAATTCTGTACTAAAGCTCAATAAGGCTTTGGCAGTGGGGATCTCTTCTTCTCAGTGGCACCTAGCACCGGCTAGTCACTTTTATGACAGGTGAAACCATGAAACCATGAAACCATGAAACTTAACCCGCCAGTAGCGCAGACTAGTTATCCGAATGTTTGGACGAAACATCGGGGCATTTGGACAATGCGGTACGGGGATGTCGGTCCGAGTATCTGGTCTTTACAGAAAGCAGGCTGAGCTACTTCGGAAAGCCGTGGAAAGTGGGACGGACGGCATTGGTGGGTGGGTCAATCCAATCTTAGTTTTTTTTGTCCGCACGGGACAAGACCAGAACCCCAAGGCTCGAGGCTGAGGTAGCTTCAATGGATGAATAATATTCTTGCTCGAGGAAGCGAATTCATTTCACACTTCGCAAGATCAGCCGTTCATCGTCTTTTCAGGCACCTCTTGGAATGTTTCCGGGAAAAATCCTGGTGGTGGCCAGATATCCGCAATTGATGGTGGATGAACAAGAGGCTGTGTACCACCCAGTCGGTCGGGATCGTGACAGAAAGCCTGGAAGGTACTATCATCCATGAATCCAAAATCTTTCAGTCCAGCCTCGCGGTTATTCGACCATTCAGTGGTGTCCAAATATGCCAAGTCCTTAAAAATCGCGTCCAGATCACCATTCACAGATGGGTCAAATGGCATATTGTCACCGGGAGGAACTGGCATTGATCGATCACTCGTTGGTGGCTTTCCAGTCATCATCACATTAGAAGTAGATGAATCTGGAGTGGCTGGCTGCGGGGGTGCGCTGCCGGGTGGGTAGATCGCATCAGGACCACTACGTGGCGTCACCTTATCTGTAAGGACTGAATGTGCATCCATTGCTTGCGGATGGGACACGTCCATCATGAACAAATCAGAGTTCTCCATGACGGTATCCTTGGGTGTCATGGACTGGCCGTCGACGGGTATACTGATACCAAGGATAGACGAAGCATAATTCGCTTGATTATGAGGGAGCATACTCTGAGGACCCGTCCCGGGTGCATGTACAGGGCCACCAAGAGGGGCAATGCCAGGCATAGCAGGGGGTACAACTTGATCTGGGAATGCTGGTTGCTGTCCAGGATAATCCCGAGATTGTTGCCAGCGGTTCATCGAAGAAACCAAGGACCCATATACAGGCCATGTTGGTATTAAGCTCGCGGTTTTTTGTTGAAACTCTTCTGCCCATTGAGCAAAAGGAAAGCTGTCTGCGGCATCAACTTCATGTCGTAGTGAGAAGGCCTGCTCGGAGATGGTGCGTAGCCCAAATTCAAAAATTGGTGGGAATCCACAAACGGGGAAATTCTCCAATTGTTGAGAAATCATAGACAGTCCTCGGTACAGAAGCTTCTTGGCTCCCTCTGTTGCTGGGCGTTGCGCCCGGTGAAGTCCTTGTTCCCCGGGAATGAGACGTAGATACAACCAAAGCAATGTGGCCACATAGGTAAGGCCAAGATAACTCTGGTGTGGTAGCAAAGCGGAGTGTCGTTCCGGATAAATGCTTTCAGGTCCGATAAGTCGACATCCAAGAGGTAATCCATCATCCCACCGCTTTAGGTCCACCACCAGCTGCTGAGCAAAGGAGGCACCGGTGTATCCCATCGCCAAGTTTCGCGACGTCTTGTTCAAGACACTAGCCAGTTCAACCAACCGGTTAAAGCAGCTTAATGCTAGCAGTGGGCCTCTACGTGGAGCATTTTTGCCATGCGAAACGCCGGCCGGTGGAAGCACATCGACCCAAGAGTTCCATTCCTCCAGTCCATCCTCTTCTAGAAGGCCAACGGTCGCCAGTTCATTTGATGTCATTGCCGGGCATCGGGAAAGGCGGAAGGACAAGAAAGAGTCAATCACAAAGCATCCCAAGAAGACAGCCTTGCCTTGTCTCAATTCATCAGAACGGCGGGTGTCAGTCATCACTCCCAATCCCATTGCAATGGCCATCCGCACAGCTTGCCCAATTAAGAGCCACGAAGCGTTCCAGTCATCAAGTCCCATGTTGACCAACGTTAGAAGTAGTAATGCTTGGATGTGACCCAGCTCGTAGCGCTCCTTTTCAGAGGGGATCAAATACCGTGCTATAGTGTAGTATTCTTTGGCTAGAGAGAGTGCACCAGCGGGTCCCATTCGTGGGTCTGATCGAGCTTGAGTAATGGTATAGCTCAAGATAGCCCATAAAGCGGCATGGTCTCCAGAACCCGGAGAAGTCGTCGTCACGGAGAAAGGCGCATTGGCGTAGAGGTAAGAGGCGCGGAGGATGTTATGTTTCGCAACGATAGGCAGCCACGAATGAGTGGTAGCGAAGTAAATATCAAGGAGTTGTGAGGTCTGCGGTGGTAGCTGAAGTGTACGAGGAATATTGCCCGATTGCGTAGCACGACCATCCACTGGGGCCTGCGCCAGGCGCGCTCGTTTCGCATCGGGGGAGAGTCCGCCCAGCGGTCCAACTACTCGTGGCACTTCGGGACCTAATGGACTTGCTTCTCGACCGACTCGAAATCCCCATTGACCATCCGGGCCATCTAGGTAATCATCACGTGGGTTTCGCGATCGCTTTCCTGTGACGGTGGGAAGTGGTTCCGAGTTCGACAGCATCTTTTCGAGTGCGGTGTACAAGCGACTTGACTTCCAGGTCTCGTGTAGACTCTCTGAAGAGTTATCGTCCGTCCAGACCGACATCAATTTGTCCCGACGATTCTCGGATTCCATTGTCGTTCCCAGCATGGCTAACATGGTGTCTTCAAAGCCATCGATGTTGCAGATTGACAGGGCCCATAATTTCTCTAGTCCCCGGACATAACCTTCGGGGAGACCTCGTTTCTTCGCATGCGGATCGTACGAACATGTTTGGCCAGACGCCTGGCAGGCGGAGCAAGTGGGACGAATACCATCACATTTATCCTAAAAAGTTGGGGAAACGCAGGGCGCATCGGTTAGCGCAAGACTTCTGGCAAGCTTTTGAAGTTGACAGCAGAGAAGGTGACCACTCACTTTTTTGCTGCGACATCGGTCGCATGCTCTGGAGACCCTCTTCCGTCGAGGGGCTTTATCGGAACCCTCGTCCATGAGGAGGGTTTAGGTTGAGGCTAGAAGCATGCCATATGTAGAAAGCAGCAGGAAGAGCATGGACAGCAGTCCGGATCAGCTTGGAGGATTAAAAATTGTAATCACTTGGGAATAATTCAAGAGATCTCCAGAGAATTTCAAGGCCGAGGTTTGCGAAAGAGAGAAAAGAACAGGAACCCAAAGGTCCCAAAATCCGCCGATCAAAATGCCGAATGCAATCGGAAATGATGGATTACGCAAGAATTCCGGGATTCCAATGGGGAATCTCCACCAAAGCTTGGCTTAGTCAACCACTTGGTTTAACTATATCTGTAGTATAACAAATAGGATGAATAGAGTCTGTAGTATAACAAATAGGATATGAAGAGAAAATACAATCAAAGACAGTTATCATTTATCTATCATAATACATCAAATCCTCATTCTCAGCCACAAATTCCGCACAGAATCGGCGTTTAGCATATCCACGTGACTTCCCCACGTCCCCACAATCATCGAACAACCACACTACACTACACTATGTAGAAAGTACTTACTATAGAGTATAGAGTATAGTATGTAGTAGATGGTACATAGAGGATAATAAAGTATATACTAAGATACTAGACTGTCTCTTATAATACTATATTCAATTAGTACCTCACTTCTATAACTTGAACTCACCTCCCACATACTCCCCAATTGTCCTCCCACTCTATTGCCGATAGTCGGCACTTTAACTTTCTCCCAATAAAACTCCAAATCAATAGTATATGGAACACCTCCTAAACACACTGCCCCACAAAACCCCTTCTCGTTTTCGTACCTTGAAATATATGTTCGTGATTGATAAATATATCCCAAGCTCTAAAAAAAGATACTCTGTGGGGGCAGGGGTAAGCGATAACAGGAAACTAGCAAGCCAAGAACATAGATATCATCATAATGGAGCCGAAATCTAGACGGAGATGTGAGACCCCGGCATCCCGATCCCACAATTGACCCGCCGGCTCCCCGATAAAAGAGGGCCATTGGGTCTTGCAATTCGGCTTCTTCTTCGTCTCTACCACTCGGAGCCTCAGAAAATGTCCCGGTCGTGAAGCGAGAATCTAGTCTATCCGGATAAGACTTTTGCCGCCTTCTATACCGTGGACTATCTTGGCAGACTGAATTTTAACCCGAATTAAACCTGCATCTTTGACTCGCAGATAGTAAGGGAAGAAGGAAAGAATCAGTTCTTTCTTTACTTGAGTGAGGAGAAAAGAAAAAAAAAAAAGAAACGAGACAAGCTTATCCAAAAATAAGATTCAAAATTAGAATCAATTGAACTGCGCGCCCGGGACTATCCTAACCTTCCCCGACACTAGAATACGCTGGTTTCGAGATTTGCCTTGGTCTCCACCCATTTCAGGCTATGCAGCCTATGCTAATATGCTTTAGTCCTAATAAGACTGTTGCCCCATCTTAATGACAGCGGTGGCTCGTTAGTGTTGGGCCCAGGAGTATAGTAAGTAAACATATACCACTTGGATTTGCGACAGAGTAGAAGACTAGACCCAGTGTTAATTTGCAAGAATGGGCTTCCATTCTTGCTGATTCCAAGTTCACTCTTCAAGTGACTTCTATCACCTTGAATGGATACCCGCTTATACTCCATTCAGATAATATAAAGCAGTCTGAGAGTTCTTCTCTGTTATCGTCCTTACCATAACTAAGTACTATAAACATTGAATATCTGTGCACTATTGTTCCACTGACCCACCACCCATATATTCATAGCTCGCTTTCAATTTTCGAAGCAATTACTGTACCTCATTATAACCGTCCATCTTTCCTCAATCATGACTACTAGTACATGCTTATACTTTATTTTTTACATTCAATCTACTCACTCAATGTACTCAATGTCAACTGCCCGCCGAGCGATAAACACATTATCAGTTCACCGCCTGACTATCCGTAGGCGGTGTACACCCCCGGTAGCTTTATTTCTCTCAACATCGAAACTTCTATCATTCAAGCCTTTGTTGTTTGCTTGTTTTCCCCCCTCCAACCTCGATCCTCGACTCCTCTAGATGATCTATGCATCGGTGGGACCATAATCCCCCCTCATCCATGCCTGGATTTGCAGATCCATCAGACCTAGTGGCTGCTGGCTGGCGAAAGCGAAAACGCGATCATGAAGACTCCGCAACATTAACAAAGCCGTAAGTAGTCCATAGCAACTCCCCCCACTGAGGGACTCGACCTTGTATCTATGTCCCCGGAATTCAACTGACCCATCTATCCCGTCAATACAGTCCAACTTTCGGGCACTACCGAGTAGATCGCCCCGATCGGGAGAGTAACTGTTCATTGCCCCTATCCCGACATCCAACAGAGACGGACGATCTCTCTTTTCGCCCGCGCTGTCTCCCTCGAAAGCGTCGCCATGTTCAGACACCTTACCTAACTCTCCCCACACATCAACAATCTTCTCTCCTCTCTCCAAATGTCTACGCCTCGCCACAAGACCCTTACTCTCCGCCCGTTTCGCCAAAGTCTCTCGTCCCGCTACCTTACCCTACAACATCCCCTTCAGCACTTCGTCCCTGTCACATCTGTCACCGCCGTCCCACGACACGGCAGGTACTAGATGCGTATGCGGACTGCGATCTTTGCGGTGAAAGAGCTTGCTTTATCTGTCTTCGCCAGTGCGATGCCCTAACATGTCCGGGCATCAACCCAAGCACCAAGGCCCTCCATCAATCAGATATCTACACTCCAAACGAGACTCTTGATATTTCGGATACAGTTTCTCGCCGGAAGATATGCTCCAGCTGTGCTGTTGAGGGCGTTACTGAGGCGGGAATGGAAATTGTCCGATGTCTCGATTGCGTCCACGGTCATGCTGCTACGTCGTGGTCCACTAGATCTATGCCGTCTGGTTGGCCATTGGATGCAATGAACCTTGATCGGATGAATGGATAATAATAATACACTGCGCTGCATTCCCATGTTATCGGTTATGGATACGACCTTGATCGAATACTCGATATCATGAACACGACATAAACATGAACATGTACCTACGACACTACACATTCACCATCGCCCTTTACTTCGTCTGACTTGATGGATATTGTTCATGCATTTCTTTTATTTTCTGTTTTTACTCTTTTTTTCATTTCGTTGACTACCCTATACCGTTGGAGTTGGATGTTTCGTGTGCATAAGCCTTGCATCTGGTTTCATTTGCGCTTCCCTTCCCCGAGGGCTTTCTCTTCTGGCTTCTTTTATATTACGCATTGTGTCTATCGGTTCCATTTGTTTCTCATTTCAGATTTTATTTCATGGCATAGCATACTGACACCACAACTTAAACAAATTAATGAATATTCAATGACATTTCCCTCCCTCCTCGTCGCCATGATAAGAACAATTATGAATGCAAATTGAGATACAGAGATATATATGAATGACTATATGAAGATGTAGGCCTCAATGTCGATGCTGATCGGGTATAACATAAAATGAAACATAAAAAACACACCGAACTATACAGCTTAGGATCCCCCTAGGAACCACCTCCTAGTTCATAAAGTTCCTCAGCGTCCGAATCGCATTTGAGCTCCAGCATAATGCCACAAGCCCCGCATGAAACCTTGATATTCCACAGCCTCACCATACCCAGTCATACCATGACTCCGATCCCCAGTACAATACATCTCTGTAAGGCGGATCTGCCACGGCGGGTACCCATCGAGTTTCAAGTAAGGCCCAAAGATCAGTAACAGGTCAGGCTCAGGCTTAATGATATTAATCGGGGCGCGATCCGATTCGGTTTCGGACTGGAGAGGCTGGGAAGTGATTTCACTGATTTCAGCATCAACCAGTTCTGGCGTAATATCCTCCGGAGACAGTTTGCCGTTCTGGGACATCTCGGCCAGAGTCTTGGTCAGGTCTACCATGGTTTCTCGACCGTCTGTGGCGGAGAGGAGTAGAAGTGTCAGGGGAGGTACTTCGGATCTGGGGTTGGAGTTGGCGCCATAGATTGGGTGATGGGGTGCAAAGAGCTGCAGATTCGGTTGTTGGGAGGGTGAGCCGTAGTAAGATGCGAGCTTGGTGGTGATGATTTGATGTAAGGCTGGGATGCAAGATTTCAAGGCACCTGAATTTAGATCTGTGTTAGTTATTTCTTTCCTTTCTCTTCCAGTTCATAAATGAATATGACAAGGTAGTACGATATAGGTGGAAATACCTGTCTTCTCATATATACTCAGTTGAGAAATCCCCGCACAAGCACTCCAGGCCACTAACTCAGCCACCTCATCCATCAGAACCGCCAGCGTATCATCTTCCGTGCGCAAGGTCAGAAGAATACTTAGATGCTGCGGTAAGCGCTTCAACCCGCGCACATCCTTCCGAATCAGCTCCGGCGTCCGGTGGTGGTGATAAACGATGGCAAAGACTCGTTCCACCACGGCATGGTAGGCTTGCAGAAGACGCACGATGATACCGAAGATAATATGAGTGATGGCATAGGTCAGATGGTGAAGTTGCGACTTGACGAATGTGCGAATTGGAGTCTTTCGAGTCTTCTGGTTCTTCTGACGTCGCGAGTGGGAGGAGGAGGAGTTCGCGGTTGAGGCTCTCGGTCGAGATGTTGGTAGATCGGAGGGATCGGGCAGGTAAGGTCTGATGAGATTCTCACGGTCTTGAGCGGATAGTTTCTCACCACGAGAACGAATCTCGGCACGTAGAATATCGCGCTCTTGTTGGGAGACCATGGTTGTGGGTGCCCAGGTGGGAGACTCGGAGTTCAATGTTGTAGGGAGGAACTTGGAAAGTCCACGTTGGAGCTTCCACGCAGCGAAAGGCGGGAGAAGCAGGCAGCAGATGAAGACAACGAGGACTTGGAGTAACGAAGAACAAGAAAAAGCAATGAATTGGACTATTGAGTGGAGGAAGTTTATAAAATTAATGTGTGATGGATCGAGTAGTTAATTTAATAATCTATTATTCTATTATTCTGTTATTTATTATAGGTATTATAGTCTATTCTATACAATCAACGCAGTTGACTGTATACAACTGTCTTCATTGTAGTAGATGAGGCCAAAGTGTTCATAAACTGGATTATATATAAAAAATAGCTGTATATATTGACTAAAATATTAAGTTAAATAGATAGAAAGTATTAAATGAATTTATAATAATATCTGATCCATTGATATTCCATAATACCCTACCCCCATACTGTAGTGGCATGTCTCTCCGCCACTGAATGCAACTCCGAACTTCCTTGCATCTCAGCTTTCAGCTTTCAGCTTTCCCCGGATTCTTCAATTCCCTTAACCACCCACTCACCCATATCCTCCAATCCTTCTTGGAACCTTATACTCTCCCTTCATACTGAGCTGTTCAATTGACTCGACTCGTGTCTGCTCTCCTCAATCTGGGCGACCCATGACGTCCGGGTAATTGCCATGATGCCCGACAATGCATCCATAATCTCGTCCAACCCCGCCCGCACCGTCTTCCCTAAGGGCCCGAGTTTTTCGCTAGAGGACTTCTCCAGTCGAGACTTTATAGTCAAGGAATTCATCGAGGAGCTATCCGATACAGCCATCTCCGCGCGTCGTTCGACAGTGGGAACAACAAACGCCAATCAACCATTCGACCCGAAACCCCTCATCCGCACATTCGAAGGCGCTCAGCGACGACTAGGCGAACTATCGGGAGATCTGGAAATTCGCGAAAATGAACTGTCCGCTGCAGTCCGTCGGGCAGAAGCTCAGCATTCACAAAACCTCACTTCGCTAGGCCGCAAGCTTCGACAAGCGATCGACTCGTTTCAACAGCTCGACACGTCATTGAATGGCCCTGGCTTGGAGAACACAGGAGGTACAGGAAACATGGCCGTCGAAACGGGTAGAAGACTGGAAGAACTAGACCGACAACGTCGTCGGGCCCTAGACGCCCACTTCCTCCTGGAGTGCTGGGATGGCGTCTGTAATCGCGGGGAGATCACGTTGCTGGAAAACTTGCGCCGATCTGGCACGGGCGAGGCAAAAGTGCGATCGGCTCATATAGCAAGGCAATTACTACGCATCAGTCAACGGCTAGACCCTCAGAGTTGGCACCAGAATCAATCGGCCAACGGGAATAATAACTACGGGGGCAATTCTTCGTCCGAAGACCTACATAGTGGAAACAGCACACCACGTCGGAATACAAGGGAGGTGATTGAGAAGTTCTCTGAAACCCTCGAGAAGGATCTGCTGAAGCAATTTGATGATTTCTATCGCAAGGCCAACTTTGATGGTATGAAGGATTGCGCAAACGTCTTGCAGGACTTCAATAGTGGCGCCAGTGTGATTGCGTTGTTTGTCAATCAACATCAATTCTTCATCGATCGCAGTCAACTGGTGACGGAGGAAGTCGGTGGTGATGCGGAATCATGGGAGAAGATGGCAGATCCAGACGCGGAGCTACCTGGAGTAGAGCCTAGTCTTCAATCGCTGCTGGATGAAGTTAAAGTGGTGGTGCAAGAAGAGTCGGCGATCATTAAGCGCGCATTCCCTTATTACGACCAAGTGCTAGAAAAGTTTATACAGCGAGTCTTTCAGCAATCCATTCAGCAACGATTGGAAATGGTTCTGGAGAAGGCCAGTGGTGTCTCTTCTCTTGCGTTTTTACGATGCTTGCAGAGCTCTCGTGGCTACATCAGTGCCCTGGTCGACGATTTGAAGGCCCATGGATTGACTGAACACCCAGAGACTATATCATCGCAGACCGCACTTTTATTAGACCAACAGTTGGAGGAATTGTTCGTGCCTTACTTTGTCGGGTCATCTTATATTGAGCGCGAGAAACGAACGCTTGAAGATATCTTCAATGCTCTTCTTTTCAAATTTACTAGCTACCAAGCCCGTCGCAAAAAGGCTGCCACCACTTTCATGGCTTCCTTGTCTCGTCCTGGAACCGAATTGCTTTCAACCACTCGCGACACGTTCATCGCTCGGTTGGACTCACCTGAAATCTCCCCCTTCCAGCGGAGAACGCTACTCCATATAGCCAAACTCGGCGATATTCCAGATACCATGCGGCTGACAGAGATCAAGCTTACGGAAGAAGATGGGCTGCCTAATTTGGGTGATGCGAAGCGAATGTTGAAGTGGCTGGCGGAAGCAGTGGGTCGTGGGCTAGAGCTGAGCGTTAATACTGATACCCACAAAGATGTGTCGGCTCTGTTGAACCTGCTTTTGATCACTGTGGGGGAGGGCTATATCGATGTTTGCCTTGATGCTTCGTTGGAGGCAGCCACTTCCCAAGAATCTGGTAAAAATGAACCAGACTTTGGATACCTCCACTCGGTTCGAACTATTATCAGCATTGCCACGTTAATGGTGATGTGTGTGAATGCGGTACTCTTGCCATTGGCAGCTGGTAGTATCACGACTCGTCGGGATATGGAGAAACGTAAGAACCAGGCCACATCCCGATTTGAGGATAAGATCAACACGATTGAACAAAAGACTATCGACGCAACACTTGCATGGGTAAGCCGGTTACTTTCCGGGCAAAGAAAGAATGATTTTCGGCCTCGTGAAAGCGATAATGCCTCATGGTTAGAAATGTTGCAAACACCGGTGAGCCTCCCATTGATCTGATACATCCAGAAAACGGGGTTAAAAAGGATCAAACTAACGCGTTTTTATTTGAATCTAGACCTGTGCCTCGATATGTACATTTCTCACACGACTGCATAACATTGCGCGTACCTCGTTACCCTCAAGTGGGGCCAACGTTCGACAAGTGTTGACAGAGATCGCACTGGGAACGCGTGGACTCTTACTGGAGCATTTTAAGCGGTTCGCCGTTAGCGGACCTGGTGGATTAATGGTGACCAAGGACATGACTCAATACGCAGACCTACTGAAGTCCTGGGATATCGACGAAGAGACCAAGGCCCCCGGTGGCGCGCTGGACGTGCTCTTAGAGGTGGGCAGTTTGTTTGTCATTGGAGTCGAGGCACTTCGAGAACGAATCCGTGGCGGTGCAGCGAGTGGAACAACCGGGGGGTCCAATAGTTCAGCTCGCAACCCTGGTCAAGAAGCCAAACTTAGTGTGCAGGAAGTGCGAGCATATGTTTCTCGTCGTGAAGACTCGAATACGCTGGCCATGCAGCAAGTTCTCAATGCTCTGTAATGATCTGTGAGGAGCTGATCTGTGAGGAGCTCGTGTTCACATTCTTCTTAACTCCCTACTACCCTACCTACGTCTACATATTCATGTCTTGCATCATGCAGAACAGAGAATTCTTTTTCCATGACTCTAGGTTCATGTACCTCACGATGCATGCCAGTGAGACAGGTCATATACAGTATACCCCTCCAAGTGGGAAATGCATTGCAGTTTGCAGCTCAGTAAAACCGGTTTCTGAATGATTTTGTTTGTTTTTTTTTAAAAAAATTATTATAATTTTCCTTTTCTTTTCTTTTCCCTTTCTCATTGTTATTTGCTATTTGTTCATGTACTCGGGGGGAAATGCCTTCTGGAATAGATTGGGGGCGCGAACGGAACGTCGGATCATGGATGTATCATTTTTTTGACAGGATCACTTACATCAAATTAAAGACACTAGTAAAAAGTAGAAAAGCTAGATCAACGGCCTAGTCAAAGCCGCAAAGTTATTTTTCCTTCGTCTTTCGAACTGTAGATTGCCAGTTCACGCGGTGGATCCGATCCTGGTGGCGCTACTGACAGCTCATTTACCGAGAGACCGAGAGTAGTAAAGTAGACAAAGAAATGTTCTTGGGAGAAACGGCAGATTTAGTTACTAGTAGTCTTTTGCTTTTTTCTTCATCTTAATAACGGGCTATTGTATTCTTGATGATAATCATTCTTCCCGTCGGGATTGCTAACTGAACTAGTACCCAGGTAGATCCAGAGATTTATCTCCGATCATCTGTACATGTAGCCCATCTGTACCCTGTCCTATGTACGTAGCTGTACGTACAGTGTCGTAACAAAAGTTCTCATAAAACTTATTTTCGCCAAGCCTTAGTAATCGGGCGGTCAGGGCTTACCGCCTTCAAGGTAAATAACGCGTAGAAACAATATACTATACTATATTAAAAAAACACGTTAAAATCACGTCGAAAAGCACGTTAAAAAACACATTATAAGCATCCTCAATATGCCTCCAAACCGTGTGCGTCAGCTGCTTCGACAGCCATCTTCTACGCCATACTGCGCACCCTTAAATCCACCGAGGCGTCGCGGTCCGCAATTAGACGTGTATACACGTACTAAAATTACTACTCTACGCTCAGAGGGTCTCAAATATAAAGAAATTCACGCCCGTCTGCCTCATATTCCTTTCGGAACAATTGCATCGACTTGTTATCTCGAAAATAAGCGAGAAAATAATACTACATCGCCGCGATCTGGGCGCCCGCGCAAGATCTCTGAAGATGATCGTGATCGTATATTTGAGGCAATCCATGGCAATCCACGTACCAAAATTGAAGATCTAATGGATGCTTGTGATCGTCAGGTCCATCGGCAATTAATCTGGCGCCTTCTCAAAGAAGCAAATATGCGAAAATGGCAATGTATGCACCGTCCCGAGTTAACTGATGAATGGGCTTCAAAACGACTTCAGTGGGCCTTAACCTGGTAAAATTTAACCCCTGAAGAATGGAAATTAAGACTCTACTAGTCTGATGAATCAACAGTTGAAAGGGGAAAGGGTGCTCGTCAGGAATGGACCTTTACAAGACCAAAATATCAGGCTGAAACTCGCGATGTTCAAACTTTCTCGTATAAAGGAGTTAAACAAATGTTTTGGGCTGCTTTTTCAGGCTGTGGACGTCGAACTGGCTTAATTCCACTCTATCCACTAGTCAATGAAGAGGGTGAGATTGTCGGAGGAATTAATCGCTGGGTTATTCTTGAACTATATCAATCAGTTCTTCCAACCTTAATCAATGGCAATGAAAATGCAGTTTTTATGCAAGACAATGCCCCTGTTCATACGGCATATGTTGTTAGAGACTGGCTAAGAGATCAAGACTTCGAGGTAATGGTTTGGCCACCTCATTCTCCTGATTTAAATCCTATTGAGAATCTTTGGGCGTTATTAAAAGCCAAAATCTATGAGCTACATGCGGAGCTTCATACTATGCTAGACAACGATGATACTCTCGAATATTTAGTTGCCTGTGCTCAGGAGGCTTGGTCAGAGATTGATCTCTCTATATTAGAGAATTTAGCTATTACTATGCCACACCGTGTGAAGGAGATTATTGATAATAAAGGGTGGTATACTAGCTATTAGAGAATTTGAGATATTTTCGAGGTTTTGACCGGCAGAATATTACGTAAGGTGGGTCTTGGCAAAATAAGTTTTATGAGAACTTTTGTTACGCCACTGTAGCTGACAGGGACAAGGTTTGTTTCAGATTCCCGAGAGTTTTAGTTCGCGCCGGTAAGGCTGGGGCCCTGGGGTTTAGTGGGAAAAAGAGGGGAAAGATCGTAATGATGTCCATGCATACGGGGCATATCATAGATTTCATGGGAGAAATGGGCCTCGGAGTACAATCGGAGGGCATCAATGCATCGAAAGGATCCAGGTGGATAGACATGTGGAGCACAAAGTAGAATGTAGAGTCTAATGGGCTCAAGGCTTGCCTTTTTTCTGCCCCTTACTCCGTATTCATTAATTATTTTTCGCTTTTTCGTATAATCCTGGATGAGATTCGCGGTCACACAAGGCTGGCAAAGTCAAAAATCTTGTCCAACGTTGATCCTCGATTCTATCTCGATCGGAGATTACCAAGTAACCAGATTGAAACCTGGAAACAGAACCAACAATTAGATCCACGGGAACCTACGGCACCGTTAATAGTTATGATGGAAGAACCGGTTTCTTAAGATCGAACAAAGGATCGTAGATTGCTGTAGTTCACGACAGATCACATTTTTGTGTTCTGTGAAATGGATCACAGCCTAACTTTCCGAGAGGCTCCACTGATAGAGGAAGGGGGACGCGCGCGCCAGTAAAGCGGTAAGAAGCTGAATGAGCCATTAAGAAGACAGAAGAGAGAAGTGACAGGTCCTTGAAATAGATCTTCCTGTCAAGGTTGTCACATCACAACGGTCTGTGCACAGATCATTGGTGCCGGTCCCTGGGAGTGGATTCGGGAATTTAGGCCACATTGGTGTATTTGGGTCCATTTGGCTCCAATCATGAAGAGGAACACGACATATCCCTTGGCGAGTTCCCGAGGGAAGGTTAGCTGTGTGATAGTTGAACCCGGGTCTACAGTAGCTGTTTGCAGGTTGGGGATTGGATGGAAGAGGATGAATGTGTGGGGGAACCTTGTACAGCATGTACCTAGACCTGGAGGTATGTACGTACAGCTAGAGATGTGCCAGCAGATTAGTTGTTTGTTATATAAATCAAGCTGAATGTCTCGCGCGGTCAACGGTTGTTAGTTTTGCTTCGGTGATTCTATACATCTAAATCCACACTATACACTATACAGCTACACATGGATGTATGTCTGTTTATACGATCAACCTTGGATATTTCAAGTTCTACATGAGGATCTGAATAAATGAACAGTCCAAGTGTATCTTCTTCATTTATTACCATCTTCTCCCTCTTTCTCTAGCCATCGATCTATACAACTATTGATCTACGAGAACAAGCAAGATTCAATTATTGACCCAACACCACCACAATATCCTCTTTCTACTTCATTTTCAGCAAAGATTTGGAATTCCCTGAATCTCTCAACAATCTGCACATTTTTTTTCTCCCCATAATTACCTCTGCAATGCCAGCTGCAGGCTGTGAGGAGGACTTTGACTCTCTACCCCCCGCGGTCAGACGAAAGGTAAGGGCTCCTCCATCCGGACTTTCTTTTGTGTGAAATCATAATTTAAGATCTTCGATTCGTTTTTCCCGATTTGATTTGTTTTTCTCTTATTTTTTTGCCACCCCTTTTCCCCTTCTTTTTTCCCTTAATTGTTGTGGATCAATAGTTCCGTCGATAGTTTCGGCCCCGAGACTGAAACAGACAAACTGAACTGAACTGATCTTCGTTGCTGCTTATCCTTTCCCCTCTCTCTCTCCTCCTTCTCTTCCTTTTTACTTTCTCTCCGTCATTGTGGATCTTTTCTTTTTTCTGTCTGACTAGAATTTTGATTTTTTTTTCTCTCTTTCTTTGTTTTTCTTTTCATTTCCCCCTCCCCCCTGAATTCTCCAATCATTTCCCTTACCCAGCATCAAGTGGGGACCACCAACTTCTGGACTATCATCCATGGCGTTGTCCAAACGTTGTCCCATTTGTCCAACTGTGTACCACTTTGGCGCATGGGGTTAACACTGTCTCCACTTCTCCTCCACTCCCCTCCACTATCTTCATACCGGTTCGTGGGCTGATCCCCCCTAAAACAGTTCTTCTCGAATGTCGAGCGCTTGCGTATGCGGTTAGCTCAGGATGGAAATACCCCTGGAGGTTCCACGTATGATCATGCTCGGGCCTATCGCTCGATGAACCCTCATGGGCCAGGCCCCCTCCACTCGCGTGGGCTTCGGACTGCGCCTTCTGCTTCTGCTGTCTCTGCTGCCAGGAGACGAGGACTCGAGAAGCGCACGGCTTCACCTAAAAAACTACGCAAACCTGGCTCTTTACAATCCGCCTACTTGATTGCCCAAGCCGACTCGCAATGCTTTCATGCTCTCCCCGCTAAACTGCAGCAAAAGTTGTTCTCCCCTGAAGAACGTCGTCGTTTTCGTCTTACTTATCGGGAAAGCGTCATTCTCGACGCTGCCGACGAGGCATTTTATAGACGGGATCATCTACGGCATCAATTCTCCTCCGACTCTCTTCGCTCTGGTCCAGCTCTCTCCATTGACCATCCAACAACAACTTCGGTCTTTTGGGATTCCGATTCCGATTCTGACTTGGATCTAGACGACGAAGAGCACGAGCACGACTCCAAGATGGATCAATCAATTTATGATAGTTTCCGCTGGCTCGATGCCGATGGAGATTTGGACTTATCCCTGGACGAGTACCATGCTCATATCGCCGATGCAGCCACCAATAAACCATTTCCTCGACGTCGTCCCTCGTTTCGTCGCTCATTATCCTTTTCAACACACGTCGCAAAGCACCGACAGACAGCATCAGTACCACCTCGAAGCATCCCTCCAAGTCACTCATTACCCCCATTGGCACCTGTCGTCAACCACAATTCCTCTTCTCGTCCACCCTCTCGCCATCAATCCAACAGCCAACATGGTTCTAAATCCTCCACTTCCAGCATTGACCCCTCCGCCCAATACTACCAAGACCCCGACGCTCGTTTGAAACTGCGTGTTTATTTGGCTTCCCCCCAGAAATTTGATGAAGCCATTGAGTTTGGATTCCCCGCCTTGGACCAAGACAAGGAAAATGTAGCGCCTGACGTGAACTCTCTCTCACCGGTTTCTCCGGTCTCGATCAGTCGGGAATATGCGGGCACCTTCTTTGAGGAAGACGATGGGACAATGGTCGGCACACCTGGTGGCTCTGTCGTCGAAGTGCCTGCTCCATCGATGGCTTCCCAAATGCGAGAGACTCCTCGTCCATCCATAGATACCCCTTCTCTCTTACAACGACGCCAATCTTTCCTGCCTGGATCCAGATCAGGACCTCAGCGACTCCCGGGTAATCGAGAGATGACCCTGAAAATGACATTGACCCGACCGGACTTGCGCACCGAGTCCCCCACTTCGATTCCTTCTCCGAATGAGGACCCTCTCCGCCTGGCAGCACTCCCACCTGCCGACCGCAGCCAACACATTTGGGATGATCTGGATGACGAACAAGGCATGGTCAAGAAGATGTGGCGTAGACTGCGTCGTCGAAACTAAGCCATCTATTCCCTCTTTCATCCTCGCCTTCATTCTACTCGAGGTTCATGGAAGTGCTGGTCCTCTAATTCTTTCTTCTTCTCATTACTTTCTCCTTTCCATTCTTATCCGTTCATTCAGCGTACAACGGTTTATTCGTTTATCTTTTTTATTATTTTATTCCCTCTTGATGGCGTCATTACCAAGGATGGTTTGGTACTCATACATCTTTTATTTTATTTTTATCCTGCATTTGGGTCTAGCGCTGGTTGGCTTTGGTTCCATCAAGAGGTTTGGAGAGTTAAATTACCTCCATCCATTCATGTATCTATTGGATATTCAAGTTCGCAGCTTCTGTATATATTTTCCATTTGGCTGCTGAGCATTTAAAGCCAAAGTGCTTTAAAGGCAATTGACTTGTTTTACATGTATTCATTCAAATGTGTAGACTGAGGCTATTTATAGGGAATTATATCATCGCCCCAATCGTTATGTAGTGATGCGCTCTACAAATCAAGTAATCTACTTCCAATTGAATCCAGGAACCGATCATCTTTATTCTCCACCTTATTTATATACTTCATCTCCACATACACTATACATCCATGGATCAACTCACCGTGACATAATTAAGACCCGCCGATAACGATAAGCGGCACGTGACAAGGGAGCTTCCCCCCAGAGGCCACGACGACTTCCCTCTCTACTTGATCTATCTACATTCACATTGGGAAACTTGAAATTGTACTTGTGCCTACTATCCTGTATCTGCTTTGGATTTGTATCTTACTTTCAATCCCTCTTTTAGCATCCCCCTCCAACCTCCTCTCTCGAAATTATCTCGTTCCTTTTATCTCGCTCTCCGGATCGGCCCGCAGGCAGACGCGCTGCTTACCCTTGAAGTTACACCTTGCCACTATACTTCCCCCTCCGCCCTCCCGCTTCAGATGCCTGAATATCAGCGGTCATGATAACAAGGTGGTTGCTGCTTGTGGTGGGATTGCTGCTGGCTTTGGCCACGCAACCGATCGCCGCAAAGGGAGATAAACCCAAGGTCACAACGACAGAGCTCGATCATCAACCATTACGTCTGTTCTACTTCGAAGGCACCAACACAATCCTCTACCAGGATGAGGCGACACTTAACGCCCATGTATCATTCGATGGTGGCGAAGAATGGAAGGTCGTCAAAGGAGACGATGAGAGCATGGAAGGGAAAGTCCGATTCATGATACCCCATCCACACGATAATCATCGCGCGTATGTGATCGGCCCAGAAGACACGCACTGGATAACAACAGACCAAGGCAAGAGTTGGAAATCATTCAAGATGTCAGCTGCTCCTTTTATCTCCATGCGCGCCGACCCTATCAGTTTCAATGGCTGGGATCCCAGCAAGGCCATCTTCCTCACAATACAATGCAATTGGCTCGGCTGCATGACGGAATCCTTCTATACGACCGATGACTTCAAAACGATCAAACCACTACGAGAAGCCGTTTACGAGTGTCGCTGGGCTGCAAGCACACCTGAGTTTGGACTGGATCTGGATCTTCCCAAGTCGCTAGGAGATCGAGTTCTTTGCGTTGTCCCCGGCTTAAAGGTATCGGATCACACCGAGCGCCTCCTCTATTCCGACAATTTCTTTCCCGACAATAATGGAGGCACTGAAGTCAAGCTGAACCTCGGACAGGCCATGGTTGGCCAGGATATCAAGGTTCGCTCAGTCAAGAAGTATATGGTTGCCGGCGTTCAGTCTCGAGGAACCACTGAGCAGGCTTTGTATGTGAGCGATGACTCGACGGAATGGCATCGCGCAGAATTTAGCGGTCACCGTATGGAGAAAGATGCATATACTTTGTTGGAAAGTACAAACTATAGTATCCAGCTGGATGTGCAGACAACATGGAACGCCAGTCGCGTCGGCGCTCTGTTCTCATCCAACTCGAATGGAACATATTTCTCACCCAACATCGAACATACAAACCGAGACCTTAATGGATTGGTTGACTTTGAAAAGGTCGCTGACATTCAAGGTATTGTGATTGTCAATACTGTCAAGAACTGGGAGGAAGTGGAAGAGTCGGATAAGAACAAAAAGGAGCTTATCAGCCAGATCAGTTTTGATGATGGACGGACATTCCAGTCCTTGAAAGAGGGTAGCGATAAACTGCATCTTCATTCCATGACGACCTATGATGAGCTGCGCAAATTGAGTGGTCTGGGTCGAATGTTTTCTAGTCCTGCTCCTGGTTTGGTGATGGGTGTAGGAAACACGGGTGACCATCTCAAGGACTACTCAGACGCTCATCTTTATGTCTCAGACGATGCCGGACTTAACTGGCGACATGCGTTGAAGGGTCCTCATCGATTCGAATTTGGCGACCAGGGTGGTATCATCGTGGCTGTAAAAGACGGCGAGAAGACCAAGAAGGTTGAATATTCGATTGACCATGGAAAAGAATGGGAGGAGCTCGAATTAAAGCATGAAGTCAAAGCTTTGTTCTTGACCACAACACCTGACTCAACTAGTCTGAAGTTCATTCTTGTAGGTGTGAACGGTGATGAAGATGATGGCGAATATATCATCTACTCTATTGACTTTGAAAGTCTTCATGAACGCAAGTGCACGAAGGATGACATCGAGAAATGGACAGCTCGTGTGGATGAAGACGGTAAAGCAGATTGTCTCATGGGCCACAAGCAATTCTTCGAGCGCCGAAAAGCCAACGCCAACTGTTTCATGAAAAATGAATTCAAGATGGATGCGCCTGAATTCGAAAAATGCAAATGTTCTGCAGAAGACTTCGAGTGTGATTACAACTTCAAGCGCTCCGAAGATCGCAAGGAATGCGTGCCTGCTATCTCTTTGACGGCTCCCGCAGGAAAATGCAAGGAACCCAGTGAAAAGTATATGGGCCCCTCTGGCTGGCGACTCATCCCTGGAAACGTATGTATCCGTGAAGGTGGTGAGCAGCTCGATAAGGAAGTGGAACGTTCTTGTGGCAATTCTACAAGCTCTCCCTCACCTATCACCGATGGCAAGGTTCACGTGGGAGAACCGCAAACTTTCTCTACCTCCCCAGCCCAATACTTCTATCTGGAACGACAGGAGAGTAACTTGGGTGACGATGAGACTGTTTTCATGGCCAATAACCTGCAGCTATATATTAGCCACGACCATGGTAAGACATGGAAACAGCCTGCCGAGCTTAAGAGCGAGAAAATCCTTGCGATGATTCAACATCCCTTTTATACGGATGGAGCCTACTTCTTGACGGACGGAGGCTATGTTTACTCAACCATCGACCGCGGCTATTCATTCAACAAATTCAAATGGCCTACTTCCGAAATTTCCAAGTATAGCTCGCCAATGGAGTTCCACGAAAAATACCAGGATTGGATGATTTGGATTGGTACTGACGGCTGTACCGGCAACAACTGTGTTTTCGATGCGTATCTCAGCAAAAACCGTGGCCACGAATGGGAATTGATGCTACGAGGAGTAAGCTCTTGCAAGTTTGCATACAATGAAAAGCGCGAGGATAGCGAAAAGCTGGTCATTTGCGAGCAATACGTCCAAGAGAATAGCAAGAACAACCGTCAGCTCGTCTCTACCGAGACAATGAACGACTGGGCCGATAAAAAGCTGATCAACGAGGATATTGCACGATTCGTGATGATGAATGACTATGTTGTTGTGGCAACTTATCCTACAGAGAAGCACAAATTCCTGAATGTCAGCACCAGTCTTGATGGTCGTGTCTTCGCTGAGGCTCAATTCCCGTTCAACATCGATGTGGCCGAGTACACCGTGCTTCCAGGTTCTTCGTATGCATTGCTCCTCTATGTGGAAGTAAATGACAAGGAGGGTCAGTACTTTGGGTCATTGGTCAAGAGTAACAGCAATGGTACCTATTTCGTTCAAAGTTTGGCGGGCTTGAATTCTAATAATGAACGTTTCGTCGACTTCGAGAAAATGGTTGGCATTGAGGGTGTCGCGCTCGCCAACACCGTTGTGAACAAAGAGGATGTACTGAAGAAGGGTGCTGATAAGAAGCTGGTTTCTGTCATCACTCATAATGACGGTGGTCAATGGATGCTTTTGGCGCCTCCAACTCGGGATGCTGAGGATAAGAAATTTGACTGCTCCGTTACTGAGGGTGAAGGTACCTCCGCCTGTGCATTGCATCTTCACAGCTACACAGAACGACGTGACTCGCGCGATACCTTCTACTCTGATTCCGCTGTAGGCCTGATGGTCGGAATTGGTAACGTTGGCCAATACTTGTCAGATGCCAAGGATGCCGATACTTTCCTCAGCAGAGACGGTGGTTTCACATGGAAACAAGCTAAGAAGGGTCGCTACATGTTTGAGTTTGGCGATGCCGGATCAATCATTGTTCTTGTCCGTGAGCAACAGGCGACCAAGGTTGTTCATTACAGTCTTGACGAGGGCGACAAATGGAGCGAATTCCAGTTCTCAGAGACCGAAATGGTCATCAATGACATCTCGACCTTGCCTTCGGATACCTCGAAGAACTTCTTGCTGTGGGCTGAAGAAAAGTCTTCCGGCAAGCTGACAACCATCAATCTCGACTTCAGTGGTGTCTGGGATCGGCAATGCGAAGCTAGTAAAGTAGGCGGTGACAATGACGACTACTATCTCTGGACTCCTCAACATCCAGCTCAACAGGATGGTTGCTTGTTCGGACACATTGAACAGTACCAGCGTAAGAAGCCAAATGCCGAATGCTGGAACAATTGGCGAACATCTCGGGTCCACCGAATTGAAGCTGGAAACTGTACTTGCACCCGTGCAGACTTTGAATGGTAAGCTATTATCATGGAACCATGAACTTACCTAATGATTTCACCCGCTAACGAAATGTGTCTTTAGTGATTACAACTATGAGATTCAAAATGACGGTAGCTGTGGACTTGTCCCTGGTCTCACCCCACCCGACCACAGTTTGCAATGCAAGGAAGACCCCGATAGAATCCAATACTGGGAGCCAACTGGTTACCGTAAACTTACCCAGTCAACATGTCAGAGCGCAGAGCAGGATCTCGACCGACAGGTCCCCCATGCCTGCCCGAACAAGGAGGAGGAGTTCAAGAAGAAGCACGGCACAAGCGGTGTGGTTCTGTTCTTTGCCATCGTACTTCCGATCGCCGCAGCGGCTGCTATTGGATATTTCGTCTACACTAAATGGGATGGCAAGTTTGGCCAGATCCGTTTGGGCGAGAGATCAGTTGGCAGCTCTGGGGACTGGTTCAACCGTGACTCCCCACTTGTTGCCGTCCCAGTGGCCATCATCGCCGGTTTGGTGGCTGTTGCCCAGTCATTGCCGTTACTGGCTTCTAGTATGTGGCGTAGTGTTTCTGGAATTATGCCTGGACGCCGGGGTCGGGGCTACCAACGGCCTTATTCGACGCCTGGATCATTTGCTGCGCGTCGGGGTGATTACGTCCATGTTGTGGATGATGAGGACGAGCTGCTGGGAGCGGATGAATTTGATGACGATGAGGAGGCTTGATCTTCTCGTCTCCAGGAATGTAGTAATGTTTGGAAAGAAGTTCTTAATTGGACATGGATCTGACTGAGATATTGATGTGACATTATTTATGAACGCAGCCATGCCTGCAATCTTCTTGCTTCTTTTTTTTTTTTTTCTCCCTTGGTTTATTTAGCTTTTGGGTTCATTGCCTATTTCTCTTTTATGTTTTGATATATTACAAGAATCTCACTGGTGCGTAACCATTGGAAATTAAGAATTTCGGATTTCCTTCTTCTATTTCTTTTTACTTAGGGTATTTGGCCCTATCGGATTCTACAACCTCATCTATACCAATGCGAGCTTGTCATCCGGGTCTATGAACGGTTTCTGGCCAAGATGTTTCCATACCATGCCGCTATCTAGTTCGACCTTTTGTTTCTTCATCGAGAACAGAACCTCGGCATAACGATCTGTGATATAGACCAGGCTCTTGCCCTGTTCAGCCCATGGGAGTTAGCATATATGATTCCAAACAAAGCGATCGAGATGGTATATCGACACTCACAATACCCAAGGTGATCTTTGTCGTTCCCTCCCACCATTCCGCCTTGTACTCAATGAGCGACTTTCCCTGAATACTACGACAGACATTCTCCGCTACAACTTGTGCTTGCTCAAAAGCCGCCCGGGCATTCTTGATTCCATTCGATTCAACCAAATCGCCCGCAGCAAAGATATGTGGGAATGCATCGTCCACGACTTGCAAAGATGATCTGACTCGAATATGACCTGACCGTGAAAATGCATCGGGAGACAAGAATTGGACCAGATGCGAGTTTGGCTTCTGCCCAACACACTTGATCTAATGGGTAAAGTCAATCAACCATGCATATAAAGAGAGAGAATGGATTCAACAAACCAGACAATCAAAGTGAATAGTCTCTCCTCCACTGAGCTTAATATCTCCCGAATTCATCCCATCAGGAATCACCGGTTTCTCACCAAGGACCAGATTCACACCCAAATTCTCCATTTCTTTGCAAACAGCGTCATGAAGCTTCAGCCCAAATCCATCATTCAACAATGTCTTCCGAGAATGAACCAGCGTAACTTCTTTATCAGGAAACTGAGTCTTCGCATCACCCGCTAACTCAATCCCTGCAGGTCCCCCTCCAATAACAACAATATGTTTTCCCTGTGTGATTTTCTCCCGTTGAGCAGCTATGACTTTCATTCCGTCATGCTTACTCTCTTCACACACCCTTGAAGGTAACGTAGCCGAAGATCCCGTAGCAAGAACAAGGTATTCATATTCGATTTCCCTCCCAGAAGCAAGCTGGACTCGTCCTGACTGTCCACCATGACTATGACTAGGTAAAACAGACTGAACAGCTTCATTAATCCACTGCCAAGATCCAGGTGGACCCTTCATGTACGAGCCATAGGGAATAAAAGCCTTATTGTCATGACCATCAACAACACAGAACCGTGGCAGGACCCAAGTTAATTGGAAATGAGTATTCTTCTCAATAACCACCACTCTATAGCCGGATGGAAGAGAGTTTGCAAGGCAGCGAGCAGCTTGATATCCTGCAAATGAGGCACCGATCACCACAATGCTTTTCGGTTGTTCACCCGGTTGGTAGGTGAATCGGTGCACTGCTGATCGGAGCGATGTATTCAGTCGCTTCCAGGACTGTTGGATGATGATAATGAGGATTTTACCAACGAGTATGAATTTGGCTAACATGTCGATTGCGGGGAATTGAGTTCCAATTATTAGAGAGTTTATATTTGCTCCAAAAGTTTGAAAGGATGTTTGTTCTTTTCTTTTGGTTATATACAAGTAAACCGCGGAGACTCCGCGGAGTCAAGTGGGCTGATCTTGATGCACGCGATTCCAGATGCCGAATACGAAGACGAAAGACCAATGATAGAAAGAGAAAAGTGGAGTTGGTAGTATTATGCATTGGAGAAACTTAAATATTATTTTGGACAATGAATATAAAGTACGCATGAATTTCATAATTTCGTTGCGGTGGTGCGTATATAGTATCAGGCACGCATATTTAGATGACAACTTCGCCTCGGTTAATAGCTTTAATCAAATCCGATTAGTATCTTCTCTTACATTTGTAGCCTGTTGACTGTCGTATCAGTGTAGTTCTAGGCCTTCTCTCCAAGACTTAGGTAGACCCATCCGGAGATATACTCGTTGGACAAAGTACAAACACCCGGTCGAGATTCACCGATAATAGCCTCTCACGGCCATGCTTTCTTCGAAGGAGGTAATTCGCAATCAGGATTCAATGTTGTGTTGGTTCCAGCAGAGTCCATTCATGCCAGGACATCATGATCAATGCATATACATCGGAAAGCGGAGACGCGTCTCATCGATTGATTCTGCCCGACAACGATTACCGCCATTTATACCGCCCAGTTTTGCCGTCATCACGTGCACAGGCGGTAGACACAGCATAGACACAGCACCAAGATATATAGGGCTATGCGATGGCTGATGCTATTGAAAAAGCCTGAGTTAAAATCTGTTTTATGCATATCCGCATGTTCGCAAATACCCATGAACAATGATAAATAATGAGGTCATACATATTCCTTTCAGACACTGATCGGCCGGACCTGGGACTAACTACGGGGCTGCGACTTAAGACACTGGGGTAGATCGAGCCTAAATTGAGCAAGTAGTGCGACAGTTTTGTCGATCTTTGGCCCCCGGTGGAGCCCGGCAAGCCCCCTGTCCAAGTTAAACCCTATCCTAGTTTTTCCATAGCCACAGTAAACCACTGCAAAAATGCGAGTCCTGCCTAATCCCTGAAATTCTAATCCTCTGCGAGAAATAGCCGTGAAAGAGCCCCACTGTCCAGCTCTACTCCTTCCTTTAAATCCATAGACAAGACGATTAGGTGTGCTCATGAAAGTCACTGGCGTTGGTGATTTCTGGACATCAAGGATATCAATTGAACAAGCTTATAAATCCTCATTATGCATGTATAATAGTAGATAGTAGATCCTAAGCTTCTTGAGGCTCAATATCTGACCTTCAATAATTACACCAGAAGGTGGAATACCATCATATTTAAGCATGCTATCGGCCCCCATGTTTGCGTGATCACTACGGCCCCAGGGTCATCTAAAAACCTTGGAAGTGGATATCAGAATTGATAGCGTGATATGATTTTTATACAAACCTAAAATCGAAAGGCATAAACTTGTTGCATCTATATTCGAATAGCTCTCGCTAAACCTATAAAAGGGAGAATATTCCCCTTCATCCTAGAAATAGTATCCTCCACAGCTCACAACTTCATCGGAAGTTCCAGTCCTATCATCACTTTATACAACACCCATCATCTTTCTCATCTTCCAACCGTTCGCCATGCTCTCTCTTAAGATGCTGGCCCTTGTGCTGCCTGTATTGTCGGGGGCATACAAGCTTAAGGCTTGCACAGATACTGCCTGTTCAGAGGGCTGTGTAGACCTCAGTGCCGATGTACGCATCCATCATGGTTCCATATCTCTTATAACCTAACTTGAACTGACTTTAACCTTTTCCTGAATAACAGGACGTTACCTCTGCCACTGACTGCTTAGACTTTGGATTTACTGCGAAGTCTATTTACTGGGCACTCACGGAAAACACACTCGACGCATGGCCATACGCAGGCTGTGCCGGTGGGGTTGGAAGTGAAAACGTGTGGATTAATGATGGAAACCCCGACAACGCCCTGGCCTGTCAGGATTTGGAAAGCTCTGAACAGGGTAGCAACGGTGTTCGTTACTACATTGTCAACAACAGTGCGGAATAGACATGAGTACTAGTCTGCTTCACCGTCCTTGGTTCATCTCTTCGTGACCCCACCGAATCTCTATGAAGCCGCACCTTCGACAATGGATAGATCTTTGGTTCTAATTAGACAATTTACACTTCTCTCATGCGCTTCAAAGCTCCTCGGTGTTCCACCTAAGTAGAGGATTTCCTATGCGAAATCTTGGCTTTCCCGTTCCGTTTTAGTGCTCAGTGAGCGCCACTTTTGCTCTCTGAGTAGATCTGAGCACGTCTCTGAGCACACCGACCTGATCAGTGATCATCACGTAACTACTTAAGCTGCTCTCTGATCCCTCTGATCTGCTCAGTGAGTCTAATCTGAGGACTCTGATTTGCTCTCTAAGCATTGCTTACATGAGAGCCAGTGGCCTGACTCAACCACCCCCAATAAAACGCAACACACTACCCCTCACAAAAGTCTCTCCCCATTTTTAGAACGCTCAAATATTCTATCATTAAAAAGTTACGCATCACAAACAGCCGCAAAATTGCATGGCAAAACTACCTCCTAGGAGCAAACACACAGAACAGCTCACTTCATTGTCCTATGAAATTCTGGTCGAAATTCTGCAAGCTCCTAGTAACAATTCGCATAGTTTGCCTTGGTATACTACTTCTCGCAGAGGTCAAAGGCCAGAGATGGTGGGGAGCCAATTATCTACAACTTCCAATTAGATCTACATGTGTTCGGTTCGAATGATTCAACAGAGAAGTAGTTTGTAGCAATACGATAGCCTCCTAGCAGCTGAATGCTACTGACAACGATGATCTCGTAGGAAATTCAATCCTATAATTCTCCCGAGATAGGGCGCGATTTCCTGCAGCGCCCATTGAGCAAGCAGTAAGGCCATGACACTTTGCTACTCCTAGGAGCTTGAATTTCGATTATTACATTCACTCCTTTCTCCTACTCCCCTACCGATCACGGATCCTGGGAGCGAAGAGAACATAAAAGTCTCACAGTTATGTTGAGGGCCCACGAAAAAGCTATGCTTCAGAAGCCGCATTCAATACAGGCGTTTACCTTAGCGTCCTCAATTATAAATACTAAATATCTTATTTTTCTCTTCGAAAATAATATAATTAGTTTAATACCACCCCTCCCCAAAGAATAAATCGAAACCTCTCCCCTACCAATATTACACTATTACATCTAATTTCATTCAATCTCTTAGTTCGTAATAACCACACATCCCCTACAAGACATTCAAAATCCAAACAAATACAATCTTTCAAAATATTTAAGCCGCATAAACCAATCAATATAATGTCGACAGAGAATAAAGGTAAGAATCTTAATAGCTTCCGTTTCATTAGTCCGTACAACTCTTACTAATTCTATCTATTAAAATAGATTCTAGATATCAAGAAAGTGGATCTGCCAGGCCAAGCTTGCTGGTCCGAGCACTATCCTCTGGGAAAGGTGGAATACCAATGCTACAGCAAGCAAGGCGTCGGAATTTCTTTTGGCTCACCCACCTCGAGCACCAGTGTGAATAATTTTTGGAGATTAAGTTCTAATCGCTGAAGCTAGAGTTGGTAGAGTAATAGACAATAGGAATTTTTAATCAATTGTGGCTAATGGAATCTCTGTCCAGGGAAGAGTATTTAAAATTAGAGGTCCAAAATGGAATACAATCATCATCCCAGAGAGTTTAAACCTTGGATATCGAAGCAGAATGTACAAAATATCCCCTGACCAGCAACTAACCCTGTCTCAGACCCTCTCACCTTTTGGTAAAATATTCCTTATCTGCTATTTTAATTACACTTTTTGACCGGATCTCGTAATAATTTTGCCACCGCCGCCATCCTACTTTGAATCCGTCGTGCCTGTTTCATAATGGAGCAGACTCTTCCTTTCAGGGCTTAGGCTCTTTCTATCCAAAGCTCTGTTGGCACCATAGTCAACATTGCTATTACTAGGGACTGGTGCGTTAGGGTGCGAGATTTTTTCACGATTTGGGTGCTCGCAGCCTGACTCAATGGCACCGGTTTCGATCGCACGCTCGCCTGCTGAAAGAGCGAAATCACCGGAATCAAAGTATGTTCGGTCCTTCAAATCCGTAAGCAAGAGAATGTGCCGGTTGAGCTCGGTTAAAATTACCTTGAACCGCTTGTCAAGCAAATACCCAAGAGGCTGCTTCTCGTATAAACTGAAATGACGTTTCTCACTTTCAGATAGTGGCTACAAGAAGTGCTGTTAGCGTCGATACTCGAGATCTGTGAGGAGATTCAATCCCTACTTCTGTTTTTGATGTTCTGCGCTCGGTTTTCATTTTCAGGAAGTCTGGGAATAAAAAATGTAGCACCAAAAATAAAGGACTTATTTCATTAAGTTAATATAGCATGAGGAACCCTTTTTTGCCACAGGTAGATATGTCAATGACGTACATCAAGTCACAAAGATATGTCCGTCACATGATATTCAATACATGACAAGGGCTAATTGGTGCGAAGGACTGAGAATGAGAGTGAGCTTTGGGAATACCATATGCCCTCGTAGAGCCTACTACGAGTAGCATTCTGCTCCATTCTACCCTTGACCATTCTCGATGAAATAAAGAGCTCGCGAATTCAGGGATACAGCGGTACAATTGTCGCTGGTCGAAGCTTCCTCGTTGTGATAAGGCCGTCTTGGCCAGAGTGCTTGAGGGTTTTACAGAGACACCTACAGGTCATTTGAGAGCTGATTTTTGTCTGTGAAGTGCTGGTGGTACCAAAGATTAATTGACTCTAAATTCTCCATATATAGTGAAAGTGATCTTTTGTTTTCGAGTTCAAAAGGTATTGAACTCATTGGATAAAGGTAGGGGACCCAACGGACTTTTGAATAATGCATATCGATATAATTGCAAAGTCGACTTTTATTACTATTAATCTTGGAACTAAAACTTCGAATTACAAGATCTATATTCGAATAATTAGACAAGAGATAAACTAGATAAGAAAAGTTAAAGTCGTCGTTTATAGTTCATCTCTACCCTTATCAAACAAATACCTAGCCTACTTTCCTTTCCCCATCTTTTCCCTATCTTTCTCTATACCCAAGCCTTCGTGTTCGCCCGTCTGTTATCCCACGGAACGCTGTGTTCGTGTTCGTGCCGTATAGAGTTAAACTAGGAAGTCAAAGAAGCTCCTCCATTTCTATGGCATATACCATCTTTTGCGATTTTCATTCATTACTAACGTCTGTCAGAAACTGGTGCAGCACTATCCATTAGACGGCATGCTAATCAATTGTCGTAAAGACTTTGTTGCATTTAAGGGGCTTGCGGTGCGAATATGTGGCTGGGCGTAAATGTATTTTATTGTGATATGCAACCTTGGTTAGCTAACCTCACTTTCCAGATGACAATTGCGCCACGAGCGGATAGGCTTCTCACTATTTCAGAGAGCAATACTGTATAAAAACGAACGCGAGGGGCTTCAGCCAATGATTGGTGGCGATGGTATCTGGCGCTGTAACTGGTTACAAGTGAAGTCAACCCCAAGTGAACCCATGCCTGGAAAGATCTGACCCGGCCCAACACAGCCATCCGTAAGGGCGGATGTTTGTATTTCAGCAGTCACTTGACTAGTAGTCCGATAGATTACACGCTAGAAGTAATTCGCTACTTAGTCTGCTAATCCGAATGGCTACTTACATGGTCGAGAACAAAGTAAACCCATTAGTCAACGTCGACAGAAAGAATATTAACTTAGACTTGCTTGCGTAGTGTAATGGTGATATTAAACAAAGGCAGATGGTTCTGAGACCCATGGACATCATTCTCCATGAATCCCCCTGAAGCATTCGGCTTCCCGTTCCTGTATCTGGGAATGGTCGCTTTGAATGCAAGCGCTTGATCAAAAAATCCACACCATACAATGCTATCAACAGAGATATCGTAGAGCTCTGCAATCTTCGCTGTTGCGAGGACCCCGGCCTCTTTAACCTGCTGATAAACCACTGCGCAGTCGAACATAACGTCAAGAGTAATCTCGAATGGTCCCGCGTTCTTGGAGCGAATCACCTTGGCGATCTCTCCCAGAGTAAATGTACCTGTTATCTGTCCGAGTGGCTTGGGATGTGAAGAAATAGTAGTAGGATTTATAGTATGGTTCGCACCACAACCTCCGTGAGTCGATGAGTCGTGAAATCTTTGACGATCAATTCGGGGACCACTGCCTAAAAGACGTGTTTCCCATCGTGTGAGGCTCTTCGACCCATTTCCCTGGTCTCGCCGGCCTGTGGCATCCTGACTGATCTCTATCGCCTCTTCCTCCCCTTCCTCCATCTCTGCCAAGTGATATATTGAGAACTCGGCGCATGCCCCCATCTCGACCTCCAACTTCCCACCTATTCCCATACCAAAATTTCCACCGTTTGCTTTCTGTCCTTCGTATGGCGCATGGACACATGCGATACGGGCGGATGATGTAACGCTATTTGCTAGAGCTTGGGTCTCAGCAAGTGCCTCTCCGACAATAAACACATCTCCTGTTGAGGTCCTTTCGTTCCTGTCGAGATCAAAACCATACACGTGGAAGTCAACCTCCCACTTTTCCCGAGTATGCGCATGCTTCTGCTTAACATAGGCCTTTGCACGGTCAAGTAGCGATGGCAGCTGCCGGATGAGAATGGGGTCACAGAAAGAACCCATGAAAATTCCCCGGTAACCGATCACCCTCGCCGCTTCGAATTTGATTGTAATGGGCAGCCCTTGGCTCTTGGACGAGACAAATTCGGAGCCGTACGTTCTCACACTGATACCATCAGAGAGCGATGTGTACGTGGCGGTGTTGAGATCAAGAAATCCCCCAGGCCCATGCAATATATCCGGTCTAGACTTCTCGTACAGAGCATGCGCTGCCACACTGGTCGGGGTACATCGCGATTCCGCGGCCAACGGTCGAATGTCAAAGGACCCATCAGAATACACAGTGGCCATTGAGCTCGCACTTTTGGGGGTAGCGCATGCTCCCCCGCATTCCATAAGCTTTCCCATATGGGTAAACCCACCGAGTACTGTTGATTCCAGACTATACATATCGCCGGTTGACTCGCGAAGTGCATTGAAGGCGCAGAATGCGACGTAGGGGCTCGGGTCATATGCTCTTCCTGCGATGAGGATGTCGAAGTCGGAATGGGCGTTCATGGCTTGCACGAATGGCTCGGGCCCAATCTGTCCGACAATGCAGGGCGACTGCATGATGTCTTGTTCGGTTAATTTGGGGACACATGTCCCGCACCCAGTGATCTTTCCGGCTACCAACTTTTCGAGGAGCAGTTCATGCCGAGCTCCGCTGTAGACTGCGAGTGTTTTTAAAGATCTAAGGTCACTTGTGAAATCGACATATTAGCTAGATGAAGCGAAAGCGTGAAGCGAAAATTCTCTTTCCTAATCAAGAGGAGATATAAAAGTTCTCACCTTTGATCGGGCGCCTCCAGAGTCTCCCGGATGATATCAAGAAACTCCTTGACATGCGCATCACTTCCATCTCCACCAGCAGAGCTGATGAGCAGCGGAACGCGGTATTTCTTGACGGCGCAAATCAACTGCCGCAAGTCTCGTTCGTAGGATGATCGTGGACAAGTCATTGACCCCAAGGCCAACTTTGCAGGACCCGAATCAGTCGACCCAGAATCGAGGATAATCGCGGTCGGTGAGCCAGATTGCAAGGCTATCTCAAGACCCTTCTCCAGGTCCAGGGTGCTGAAGCCGTAACCCAGCATGCCGATAGGTGTGACAATGTGGCATAGTGGCTCACATATTGCCATCTGGTCGAGATTCAAGGACATGGGGTCGCGAACGCCGAATGCGCAAGTAAGTTGTGAAACAAGTTTGCTGATGAGTTAATCGTTCGATGTTTATTGCTTTTATTTGCTGGTACATGATTCATACTTATAGAAACGCCGCTAGCAAAGATGTAGCCGAAGCTTCGGCCCGGTAAGCGAAATTCGCTCCAGCACCCGAATTCGCCCTAGGAAGAGCTAATCAGCTCCGAGATCCGTCATTGTTGCGGGATTTGTGAGTATGCTATCCAGGTTTTCTAGCCACGTATTCCATTCTAGTAGATCATCCTCAAACAAGTTTGGTTCAAGGCCAGTCGGAAACTCTGACAGCTCTGGCGCCCAAGCGGGTGCCGGCTGTGCAGATTGCGAAAAGGAAGAGAAAAGCTTGCTGCGTAAGCGACCCGCCATCCACATTCCACTGGTGATCATGCTCGTCGGGGGCGTTGTATTGGCGGTTGGCTGTATCTCCGACGACATATCGGATCCTTGGACGTGGCGAGAGAGCAGGTCAATCACTCTCGCAACGCGTGCCGCTTCGTCTCTGGGTTCCCGCGACCAGCACAAAAGTGTTTCATAGACCTTCTTGATGTGATTCCGCGCTAGACTTTTGTCTTCCGCAGACATTTCTTTATCAATGGCCACAACATTGATCAAATACATGCCGGCCATGATCAAGATTTGGAAGTAATACTTTGGAAAGAAGACGTCGATTGGTTCGGTAGAATTTGCCGGAATGTCTGCACTCACATTCGATGAGTGGCCAAATATGTTCGCGATTTCGATTGCCGTGTGGAATCCCATATACCAGGTAGCCTTTGACATGCTGCCGGTTTTCCGATTTTGCGGGTCCAATGACAATTGGGATAGTAGAGGCAGAGTATATAAACGAAGGCGAGCTGCAAGACATCCGAGCTTAATCTTTGGGTGGATTTGACCTGGCATGCGAGCTTCTATTGAAGCTAGATCCCTTTCCAGCAGCTCTATTAAAGATCTCTGGGCAGATGCTGCGGGCGGATTGTTAAGGAGTGTGGCTGCCCTGGTCGCAAATTCCTGGATATCTAGAAGGGTTGAGAACTCCTTGGGCAAGCTAGATTGAACTGCATGTCTAATTTTGGGCATACATTGCGAAACCATTTCCATCGGAGGTGGTAGAGCAAGAGCTGCAGAAATTCTTAAGGTCATCAGCATGTAATAGCCAAAATTGAATTGAGTATGGGGAGCTTACTCGGTGCTCACTGAAAAACAACCCAGCCAGGTCTTTTGTCGCAGACTCTCGTCGATTAACAAGGGATTTGACCCGGGCCAGTTTGTTTGGGAGTCAATGGATGTGAGTTTCAAATTGGCAGCAGTAGCCAATCCAATGTACTCCCAGCTTGGGTCATCCTGCTGCTTCGCGACCGGGAACGGCCAAAGACATAAGATCAACAGTGCCTGAACTGTATATATGCAGCGAATAGAGCTGACTAGATATTCAGAGAGAAGTCGTTTAAATTGTATCTGGAGAGGCCCAAAGTAGCTCGAATGGTGGGGATGCTTGCTGGTCGCTGTTATGATAATTGTCCAGAATAGAAGTTGGCTATCGCTCCAGATAAGGTCGATTGGCTTTGTGAGGTCGAGGATAGGCAGATGATCCAGATAGTGGGCGGCGAAGCTTATGAAAGCATTAGCGTTCTGTATATTGGACAGACAGTGATGTAAGAGCCGGAACTTACTGCTCAAAAAGTGCCAGAATTGTAGCTTCGTCAAGGCAAACACCTCCGATTTCCCTGGGGGTGGGTATTTGCGAGGTTATTTTCTCGATGACCGATGCTTCCTGTTGGATATCTGAAGCTCCATTATATGTAGAACCCGCACCTTCTGGCAAGGCCGCATCTAGAGGTGAATGGGAAGGCGTTGTTCCCACTTCATGTACTAAACTTCGTAGCCTTTCGTTTTCCTTCGCAACCTTCTCCAGTGACCTGGCATGGCATGATCAGCGAAATGTAGACAGAGGCAAATATGGTAATTCCTACCCGCGAACAGGCTGCCGTTTGAACTTAGGATCGAACTTGCAATTGATTTCCTGCTTCGTACATCGAGTACAGGGCGCGGGAAAGCAATGCATGGCATCGCACCTCAGCTAGGCACGGGAAATGTGAGCTTGTCGTATCCAACAAGTGTGGGGGCTATGGGCCACGCACCTTGACTTGCCGACACGCCGTACACGCCATCGATGTACGCTTGGAGGGCGCATTCCCTCTGCCTTGTGCTCGCTTGCTCCTGTCCATTTAATACGCGGGTGGCTCTTAGAGCTGCCAATCATAGGTCTGGGTCTTTATGTAGCTGCTCAGGCGGCGAGATGGTTGTTGATGAGAGAGGAATGCGGATCAGCAAACGACGTCGCGTGGTACGCCGGTCTTGGCACTGGCAGCGATGGGGATGGCAACTGCAATTATCTACACTTTTTTCATGGACTCGTTTAAGTTCTTATATGGCACGCTCTGCAACCTATTCCACAGGTTTTATTTTTCTATTTCTTAATGGCGGCTTGAATCAATGGCTCAATGAAACGTAAGACAGACGGGCGAACCTGCCCTGCTTCATGTGCGATACCTGCAACAATGTCCAGCTGACTATAGATTCCATCGGTTTTCCATGATCTATAAAGTTCTTCCAGGGTTTGCAATCGCCCATGCTCCATTCCAGATAGCGCTGTAGTGTCTGATTGCTTCTTTAGTTCATTCTTTTGAAAACTCTCTAACCAACTCCAGAATGCTTCGCCCCCGTGCATCTTACTGTCCTCCGAGCCAACCACCAACTGAATCGGGACTTTGCGGATGTTGCCAGGAGCCACTTCTAGATCGAACAATGCCTTCGTGTTTGCTACACCTTCAGGCCAATCTTTCGAAAGATCCAACGCGGTTACTCTGCCCGGCGCTCCCACGCTAACAGCAGCTAGGCGTTCAGGATAGAGGTAGAGAAATCTGTGAGCGAATTGGCCACCGCCAGAGAACCCCTGAAGGAAAAACTTGTCTGTCGCAATCCCAGGCCAGCGAACTGCAACTTCATCAAGGATTCCCAGTAGTGCCTTATCAGACCGAAGCGAGGGTGAGTGCAACATTTTGTACGAATCCAAATCGTTTGGACCATCCAAACCAGCAGGAAACAGCGGGGCGAGAATCGCACACGGCATCCGATCGGCAAAAGACACCATTTCATCTTCGTAGAGCGTGTTCCATTTCCTCTTTGTGCCATGAACCCAGACGAGCAAGGGGAGCTTGGTCGGGTTGGGATCGGCATCGTATCGGGCTGGAGGTATGTAAAGCACATAGGAAACGCGTGGATCGCAGGCCAAGGCCCTCAGTGGAACATGGCCCACCATCAAACAGGCCTTGAGGAATTCCTTCGGGACATCGTTTGTCGACAAAGCTCTATCCATGTTTGCATAAACACTTAGGCCACTTTGAAGCTTTCAATTCGGGGGCAGTGCCCCGATCGTCAGTAGAGGTTTGGCGGAATATGTACTTTCGGGGTGGTGAAGCGAATTTCGCTTCGCTTGCCGAAATTCGGCCCATACGATAACCCCGGTGCGAATCTTCAAACAAGCGTCGTTCTGCCAAGGCAGAGTTTATGCTTCAGGTTGACGAATCGCTTTTTCTTCGCTTCCTTTGCCGACTTTCGCTTGTGTATTGTGGGTCTTTACCCCAGGCTTGGGCGCTGCTGGTTACCAGGCATCCGAGTCCACAAGATGTACTTCGAATCCACTATCGCTTCTTATAAGATGGAAATTCCGACACCCTGGACACAATGCCAATCATACCATTTAGATAACATACCTTTACGAAGAAAGGAAAAAGAAATCAGCTCAGGATGCCACCGAACAGCACCGACGCCAAAAATGCCGACGAGATCCAAGTTGCATTTTCCCACGAAGAGCTACACTCCGATGACGACTTATCCCCGAGACTACTTTCTAGAGTGAAATGGAAGCTGGACCTTTTTATTCTACCTATCATATCGATTGTTTACTTCTTTGCACAAATGGTACATATGTCATGGTTTTATACACTACTGGATACTGATCCGGTCGCAAATTGCAGGGAAGATCAGATCTCGCCAACGCCAAAGTTGCAGGCCTCTCAGATGAGCTGAAACTCTCTCCTCGAGACTATTCGAATGCGGCAACAGTATTACTCGTGGCCTATATTGTTTTCCAGCTACCGGGCACGCTCTTGATCAAGCAGATTGGGTCGGCGAGACAGTTTTCAGGGGCCATGATCATCGTGAGAATCCAACTCTTCTCTCGCACGACCAAGATCATCGTCTAATTTTTTTTTTGAAACTAGTGGGGTGCAATCACTGCATCTACAGTCGCCATTCACAACAAAGGCGAGCTCTTTGCCTTGCGCTTTCTTATCGGAGCAGCTGAGGCATTCGTCCAGGGCGGAGTATTCTGTCAGTTCCTCATACTTTACCATCGTGGTAACCAAAGTACTGATCTTTCTTTTTCTTAGATCTGTCTTTCTGGTATCAGTATGACGAGCTTGCCACGCGTGGAGCTATCTTCTATTCCATGAGCACGTTGGCGGGTGCTTTCAACGGATTGATAGCGTACGGTATCGAGAAGGATATGGATGGGATTCGGGGCTGGAGAGCTTGGCGTTGGATATTTTTAATTGAAGGACTTATGCCTTGCGTGGCGGCATTCTTCGTGTTATTTCTACTTCCCAACAGCCCAGAAACCCTACGATTCGGCTTTACGGCGGAGGAAAAAGCGTTGGTAGTACGACGCAGCCGTCGCGCGCATAACACCTCTGAGGCGAGACTTGAACTAAAGAAGATTCCATTGGTGCTACTCAGTATACATTTCTGGCTCTTGCTTGGCATTGCTTGCTGTGGCCATTTCTGCGTCGGGTCGATTTCCAACTTTCTTCCGGCAATTATTCAGGTGCCTGGTTCCGATCTTCTACCAAGATTGTATTAATATCTCACAATTCTATAGGGCTTTGGATACACCTCGATGAACACTCAGCTCTTTTCAGTCATAGTATACGCCTGCGCCTGTGTCGGTGTATTGTTCTGGGCCAAGGTAGCTGATCGAACAAACGCTCGAGGTCTAACAATGGCAGCATCAACATGTGGAGCGATCGTGGGCTACTCACTACTCCTCGGGTTAGAAAATGATAAAGCCAGATTTGGCGCAACCTGTCTTGTGGCATTCTCAGTGTACCCGAGTGTGGTTCTCCAGCTTTCCTGGGCGGCCATGAGCTTTGTCGGCTATACACGAAGGTAAACTCGAGTTGAGGAGCAATGCGAAGTTACTGCTAATTCAAGATTGAACAGGGGCTCTTCACTAGCCTTTACCAACATATTCTCCCAAATCTTCGCAATCTGTGGAACACAGGCCTACAGCGACCCGCCATACTGTAAGTAAACCTTTGTCGTCCCTCAACGATTCAATCTGACGCCCCCCCCTATCAACAGACCGGAAAGGAAATGCCTCAGCCCTCGGACTGTCTTGTGTTTCCCTCGTGCTTTCACTAGGTCTACGATGGTATTTCAGCGCTGTCAATAAAACGAAGGCTTCCGAGCAATTTTCGGAGGACGCTCGCTCTCAGCGACGAAAGGGCCTAGAAGAGCTGGGAGACAAGCATCCAGGTAAGTTCAATAGCATCGACTTGTACCCGCTGATACGTCGATTTGCTGAACTTTGACCCACAGACTTTTTATATACAACGTAAACAAATGGCAAGCCCGCAGTATCGTCCTCTGCTTCCAATTTGGTGACAGGGCCAGTGCCGAGAGGAAGAAGATATTACAAACCCCCCGAAATGCGAAAATGGTTCATACGATATGTAAACTTATTAAATATCGTGGATATAACGCGACTTCAACTTTGGAAGTCTCAGAACTACTTACCCGGAGGAGCTCAAAGACTCTGTGCAAGATTTTATTTTCAAGTTGTATGCGCCACAAAGGAGAACTAACACGAAGCGGATCAATACTACTAACTATTAAAATCTGCGGCAACTCAATTGGGTCCGACCGTAAAACCTGGCTTATCAAAGCAGCCTTCTATGTATCTAAAAAAAGGCAGTAGCTATATCCAAATGTTGGATAAAAAAAAAGCTCCCCAAAAAAACAAACAATAGCAGGGATTCGCATGTGGTCACCCACCATTCTACTAACCTACCGGCGTGTGGCTTAAACGCGGTCTAAAGTCGGGTAGGTGGCCTGGATGGTTTTAGGGTGAGCGCCGCTTTAGCGTCATGCGAGCTAGGTGAGAAAGGTGAGTGTAGAATAGACGAGGGTGAGAAGCACGGTGATTGTGGGTGAGCGCGGGTGAGTGTGGGTGATCTACATTGGCCCCCTCAGGTGAGCCATCCTACAGAGTTTATTATTGGCTATAATCACCCATCTCAAACGTAGCTTCTTGGCATATGTACACATCCATCTCACCCTTATAGGACTGATTGGACATTCTATTCATGTATACGACTTGACTTAAAATACTTGAAACAGTATAGGCTAGCCTCCTATCTGTGTAATTACTACGCTCCTAAGTAGAATAGTTATAGAAATAGCATGCGTTTATGTTGCTCCAGCTTTAGAAGTTCAAAGAGATTCCAAATACCGAAGACAAAGAAGAAGAGATCAAAGATAGGAGAAGACGAAGAAGGGTCAATTGCAATGCTATACCTCGCCGATATTCGGTTCATACATATGGAATAGTATTAAGTATAATGTTTATTAGTTGCTGTCTATAAAACCACAATCACGCCTTTTATAGTTGTCTATATCTCCCTACAGCGCTCTATCCCCCAAGCTCTATCCACTAATCCAAGGACTTCAATTTCCCTCCATTCGAAATCAATTAAGCCCATTTTCCAATCAACGCCATAATTCCCGCTCCCAACAAAGTGCACGCAACCATAAACAAGAGTCGAGATCGGCGCTTTGTCCGACACGGATCAAACAAGAAATCTCTAGCGAGAAGCTCCACCAAGCTACTATAAATCAAGATTCCAGCAGATACAGCATTAAGTACGCCTTGAATAATCAACGACACTTTAGATCCCGGCGCATAGGTAGTGCGCACACCCAAGCCAATCGCGATTGAAATAGGAGTAGTCAAGCCGTAAACTGCGCATAGGATCCAGGGAAGCCAAGTATGGTCTCCAAAGGGGATAGCAGACATTCTAGCTCCGATACCGAGTCCCTCGAAGGATTGATGGAAGACTAGGACTGGGTATAAAGTTGAGAATTCGGAGCCGGTAACACCAAGGTTAAGTCCGATAATGACGGAGTGGAAGATGATACCGAATTCCAGAAGAAGAAAGGCTGCGATCTGTTGACGGAATGATCGTTCGGCTATGACAGAGTCTCCCGAGGATGTCAAATCAGCCGGCTTTTTATTGGAGATTGGCGTGGGTGTAGTCTTCTCCAGGTCTTGGACAGAGGTAGATTCCCCATTCGAGTCAAGGTGATCATGATGTTGAATGAAAGCATTGGTCGCATCTTCATCTCGATGAACACCATATTTATGCTCAACATAGACCTCAGCGGCAAGATCTAACAAGAAGATAATAACCACAGACGCAAGAACAATGGCTGCACACCAAGAATATTCCCCCCAGTACCCAGATACTCCAACGCAGGTTTTCGGACCGATTCGTTTATACGCAGGATCAAGGAGATGGACGAAAGCCGTAGCCAAAATGACACCTGTTCCGAAGTATCTGGCAAAAATGTATACGCTGAATGGAATTTTCCATCTTGGCATTCGTTGAGAGAAGACGGGGAAGACGGTGAAGGCAGATGAAACGAAAAGAATCACAAAGATAGACGAAATACGTGCCCCTAGATGGCCATTGTATTCATTTTCAGAAATGGCCATGTAGCATAGCACATCTTCGGAACTGGCTGTATCCAGATTGACATTGGTAGGATTGAAAGAAGACATGGTGAAAGTCCTGGCAATCAATGTAAAGAACGAGAAGAATTCATCTCAACGAGCCCATCTTATAGTCCATCGTGAACAATGGATGAGGACCTTGGAGATTTCTCACCAAGGTTCTGTTATTCGGCGATTGACATGAATGAAGCTTTTATCTTGTTGCCTAGCTGTTGTATGGCTCTATGGGAATTTTAGATGGAGCCATAGGGCTGATTGATCCACATAGAGACTGAATAGGCTTGACAAGCTTGTTTTGAATCCGTAGGGCTGAAGGAATTGTGGAGATATGGAGCTGGATGACTTTTATCTGGTCTGTGATTGGTAAGGATATATGCAGGTCTGATTGAAATCGGATTTGAATGCGAAGTTGATGGAGTCCTTGGATGTGACCTGTTCAGAATGATGTTGATATTATAGCGAGCGATGTGAGTTGGAATACAAGGTATACAACCTTGAAAAGCTATGTATCCCGACCACATAAAATATAATTATCAGCGTGAAGATTAAATAGATTGACGTCAATTCAAATCAATTTGCGTGTTTCAACCCTCGCTAAATAGCCGAGTTGTAACAGGCCCGCTTGCGTAGTCTGAGGACCCTGGAGGTTAGCGCAGCTTCAGAATTATCACCAACCGTATACACCTATGACCGAATAAAGATGGTGTTGAGGAGATGCAATCTCCCTTACAGATATAATTTCTATAAGTTCTACATATGTGAAACAGGGAGCTTTTTACTAAAATTTTCTGATGACAGGCAATTGGAGGAGCTGAGTCTGTCTAGCAACAATTTGCTCTGGACAGCAATATAGTGAGGACAAAATTATTGAAATAAAAACAAGACTCTCAAGAGATACTTAGAATCGCATATGTCTACACTTATTAACTCTTCTATCTCATAAGCTCCTTGTACTCGCGTTTAACTTGAAACATGGAAGCCGCGATGTATACTTCGCTTCAAGTTCTTGTTGGAACTCTTGCGGCCAGTTTTCTTTCTCTTGCTTAACAATAATAACATATAGAAGACACTAGTATTATGTGTTGATTATCCTTACTAGTAAGGCGTGTGAGTCTCTTTCGTGTAGATTTTGTCTTAGTAATACTGGTAACTATGGTTGATCACCAAAGGAGATATATAGTGCTTGGGTTATTAGCCATGCAGCCAATTTTGGTCTCAAATCCAGGATAAATGTTTACCTGGGGAGCTGATGGGCTCAGATTCATAATGTTCATAGTCTGGATCCATTAAAACGACAACTTGAAGATTTATACTGGTATGATGCGGAGAGGAGGTACATGTAGTAGTACGGAGTAACTTCTCCACACCCCGCACTTCAGCCTCATATCTTTCCCACTCCACCTATCAACCATATTAATGATTAATCTATACCATGTCCTCCATACCATCCGCAGAGCTAGTTGACGGCCGCAAGACATTCATACCACTAGGTAAGTTCATATTACTCTGTAGACAGACCCAACCCAAACTAACAAGCTACAGAAAACAACCCAGAAGTCCTATCCTATCTCTGTTCAAACCTAGGCATATCCCCATCTCTCACCTTCCACGATGTATTCTCTACTTCTCTCGATCTCCTAGCTCTAATCCCCCGACCAATAAATGCAATCATCCTCCTCACAGAATGGCCAATCTACAACGCAACCCGGTCCGCAATGGAACCTACCATCCCGGAATATCAAGGATCAGGTCCGAACGAGCCGGTGATCTGGATAAAGCAGACAATAGGACATGCATGTGGCTTGATGGCTCTCTTACACTGCATCTTCAATTTAGACGGGGGACGATATATCCTGCCTGGTTCTACATTGGGGAAGATCCGGGAAGAGAGTATACCGTTGAAGCCTCATTTGCGGGCGAAATTGTTATATGATTCTATGTTTTTGGAAGAGGCGCATATGAAGGCCGCATCTGCGGGTGCTTCTCGTGCTCCTTCGCCTCGGGATGAGAATCATCATCATTTTATCGGGTTTGTGCAGAAGGACGGGGAAGTGTGGGAGTTGAATGGGGGGATGAATGGTCCATTACTGCGGGGGAAATTATTGGATGGAGATGATTTGCTGAGTGAGCGAGGATTGGCGATGACTGTACAGGGCTTTTTAGATGAAGCTGCAAAGGGGGGATTTGGAGAGATGAGCATTGTGGCTATCGCTGGTGCGGAGAGTTAGGTATTCCTTGGATAGTAATAGTAATAACATTAATACGAGTGCTGTCAAGTGACAAGCAGAAGTTCAAGTATACATGTACATATTGTAGTAGGTAGATCAATACTAGGTATTTATTTGGTTCAGTGTATAATATGCATATAAATCTAAGTAGGTAAAGCGTAGATAGTCTAATCGATTTTGATAGAAGAAGCGACAGCCACAGGGTATAAAAGAAATCATGTAACAGAAAAGGGAAGGAATGTTCAGAATGGCCAGTGAACTAAATAGCACACAAGAACCAAGTTAGGTATCATGCAACATGCAAAATCCCATCGTCTATGTGTATATCATCATATGTGCAATCTAGAGAGGAAAGCTGATCAAAGAGGAACTGATCAAAAGTATTGTCGTAATCCTTCATAGACAGCGAAGATAAAGGCTGAACTGGGTGCTGATCGTGCACAGGTGATCCCGCACCCGCGGTATAGGCCCTTCAAACCTTGCTGTCGCCACAAAGCACGTCCCACGCTGCCAAAGGTTTGACGTTGCGCATTGACAGGGAGCCGAGAAATGTCTTCCGTCTGCATTCGCGACTTGATCGTGTCAGCCGGAAAGAACAGAAAGTTATAGCTGATACCAGCGGCGCCACCTGCGATCATTTGCTGATACACAGGAAGACTCTCAGTGGCGGAGAGAGGTCGAGATGACTGGTTTCGGAAGAGAGTCGAGACTGCCTCGTAACTACCAAACCACGCAGCGCTGCCTCCGGTTTCTCGAATCAAGGTGCCCATCTGTCCACGCCAGAATCCTCTCAAGCCCTCTCGACGGAAAATGGTGGTGATGAGGGCCCAAGGTCCGGGTGGTGCTTTGTGACCGGCGGACTCGACGGGCACTTGCATCTTGCATTTGATGAGCTCAATGGGGGTGAGGGCCAAGGAGGTTATGGATCCCGAGGCGGCACCAGCAGCCAATAATGCGGCAAATGGAAGCTGTTCCACGTCGGAGAAGACTGTGGCTTTTAGTGCATCTTGGATGATGCGGTAACTGAAGAACAGACAGCTGGTTTCTACCGCAGCACCAGTCATGGGGGCACTAATGCCTCGGTAGAGACCCCGGACACCATCGGCCTGGAAGGATTGTCGGAAACAGTCCAAAGGACCAGTATATCGAAGAGGAAGATGTTCGGGTTGAGATTGAAGTCGGACCTTGACGGTGTCAAAGGGATATTCGATGAGCTTTCCGGCCATTCCTGCTGCCTATACATGAGAGAAGATGTTAGGTAGAGTTGGTAGGTAGTGAAAGTGGCGGGGTGTCTTACCGAACCAAAGACGATATCTTTCAAGGCCTCGAGGCCTTGATTGGGAGGAAGCGATGGGAGTTCCATCGTCTCCTTGACCGGGATTACATGCTCGGCCGCCGCCATTTAAGGCACGCAACAAGTCCCAAGACCAAAACACAGACACAAGAGGGTTATCGAGGGAGCATCGTTCGAAAGAAGCGGAGGAGGGGGGGGGAGAGAGTGGGAATGCGAGGGATTTAAATGAGATTTGGGTCGGATGAGGGAATTGAACCTCGGGGAAACGGACGAGTGAGGGAGGGGGGGCAGAGAGGGTCCTGGAGGGTCAGCCAAGAGGATCTCTGTGGTGTGTACGTTGTAGTCGGATCCAACGTGGTCTTGGTGGTCCAAGTTGAGTCCAAGTGGGGAAAAAGCGCAATTGAAAAAAAGACAAGGCGGTGAGGGATTTACACTGTGACTAATCAGGATCAGGATCAATCAACACTGCATACTGCTATATAGAGTATAGTGTAGTATTATGTATATAGAAGATCGATTTAATTATACTGTAAATCTTCACAACATCTACATCACATTTCAGATCCTGTCACATTCTTCACCTCCGAGTCCACTCTTCGCCCTTTCCCTCTAAGACCAAGTGGAGTTCTTCTTCTCTCTAGCGCCCGCCAAGCCTGGTTATCGATCAGATAATCTCCGACTGAAAACGAGTGAAATTTTCATCCCAAAGTCAAAAGTGATCTTCCCTCAACCACCACACACCACCTGGGTACTCTCTTGGAAACCCAACACCCTCTATTCAAAAAATAAAGGGTCTTCCGCTCCCCCTCCCCAAGGAAAGAAATGTCCTCCACAGAGACAGTCCCCGCGCCTGTCGCGACTGGCATGCGCAAGAATGGTAAATGCCTCCCAGTACTCAGTACCCATCTCCGAAACCCGTTCCCCACTATAAATTCTTTTCTCGGTTCTAGACTAACCCGATGGTCCTTTCTGTCCCGTTTCTAGGCAAAAACTGGCATGACACCAAGAAGGCTTTCCGCCCAACTGCTGGTCTGACCTCGTTTGCCAAACGTCAGGAACTCCGCAAGCACCAGGAGGCGGTGAAGGAGCAAGAACGAGAGATGAAGCAGGAAAGAGAAGCTGAACGCCAGGTAAGACTCTCCTTTATGAATATATTATATTATATTATATTATATTATGTTCATTACTCTGTCCATTTTTATTTCTGTTCTATTACCCTTTTCGATCTCGCTTATCAGATTACCCTCTGTTCTGCTGTCCTCACGCGGCCTCCCCACTTCCTTGGAACTGAAGAAACTAAAGCTAACGGACCCATCTCTGTCAGGCCCACATCCAACGCATCAAGGACCGTCGTGCTGCAAAGGAAGAAAAGGCCCGCTATGCCAAGATGGCTGAGAAGATGCATCTCAAGCGGGTTGAGCGGCTCAAGCGCCGCGAGAAGCGCAATAAGCTGTTGAACTCATAGATTTGAGCTGCAAGCTTTGTTTATTGAACAGAAAAGTTGTGTTCCCTTAGCATATACCCTCATCTACTTGTCCATATCCATGGACGTGTGTGTCTATGTTACTATGTCTATGTCTAGATGAGGGTCATCGGCGTTCTTAGGTACATATATCAATTGTATAATTTATTACTGACACTTGGCCAAGAGTATTCTATTCTATATTTAACTAAAACATCAAATTAAATCAAATTGGATTCTTTGATCCTGTACTCCATACATATATACGTCGGTAGTTAGTACATATGTACATATGGCAACTGCGGCTGCAGCGTGACGCTCGGACTTAGCGTCATTGAGTTCCCCAATTCTCCAACTCGCTCCACTTCACTCAGTCAAGCAACTGGTTTCACTGGTCTCACTCACCACATGTTCAAGTTTCACAGCTCATCATGGATCATAAACACCCTTTACCTCTCTCCACTACCAGAACTCCCGCGGCCACTTTCCCTCTGACCCATGGCTCCGCACGATCCAATGAAATCATCGAACCACCAACACCACCCACCAACCGACCATCACCCTTTCACCATGATGAACCCGAGGCCAACGCTTTCAATGCAAACGCAAATGCAAATGCAAATACAACAGAGTCCCGACCAAGACACTCCCATCGCCATCTATCCGACTGGCACAATCACAATTTAGACGGAGCTAAATCCCATCACCGCCATAAACACAGCAAGTCGCGCGAGATCCGCCTCCCACGTCCAATGAGCCATCTTGCGTCATCGGCAAGTGCCCGCGGTCTACTTCCCACCTGGTCGGGAATTAGAGATAAGGATCGAGAAGGCGATGATGGGTTACTACGGCCTATTACACGAGAGACCACTCGATCGCGCTGGGGGTCAGATTCGACCTCGGGATTAGGCTCCCGGAGTCGCAGTCGGACGGGCAGTCTCCTGGATCCCGCAGAACAACAGGAACGACTAGGTCCGATTCGGAGACAACAGATTCAGTCAGCGGCGGATTTGGAGCAAGTAACAAAACGAAGGAAACAGGGTGAACAGTAAGTAACCATCACATCCTCGGGCCAGAACGACACAGCTTACGAGATGTATATAGATATCTCCGCTCTGCACTCTCCTCCATCGGAACATTAGCGACTGAAATCACCCGGCGACTGGACTATACATATTACAATCTACTCGAAAAATGTACCTCATTAAACTCGACCATCGGTTCATTCCAGGACCTCTCAGACTCCGCATCGACCCTCCTCAATGATTTCGAACACGAGACAGCCGGACTCGACCAAGAGATCCGAAAACAGTTAAATGACCTACGAGGATTCGAGCCACAAACCAAAAAGGCCGACGCTCTAGGGAAACGAATGAAGCTTGGACGGCAACGAGTCGAGGACCTCGGTAAAAGACTAGATACTGTTCGTGGGGAGATTGATCGCTGGGAACAACGAGAGTCAGAGTGGCAGTCTCGAGTGAGGCGTCGACTACGGATCTTCTGGACGATCGTGACAGGAGGCTTACTTGTTCTGATATTGGCGCTTGTCATTCAGAACTGGCCTACGTCGGAATTCCCAGATCAACTTCCTGGTTCTAATGAAGCATGGAACCAGACCGGGTCGCTTGATATCACATCATCGGGAACATGGGACTTCGCTGTGGATTCACCGATGGTCACTGGTTCTTCCTGGTATCCCTCTAGTCTGGCAGCTCGCCAAAAGAGCTTGGAACATTCGAAAAGTGAAGCTCTCACTAGTTCTCGGACGAGGTCCGACGCCGCCCCTACTGATCATGACCCTCTACGTGTATTTGATGAACTATAATGTGTAATCTCTTCTGATTCTTCATGCATACAAGCGTCGTTTATTTCTTTGTTCTTCATTTCTGTCTGTTTTCTTTTTACACTTGAGATTTCTTCTCTTGATTCCGTGCTCATGTCATGATACCCTTGCCAGCAATGAATTCCAAACTTGTTTCATCATCATTAAATAAATAAAAGAAGAGGAGGAGGGTATAAGAGGGTAGAGTAGACAATGAATGTCCTACTGCGGCGCCACTAGAGGTGCAGTGGGAGTAGTCTTCTTCTTCTTATCCTCCACCAAATCAATATTGGCCTCAGGAACCTTACTTCCATAAACCTCCAACAACCACTCCTTCACATCCTCACTCACATCACCCTGAACGGTGATCTCCTCCGTCCCAGCCGCAGAGCGAGTCATAGAAGAGCCAGTCGCAAACTTCTTTCCCAGCTCCTTAGCTAGCTTCTTGTTTTCAAGACCGAAGATCTCCAATCCCGTAATAACAGTAACATGCTTGCGTTTGTTACGTTCCACTCGCTTGACAATAACCTTAGATGCGGCCTTGCGCTCTGCATCGCGGGCTTCACTCTGAGCGGCCCTCGCTTCTTTCTTTGCGGCGTCCTTGGCGGCACGTTCTTGTGCCGAGACTGAGAGGGTAGACAAGTTGGCGCTGAGGGCATCTAGACAAAGATAACAGATCAGATCATTAGCACTAGTCTGCTGTATAAGTATAAGCTGTAAGGGCTTGGGCTTGTACCCTCAGAATGTAACTGATTCCAAAGCTCAGGCTCCTCCTCTTTCAACCATTCCTCGCATTTCTTCGCTGTTCCTCCAAATTCGCAATACTAATTTCAAATCGAAATGAGTCAATGGTGCCGAGGATAGATTAGATCGGATAAATCGGAAGGATCTCATACCTCTGGGGGTAGAGTACACACTGCGGGGAGAGTAAATTGATTAGTCGAGTCCAGTCCAGTTGAATTCCGTAGTCTCTTGTTCTCATTGGAAAGTAAAGAAGAGGGGGGGGGCGCCACAAACTTACCTCCACAGTAGACGATTGTTCGGGCTTGTGGCGCGATTGGGCCTGAATCCGCCATGATTGATTGACGTATGGAATATTGAAGCTTGAGCTGCTTGCTGCTTTTCCGAGGGGCACGATATCATGATTGCTGACTTAGCTACGTGGGGGAGTCATGTGATCATTTATGTATATTATGCATTATGTAATTGATGACATAATTGGAACTATGCACCAATGCATAACTACATGTACACTATGATGAACAGCGATTAGCCTTGAAACTGTCAATGCTATTAAGAAATAATACATATTATGAATAGACAGATTAATTGTCAAATAAAACTCCCAAGACAACATCTACGCCTAGACAGCTCTCTTCTACATGTAGCCCAGTCCAGACTACAGCCACCGTCATCACTCAATAATCAGAAATCCATAAGCCAATGCCAGCACAACTCAATCCCCCATTTCCATTCTCATTTCCCATGCACAAAATGCCAGTGCCAATGTCAGTCAGATACAAGACGTAATGCCAAATCATCATTTCTCATCTCTCATTTCTCATTTCTCATCTCTCTTGCATCAAATCCCCGCTTAGGTGGCGTAATTGACAAAGTTTCTGCCAGGGGGTATGTACTCTGTGCTTCCCCTCTCGCATTATCGACTTCAAACTTTACAAGGTTCTTTTTTCTCTGTGTGCTTGCAATTTCGCCTTCACTTTCATGTTCAGTTTGCCGACGTAGGTGGGGCATTACGAGAAGACAGACAGACCCCGTCTTTGTAATGGGGCCATGCAGGCCGTACGTAGTCGGGCCGTTAGAAGCTGCATTACAAAAGTACCCGGGGGTCGAAACAAGAACTGAAGCACGATAGCGGCTCTGGACCAGCCCATTGGAGCCGAATTGACAATTGATCTTGATCCGTGATCCGCACGGCCGTTGGAAAGAGAAGCGACGAAAATAAACAGAAAAAAGGATCCGATAAGAGGGAAAGGGAAAAAAATGGAGCCGACGATCCCCCGTCGTAACCCACTTACCCCCCGGGAGGACGGACTTGGGGACTCCAGATACCTGGGGAGAGATAACAGGATGATTCCTGGGGATTACTGGGGGATAATTGGGGAGATAACTGTCTGCAGTAAACCTTGGAATGGTACATCTTGATAGTCTCTTTCTAACTTCTCTTCCTGGTTTACTTTGATTGTACCTACACTTAACTAATACTAATACTAACTCTAACTAAATACTAGTACTCGGTCTCGCAATAGCCCCTCTTGTTTCCGAGATGCGTGCCGTCGAGGATCGATCCCACTGGCCAATTAGGATCCCGGGGAAGTACCAAGGCATCCCGAGATATTCGTCCAAGGGCCCGTGGGGACTATGGGTTTCACGTCAATTGAGCCAGGTAGTACTAATCAAGCTTGCGTCTCCGCGGATGCTAAGAAGTGGGGGGGAGTATATAATTTGTTATGTGGTAGGAATCGAGATATGGGGATGAGAATGGGATGGATAGGAGATACTTCCCTGATAGAGGCAAAAGAGAGAAACATTTGAACTCTTTCTTGCATCTGTCCCCCGTTGTCAGTGGATCATGATGCAGGTAGCATTAGCAAGCTAACAGTTCTGTTTCAACGATAGGGCGCTTGGGGCCTAAACTCTCCGAGGGGCGGTACCATGCAGCGATACGGCGATATCAGTGGCCCAGATCAGGTCGATGGGCGTTAACAATGGAGGGTTTAAGTTAGGACCAATCGCGGGGCTGGCGGACGAGGATGCAGCGCACGGACAGAATGAATTGGTGAGTAGGACGAAGCTCAGTCCTTGCTATGTAGGGGTTATTTTATTTTATTTTGTTTTATTTTTATTCTCATTCGGTGAGGATATTGACTCAATGGGACATTGGAACCATGGATGTGTATAGATGTACGGATCAAATGAAGACGCAATACGTTTCTACCTAGAACACTCTGCATAGTGCCAATAGTATAATATTGTACGTACCTATATTCTATATGTACTATTATTCATAATCCCATTAATACGTACTCTAGCTCAGTGCAGTGCATGGTGGATTCTAGTCTGGCTACAGCCAAGACGCCACCGTCAACACATGGGAAAATGCACGTCTCAGGGCTAAAACACCTGCATTGAATTCCAAGACGAATGTGAATTGTATTTCCCGGTTCAAGTTGTTCTTTGCTTCCAAGTTTCAAGTTTTAGACAACTTGAAGTGGACGAGATTACAATCTATCACATTGGAAGTATACTATTCAAGTCTATATCTACACGTATGGTGTATACAAACACATTGTTATCAACAGAGTACTGAACCAGTCCAGATCCTTCGATTGCTATCTCCAGCTCTAGGCTCTCTAGATTCTCTAGACTCGCGCCCACGGTCCGTGCGGTTGGGTTTTAGTGGCGGAGACTCGGCTACGCCATTGTCGATCGAGGACTTAGGACTGCGACCGCACGGTCCTTCATTTTCCCAATTCTGGATAATATTCTGGGTTTTGGAGAGGCCAAAAGTAAAAACTCTGCTTTGCCATCGATCGATCGGTCACGATCTCACACTATACTTAACTTGAAATTATAAGGCACGAGGTTTACTTTATATACTACGGTCAGTATAGTATTCTGTACCTTGTAATTAGAATAACCACATTATAATTGATACACTAGGAGATCATAAATAAGAAGAGGCTCGAGTAGTCCCACTGGCATGTAACTCCAAGGTACTTCGTACATGTGTTTCGCAAGGCCGTTGACGTGCAGCTGGGGCAAATGCAGCCAAGTGGACCCAGTGTCCAACCGTATGTGCGACTTGAATCCGAAATCACGCTTTTTCAATTTTCTCAGTTTTTCAGTTTTCCCTCTATTAATTTTGATTTTATTTTAATTTTTTTCATCTGTGTTGTTGTGCTCAGACCCTGTAGCAGAGGTTGTACGTACTAGCTGCATTAGAGGAGGCGTGATAGGCAAGAATATGATAAGCCGGTACAGAATACTCTACTCTGCAGTAGTTAAACAGAAAAATAAGAATAAAAGAATAATAGACTTAATAGACTTAATAGACTCCGTAATGATCCGATTAATGGTTATCTACTAGTCGAGCGCTGTGTAGTATGTTAGTACCATGAGTATCTCCACTCGGAGCCGTCGGTGGAGATCGCATCCCCCGTATTATCCATTATCGTCCGGTCTGGATGTTTTATATTCATTCTGATTCCTTGATCCAAGTGAATTCTCTTCTCTTCTCTCCAGCGTTACATTTCCATATTGATTCGTCTTATCTTATTGTCTCTGTTCTCCGTTCTCTTTTCTCTCCTCTCTCCTCTCTACCCTCTCTCCGCCTATCCCAACGTTCTCTCCCTCCACACATTATTCCCCCCCACAGTTCAGTGTGATCTATCATTCGGGGTCATGACTGCGGTGCTGGCTCCCCGCGAACAGCATTCGCATTCTCAATTTTCCCCGGATCCTCTACGAGCCCCCACCACCCAACGATACTTCCTTTCCGACAGTGTCTCCAAGTCCCCCATGCAACATGTCTATCCCGCCCGCGAAGGCTCTCCGACCTCGCCACTCTCTTTCTCTTCCTCTTCCTCTGCCAGTTACTCTCCAACCACTTCCGACCAATACACCCCGACCACTTTGAGTACTTTATCATTAGACGAGGACTTGATCCTCCCCGCCTACGAGGCTGCCTCCATCCTGGCTTCTAAAGAATCAGATGTGCTAAGCGATGCATCCGAAGGTGGAACCCCTTGGACGACGTGTGGAACCCCTGCAGCCGATGATATCTCCATGGAAGATCAGCCCTCCCGCCATGTGGACTACCTTTCCCATGACTGGCGAGAAGAAGATATTTGGTCCTCCTGGCGCTATGTGACCTCCCGCAAAAATGACTACAGTGAGGGTGTGCGCTTGGAAAATGCCTCATGGAGGACATGGGCGAAAGCAAAGAACAATCTGGGCACCATCTCTCCAGAGACATTAAATTGGTGAGTACATGTCCCTCCGACCCCCATGACTTATTCATAATTAATCTAATTCTGTTTTTCTCTGTTTCTCCTAGGCTCAAAGACGGCGATGTCACTTGGCTATATGGTCCCTTGAAAACTTCCGCTTCGAGCGACGCCATGGCGTCTGCGTCCGACGTGTCGCCGCCACCGAGTCGCCTCGAAACCCCAAACTCCTCCTACCTAGACCGAAAACCTATATTAAAAAAGAAAACCGCATCCGAAGCCATTTTACAACGATCGCTTTCACAACACACTCTGCTCCAACATGCCGGAGCCATCCTAAAGGCACAAGAAGCCCAACATGGCTGGGCCCGCCCACCGTTACCGCGATCCAACACCGACCTAGACCACATCCACCATCGAACAGGGAGTTCTACATATTCCCTGGGGGGTACCTTAACAGCTTCTTCTTCATCGGGGCTAACTTCTCCAAGTGAGCGACGTCACATCCATTTCAATAATGAAGTGGAACAATGTATCGCCGTGGAGGCTAAGTATGAGGAAGAAGACTGGCCCATGACCTTTGAAGACGAGTCCTCGTCCGATGATGGGATCGTCATGATGTGTGAGATCTCCCGCAAAGCCTCCATCAGCAATCGCAGCACGCCTCGCAATAGTTTTAGTAGTGATAGCAAAACTATCGCTCCCCTTCCATCAACTACCCTTAAATGTCGAGGCGACACCCCGGAACTTCGCGGAGATTCATCTATACTCGATCGCTGGGCCCAGTTTACTGCTGCCACTACTTCTTATTCTTCCTCTTCCTCCTCTTTATCCCCTACTCCATCTGTTGAGACTTTGCGACCGCCCTCGGCCAACTTCTTATTAGATGATGATGATGAAGATCCGAGTCTGGACTTTACCGGCCAGTATCAAAACCAACAAGCCTGGTTTGTACCGGAAGAAGAGGACGAATTGACCGATCGTCCGTTGCGACTATCTCCCTCGGGGATGTTCGTTCCCGATGGTGAAAATGATGGCGAGCCCTCCAACCACACACTCTTGGGTCGTGTAGTAGACACTGTCAATACTGCTCGCGATATCGCCCATGTCATTTGGAATGTGGGCTGGCGACGATAATCGGTGAGACCAATTGTATTTTCATATACCCATGGTGGATTGTCAACAGTCTGGCTGGTCTCCCAGTTTCCACCTTTCTTCTTCCTCTTTTCCTCTGATATATCCCTTTTCTCTTGTTTCTTCCAGATGAAGAAAAGAAAAGTCTTTTTTATCCCAGAACAAGGCTGTTCTTGTTCGCACATAATATGCTCGGCGACAGGACTCTCGCATGCTCTTCCCAAATTCAATGCTGTTTGGAGTCGGTGGTTCTTTGCATTTTGTTGGAGTTTTCTAATGACTGATCACGATGGAATTTTGAAATTTTGAAATGTTTAATTGCTGAGAAAAAGAGAAAGAGAGAGACTTTGTATATAGAATAAACCCCCTCGAGGGACAACCAGGAAATACACAGCTACCTGGAAGAACTGAATATGATGATAATAATAATAATAATAATAATAATCAGACTACATTCTTGAGTAAATGAATCTAATTAATATATAAACCTACCAATTTTATGCATAAATGTCAGCTAATCAATGTCCATGTCCATGTGCTAATATGTATACTCCGATGCCCCACAGCTTCCTTCCCTCTCAAACCCCTGATAATCGTTGCCCGCCTTTCCCATCCTTCTCTCCCGCAACAAACTACAAACTTAACTTCGAAACTCTTCCAAACAACACCTCTGCCAATCCCAGGCAGAAATCAGCAACATCCATTATGGAAGGTGTCAATGTTGCTGAATTGGTGGATCGCCTGGGGAGTGAGGAGGATGCCGTACGCAAAATGGCCGTGTTCAAGCTTCAGGGCAATATTGGAGATCCATCATTCGCCGACCTGTTTATTACAGAGGGAGGATTGACTCGTCTGCGCTATTTGACATTGCATGCCAGTGGGAATACTCTGGCTTACAGTTTGACGAGTTTTGCTCGACTTCTCGAGGTCGATAAGGGTTGGGAATGCGTTGATCAGGAACTGGTCGAACGAGTAAGCCTCCAACTTGAATGCTAGTGCTTGCAATGGCATAACTGACTATTGTGGTTTACACTGTACAGATTGTCGAGTTAATCGTCACCCATCCTTTGGTCAACATCCTCCGCGGCGCCATGTCGATTCTCGTATCGGTCGTCTCTCATCCACACACCGGGTTAAACCCAGCAGAGTCCGACGTATTTGGCTTCCGAGCCCTGAAACCTGCGATCGCGATTTATCCACAATTCTTAGAGATGCTGGTCAGTCGCTTGTCGTCCGCAGACCACGCTCTATGCGCCAATGCGCTCCAATTGATCAATTCCCTCATGCGCGATTCCATCACCTACGATTCCGAAGCCGAGTGGCCGAAATTCATCCAGAAACTCCAAGATCTCGGCGTTATTCGAGCCGTCTACGTCCTCATGCAAGATTCGGCTCTTCAAGATCTCGCACCCCCATTGCTGGAATTCCAATCCCTCACCAAGGTGCTTCTGCGGAAATGGAGAGATATTCCCCTGAGTCAGGATAAGCCCGAGCACCGACGTGCATTGAAAGGAATCCATCTAGCCAGCAACCCTGCCAAGAGACCCGAGGAAGCTACAGAAAACGGAGGAGATGATACACGGCGCTCCAAACGACACCACCCGGAGAAATGGCGGAGACTTGGATTTGAATCGGAGAGTCCTGTTGCGGAGTTCTATGAGATGGGGTATTTGGGTATGATGGATTTGGCGGACTATGTGCGCAGTCATCAGGATGAATTCCAGAAATTGCTCCTTGAGCAATCTACAAAACCGTCGCGCCAGCGATGCCCTATTGCGCAGGCTTCTCTGGCGGTGACATCTATCTTATACGAGCATTTTGAGGTGGACAAGTCCGATATGGATGATTCAAAGAACTATATGCTTATGGAATCCCGATCTAGTCTGGACAAGTTGTTCAAGCCACTGCTCCTCCATTGGACTCGGCTGCATGTTGCGGGACTACAAGCCTTTTTCCGAATGTGGAAAGCTACGGCTGCTGAGACAGAAGATCTAGACAAGCTTGTGGAGATGGTTCGCATTCTGATTGAGTCGGTCGTTGGTGGAGCGGGTCGGACGAAAGATGTCCAAGATGTCGAGGAGGAATTGGCGAATTACGAATATCACCGATTGAGGGAACTTCAAATGGAGCTGTTGGAACTTACTTACGAGGATGCATGGGGGCAACACTTGCGACAAGTGCGCGAGGAACTCCACCATGAAGCTCTACAATTCGTTAAAGAGCAACGTATTCGTTGCTTGCTACAGGGGGCCTGGTTTCCGCTCGACTCGACATCGAAATCTGAACCAGGCAACACACGGCCCACGGGCTCATGTCAATATGTCCAGTTATCTCACAACCGGCGATATCTACATTTTGGGGAGTTCGATTCAATGGGCGAGGGAGCCCCAGAGCTGGACACTTTGCCTGAAAAGATTGATCTCTCTATCGTCTCATCGGTGGTCTCCAATATCTCCACCAATCCCGACAATTCCTCCTCAGCCACGGTGAAGACCGCCCCTCGCCAGGCCTCTACCAAGATAACAATCCACGGCTATGCACAGACCTCGACTGGAACTGCTCATTCCAAGAGCCACGGGCATGCCCGTACAGGGAGTCGATCTACACAAAAAGAGACGGTCTTGCTCACACTCCGACCTGCTTCCCACAGCGTTGCCTCCGAATGGTTAGATGGGCTTCTTATGATTCTTAACCAGCAACCAATTACCTCAGAAACAACAAAGCTTATCGATTTAGTCGGCAACTATGGGCTGAAGATCCGTCTACTCAATGTTCGATTCGATGACGCCGCATTTGCTGGTGAGGTTCCGCCAGTCCCTGCGCGGGATGGTTTAGACGAAGATTACTATTATGATGTCTTTGGGGGTGTATGAACTATGGATGCCGGAGTATGTGTGGGTTTCACTTCTTGATGTACTTTTTATTCTCTTTCTTCTTTCTGTTTATTGTTTTAATCCTGTCGATATATACCCATTATGGCTGGACATAAAGTGTAAAAATATACACCTGGAGTCGGAATTTTTGATCAATGTCTGTCAGTGATGTCTATTAATTTCTTGTATTATATGATTAAGTTAAATGCTTAAATCTATAACTGAGAATTGGGGCTGTTTCATCTCTTGAGCGACTTCTACTTGGTAGAGTCTATAGTGTTACATAGTATGAAGTAGTTAGTGCACCCCATACAAAGTGGACCCTGCGTCATTACTTATCAACCTTATCGGACGCGCTTTTTCCCTTCTACAACTTCCCCATCTCCATAATGGACAGTCGTCCTCCCAAAAGACAACGTCGATCTATCAATAAAGAGACATCCCAAGGAGACTCATCAAAGCCAACATCCAATTCGAAGCCCATCTCACTCTCATCGCGCCCCAAACCCACGAAAGCGCGTCCCAGTCCAGCTCCATCATCACGACACCCCTCTTCCTCCCCATCAACATCACCCTCTAAGCCTAGATCTGGATCCGGGTCATCTCCGAAACAAACAAAAACAAAATCCTTACATAGCTTCTTCCAACCCGCAAACGAGGGCCAGAGATGGTCAGCGCAGAAATTCGAGACGAAATGGCCACTTACAACTGTTGCGGAAACATTAGACACAGACGAGATCGAAGATGATTACGATTCGTACGATGAGATCTTCACTCAGCATATTGCTAGCCAGACGACGAATACGAATAAATCGACACAATCGAGTTCGTTACCGGCTAAGCAAAAGACGGCTACTGCGCGCCGATCAAATCAACCTTCTAAGCGATTCCTCCTACCACCGGAACAGAAGGGGAGTGTTTCCCGACAATCGAGAAAATCACAGCCTCCGGAAGAGGTTGGGACTGAGGCTGGGATTGGGATTGGGCTTGTTGTTGATAATCGTCCGTGGGCCCAGCGGTTTGGTCCTTCAAACCTAGACGAGTTGGTTGTTCATAAGAGAAAGGTTGGCGACGTGGGAAGTTGGCTGGAAGATGCCTTTTCAGGACGATGTAAAGAGGCAAGTCAAATTATATCTCTTCTTTTCATGAATAGAGGTGGATAGATTCAAGGCAAATCTTATGGTTCGACATTTACTAACTTCATAGTAGAGACTTTTAGTTTTACGAGGCCCTGCCGGTTCAGGGAAAACGACTACCATTTCCTTATTATCCGACTCACTCGGGTTTGATATCATTGAGTGGAGGAATCCCACGGTTTCCGATTTCACAGCTCAAGATTATGTCTCGGCGAGTACACAGTTCGAAGAATTTCTGGGCCGCGGTGACCACTACGGAGGATTAGACCTGGAGGACAAAACCGAAGCAAACCAAAAACACAAATCGTCTCTCAGGGATAATCGCATTCTTCTGGTAGAGGAGTTTCCGGCCGTGCTAAGTCGAAACTCCGGCTTAACTGCCTTCCGGGCTTCTATCCAGCGCTATCTTGCTTCTGCTACAGATCATGCACCGGGGGAAATACACCCACCTCTTGTGATGATTATCTCGGAGACCCTGCTGGGCTCTGCTTCATCTGTTTCAGATAACTTCACTGTCCACCGACTCCTAGGCCCGAGCTTGTATAACCATAGCAGCACCAAAATCATAGATTTTAATAGTGTCGCTCCAACCTTTATGCAGAAAGCCTTGCGCTTGGTCTTAGAGAAGGAATCACGCGAGTCAAAACGGGCTCAGATCCCCGGGCCAGCTGTCCTCGACACAATATCTGAAATTGGAGATGTGCGGAGTGCCGTGTCTTCGCTGGAGTTTCTATGTTTGAAAAGCGAACATAATCACACGGGCGCTTGGGGAGGAACACTAACTAAAAGCAAGGGAAAGAAGGTTCGCAAGGACGCTGCCCTTACTCCCATGGAAGAAGAGTCGTTGAAGCTTATTTCTCAAAGGGAGGCAAGCTTGGGACTCTTTCATGCTGTGGGCAAAATCGTGTATAATAAACGACTTGATCCGAGCCTCGTTCCAGATGATACGATCGTTCTCCCATCACCACCAGAGTATCTTGCGGAGTTTGATCGGCCTAAAGTCTCGCAGGTGGAAGTGAATGACTTGATTGATGAGACAGGAACGGATATTACGACCTTTGTCTGCGGTCTTCATGAGAATTACCCGCCCTCCTGCCATGGAACCTCATTTACAGATAACCTCAATGCTTGTATCGAAGCCTTATCTGACAGCGATATACTTAGCGCCGATCGCAGACCTGCCCATGGTGCACGGGGTGGAATGGGCGGCGGGATCACGTCTCTAAATTCAGGTGTTGACAAACTGAGACAGGACGAGATCAGTTTTCAAGTTGCAGCACGCGGTCTATTGTTCGGTCTCCCATATCCTGTCAACCGACGCGTGACCTCTCTCGACGGCCGAGGCCATTCGGGAAATGCACATAAAATGCTCTACCCGACATCCTTAAGACTATGGAGAAAAACAGAAGAAATCGAAGGACTCGTGGATTCATGGATGACACAACTGCTGGATCCCTCTAATACTTCTACTTCGAAACCTACAACTGAAGCAAGTGGCGTTAAGTTCTGGCAAAGCTTCAAGTTCGGGCATCATGGCCGAGACGGTGCAAGTACAAACCACCACTCAACGAAGACGATGTTGTCACGTCCCGATGTACTTCTACACCAATTACCCTACATGGCTCATATTAAACGCAACACGACTGAAGCCTGGGAACTGAACCAAATCACCAAGATCAAGAGTAGTCATATAGAAGATGTTGATGACGATGAAGATATTCCTTTATCCCCATCTAGACAACCACCACCACAACCGCGATATCCACTGAGCCGTGGTGCATCTGGGCCTCAAGAACCTGAGGAGGAAGAAAAGTTGATTCTCAGCGATGACGACATTGAGGATGATTGAACACTATGTATTACGAACATAATGAAAAGCGAATTTAATCAATATATAACAATTATACATCAATTCTTTCCATTATCAAGCTTGTTTATCATGTTGAAGCGATGTTGATCTATATAGACCTTATCGATAACGATAAGATAGCGATAAGCCACTATCAACACGGGATCCGCTCGTTCCCCGACGTTTGTTGCTTCTTCATGCCACATCACACTTCAATTGTCTTGTTTTGAACGATCTTAGAAAAGAGACGACGAATCAAATTAACCAAGCACTTTAGAATTGGTCTATATCAAGGAACCAAATCGATATCTAAAGTTCAATCCCCCTCCTTTGGGAGACAACACCCTCCCGCGGTTAGCTACCAACAGCCACCACGCATCATGATTCATGATGGCGAGACTGTCAAACAGCGCCCCAATGGATATAAAGCGGGAGGATATATGAATAATGGATCGAAAAGTCAAACTATAGACGCGTCACCAAACACAGATGTGGCTAGATCCGTCGCTGGTTCGAAGTTGACAAAGGATGATACGGGATTGATTGCGGCTGCGGCGCATGCTGTAATGCCTACTTGGGCTAATATGGTTATAATGGCCTCGCTTATCTTTGGAGGTTGCTGTGCCAATGTAAGTGGCTACAATGAACTTCTTTTTCCTACAAAGGCAAAGTTAAGTAATGTTATAATTTAGGTGTTCGCCCTGGAGGCAATTATCAAGTAAGATCTGATCTGCGACAGACAGGATATCGTGTTATAGAAAGCTAACGTTATGTACTTTCTAGAGAACAACCAACAGCTGGTAAGTCCTCTATGCATTGACATTGTATCTGATACTTTGTCGCTTCTGTTTATTTGTCTAACGCATCAATGCTACAGGTCCTTTAATTACCTTTGCACAGTTCGTGCTATGTGCTATATTCACACTTCCTCATTTCCTTTCGTTCTCCGCAGGCCCTAAAGCCTTATTTCTGAGTCCACGAGCGATCCCCCTCCGATCATGGCTGGTATATACCTCCTTTTTCATCACGGTCAATATGTTGAACAATTGGGCATTTGCATATAAAATTTCCGTGCCACTTCACATCATTCTCCGATCCGGCGGTCCTGTAGCATCGATAATTATCGGATACATCTTCAATGGAAAAAGATATTCGCGAGGCCAAATCCTCGCCGTGGCTCTGTTGACAGCAGGAGTTGTGGCAGCCGCTATGGCTGATGCGAAAGCTAAGGGTCAAAACATAGGGCAAACCTCTGATCCCGAGACAGCTGTAATGACCACCGCGATTGGATTTACTCTTCTTGCGCTGGCTATGGTTTTGTCGGCTTTTCAGGGAATCTATGCTGATCGATTGTATGCGACATACGGACAAGATCATTGGAAGGAGGCTTTGTTCTACTCGCATACCCTTTCTTTACCATTGTTTTTGAGTAGCTATTCACAGCTATCGTCTCAATGGCAGGTAGTCTCGTCTACACCATCGCTACTTTCTAAAATCTCCGGTTCATCGGATCATAACCTGCTTGGTCTCTCGAACCGTACCGCACTCTCGGTACTATCAACGACAGCCGGGAAATATCCTCTGATTGAATCGATGCTGGATCAGTTGCCTATCCAGGTCGCATATTTGATTATGAATGCATTGACTCAATACCTGTGTATTCGAGGTGTGCATCTCTTATCTGCGAAGTCTTCCTCATTAACCGTGACGGTCGTCCTCAACATTCGCAAACTTGTCTCCCTGCTTCTGTCAATTTATCTCTTTGGAAATCAACTGGGGTCTGGAGTGCTAGTAGGTGCCGTTTTGGTTTTTATTGGTGGTGGATTATATGGATTTGAAGGAGCAAGATTGAGGAAGAATGCAATCAAGAAAGATTAATGAAGGAAAAGGACTAAGGACTAGGGAGAACAGAAGAATTTATATATTTAGACATGGTTTTCATAAAGATTTCGTCGTTTATTTTTTAAGTCGCATCAACGACCTTGACGGTCACAATACATACATGGAGAACCAATGGAAGAGTTCTAGAACATACGGAAGCAAGAAATGATGCTGAAGAAAGAAGACAGAAGAGAAGAGAAGAAGGAGAAGAAGCAGAATAAAAGCATTTGGAAGCGAGAAACTTCCCAAGCAAAAGAGACGCAAGTAGATAAAATTGCCATGTGCATCCGAGATTCTCCCATCCTTCCCTCCCTCAAAAACATAATTGTACATCTCCAACAGAAGAACACAAAATATCCCATACTCAAAACACATTGCGAGTTACGGGTTAACTCGCAAACACAGAACAGAAGAATATAAAACGCTCTTGTTCATCTATAATACTTCACCGACGATCTTCGCGGCTTCTTTGTAGGTCTCTAAGAGGCGCTCACACTTCTCACGTTCGGCCTTGATGCCGTCATCTTCATAAAGCAACTCTCCGAACATATCTTCTTTATAGAGTTCGCTGACCAGACGGTTCTGAACAACATCTTTACTGTGATTAACGAGCAAGTGCATGATGGCCTTTGGAACCTGGTCGGCAATGGTCTCGCGCACAATATGGAAGTATGAAGAGATCAGTCGGCGAATGAGTTCTGTCTCTAGCATCTCTCGGTCTGTGAGAGTGGGTTCCGCATTTTCGTGAGGCTATAAATTGATGGTTAGTTATCTTACATTTTGAGTGGAGGAAGACAGTTAAGGGGGGTGGGTTGAGGTGAGGACTTACGAAAACAGAAGAAACATCGCCATACTCTGAAGGAGCTGTGTACTCCTCAGTCGGCATAGCTGGAGACCGCATTTCCGCGCGGCGGAGACTTTGGCTGATACTAGGCTCACTAGCATGTGCAGCACGGTTAAGTGCTTGCTGTGGCTGGGAGATCTGATTTTGAACACCTTCCTTGCCGAAGAAATAGTTCAAGAAGGAATCGCGAGTAGTATGCGAGGCACCGAAGCCAGCCGGTTGATTCGCTTGACCATTCAAAGTAGCAGCAATTCCATTCTCAGCGTGACGGCCCACATTAGGAGACAAGCTGCGAGCACCCTTGGCAGAGTGGTTTCGGATAGGGAGGTTTTGTGATTGGGCATCCTCATCTTCAGGGGTACCAGCTGTGCCATTGGCAGAACCGAGCTCTTTCAATCGTCGCTTCTCTCGCTTTTTCTTCTCCTCGGCTAGGATAGCTTTCCTCTCTTCGTCTTGTCGGTTCTGAATGATGGACTGCATGGCAGCTGCAGCGCCGGGGAAATTGGGGTGGTTGGTGTTTATATAGGCTCTTTGGATAGAGATGAGAGATTCTACGTAGCCGGAGCATGGGCCTAGGCGTTCGCGAAGAAGATCAGAAACCACTTCGATCAGTTTACCCTGGAGACGAGGGAATCGCAAAAGTTCCTGAGAGCCACATGTGTGGCAGATCTTGATGAGTTCCTCGTAGACCAATTCGACGCAGCGTTGAGCGGGCGACTCTAGTAGTTTGATCTGTGGCTTGACTAGCAGATCAAAGGCAAGCTCGGGTACGAATAGACTGGGTCGAGGACCAGTGGAGTTGCGGATGGCTGTCCTGATATCTGAAACTGTCAAGTTATGGGTGGGGTCGATTGTCTCTAGAGAGTTGCCAAAGACTTCATTGAAGATGTAGTAGATACGAGCACCACCACAAAGTTCCTTGGTGGAGATCTCAGAGGATGTTCCGTCAATGGATGAAATGAATGACGAGGCAAAGCGAGTCATCAGCTGCAAGATTAGAGAGCCGCGATGCTCCTTGCCACTGAATTGCTTGTTTCCGTAGCTAGCCAACTCTTGCTGGGTTTGTCCCATCAAGGTGTTCAAACGAGCTTTAATATCTGGCAGACGGTCTCGAATATGTGTCATGAGAGTCGAGTTCAACGTCTTTGCCAAAAACTGGGTACCGCAACGGTTGGCCATGTTTCGGTAGGCTGGGTGATGACGGAAAAAATCCGCCTCAGCCCGCAAGGCATCGGAGAGCGATTTGCCTGACTGGATATCCTGTTGTGAACGATTGACCACACCGATAAAACCCAGCTTGAGAGGGTATACACGGCCTGACAAGATATCCATAGCATTTGTACCATGATCCATGAGATCCAGCTTGGACAAAACGCCAATTGTCCTCCGACCCATAGGATCCACCTGGCGAGCCAGTTTCAATGCCTCCGAGTTGACCAAATCCACATTAGCCGGGGATACCGCAAGGATAATACTGTTAGGCTTAGCGATGTATTCCAAGATCAGCGTCCGGGTCTGTTTCTCGATGTCGGAAGGTTGATCCCCGATAGGAACTTTGGTCAAACCAGGCAGGTCGACCAAGGTCAAGTTCAAGACATGTGGTGAAAAGATCTTCAGGTTGATAGGCTGGCGGTTAATGCCCTTGTTGCTTCCAGCAATGCGCGCTGTCTCTGCTTCGATTTCCTGCTTAACTGCGGCGAAATCCTCGAATTTGCGGCCGGGCTGGTGGTGGAATTCGGCCCATTCATGTTGGCCAGCCACGCTGGCTGCTGTGTGGGGAACATGGACCTCGTCGTGGTCTGGTAGGTCATCACGCTCGCTTGGAATGTTGATCAATTGTAGAATTAAGGGACGACGAGTGACGATGCCGCTGCCGCGTGGTAGGAAGTCTCGTCCCACGATGTTCTCAAGCACCGACGACTTGCCGGAAGACTGGGAGCCGACAACGACCTAGACTCAAGGCGATTAGCACTGGGAAAATAAAAACTCTCGCAAATCAAATAGTATCGTCACTATTCACTCACAATCTGAGGTAGATCAAGGGAGTCATTGCCAATGGTGTTGAACACTAGATCTTGTAACTTGTTCACAGTGACAAGCAGATCCTCGCCAAGCGACGCCATTCTGCTGCGGGTACGGGTTGAGAGGGATGGGCGAGAAGAGGATTCAAGAGCAGCGCCCAAGTTCTCAGGAGTGTACACCCGGGGGTTGGTGAAGTGTCGGCGGGATACGACGGGAAAGGTGTATCAAACGAAGATCCCTTTGCGCGTGCACGGAGAATCGACCTCGGAGTCTCTCACACTTGTTTATGCCGCTTTTCGACAGCACGTGACGCTGACTGATAGCGGCTTATGTAACCCGTCATGACGTCTTTGAGTTTCAGCCAATCAAATTGCACGAACTATAACACTGCATGCTACTGGTAGGAATTGTATAAGTAAGGAGAGGATGGACATATAGTATAAAGCGTAATGACATAGAAATACACTGGCATTTGTATTTCAGAGAGTAGATAATAAACAGAAGCTGAACCATAAGCAAAAGAAGAAAAAGAGCTATTTACACATGCACCCTTCATTTTCCTCTCAACTCTTCTCCTCTCTATCTCGCTCCTTTTACTGGTTCAATTGCACATAGTTGGCGGGGAACAGACCCCGGTCTCCATTATACTCTCCAAGCCACCAATCATCGTCAGGGAATTCCTATCATCATCATTAGTATGTTTGGGTAAATCTAGTTCGGGGGAAAGGAAGAAGAAAACTTACCACGTTCACGATGGTAGCTCCATCTGGGAAGCTGAGCTCGTTGTCCTCCGCGGCCTCATAGTCGTAAAGGGCTGACGCAGTCGGGCCCTGAGAATGGGAAGGTTCATGGTGTTCGGGGGCCGCAACTGGCACAGGGGCCGGAGCTGGAGCAGGTGTAGGCTCGGGCTCGGGCTCAGCCTCATGAATAGGTTCAGCCTCATGCTCAGGCTCCACGGCGTGGGCACCAGCGTGGCCCTCCTCCACAATCTCAACGTAGTTGGCAGGGAAAAGGCCCCGTTCACCCTGGGTGTTTACGCCCAACCACCAATCTTCATCGACCATCTCAATATCAGTCACAAATTCACCTTCTCGGAGCTCCACCTCATTATCCTCTGCCTTTTCGTAGTCATACTGCACCACGGCACGCAATCCACCTTGGGTTTGATCGGGAACAGTGGCCTCGGCCGCGGCACGCCCAAGATCATGGTGGTCATCACTTTCCAATTCACTCTCGTCCGGTACCACTTCTTCGAGGCTTCGAACGGGCATGGCTGGAGGCGGAGAATGTTGCTCGTCGTGTGCATCGGTCACTTCACGACTCACGGGCATGGCCACGCGAATAGGAGAACTCTCTCGCACAGGAGGGGTTGGGGGAGTAGGAGAGCGCGGCTGAGGGGGAGGGGTAGGGAGGTCTTGGTGGAAATCATGCTCGGGCTCGGGCTTGGATTCAGGCTCGGTGGGACCAGATGGTAGCCCGGGAACAGGAACGGGCCGACTAGCCTGTGGCACGGGTGGAGGGGGTGCTTCAGCAGCAACAGGCGCAGGGGGAGGCTGGGCGAATTGGTCCCGTGTGTCCAGAACGTGAGAAGGTGGCTGTGCGGACTCGGTCTGTAGCGGGTCGGAAGATTTCACATCTGCAGCTTCAGGGACACTTCTCTCCTGAACAGTCTGCACTGGTGCCCAAGATTTGCCGGCGTACCCGCTCTTCCACTCACTTTGGCCGCTGGGTTGGCTCTGAATAGGTGCAGGAAGCGATGCATCAGTTGCAGGCGCAGGCGCAGCTCCGCGTTCCTTGGCCTTGCGTTCGGCCCAGAGTTGAGCAGGAGTTTTACCCCCTTGGTCCGCAAAGGTCCGGCTGGCGCTACCCACTTGCACATTTGGAACAGCTGCACTTCCTCCGGCGGGAAGAGGTGGTTTGGTGCCAGGGAATGCTGGGCTGGACCCGAACTTATTGGCAACCTTGGGCTTCGGCAGGTTGGTCAGACGTTCGGCGTCTTGGTTGAAAGCCGGGCGCTCGGGTAGTGTGGTGGGTTCATTGCGAGGAACTGGGTCTGGACGAGGGGCTGGTGCGGGCGCATCATCATTTGCACCTTCGGGTTTCTGGGCGCGAGCACGAATAGCGGCGATATCCACCTTGCCCACCGGTTCATAAGAACCCTTCACTGGGGCAGGACGATCATCTTTTGTCTGGCCTGATTCAGCGGCTTGTCGTCGGATGGCCGCGATATCAACCTTACCAATAGGTTGATATCCACCTCTCACTACATCCCCTCGGTCTTCTGTAGGTGCTGATACGGGCTGTCGGGGTGCGGGAGATTGGTTCTCTGATTTGAGTTGTGAGAGGTTCACCTTGGTAGGTTGGTAAGCGGGTTGAACTTTCTCGAGTTGGGTTCGAGTGACTGGGGGTGCGTCATCACCCCAACCATCATTATCTACTGCCGCGGATGGCTTTGGGCGGGGAGCTGGAGCTGGAGCAATGCCTCCTGAGCGGGTAGGTGTGAATACAGGCTTAGTAGCGACCGGGGGACGGGCTGCCGTGGTTGGAGGTGGTGCTTGCGACTCTGCCGAATACTTTGAACCGGATGAATCGGCGACTCGTTGAACGATACCTTCGGGCGATAGATGACCGTCGGCTCGCGCAGTAATCTGAACATGGTAGCCCTGTTGTACGTCAGCGGGGTTAGTTCGGTGTTTTGAGTGGTGGAAGGGAAGCTCTTGAAGACTCACATGGAGGAATTTCGATACACTGGCCAGATGGCTCGTGAAATAACCCTTAGTCCTCTCGGGAACACCTTCGCCACACCACGCAATCAGAACGTTCTTAGGGAGGCCAGTATTAGGGTCGGTCACTTTGACGTAGGCGAATTGAACACGGCCTTCGGAGAACTCCTCGATGAGATCGAGCAATTCACCCTCTATATTATGACAGGTGTGAGCAATAGCGCCGGATGGAAGAGATGGCGGGGAAGGAGAGTAGTGACTGACCACCTGTGCTTTGGACCTTCAACACACTCTCTTTGCTACCAGCATCCTGCTGGAATGCATTGAGCAGTGGGGTTGAGACGGAAAAGACGGCCCATTGACCATATGTCGGTGAGCCGTTCTTAGGGGGTGGCGCATTCACGACCGACTGATAGCTCTTGGAGATTGAGGGGCCATTGGCTGACAAGTTGAGAGAAGCCATGATGTTGAGACCGGAAGAAAGAGCTGTAGGGAGGAGGAGGGGGGGAAGCGAGGGGAGCAAGGAGCAAGGAGCAAGGAAAAGGCAATCAGGTAATAACGGCCACGATACTCCGCCGCACGAGGTTGACTCTTGAAAGAGATGGGTGGAGATGAGAAGTGGGGGCGGAGGAAAAAGACGGATATAGGGAAGCTGTTGGCCTCTTGATGGAGTATACGATCAGTAAATCAGACCCAATACGATTCCAATTGAAAGTAAAATCGACGGTTGGATCTGTGTTGTGGTAATTCTGGAGAAAGAGAAGTGGGAGGTAGAAGAAGTGGGGGGAGGACGGGAGATGTTTGGGCGTTAGTTAGCATGCGTGTGTACTGCCGGGAAAGGTTAAGTAGGCAGCAGAGCAACAGTTATATAGTGGCGAACAAGATTTAGGTAGAAGAATATAACTTGCGCATGAACTAGGTGGGATATATCATTACCTTTTAAATTCTCAATTTTATAACAAATTTACTTCTATATTATTTATATATATTAGTTATAAAGGGAATAATGTTTAATGTTGCTGGATGACATAAGGTAAACAAAGATGTCAAGTCTGCTTCTATACACAGTATACTGGCCCTGGTATATAGAAGGTATGCTAGTATATGCATAATAATTTATATGCTATATCGACTACCTATTCCTCATTTTATTCGAATCTACCTCCTCGCTATATTATATGTTGTACTTGGCGGAGCTCAAGTTAATACTAGCATGGCCTTAATGCGTCATCACTTATACAGGGCAACATTTTAGTATTAGTATGTCTAGCCATACAACCTTAGGATATATGGTCAACATCCATCTACCCACTTACAACTCCGTTATCCAAATAAACGAATATAGTATACTGCCCATCTATTATCCACATTAAAGTACCTACTATATGTATTACTATATAGGACAGCACAAGACTTGCTTAATTCTTATCACTTATCGCTTATCACTTATCGCTATCCGTTATCTCTATCTTCTTATCTTATCGCTTATCCTCACCGAGAAGTGGAGTGGAAAGAACATTTCAAATGTTGAAGCTCTCCAAACACTCTTTCCCCTTCTCTTCTCCAAAGCTACCAAATTCCTTGTTGTCCACTATTCCGTTTGTTATCCTGATCAATATCCGACTTCATCTTTCTTTGATCCCATCCTCAACCCCCGTCAAGCTTTGAACCCGAAGGTCGCACCTCCCCTCTCGTCCCTAGTGTGGTTGTACCACACTCGCAAGGTTATTTCATAGAGACGGAAAGAAAGAACAAAAAAGTCATGGGGTCTTCCCAACCCCCCATGTCCGGCCACAATTCCAATATGAACCCTGCAACCTTTGATAACGATCCGCTGCCTTCTCCAGGCTTCGAAATGGCCTCCGATCCCGAAACACCCTCTGCCCTTGAGGAAGCAGCCGTCGGGAGTTTACCTCGAGATCAGGAGCTGAAAACCGCAACCTATGATTATGCCTACGAGAAGTCCTTGAGTCACGCAGAGGCCAAACTGTTCTATCAGCATCACCAGCTGGCAACAAAAAGCGGCGAGAATACCGGGCCAGTGAGCCCTGTGCTGCTTGGCCGTTCCCCAACGGATCTTCACGAAAGCATTCCAGCAATGGCCAACGATGCCAGTCCACGGGATAAGGGTACCCCCATACGCAAAGGCTCCATGCTTGCCGAGTCGGACGGACATTCGGAACATTCTGCATTTCAAAATACCGACGGCCCAACCTCTGATCCCCAACTAGCGGACCACTCAGCACGTGCCCATGCGCAACCACCTAACTCGGGTGTCGGGGCGAGCACTCATGGGACGGGTTTGGGTATCACTTCCCTAGGACCTGGTGGGGATGCCATTACATCGGAATTGAGTGCCATTTATCGCAAAATCAAAGGTCTATTGGACCGACGAGCAAAATATCTGGAACTGTCACTCCAGCGATCCGGCGATGATCCCAGGGATCAACAAGATTGGGATATCTACCCTCCACCACCTGAGCCGGCATGGGATGAGGGTAAGGAATACCAACCGGGAAATGTTGGAGGCCCGGCAGATGTGTCAGGTAAGAGGAGGAAGATGGGCCAAGATATTGGCGAGGACTTTGATATGGACGAATTGACCCCGCTCCCCGAAAAGTCGGCGTGGTCGTATCGCCTGGACAGTAATAGTGTCTACCAAGTGTTCCAGTCAGATGCCGCGATGGATCGAAATGAACCAATAGTGCAGATCCCATCTCTTCGCGATTTCTACATGGACCTTGACGCGGTCGTAGATGTTTCCTCGGAGGGCCCCGCCAAAAGCTTTGCGTTCAGACGTCTCTCATATTTGGAAGGCAAGTTCCAGCTGTATACTCTCTTGAACGAATACCAAGAGATCGCAGACAGTAAGAAAGTCCCGCATCGAGACTTCTACAATGTCCGTAAGGTGGATACCCACGTTCACCACTCGGCGTGCATGAATCAGAAGCATCTTCTGCGCTTCATCAAGAGCAAGATGCGCAAATCTCCTGACGAGGTCGTTCTCTTTCGAGATGGCAAGCATCTCACTCTCCGAGAGGTGTTTGAGAGTATCAATTTGACCGCATACGATCTCAGCATCGATACCTTGGATATGCATGTTAGTCTAAACCTATTTCCCGCTTCTTGTTTACTTGACTGACCTAAAACCCGATAGGCACACACCGATTCATTCCATCGCTTCGACAAATTCAATCTCAAATATAACCCTGTGGGCGAATCGCGTCTGCGTGAGATATTTTTGAAGACCGATAACTATATTAAAGGCCGTTATCTAGCAGAGATCACGAAGGAAGTCATCGCTGATCTGGAATCCAGCAAGTATCAAATGGTCGAATGGCGTATTTCCATCTACGGAAGATCCCCCGACGAATGGGACAAACTCGCCGCCTGGGTGGTAGATAACAAGCTATTTTCTCCCAATGTTCGCTGGCTGATTCAGGTACCTCGATTATATGATGTGTATAAGTCGAGTGGGATGATGGAAAACTATGAGCAGGTCATCTCGAACGTTTTCCAGCCTCTATTCGAAGTGACCAAAGATCCCTCCAGTCATCCCAAGCTTCACGTCTTCCTTCAGCGTGTCGTAGGTTTCGACAGCGTTGATGACGAGAGTAAAGCTGAACGTCGACTTTACCGCAAGTATCCCATCCCAAGGGATTGGACTACCAAACAAAACCCCCCATACAGCTATTGGCTGTATTTCATGTTTGCCAACATTGCATCGCTCAACAACTGGCGGCAGCGACGGGGCTTCAATACGTTTGTTCTTCGACCACACTGTGGTGAGGCGGGTGATCCGGACCATCTAGCTGTCGGCTTCCTTTGTTGCCACAGTATCAGTCACGGAATTCTCCTACGCAAGGTACCATTGCTACAATATCTTTACTACCTAGATAAAATTGGCATTGCCATGTCCCCTCTGAGCAACAATGCGCTGTTCCTTACCTATGACAAGAACCCCTGTGCTAGCTTCTTCAAGCGTGGACTCAACGTGTCTTTGTCAACTGATGACCCACTCCAGTTTGCTTTCACCAAAGAGCCTCTGATTGAGGAATATTCCGTGGCAGCTCAAATCTACAAGTTCAGTGCTGTTGACATGTGCGAACTTGCTAAATACTCTGTCATCCAGAGTGGATTTGAGCTTTCATTGAAAAGGAGATGGCTTGGCTCAGGCTGCAGTCTTCCTGGAATTGATGGCAACAATGTGGCCAAGAGTAATGTTCCTGATATTCGCGAAGCTTTCCGACATGAAACCTTGCAAGCCGAACTATCACTGTAAGTCATCTAATGATTGAAAACCCGATGTCTTCTATGGATATACGACCACTTTGGCTAACAACGAAACCACTAGGATCGAGAAATACTCGGAGGGCTATGCGCCAGATGAGCCAAATGCTTTGGCGCCAGGCCTTCTGCACAATGTCAATCAAGCTTCCACAAAGGGAACTCATGCTACATCATGACGAGTTGGCCTCACGTGAAAAAGAAATATATCATCCCGGGGAAATTCAACAAGCTCATTATTGTTATCATTCTGCTTTCTTTGACTAATCTCAATTTACCTTGGGCCCTTCCAACATATCACAAATACCAGTGGATAGGATGAGGAGGCCCATCAGTCTCGGTAGAGCTACTGGATATCTCCGCCTCTCATCTCAGCATAGTGACATGATAAGAAGACCACTAGTATATGAGTACACCTCATAGAAAATAGAATACATGGATTAATAAAATGACAGTCTTACGAAGAGTTTTATTAGACAAAGATAGATTAAGTACTAACGGGAGACGTAAATACAAGACATGTAATTAGGCTCTACTACTTCCTAGAAGTTAGCCACTGTATATTTGGCTTTGTAGGTAACTATAGCTAGTACTAATACTACTGAAACTCTACTATATCTCTTCTTTTAAGACCATAATCCTCAACTACTTGATCCACAGACAGACAGAAAGACCAGAAGACCACTATATCGGGCATTCACACCCGATATACCCAGAACCAACATATGTAGTATTATATCTAAAAATGATATTAATATTAATAAACAATTAAGGGGAGAAGATCAAGACATCTAAAAAAAAATGAACGCGTAAGGGTATGGATATATCACCAGTCTCGATCTCGATCCCAATCCCAATGTGTGTATGCGCGCTTAAATGGCCCAGCTCCCCCTTCGCTCAGGCATCCCCCAAGCTTCTAAACCGGTCTCATCTTCTGCCATGGTGGGTTGTTGTCGAGCCCATTCCCGGATATAAAGACGAAGAGCCTTCCACCGCATGCAGGGGACTGCTTGATCATCCGAAGCAACAACGTAGCCTTTAGCATCGGTGTGAAGATCATCTTGTCGTAGGTCTTCTACGGCGATTCTTGATATCCGACTGAGTTCATAATCATAATAACGCGCTACGCAAGGGTATCCCAATGACACATAATTGTAAATTTGAGTGACAAAGCCGTCGTTAAATTCGTCGCTCGTAACCCGGGAAAGGTCAAGACCAAGACCAAGACCAAGACCCACGCCATCCTGTGGGCTTGGTGAGCCTTTGATCGCGGGTGTTGGGTTGAGATGGGGAGTCAGAGTCAGCCACGTATTGTTGCGTGATCCAGGCTTAGAGTCCTGAATCATAGGGGTCATGATTCCGGTGAGAAAATGCGGCTCTTGCCGAGGGCCTTCAGTCTTATGACAAGTCCCCATCCAGAGACCGGCACCTTTACCGCCATCGCCACCAGATTCCGCACACCAGAGACTTTTGCAGCCAAAGCAAGGATTATCTCCCGACTGTGCGCCATTATCTGGGTTTGAGTTTTCGCAGAGCGTCCCATCTGGCGAAGAACTCAATGGCAGAACAATATCAGCGCCAAGCATTGGAGGACTGGGACCAAGAGGTTTGGAAGGAGGAGCCTGATCTCTTGGGGCCTGTTTACGAGTATTGGAGGTCACCATCGCTCGTAGCCGTTGTTCTGCTTCTTCCTTATGCTGACGCATATAGTCTAACTCCCAGGATAAGTCTGCAGATGATTGTCGTCGAGACTTCAGTTCATGTGGCTGGGGGTACATGGAGCTCTGATCTTCCAAATCCCCTTCTTCCTTGTCGATTGCAAAATGGTCCACAGGTTCATAAACCTGCTCGTTGGGAAAGGCTGCCAATGCCTGATCTTTCAGTTCTCTCTGCGCTGTTCGAGCCGCAACAGACAGCAGGTACTCAGACAAATCTCCATTGTAGTTTTGTTCTTGCTTTGTGCCTGGCGATGATGGTAATAAAAGCGCAGAAGTGTCTTCGGGGTCTTCTTCAGCTTCACTACTCACAGAGGAAATACGTGGAAGACTTGGGACGCGAAAAGAATGTCTTCGTGTCTCCTGGCGACGGAGGAGACTGACATATGAGAAGTTGGACTCATCGAGGTGCGGTGATGTGTTCCTTCGAGGGCTCAGCAGCCGAGCAGAAAGACCAGGTGATGATTCCATGGAAAATTCTCGAGAAGAGCCGACACCAGGAAGAGAGTCCTTAGAGTTTTCCCCCTTAACAGACCGATATTCTGTCTCGATCAATGCCGGCTTGAATCTTCTGGGGCTGGGTATCGTAGAAGGCGGGTTGTGCTTCTGTGGCTGTGACTGTTGCTGTTGCGGTCGGGAGGGTCCTGGGCGACTCATTGTGGTTGTTTCAATCGGCTGAGGCAAGATTCGCCGGCGTGGCTGACTACTGTCGGCTTGCATTTCATTTCCTGGTAGAGAGCCAGATGTCTTACTAGGTTGGAGTTCGTTGACAAGGCTGGAGCTAGGTTGTGTGGTACCGGAGCTTCGCGAGGATGTTTCAACAGGTTGAGGCAAGAAACGCCGCCTTGGGGCCTGAGACACCGACCCCGGCTCACCATCTTGAGTTGACGGAGTGTTTTCTTTCGGTCCAGTATTATTCCTCCTTAGTAACGAGTCCTGATTTGAGGACGTGTGGGTAGTCTCCGACTCGGGCCTTCCAGTTGATGTTGATGTTGATGTTGATAAAGCAAATTCTTGCGCGAGAGGCTGATAGCCCATTTTCAATACCACCAAATAAACACCATGCTCTTATGTTGTAAAAAAGATTTGACCAGTAAATTAAGCAGTACGAAATATCATTGTTTCGTTCGGTGGGAGAAGGGAGGTACGTGTGTCGGGCAGTTCCGCAAAGTCGAGGTCTTTGGAGATCTCGGGTCAAAGCAAGGAAACAAAAAAGAATGAACCAGCCAAAACGAGCGAAAAGACCGGTATTCCCCCGGGGTCCCCTGTATATATAGTAGAAAGAAGAAAGAAGATGGAGGGAAGTGGTGTGGGAGGGGTAGAGGTCGAACAACACACAACACCAGATCGAAAACTCCGCGGGCGGTGATAAGACTGATTGATGACATCAGCTATCAGCTCTGGATAAGATAAGATAAGCCGATAAGAACTATGGACCTCAGTACTCCGAACATACTAGCCGTGTCTACACCGCTACACGGCAGAACACCAATTCGCGCCCGGGCGAATTGGTGTTCCGCAGCGGAATGGAAATTCTCACCGGAATGGAAAATTTTCGTCTTTACATACAAATCTCTATATAATTTAGAATTTATCAAAAAAACCAATAACCTCTCCTGTCTCGTTATATAACGGCTCAGCCTCTGCATCCTTTTCAGCCTCCGATCTGAATGGTGTGGTAGAATTAGGATGGTTTTTCTTCCACTCCCTCGCAAGTCGTTTTTCCTCTTTTTCAGCTTCCTTAGTATGCCTGGCAGCAATACTACGTTTTGCATCTTTAACACGAATCATTCCGTCATCTCTAAGGCCTAAAATATGCCTTTTGGTAATTTTTTTCTCCCGTGGAGCTTTAAATCTAGCCATCTCAGCTATAGTAGCTGAGGTATTAGCTAAGGCATTAAAATAGAATTCTTGCTCTTCTAAGACCTGTGAGAGTGTTTTTTTCTCTTTAGGTGTTATATTAGATCGATCAAGAAGTCCAGAGAGATGTCTTTGTCGTTTTTCCACATCTTTAAATGTCTTTGAAGGTGTGTTTTCAAGACTTGAAGATAAAAGATCTGGCCCTGGAGATAGTGTTTTCTCATTCCGTAGATCGATTTCTAGATCTAGAGGCTCTGGAAGAGAATTATCGAGAGGTTTGCAAACTATCTCTGCATCTGGAGGGTAGATTCCACGATCTTTAAAGGCATTCCGACAGATACGGGATGTAAGAGCTTTATCTCGGAAGGTAAGAAGGTCGTGAAGAAAAGATGATTTTGTAGCAAGTTGGCCACCCCCCCATTGAGAAATGAGGTTATTTTGCGATCGGAAATAAGCTTTATAGGCTTGAAATGGTTTACCATCAAGAGGTTGAAGATAATTGGTCCTATTTGGAGGGAAACCAAAGATCTTAATATTGGCTTTCTCTGCAATATTGAGAAATTCAAAAGTCAGATGTGAACCACAACCATCAACCAAAAGAATTCGTTGCTCATTTTTGTTAACACGATTACGTGTTTCACGGTCAAATTCTTGTATCCAAAGCACAGCAAGTTCATCAACAATATAGCCTTTCTCTGCAGTTGCAGTCATCCATTCATCAGGTAAAATGTGGTCATACCACGACTCCATATGATGTTGGCCTTTGAAGATAATAAGGGGATGCATTCGCCAGCCATCTGCAGCAATACATTCTGCGACTGTAACTCTTTCTCCGTGTTCATTGCTTGCAAGCTGTTGCGATTTATTCATTCGGCTAGAAAATACTCGCTGAGTTCTTCCTTGTCCAATATGAAAGCCAGTTTCATCGAAATTGTAAATTAACCGTGGGTGTACGCCATCTAGGGCTTTGGCTAATAAATCGTACCAATGATATAACATTGAGACATCTGCCGCTCCCAGACGTTTTGAATCAACAATCTTTTGCCTTCTAAGCTTCATTTCTGTATCAGGAAATCGTTTAATATAACGATAAACCCAGTCTTTTCCGACCGTCCGATCAGGTGTTTTTGATCGAGCAAGGGTAGCATTAGCCCATTGTTCTATAATATTTGGCGTAGGGGGTATAAAAGCTGCATCCATAGCCTGTATCCAATACCCCAAAGCCTTTTCTTGCTGTACGTTCAAGGCGTAATTCGATGGTTTAACATCTGTTTTTGGCTTCATGTTCTGTTTTACACGTCTCCAAAGAAGCTTGTAATCAACACCATATTCCTTAGAAATGGCGGACAAATTCGGCTTTTTGAGGCTTCGGGCGTATTTAATGGCCTGATTTACACGAGATACCTCGGTTTCAGTAGGTTTGGCCATAGTTAAGGAAGTCTTTTTAAACAATATGATAAAATTCAGAAAATTTTCCATTCCGGTGAGAATTTCCATTCCGCTGCGGGACACCAAATGGGGCGACCCCATTTGGTGTTCTGCCGCGTAGCGGTGTAGGCACGGCTAGTTGAGATACTCGGTATGGTACTCTTCCAGACTGTACCACCAGTCAACAATGCCCTGCCCGCCATCAGGCAGGCTTGAGGCCAATAGGGCCGACGCCTGCTCGAGCTCTTTGATATAAGGATCTTGAACATCAATGATGAAGATCCAGGCAAATTCTACGGTACTATCACCGCAATCAACGGGCTGCAGAGCGACTCTATCTATAACCGAGACAGAAAAGATCACGAATCTATTGAGACTGGCCAAAATGCCATCACTACTGGCCCATCTCGCAATATATCGGCCGCCGATGATTTCGCCATCGATTTCAATCTCAAGGACAGCAACGCTCCATCTGCCAATGAAGAGGTTGCTCAAAGTCGAATTGCATGGAATGCCAACGATCAGACCAACTACTATGGCAAACTTCGAACAGAGACCATCAACGGCTCTTCTGGCTCAGCAGTGGTGGATTGTGTCGTCATGAGCAATGCTTCAGAGGCCTCAGTGGATATCATTTTGTTGACATGAACGGAGAAGATCTCGCTGATATCTATGGTGAAATATTTGCTCAGACTTCCTTATTTCCAGATAAGAAAGTCCAGCTGTTTAGAAGAGAATTCAAGACCATGTTGGCGTACAGCTACATTGCTTATGTTCCTCTGAGCCTCCTCTGACAAGGAGATTGTGAATGCGACTGCTGGATTCCAACCTGCGATCTTACGATCAGCATCTGAGCTGATCATGGGGCAGCATGGCAAGCTGCAAATTAGAGTCAGTTGGATTTAATTTTTGCTATTGTTCATATTTTTCATTCTAGTTGAAAGAGGGCCTATGTTAGTCTGTCATCAGATCATGTATCTACTATGTGCCTCATAGGCTGCTTCACTCGTATATTGGTAAAAGAATTTAGAGCTACGTTGGAACATATTCATAGTTAGTATAATAGAAAACCAAAAAATCTGTGACTCCGTTAAACTTGCTAATATTGAAATGGAATCTTCCTACTTCAGCTGGAAGCTTGAGTACCTTGGGCCCTCAACTTCATTTCACCAAGTCGGAGGTACGGAGACACTCAACCCCATCGACGCAATATTCACGAGGCCGATACCCACGGATACGAAAGAACTTGTCTAATGCCTGGGTCTTGAGCACTTTGTCAGAGGCCGCTTTGGGTACGTCCTCTCCGGCTTTCAATATGTATAGAAGTGCAGGTAGCTTATAACGCTCCAGGCCTAGAGAAAGGTCATCGCGGATTTTTTGCAGATTGATTTCTGAGTTTTCACGGCTGAGACGAACAAGTACTGCAGCGACTCCTCTGGTCTCATGGTCAAGGACAGGAAGAACGTGCGCCTCAGATATGTAAGAAAGACGCAGGAGGTTTTCTTCTAGTTCTAAAACAGAAATCTTGCGGTCAAGAAAGTTGATCCCTAGGTAAATTTAATTAGATTTTAGAGACGCCCCCTAAAGATTTCCAAAATTGAGCAGGAGGGTTCGTACAGTCAGAGTCTACTCTTCCTTCGAAAAAATAACTGGCTCCGACACGTCGAACGAGATCGCCTGTTTTGTAGAATCCATCTTCATCGAATGCATTCTTTGTTGCTGTTTCATCATTGAGGTAACTGTCAAATATTAGCATATATGAGTATATGAGACACACATCCACGAGAATAGACTTACTGCGTGAACATTCGAGGAGACTTGACAAGCAATTCTCCCTCGTCTCCATTTGACAGCTTGATCTGTGCCCCAGGAGTAGGCGTACCAATGCATCTCTGGACAGGTCAGTAAAGTAAACCAGAGTGACAGACGTTAGAATTCAGAAAATAACTAACATCAACGTATGGCGCATCAATACCAGCTGCCAGTGCCAGTCCACCAAGTTCAGTCGACCCGTAAACATTCCTGATCTTCATCCCCGTGAGATCAATCCAAAACTGGGCTGTGTCTGGGTTCATAGCTGAGCCGCTAATCGTGGCGTCCCGGATCTTTCCCACCCCGGATACATATGCCTCACGCTCATCAGCAGAAAGCCTGCAGATGTTTACTCCTCTAGTCCTTTAAATAACGAAGAAGAAAACGACACATCTGTAATGGTACCCTGCTTGAAGATCTCCCAAAACATAGCTGGCTCGAATGAGCGTTGTGGCCAGTGAATCTTCGTCCCACGCAGAACCCGCGCAAGGAGCCCTGATGCGCCACCCATCCAATGAACAGGACGGAAAGCCAGAAACACACGGTCAGAGTCTGCCTTGCCGGAGAAGAAGAAAGTACGGCGAGGAATAACAACACATTTCGGATTGCCGGTGCTGCTTCCGGAGGTCTGGACGACCATGCATGCTTGATTCGCATCAATCGACAGATTCTCGTCAATTTCGAAATCTGAATCGGACGTGCACTGGAATCCTGTCTTCCGCTCAATCTTGATTGTCTTGATGTTACTTGCATGTTCTTTGATAAAAGTAGCCTGTTGAATGGTGTTGGGCTCGGCCAGAATATATGTCACATTGGCCGAGGCCAAGAGTTTGAGATTGCCGTCAGGTGCGGCCTTAGTTGCTGCATAAAGTATAGTATGTAAATAAAGAGGTCATTAACAGCCCTCATCTACTTTGGGCCCTTCACACAGTTAAGAGCTGGACTCACGTAGTGCTAAACATTTCCCTCCGAGCGCGGCTATCGCAAAGAATGCAACCAGAAAGTAATATCCGCTTGGTGAAATAGTCGCTATGCAACCGGTGTCAGGTCGCAACAAACCTCTGGCATCATACCACTCAACAGGGAGCTCTCTTCGCAGTGTTTCGCGCAAAAGACTGATATCATTGAGTAGGTCGGTGGGGCTTGCGTCAATGCCATAATCGTCATGGATTAAGACTCCCTGCACCGACTGCCTTAGTCGGAGCAGATTAACGAAAATAGGATCGTTTGGAAATTTGTTCATGTCGAATCGTAAGAGATCTGAGCATTGAATGTGGATAGTGAGGAGGCCGTTTCCAAAGTTATTATACAGCTTTTCTTTGTGTGTGTTCTGCAAACCAATGGGGTACACATAGCCCCTCTGGCCTGCATATCCACCTTTACATATAGGAATAGTAGTAATTTAAAGATAATAGAAGTAATAAAATAATATACTGGTATTTTCCAAGGTTTTTAATAGACTATCAATTACAGGTAATAAGGTTACCATGCACGAAGGTCCAAAGTGGATTAGATCAAGTGCCGATCTTCTGCAAGATGCTCTACAACATCAGGGCAGAGAGTGGGTCCACTACTGTACGTACATGTACTGTATACACCCTGTCATGGAAGGATTCCTGCTTCCGCTGTACCAGGATTGCCGATCGATCGATCTGCGTGTGTATGTATAATCCGGTCATATGCGAATGCCCAGAGTTCCACCCTGGATAGAAATTCCGTACTGGGGAGAGCGACCCGCGTTGGTGCTCATCCTGGGTTCAACGTATTCTTTGTGGAAATCAAAGCCCGAGCTCCTCCGAGATAGTGGTTGACGAAAGAAATTTCAGTTCCCGAAGGAAAGAGAAGGCAAGGTGGGTGGGTAATGGAACGCTGCATGTATTGACAAACAAGGATTTCTATAGAACTTTATTGCTTTCTTTTCTCACCGTAACTTATTCAAGTGGGACTCATCCAAGATTCAAAATTTATTACCTCCTTCCATGCGGAAGAACCCCCAGAACTCTCTGATTTCTGCATTTATTTTGTTTTGTCTTGTTTTGTTTTTTTGTCCCAACAAAAATAGTGGATCAAGGACGGCTAAGGGGATACGAGACCCTCCAACGCTCTAGAAACACACTCCACCAAATCATCCTCCGATTCCAATCCAACACTAAGTCTCACAATATGCTTTGGAATCCCTTGGGACTCAGCCCAATCTAGATCGAAGACATGCGCGAGTTGTGCATATGGAATGGCCAGACTAAAATTCGTCCCAATACTTGGACCCTTACACATATCCAACGTGTCATAAAATCTTATAGCATCGTTTGGTTCCCGGAACAGGAGACTCATTACATATCCATACCCGCCATTCTTGCGACGGTAGTGATCATAGAGTTTCCTGGTAGGTATCAAGGATGGGTAAAGCACGGACTCGATACTCGGGTGTGATGAAAGGAAAGTAGCCAGAGCCAGGGCATTGGCGCTGGATTTGTGGACGCGTGCTTGGAAATCTCGTGAGTTCTCGGCGAGCACAAGCGCCTCAGTTGGGAAAAGGAGGTCCTCATATATATCTGTTAGTTTGGCATGTACTTCGCTGTAATAGCGGCTTTGCGGGTTGACGACGGCACTCCCTCCCATAGCGTTTCCGGAGCCATTGAAAACCTTAGTTAGACTTGTGATAGCCACATCTACGTATGGCAGTATATCCACATTAACGAATGTGCCAAGCGTCTCATCGCAAACAACAATGAAGTCGTACTGATCTGCGAGACTTCGGATTCGATGAAGATCGGGAGTTCGAAGGAGCGGATTTGACGGAACTTCACAAAACAAGACGCGGATGCGTGATCCCAACGCGAGTGATGCTTCTAGCTGATCCAGCTCGTCTGTTGTTCCCTGGCTATAGATTTTAAAGCGTTCATAGCCAGAGTTGCTCACGCATTTGGGGGTTTCAGCGTAGGGCCATCTAAACGCAGAATGAGTTTTCCTTCGTCGCAGATTGAACTTGAAGTCTATTTCATGTGCTTACCCAAATACCACTGCTTCCGAAGCGTCTTTTTCTCTGGGACCAGGGCTCGTGCCATGGCAGAAATAGCGGACATCCCGTTTGTGTAAAGAAATACATCTGTTGCCGATGGGGGAGTGAACTCAGGATTATCAGACGCAATCAAGTTCGCAATCCGGTCCCTAATCTCTGTTTTTGCCGCTTGCTCTGCATCTAGCGACTCGAGCATCCGGATAGGTGTCCTGTCAGTGCCAGTGCCAATACCGGTGCTTGTGTAGAACTGCCACGACTTATTACGAGACTCAGAGCACGTATAGAGCCAGAGCTGAAGACAAAACTCCGCATGCCGACTGGAAATCCCGTCGCCAAATATAGACCAGAACTCGCTTGCTTCCACCTTAGCATCAACATCGTATATCACCGCATAGAACCGGTCCCAGTTTGTGCTTATTGGGATAGTAGCCTCGTGGGATATGTAGAAAGATACCACGTCAGTTTGAATGTCCGAGCTATGGTGCTTCTGAAGATACACTATACATCGCCTTGCTGCATGTTTGGAGGAGAACACAAGGCAATGCATCCGTTCCGCTGGGATTGCGCACCGCTCCAGGACAGCGCTGGTTAACTGTTGCACGATGCTACTGACGCCAAACCTGAATTAGTTAGTCGGGATTCCGAGCTCTACCAAGTGATACGTATATTTCACTTACCTTGGATAATTTGCCTGCAGTTTCTCAAGCACCCAATTGTAGCCACGGGGTCGGCCAGGGACCGAGTCCCATGTTGGCAATGATAGGCTAATTGCCTGACCGTATAGTATGCCATTAGTATTGATGATATGAGAATTGAATGGGGAAGTGTATATATATATAGGCTTTACATACATATTTGTCGCCGGGGGGTTGACTCGTCCCTAAAGGAAGCATCCTTGGCGGCGAGATAGCTGGTGTAGACACAGACACAGTCATGGTGTTACAGTTATAGAACTATAATGAAGTCTGTTTACAAGGTCCCCGAATGATCACTGGTGGCTAAGCCGAGAATTGTCGCGTTCTTTATATTTCCATCCAACAATTATAACATTTTTTCGTGTTTTAACTCTGGAGGTTCTGGAGGTCGAACTTTGTACAAAATGCTCAGACGAGGTGATCGAAGACGCAAGAAATTACCAGGTAAATGACGTCCTTCAGCAGAAGAGATCTATGTACCAGGCCTGAAATTTTAATGTATCTAAATTGTTCCAGATCGCTTCGATGGAGTCTGCCAAGGCTTATCTTCAATATGCCACGAACTACGATGGTTCATCAACATTTTTTTTCAGAATCCTACTAACTAATCCCAGAGCTAAATGCGAGTTACAATGTAAGACTCCACTTTGTTTCACCACAAAGCTCACGCTTTAGTTACTCCACAGTGGATTTTATTCTCTAAGACAATCGATTTTATCTGCCCAAAAACTCATAATAAAAGCTCGCCACTGTAAATATCAAGTATTTTGGGGGTTCTTTTTACCGCTAGTAGTACTGATGTACGGGCCATAACATGCCAAGACGGGACGATACAAATTAATCTGGAAAGGATCTACTATAACTCAGTCTTTTGAAGACCTCCCCACCCCCCGCATGGACGTGTTCGTCCGGCAATCGTCCCAATGAAAGATCGGTGAAGAATGATCAGCTATTCTTGGCATTCTCATTCCTAGCGAAGCGGCAATGAAGAACCCACAGCACCAATGACAATACCTACATACCTAGCTCTGTATTAGTATAATTGGGTACGTACGTGGACTTTTCCGTACGAGGTAGGTATCTTCTTTCTCTTTGCAGGAGTATTTAGGCTCAAACTACGCGGTAGGTAGACTGGGGCTAGACAGGCATTCTAAATCTTACAAAAGTCTGGACATCCTTTCCCAATTTTACCTTCATTAAACACCTTTTAGCCAAATATGAAAACAATCGGAATTATTGGCGGACTCTCCTGGCCAAGCACAATCACCTATTACTCAACCATCAATTGTCTGGTCTCATCTAAACTAGGCCCTGATCACTGTGCGGAGCTCATCCTCGTGCAAGCAGATTTCAAAGAGATCTTGCACTGGATACGCACAAAAGAATGGGAGTTGCTTGGCAATAAACTCCTTGCACTGGCCAAGCATTTGGAGAGCAGCGGAGCGGATTTTATCGTCATCGCTTGCAACACGGTCCATAAAGCTTTGCCAATCATTGAGGACAAAATATCCTTGCCAATACTGCACATTGTTGACGCAACGTTAGAGAAGATTCGTCAATTAGGTCTAAAAAGAGTCGGACTTATTGGGAGTCCTCTCACTATGACAGACGAGTATTTTGCCGGGCGGCTTACAGACCACCAGGTTGAAGTTGTGACACCGAGCGAGGAAGATCAGAAGATCATTCACGATGCGTTAAAGAAGGAATTTGTGCAGGGCCTTTTCCTTCCAGAGACACGAGACCGATTCAAGGGGGTGATTAGCCGGTTGGTAGAGGAAGGAGCTCAGGCGGTTATTCTTGGATGTACGGAGTTTGGAAGTCTGCTCAAGGGAGAAGAAAGTCCTGTGCTGCTGATAGATACGGCGATAGTGCATTGTGAGGCTGCTGTGAGCATGATGGCAATTGTCTAGCTCCAAGGCTGCCAACCATATATATAGTTACTAGTACTACTTTAGTATATTGAATGATTGATCAGCATCGCATTGCCCCCCATCCCCAAGCCACTGGACCATCCCCAGCAGCCGCGCTGCAAATCTGAACCTCATCAGGGAGTCCCTTTAGTGAGCCCTCAACTGGCTGCGAGAAGAATGTAGTGGCGATCTCCCTCGGCGCCGGTTTTCCGGCTTGCGATCTGGGAATGTCTTCACCATCAGTCAAAATCCGGAGAAGAGTTGGAAGTTTGAATTCAGACAAAGACGACGAAAGCTCTGCTCTCAATGTGTGTAGCGAGAAACTCGATGAAGCCGTGTTATTGCGGAGACGAACGACTACAGCCACTCGCGATCCTCCAGCAAAAACGTCCAGAATAGGGACCACATAGGCTTCGGAGATACATGGGAGGGCTAGAAGGCTTTCTTCCACCTCAAGGATAGGGACCCTTAGTCCACGGTAGCGGATGACTTCAGCACGATTAGTGAAAAACATTGACATGTTGGGATTTTTTCACGGGCACACTGACAGTCTGGCTTTACTCGTCCCTCAATGACAATACGGCCATCTGCTGTCCGTCTGGCAAGGTCCCCCGTTCGAAAAAATCCGGTATCGTCATTCTTAGTTTCGGTCGCCTCTGGGCTATCCAGATACCTAGGGAAGCCTCCAATTAACTACCGCCCCTTTCACTGTGGATTTATATTGAACATGCTTACATGGCAAATTGAGTAGGGGTCTTGAGAAGCAGTTCGCCTCTGTCAGATTGATCATCTCCCAACTTGAATTCGACCCCTGGAAGCGGTCTTCCAAGATAATGCGACTGTATGATAATATGTTAGCAGCAGAATTCTTGGAACTCATAACTTGCTAGGTCGACTTACCTTGATGGTATCTTCCCCATCAATACAACAACTGAATGCAGCCATACCAAACTCGCTTGCCCCATATTCGACCTCAATCTTCACATCTGGAAGTAGATTCTTCCAAAATCTCTTAATAGAGCTCGGAACCAGCCCACCCGTACACTTCACCCCGCGCAGCCTACGAGCCGCGTCTGCATACGGCTTCCTCTCATGGTCAGGCAACACGGCTATCTTCTCTTCCCAAACCTTTACCATATTACTGAAGAGGCCGGGCACAACCGACACACGGGTGATATCTCCACTGCTAATACGGTTCCAAACAGCATCCGCGTTCGACTTGTAATCAATGATCTCAACACGCACACCCTTCAGCAGCATACCAACTAGTTCTCGAAATCCGCCAATCCAGAAAAATGCGCGCTGCGAGAGAAACACGTCCTTTGCATCGTAATCTGGCTCCGGTTGGGCGTTAAAATTCTGCGCGTATGCATCACGACCTTAGGAGTGCCTGTAGTCCCGGAGGTTAACAAATAGAGAGCAGGGTGATCAGGGGAAATCGCGGCCGGGTCAACAGATGGAACAGTGGCGAAGCTACTATTCTGCTGCGAAGACAAGCTCTGGTCCATTGTGACTGGGATCTGCAGGAGCGACTCATTCACTGAACTATCCGACTGTGTATTGACTATTCTGTGTGCCAGCACCGAGACGGCTGGATCAGAATCAAATAAAATCGCAACTGCTTTGCATTTTCGCAAGAAATAGAGTGCCTCCTCTGCAAGATAACCCGGGCCTATTCTTTGGTTCAGCATAACCATATCAGGTTGTAATGACGGTATAAGGGCCGACTCACTCAACGTAAGATGATGCCTCCCAGTGCAAAAATAGCAATACAAGCCACGAGAAATTTATACCCACTGCGTGCGATGACAGCAATACAGATTCCATTGCCCGCTGAGCTTAATGTCCCATTTCTATCCAGCAAACCAGGTGGGAGTCGGTGCCGGAGTGATTGACATAGATTGTTCACGTCATGTAGAAGTTGAAGGTAGCTGAACTGTGCTGAAATGGTATTATCGTTGATGATAGCCAAATTCCCGAGTTGTTTAGCTCTAGCGAGCAGTTTGGTGAAAAATGGGTCGCTTGGGAAATTGATTTGGGCACCTGCAGTGTTACTGACTTCGACATTTCCTGCATTCAACACAGAATTTGCGTATACCCTTGTCATATTGTAAATCAATTTTTTGTCCTCTAATCTGTTGCTGGACAGGCTGATCGATGCTAGCAAGAAGGGGGGTATTCGCGCTCATTCATGAATGGATATTTATAAGTAGTACCCTGGTACTGTAATACGAGGAAGATCATTTCCAACCTTCCACCCTAAAGTAATTTAGGACTTGTAATCTCATTGGCTTTGATTCACGCGGCTAAGGCAAGAGGTGCGCAATTTAATTGCAGACTAGGATACAACAAGATCCACCTGGAGTACCACTAGCGAGATCTCGATCTTCCTGCATGTATAGAATACGCTGTGTATGTCCATGTATGGTTCCGAGGCCGTATTGAGGAATTCCTTACTCCATACTCATTTAACACCACCGTCGTGCATCGAAGCTGACTCCCAAAAACGAGTAAATTACCCAGTGATGGCTTTGACACTTTGGGCAAGCCTGGACCTGGGTATTGTCCATGAAACTACGGTAACAGCCCTACAGTGGTGCGTCATAAGTCTGTGACCCCCCGATACACCGCCCACCATGCCGCCTTCCTATTATAGTATAGTGTACCTACACGTCCACGCCGCCCATGCGTAAAATAATCAATATCATGGCTTTTTTTATTATTAGAGCAACTTTCAGGGACTATGCCACATTGTGTACAAGTAATTATTGACTCCAATGGTTAGTATGCTAAATATTAGTTAGAAATTTGATATTTTCATGAGGTTTAATCAGGCAGAATTAGTATGGCAGAAAAGGGCGGTGTATAAGGGGGTCACAGACTTATGGCGCACCACTGTACATCCATATTATATACTATCATGTATAATTCATCAATTGATACTATTCTTCAAAGCTTCCTAAATTTCTGCAGGTGCTATATAGTATCAAAATACAGTACAATACTGTTTTCAAAATATTAATTACGGCTAAAACTTGTGCAGAAAGGCTACATACAATACCGTGACAGTATTAGGCTAAACCACATACAGAACTCCCCAATAAATTTCTATACGAGACACCTGGGACATGCAGTAGACCTTTAAGGCTTATAGGTATTATAGTCACATTTCTTAGTTATTTCCAGATTGCACAAAATGAAACATGCTAAGTAGTGACTGCTACTATCCGACCTTGTGAGTCAAAAATGCTGGATACAGCCGCTACCCAGAGAGCCACGTTTGAAGCTTCATTTTAACCAATTTGAGGTCCCAATATTATCACCATTGAAACAGACTTGCTTGTTCCCTCTGGATTGAATTCAAGGTTTTGGAATGACCTTGATCTTCACCCCCTCGCTACCCTCTTTCACGTATGCGATGCCTCCATCGCCGACACACTCAATATCAGTTCGATCCGTATCTTCTAGTATCAGTACACCGGTGTCGAGTTTGTCAGACACCTCACTGGATCCGTAACGGCTAAAGATGGCAGCGAGCATCATCTTCATTTCTGCCGTCGCTAATGTGATACCTGGACAAGCTCGAGATCCTTTGCTAAAGGCTACTTGATACTTATCCAATCCTGGTGTCTCCATCCAGCGCTCAGGCCTAAAAGCGTAAGGGTCCGGGAACGTCTTTTCATGTCGCATCAAGAGTGGCTGCGACATAGTGACTGGGGTTCTGGGAGGGATGGTCCACACCTTGCCCGTATTGGAATCAGTGTAAATAATGTCTGATTCCGGTGAGATTCGAGGAGATCTTCTTGACGGGCCGACTCCAATTCTGATTGATTCTTGAATGACTGCCTGAATATAAGGGAGTTTTTCTAAAGCCGCGAGATCGTAAGACTCGTCGCTAGCGGTATGATTAACGGATGCGGATCGAAGCTCGTCTTTCAACTTCCTCAGTGTTGTCGGGTGTGTAAGTAACAGGAATGTCGCTGAGGTTAAAGCCCATGCCGTGCTGACAGTGGCTGCTGAAACCATGAGGCCACCTTCCTGAGCAAGCCGCTCAAAGGACTTTTCCGATGGCGGTAGACGACTGGCGAGGATTTGCTCAAACAGATTCTTTTGGATACCATCTTTCTTTTCATCCAGAGGTGTTTGTAATGCCTCTTTTGTCTGTATGTGGATTTGTCTTTGGGCCGCAATAAAGCTGGCCATACCGCCACCGTTCATGAATATGCGGAGGACTCGCGCTGGTGTGTAGTGGGCGACTACTCTGGCCGTTTTCATGATCCAAGGTAGATGAAAATGAAAAGCCATCTTGTGAAAACCTGCTTCGATTGCGTTGTGAAAATTGAAATCAAAATCAGGGCTCTCTACTTTATTCTGATGCTTGCCGAAAAAGTATTTCATCGCGACATCTGTTTCTAGCATGAGAATATATCTCCACATTTCATCCGACGATATCATGATCATGATCATGGGGGTATACTAACCGGCTGTAAATGCTGCATATCCGAGCTTCATATTCAAAGTCTCTCCTTGCTCACCAGCCTGATGAATACGAGACATCAGCATATCGACACGTTCTTGGATGACATGTTGAAGAGTGTATATGCGCTGCTGAGCAAACATGGGGATCATGGCGCTCCTTCGTTTGCGATGAAGATCGTGGTCGACTGTAACGACGGTGGACACATCTGTCCCAAATCCAACACGGCTTTCGTCCCAAATCTCACGCTTCTCGTTACGAGTATAGATTGTGTCGTAGAATTCTGGCGAGTCAATGTGGATTTCTCGGGGATTGATGCGCACAATTGGGCCATATCTCCTGTGCATGTCTCGAATGCGCCAAATATACTGACCCCGTTGGATGCAGTCATAATAAAACTCGTACCTATGACCCAATATAAGATGGTTTGTCCGATTTTGACGGGAATTTTTATTGTCTCACCAGTAAGTCACTGCGGCCAACTTTGGTCCTGGAAATTTCGAGATTGGATCCAGCAGCAGGCGATAAAAGCAAACATTGGCAACATAAAGAAACCAACTTGCCAGAAGGATACAGGCAATAGAAAAGTAGGTTATCTGAGGCATAATAACTCCGTAGTCATGTATGTTACTATTCATTCTGGGGTCCGAATGCGTGTAGTGTAGACTAGACCTGTGAAGATTCGACCTGAAAGAGCGGTTGACGACAACATTACGCCCTCTCGAGAAAAAGTAATAAGTTAACAATGCCGTAAACACTTCACAAATTGACACCTGTGTACCTTTCCTCATTCTGAACACCAGATTTTGGTGTTCAGCCTAGCATATTGCCGAGCGTGGCCATTGATTGTCGCCGAGCGCGGTCCGTCCACCGGCCAAAAGATTTTGGGGCCAAATTCGGCGAGTTTCTACTGCGGTACTCCTCTAACCACACAACCGGGACCAGTATGCATATGCACACGTGGTGACAAGCCGGCGGCATGCTGCGGCGCGGCCCGGAACACATGGAATGTGCCACATGCGAATCCACCGAGACCGTTAGCAAGTCAAGACCAGCGATCACCGCGATCGGCTACAAGCAGATGAGCAGTGAACAAGCAGCCCTGATGAGGCACAACTTTCAAGCAGGCATGGAGGATGATTTATTTGACAACTCCGTCTCCTCGCGTCGATTTCTCATGGTTCTATCTATGGTTTGGCTCCTTGACCCTCATTTTTAATTTATATCCTTAAAACAATTGCCCGGGGACAAAGCTGCAAAGCTGCAAAGCTTCAACCAACCTCCCTCAAATCCCAGACGAATATCTAGCCGGTAAAATGGAGTATTCTTCTGTTCCACCTATCGCCATTATTGGCATGAGCGGACGCTATCCTGGCGACGCTAGCTCCCCAGAAAAGCTTTGGGAAATGATCGCCAATGCTCGAAGTGCGCGCAGCGAGGTGCCCGCCGATCGATTCAATATCGATGCCTTCTACCACCCTTACCCAGAGCGTGGTGGTACCTTGAACTCAAGAGGTGGTCACTTTATGCAACATACCCCTGTCGACGCTTTTGATGCGCCTTTCTTTTCTATAACCGCCAATGAAGCCCAGGCCATGGACCCACAACAACGATGGTCTTTGGAGTGCACTTACGAAGCCATTGAGAATGCCGGATTGCGAGTCGATAATCTCGCCGGCTCTGACACATCTGTGTATGTCGGAACTTTTACGAAGGACTATTCGGAGTTGCTCTCAGCTGATACAGAAGATGTGCCTATCCACTACGGCACTGGAACCGGAACAGCCATTGTCAGCAATCGAGTTTCTTGGTTCTTCGATCTTCGCGGCCCTTCTGTTTCAATGGATACCGGATGTTCCAGTTCTCTCGTGGCGCTCCACATGGCCTGTCAAGGCCTAAGGACTGGGGAGTCTAAAATCTCGATTGTGGGAGGCGTTAATTTGATTCTTCTTCCCGGCATGATGACCGCCATGTCTAATCAGCATTTCTTAAGCCCTGATGATACCTGCCACTCTTTTGATGCTGCTGCAAATGGCTACTCGCGTGGTGAGGGCGCCTCTTTTGTTATTTTAAAAAGACTGGACAAGGCACTGGCCGACGGAGACATCATTCGAGGTGTCATCCGCAACACAGCTTTGAACCAGGATGGAAAAACCCCTGGTATTACGGTACCTTCAGCCACTTCCCAAGAAGCTCTAATTCGACGGTGCTACTCTGAAGCTGGGCTGCGCCTAGATGAAACATCCTATGTCGAAGCCCACGGAACAGGCACACCCGTAGGTGACCCGCAGGAAGCAGCCGCTTTAGCCCGATCTCTGGGAGTGTCACATACCTCCGACGATCCACTCTTGATAGGCTCAATCAAAACGAATATAGGACATCTTGAAGGCGCTTCTGGTATGGTCCAAGTTCAAAAGGCCATCTTCTCATTAGAAAAGGGCTTATTGGCGCCAACACTTTGGTTTGAGAATCCCAATCCTCGAATCCCTTTCAGCAAATGGAATCTCCAAGTTGTGAGTAAACTCAGGCCATTCCCTCAGAAACACGCAATTCGGAGAGTGAGCGTGAACAGCTTCGGATATGGAGGCACGAATGCCCACTGCATTATCGATTCCGCGGAAGATTATCTGCAAGTTAATGGATTGATGGGACACCATAATTCCGCTGCTAGACCCATTGATTATTCAAGCTCCAGTGATTCCGGTTTTGAGAGTGAAGGCTCGCTTAACGAATGGAATGAGCTGCGTAAGCAGTTTGGAAACGCACCGAAGCTAGCAATATGGTCATCGAACGAGCAGTCGGGCATCCAAAGATCTGCGCAGCAGCTTGCGGAATACCTTAAGAAAAATTCCGAGAGCAAGGAAGCTGAACATCCAGCAAAATTCAAACGATTATTACACACTCTTGCTTCACGACGCAGTCTATTTCCTTGGCGCTCTTTTGCCCTTGGTGACAATATGCAGCAATTGAGCCAAACCATTATCAGTCCAACTGTGAATCCCAAGCGAGCCATCAAACCAGCTAAGCTAGCTTTTGTATTCACTGGTCAGGGTGCGCAATGGTACGCCATGGGCCGCCAGTTATGTGCTTTCCGCAGCTTCTGGCGCAGCCTTGTTGCCAGCAACAACTACTTGATATCATTTGGATGTGAATGGTCTCTCTTAGATGAATTCTTCTCTGATGAGGACAAATCTCGAATCGAACAATCGGAGTTCAGTCAACCAATGTGTACAGCGCTACAAGTGGCTTTACTTGATCTGTTCAATACTTGGGGTATTTCTCCAGGAAAGGTTATCGGCCACTCTTCAGGAGAAATTGGAGCCGCCTATGCCATTGGCGCTATCACACATGAGCAAGCCATCAAGCTTTCATATCATCGCGGACGGCTGTGTGCCATGATAGACCATCAAAAAACGACACAGGCTTGTGGAATGATGGCTGTAGGTCATGGTGTTCAAGCTATGCAGCCGTATCTCTCCGGTACACCCACCACAGAGGCAGTTGTTGCTTGCATAAATAGCCCTGACAGTGTAACAATATCGGGAACAGACGACACTTTGAAGAAAATACAGCAGCGTTTGGAGGAGCAAGGAGTCTTTGCTAGACGACTGAAAGTTAAGACAGCGTATCACTCGCCTCACATGAACGTTATCGCCAATGAATATTTATCCGCAATTCAAGACGTGCAACCGAAGAAATGCACCGACTCCTCCGCCGTGATGTTCTCATCTGTCACTGGAAAACTCATACAGGCTGAAGATTTGGTTCCATTTTACTGGGTTCGTAATTTGACGAGTCCTGTCGACTTTTCTGGTGCCGCACGCGCTCTACTTCGTTATCAGCCAGGATCTAAATTGGAGGCAAAAAAGCCATCAGTCACAGCATTCCTGGAGATAGGCCCTCATGGTGCTCTTCAGGGGCCTCTAAGGCAAATTCTTAGTGCCCAGGGTGGCAAATTTTCAGATGTCCAATCTCTATCTGCTTTAGATCGCAAGAAAGATGCTTCTATCAGTGCAGTGGAGTCTGCCGGGATGTTGTTCCAATCTGGTTTCCCTGTTCAAGTGCAAGAAATTAACGAGACCTCTGACACGGATGGCTTCCTCGTTGACCTTCCTTCATTCGCATGGAACCGCAACAACCGTTACTGGCCCGAGTCCGACCCCTCCAAGGAACATCGCTTTCGAAAGCATCCCAGAACTGATCTGCTTGGAGTTCAACTATTAGGGACGACTGAGTTGGAGCCGATGTACCGAAATATTCTCAAGCAAAGCGAGATACCTTGGCTGGAGAATCACAAAGTTCAAGGGACTATCTTATATCCTGCCGCTGGCATGTTGGTCCTAGCGATTGAGGGTGCTCGTCGCCATACTGATGAGACCCGTGAGGTCGCTGGCTTTGAGATCAGGGATGTCATTATTGGTAAAGCTGTTGTGATTCCCGAAAATAACTCCGGCTCTCACATTATGTTGTCCATGCGACCCTGGCGCCAGTCGACGCGGGATCTGTCATCGACGTGGAGCGAGTTCAAAGTGCACTCCCGAAATGATGATGAATGGGAAGTCAACTGCACAGGTCTTATAAGAGCCAAATACAAGTCAACTACGAATGACTTGTTCTACGACGAAGCATCTCATGTGGAAGAGTCGCACCGACAGCACTTTGCCGCCATCCAGGAGAATTGCACGGTAGATGTTAATGTTGAAAACCACTACAGCCATATGAAAACAATTGGCTTGGACTTCACTGGAGCTTTCAAGAGTCTAACCAAAATCCGACGTGGAGACAATATGTCCAACTGTCAGGTCACAGTTCACGACACAAAGTCTATGATGCCGCATGAGTTTGAATTCCCGCACGTCGTCCACCCGAGTACACTTGACTGCATTATCCAAAGTGGCCTCGCAGGTTCGACAAATGTTGGGGAAGACCTAACTGTTGCATTGATTCCAACCGCTATTGAGCATATGTATGTTTCGGTCGATATATCATCTCAACCTGGCACCAAACTAGACGTGGCAACCAAAGTCGTTCGCCAGGGTGCGCAAGATGATGCTCGAGGAAACATGTACGTCTTCCAAAACGACAAGAAAGAGCCGGTTCTGGACATGTCAGGTGTCAAGTGCACAGCATTGCGCCACGGAGAGTTAGGTCTTGCCCAGGCACAGGTCACCCGGAAGCTTGCCGCGCGTGTGGAGTGGCGAGAAGCGCTCGAATGGCTTGATAGTACTAGACTGGGAGACATGTGCAAAGAATCTATGCATATGTTAGGTTCGGTTGACCGGGTACACATAGCAAACATGGAGCTGGCTGCTTGGATCTACATGCGACGCGTCTTACAAACATGCTCCCCCGAGGATGCTGAAAGCTTCGCTCCTCATTTCCGCAAGTTCTACGCTCTTATGCAAAATACCGAGCGTCGCGTGCTGGAAGAGCGGGTTCCTCACCAAGCCGGTGATCCCAAGTGGTTGCAGACTGACCATGACTCTGAAAAAGACTTCCTACACAGAATTTCCAACAGTGGTCCCGATGGTGCGGCTTTGTGCGCACACGGTGAAAGCTTGGTGCCGATCATGCGCGGCGAACGGCTCGCTATCGAAGTCCTCAGCCAGAACGACTATCTCAACAACTTCTACCAGTATGGGCTTGGCTATGATCGCATATATGCCCAGCTGGCGAGCTACATTGGATTACTGGGTCATCAACGCCCGCACATGAAGATTCTGGAGATTGGAGGAGGTACAGGTGGTGCGACACTGCCAATTCTTCAGGAGCTCACTCAAGATAAAGGAGCACCGAGATTCGCGACATACACATTTACAGATATCAGTACTGGATTTTTCGAAAAAGCCGAGCTGAAATTCAAGCCGTGGCTACCTTTCATGAAGTTCAACAAATTCGATGTGGAGAGCGATCCTGCATCACAAGGTCTCAAATTGAGTGACTTCGACGTTGTTGTAGCAGCCAACAGCATTCACGCCACATCTTCCATGGAACGTACTCTCGGGCATGTGCGGTCGCTGATGAAGCCCGGGGCAAAGTTGATCTTGGTCGAAATCACCAATCCCCTATTGCGCATGCACATGACTGTGGGCTCTTTTGACGGTTGGTGGGCTGGCGCTGATGATAGCCGAGAATGGGGACCTACCATGACCGAGGACGAATGGAATGTGCGCCTGAAAAGCAATGGTTTCAGCGGTGTTGAGCTCGCATGTCAAGATTTCCAAGACTTGGACGATCAAATGTACTCCTTGGTGGTGTCTACGGCTGTTGACAAAATACCGGCTCTGGTCTCAGTGCCCAAGCAAGTCGTGATTGTGCAACCAAAGAACGTGACGTCTGAGGTCGATTCCTCTTTGACGAAGCTCGCCAATAGCATGCGTATTGCGGGAGCTACTGTTAATGTCAACAGTATTGATAACCTCGGAAAGACTGAAGTTAATGGGAAAGTCGTCCTCTTTGCTCTTGGACTGAACAGCTATGGCGAGCTTGATAGCATTGATGAGACAGGCTGGGAGGCACTCAAGCACAGTGTGCTACAAGCGTCCTCGTCAACTTGGCTTTCCCGTGGAGCGTGTGTCGAGACCCAGAATCCCAATGGAAGTTTGATGACAGGCATGGCTCGATGTATTAGAGCCGAAAATCCGTCTGTGGCTTTGACGACAATTGATCTGGACCCAATTTCGCCGCTGGATGATGAAAAGTCCCTTGCTTTACTCTTCGACGTTTTCTCGAACTCTTGCAACTCGATCAACACTACGGATCCTGATTGGGAGTACGCTATCCGAAATAACACAGTTCTTACACCGCGCTTGTTTCTAGAGTCAGGAATGAACGAATGGATCTCAACTCTATGGACTGAGCCCCAGGCGGAACATATGACTTTCAAGCAACTCGGTCGTAACTTACGTCTGAAAGCGTCAACCCCCGGCCAACTCCACACTCTTTGCTTCGAAGATGATCATGCCAGCGAACAGAGCCTGGGTCTGGACGAGGTCGAAATTGAAGTAAAAGCCGTGGGCCTCAACTTCAAAGATGTCATGATCGCTATGGGTCAACTGACAAATATGCCACTGGGTCTGGAGTGCAGTGGAATTGTTCATCGTATTGGATCCAATGTTACCAATGTCTGTATCGGTGATCGCGTGACAACTTGGACTCTCAGTGGTACCTTCAAGAATTATGTGCGAACAGCGTCAATCATGTGTGCGATTATTCCAGACGCTTTATCATATGAAATAGCAGCATCTCTGCCCATCGTTTACAGCACCGCCTATTATTCGTTGTTTGAAGCGGCGAGAATCAAGCGGGGCGAAAGCATTCTCATACATGGTATGTATCTGACTTTATGGGCATAAAATGCGGACATCCACTAACAAAAAAACTTTTAGCTGCCGCTGGTGGTCTTGGACAGGCCACTATCAACATTGCAAAACACGTGGGCGCTGAGATATTCGCTACTGTTTCATCCCGCGAGAAGAAGAATCTACTTATGCAACGTTTCGGAATCTCCGAGCAAAACATTTTCAGCAGCCGTGACAACGAATTTCTCAAGGGTGTGATGAGAGTCACACGGGGTCGTGGTGTAGATATTGTCATAAACTCGCTGGCACGCGATGCTTTGCAAGATTCACTCAAGTGCTTGAAGCCATTCGGTCGATTTTTGGAATTGGGTCAGAAAGACATAGGTAATTTTTCATCCGTTGCCCTCTCTAGAAGCCAATGTACTAACGGTGATTTATTTTACAGAGAGCAACACTGGTCTGGGGATGGTGCCGTTCTTGAAAAACTTGAGCTTCCATGCCATCAACATGATCATGGTGCAGCAATATACCCTGCAAACCAGTTCTATGGTATTCCAAGCTGTTATGGAGCTATTCAACCGAGGAATGCTAAGTCCTATATTGCCTACCACAGCTTTTCCCATTTCGGATTTAGAGAAGGGCTTCCGTTCATTGCAAACTGGTCAACACATGGGCAAAGTAGTTTTTACTATTCAAGACAGTGACATGGTCCCCGTTATACCGCCCAAAATACCTACCATCCAGCTCGACTCTTCATCCACTTACTTAATCAGCGGTGGCCTTGGAGGTATTGGAAGAAGTATTGCCACTTGGATGGTTGAAGCAGGTGCACGCAACATAGTATTTCTCTCCAGATCTGGAACGAGCAAGCCAGCTGCTCGAGAAACCATCGCTATTCTGGAAGCCGCAGGTGCTAGAACAAAGGTCTACTCTTGTGACTGCGGGGATGCTCAGCAAATGCGCGATGCTATGCAGCTTTGTAGCGAGGAATTCCCACCCATTAAAGGTGTTATTCAGGCAGCTATGGTACTAAAGGTATGTTATCACTAGAGGACAGAGCATGGTAATTACGTACTAACCACATCGTTCTACCAGGACTCCCTGTTTGAAAACATGGATGTCAACCAGTTCCACGAAGCTTTGCATCCAAAGGTCCAAGGCTCACGCAATCTCCACGACCTTGTACCTGGATCCGAATCTCTCGATTTTTTTATCATGCTGGCTTCGTCCGCCGGAATCGCAGGCTCTCGAGGACAATGTAACTACGCTGCCGGAAACGCCTATCAAGACGCCCTCGCGACGCATCGCCGAGCACGAGGCCTGCGTGCGACCTCGCTAGACCTGGGTGTAATTCTTGACGTCGGCCTCATTGCCGAGCTCTTGGCTGAAGGTAGTAACAAAGACGTCGCGGAAAATATTGCGCGCTGGAAGTACGCTGGTCTCTATGAAAAGGAAGTATTGGCAATGCTGCAAGCTGCTATGACGCAGCAGACACTTCACTCACGTACACTTCCGCCGCAGCTCATCACTGGACTTGGTACTGGTGGCATGGCTGACGTTGCAGGCGTTCCCATCCCTTGGTGGCTCATGGATGCTAAGTTTGCGCACATCCGCACGGTGGATACTCATCGCAAAGTCGACGAGTCATCCGATGATACACAGGGCGTGCAGGCGCTCATATCACAAGCCACGACTCTCGAAGATGCGACCGGAATCGTGAGTATTGGATTAGTGCGCAAACTCGCAAAAATGCTTATGGTAGACGTCGAAGACATCGAACCTGAGAAGCCCATTACACGATACGGTATCGATAGTCTGCTAGCTGTCGAGCTACGAAGTTGGATATTTATGGATATTCAAGCTGATGTATCTGTGTTTCAACTCATGTCTAACGTGCCGATCACTGAGTTGGCCAGGCAGATTGCTGTCAAGAGCAAATGTCTGCCACGGGAACTGCACGATCAAACAGTGTCAACTTGATTCAAATACTAAGAGAATCATCCAGCTACCAGTCCCAAATTACGCCTAAAGAATTCATGGAACTTGAATGGTCATAGAGTTTTGGATGGTGTATGGATTCCAAATTGTATTTACCATCTAAGATCCTGTTTTCAAGATCGACATGAATAAACATCACAATTTCTACACATGTACAACTACGGCTACTCTATGTAGTCTCCACTTTCCTGTATACTAGGGCGCCATTGAAGCCCATGCTTATAGCTAAATGTGCAGGCCTCACATATAAAAGAGGCAAACGGCATGACGAATTCTCGCCCATATCACGTCACCGGTGATTGGTGTTTTGGAGTTCAAGCCGGGATCAAGGAAAGTTGAATTTGCTCTCAAATTATAGCTCCTGTAAACATCTATACGAACCCAGCAGAAACCTACGGCTGAAAACTATTAGCATCTCGGCCTGCGCAGTGGGTAATTTCGAACAAAAAGCTTTTTACTAGCGATTGAACGATTATTGATTATCAAATACGAATTTCAACTTGAAGGTCAAGATGTTAGAGATGAATTTATTAGATAGTAAAGCTGACCTTCTTTCTGCGACGAATAAAATAGACAGAGGGCTAAAATGGGTTGTTGATTGTCGCGAAATTTGTAGCAGGTACATGTAGTTGATGGCTCAGTATAATTCACTAAGGTATTTCGGCTTGCCATATTTCGTATATGACATGGTAGTTTATATTGAAATTGTTATTTCGAATCGTACGCGTCATATAGGCTTTTCAAACACCGATCACGGGCTCCTTGTCGAGAGGTAGTCAAGTGCTGCAGCTTTCTCATGCTTGAGCATTCGCTTCGCCAGGGCTGTTGTTATAAGCGCCATGACTGCTCCCCAAGCAAATGGAAGAGCCCAGCCTGCAGAGTTTTAGTAAAACCTATGATAGTTTAGGGACAGGACAATTATATACTCACCCAAAGCAAAACCAATATCATGATTTTCCAAGCCGAAGACTACGCCCCAGACGATAGCAACAACCGATAGGCCACTAGCAGCCCACATGCGCTCTATCTGTGACAAAAAATGTCGAAATAGGGGGCTAGATAAATAGCGATCATTCCATGCCTGTCGCCAAGCTCTGCCTTGTTTACCATCAACCGCTACTACATCCTCCACGATAACATAAACACCTGGGCGTATTTTATCTCCTTTCTGCAAGGACGACATTCGAAAAGGGACTTTGACATCAATAGCCAGTAGTACTTCTGCGATAACCATCTGCCCTGAGACCCAGAGAACCAAGATTGAGAGTGGCAAAGAGACAATTTGGAGATTCTCAGTAGTGATACCGCTCGTAATTAGCGCAGTGAGTACACAGAATGTAAACACGAAGTTCCAGAAAAAATAGTCAAAAGCCCAGCGATTTTGCTGGCCTAATGGACGACAGTCGGAGTCACTTCTCCATAACGCCCAAGCACGAATTAAGAAGGCAAGCAGTGATACGCCTCCCATAATTGAGAGGAAAATACTCAAAATGATCGTCAACGAGAGCGAAGTGGCATAATATAAAGCAAAGTAGCCGATTATCGGTAAGAAACATGATGTAAGAACTATCGGCATCCAATATAGAGCGATAGGTAACTTATGTTCAGTGAGGTTGAGGGGAAGAGACGATATTTTTGCGGACGTCGCTAGCCTGTCCTGGTGGTGGCTATGGTCGTGCATGGCCACGGTCGTGTCCGCGGGTTGTAGTACCGAGCTCGAATTTACCTCAGATGTGGAAGACATGTTGAGGGCAGGTGTGGATGTGTATTTAGAAGAAACAAGAATATAAGACAGCAAGAAGAATAGAATAAAGTAGTTTTAAGGTAGCAGATTAGGGTCCTCCAAAGCTATTTTCCTTGTTCCTTGGAAAAGCCTCACGATCCACACGGCTCGCGCCGCGCCAATATGTCGCCGAACATGATTGTCAAATCGCCGAAGTAGGGGGATCGTCAATTTTTTTTCCCCACGCAGAGGAGAAATATTCAAGATAAAGGAACAAGAACATGCCTTGGCGACAATGGCCGCTCAGCATTCACCCACATCGCCTCATCCATCGTCATGCGTTTCTTGTGTCTCCATGGCATGGGGACGAGCTCCGACATCTTCTCCTCGCAACTAGGTGTCATTATCGCCGATCTAGAGCGCCTAGGCCATGAATTCGTCTTTGTCGATGGATTGCATGAGTGTAATACGTCTTCCGGTATGTCCATTCTCCAGCCAATCTTTGAGTGGATCGATCGATCGATCGATCGATCGACATATTCTGAAAGATTGGCAACGTCATCAACTAATTTATCCCAGATGTGGCTGCTGTCTATCCGGGGCCGTACCTGTGCTACTATCCCCTTCCGACTCCTGAATTAGTCCGCGCTGCCCACGAACAAATTTTTGATGCTATCGCTGAAGAAGGTCCTATCGATGCTATCATATCCTTTTCGCAAGGCGCAGCTCTAGCTGCATCTATACTCCTTCAAGATGCGAAGGAGAAGCCACACGAGGATATGATTGGATTGGCCGTTTTCATTTCGGCTAGTCTACCGTTCGATCTAGACGACGAGACGGGCGCAGATATCTGGCGATCGACTCAAGACAGCGCCAAGCGTTCCCTCGCCGCAGTGTCGGACCCTTTAGCATCATCACAGAACTTCGCCAAACAAGTCCCTACTGGAAACGTTCGACCGGGAGAATCTTGCGGCGAGTTGAGCTTCGATAACGCGCCAGGTATTCCAGATGACCCATACAATTTCGACGGACAATTGCTTCGGCGCTATCACCCAATGGAACTCCCTTTTGGCATGCAGATACAAATTCCCAGTCTACATATTTTCGGGAACAATGACCCGTATGTGGGACAGGCGCGATTGCTCGTGGAGCTTTGTGATGAGAGAATGAGGAGTTCAATAACCCATTCTGAAGGGCATTCGGTCCCGAGAGGTGCTACATTTCGACAGAAAGTGGTGAAGGCTATCTCAAGTAAGGCAGATGGCGCGAGCTTTCATAGGCATTAACTTCAGAAAATTTAATTGAGATACGCTTTCGCTCAACTGAGTTGTCGTCTATTATAACTTATAATTGCGAGGATCAAGCGAGTCGCAGCGTGGTGAAAGGAACAAGCCATTTCTCTACAAAAGAGTGATCCTTAGGGCAATGACTGGTATTTATGGCCATCAAATTCTGGTAGAACAACGTACAACTTAAAAGAACTAATCTTAATGAGTAGCCCAATGCCATTTGGCATATACTCAGTATCACCACAGACCCAACCATCCCCACTAAAAGAGGAGCAAAGAGTTTTATATTACCTTTTCCCTTTTCATTTCCTGTGTGGGCCATACTCACATTATTTGAAAGCGCTCATCAAGATTCTATGACAGTGGATCGACTTGCGGCCTTTCTATTGATGTTACTTCAAGCCACTGAAATCAAACAAGCCCAGGAAGATGGAGTGAACCCTGCTTCTCGGAACGAACCCATCCAAGAACCAAACCGTCCAACTCTGCTTCCCCTCCCACACCCAAAGCGGCGGCTTGGCTAGAAGTAGCTGCGGCACGATTGTCGCAGCGAATTGATCGGCCGGCGTAGCGTCGCCCTGGGAATGCTCTACGCGTCTGGCGTACTCTTCCTCCATGGGCTTGTAGAGAGAATCAGGTTTCAAGGTTCGCTTAATGCGTGATAGTCGTGACTGCACCCTCCCGCTCACGACAATCGTGACTTTAACTCCAAAGGGAGCGAGTTCAACCCTGAGTGTATTGCTGTAGGCGTGTATGGCTGCTTTGGATGCATTATATACACCTGTTGGGATATACATTAGTGACGGGTTAAAGGTCTCAGAGGTGTAAGTGCGCACTAGAGAAAGGATATGGTCTATTGAATGCCTGCTGTCAGCCCTTAATCACCTTGTTTAATATCTCAGATGGAGGTCAAATAACATACATTAGAGCCGCTGCACTGCCAATTTGTACAATCGTCCCCTTAGCAGCAATCAGAAGTGGCGCAAAAGTCTGACACATTCGCATCACTGCGACCGTATTGGTTTGGAGTACATCGTTTACGTCGTCGAAATCGACATCAAGCGCGGGCACGGTGTAATTGCGCCCAGCATTGTTGATTAGCATGTCCAGTCGGCCATTTGTAATCTTCTCTACTTCGCGAAGAAGCCCTGCGATGCTGTCGACGTTGTTCAACTCTAATGATAGAGATTGAATTCCTAGACTGGAGAGAGTTTGAATCGATTCAATTGATCGTGCTGTAGCAAGCACACGGAAACCTAGCTCTGCGGATCAGCCGGCGCACTAGGTTTGCGCAGATAAGCTCAGTTTGAACAAACCTTTCTCGTGCATTTGTTTGGCTATTTCATAGCCAATCCCACCAGGGCTGCATCTAAGATTGGTCAGCCGAATACTCCAACATTTGAATTCTTGTAGCAAATAGTCATACCCCGTAATAAGCACAGTCTTTCTAGCGGTGGCCATCTTGCACTAGGTGATCTTCTGATGTAAGATAAACACGTAAAACTGACAAGGTCTGACCGACCCAACGATTGATAACTCGTGATTCCCTCTTTTTGTGATACGGTTTTCTAGCCCTTTTGCGGATGATGCAAAAGCAATCTCAAGAATCGGAGACATACATGTAAGCCTCGGCGACATTTGGACCGGAAGTCTAGGGAATGTCGCCGCCTCCGAGACATGGGCATGCCAACAAAAATTCTTGAACATCGCGGCGCCCAAGCTATGTGTAGGCAGGAATCCTATGAACGTCAGATGTATGTCTGTAATGATACTGGAGCTTTCAACTGTAATTCTTAACACGTAAAAGGAATTCCCTCGAGAGTATCGGTACCACGATATCTAGACTTCAGTAATACTGAGGAGTCTTTGGCCCATATAACGCTGATGAAGTAGTTTGAAGAAAGTACGTAGCTAACTTAATATACACGAAGCTTCTAAATAAACATTTCCTTTAGACCACTTGCCACTCTACTAATGGCCTCCGATCTGGTCTTTGAATAAATTCTCGACCATCCGCAATACATCGTAAGCATCTAGGCTGATGTGCTGTTTCCAACCGGCCAGTATTCACCAACCCATTCTTTATTCAATCCTAGTGTTCTGAAGATTTGCATTCTTGTCCGTTAAACAATATGTTTTATCGCAGGAATCTGAGGTGGAATTGTGCGATATCTCCAAATCGTTAACTCATGGTTATATGTTGGATCTCACGCCGAACGTGATCCTTTGTATCTCTCGTTCCTTGCAGCATGTTCGTCGTCTTTGGCATACTCTGGCATGATGGAAGGTGGAAGTACTTCTCGAAAACAGTCAATTGGTATTCCATGCATGCTAGTAGGGCGAGCCGATCAGTTTTATCCGTCATTGAGAGTACACCCTCTCGATTATCTCTATCTTCATGTAAACGACTTGCACCATCGTGTGAGTTTTTCCTTTTTAAAGGCGTAGCTTCTTCGTTAGGAGAGTTGCAAAATGATCGGAAAAGACATAGAGTAATTGCCACGGCTGTTGTCATTAGGCTCCACAGCTTGATATCGGCGACGGGATCAAGCTTCGGCTCTGGTCGAGATATCTCGGAAAACAAAACATCGCACAGTGTATTCACAAATGATACCAATCTCTTGCCATCGGAAATTGTGGATGTTCTTACTGCGATAGAGGAGATAAGCTCGCTTTGAAGTTCGAACAAAATTGCTGTTAATCGCTGCGAGGCTTGTACTGTGAATTTTCCACCCAAGGAATGTGTTTTGTCGTCGGATATTTCGTCGCAAGATTTCTCAGTCAATCCAGGATTTAAAGTCGTTGTGGATTTTCCATTATTATTCAGTTGGAGATCCTTTGAGGGGTTGGAATGGAGGGGATCATTAAGCCCAATCTCGTTCGCTATGGACAAGGAAGATACAGTCAAATCGCTGTTCATGAAGTAGTCTGTAATGCCGTCTTGATCCATTTGACCTATAGACCAGGGCGTGAGCTCGGGACCCATTGTCGAATTTCCGTGATTCTCTGACAGCCCCCAGGAGCCGAAGTTATCATTCGGAGCAGCTAATGAAGGTCCATAGTCGTCTTGGACCCAGGTACTTGCGGGATCAGGCCCAACCTGGTCTGTCGAGGACGGTTGCTCATGATCTCCAGGGGGCTGAGACGGCGATGGGGAAGGCAATGGAGGTCTGCTGAAATTCGTAGTCGAGTTATTCATTCGTCGAGATTTTTTCGGCCGGCCCATATCTTCTCTCGGGCTGAAGATACATACACGACCACTGCTCTGGCAGTTCAGACACGCGCCAGGGCCCTGAACAGCACATTTCACCTTTCTTTTATGGCAACTGTCACAGGCTTCCCTGTGCTTAGCGGTTGATGATTGTGGTAAAGAAGCCATACGTATCCTTTGCGGGAATTTGAGGTTCCAGTCTTGATATCCCTAAGGGGGTGTTGGCACGCCTTTTTCTATAGATGAACTATGCCCGTTATCATAGCCTAGCCCCCGCCTTCGATTCATTGTTCCAAAATTTCCTCGAATCCTGAGCGCGGATTAATATCAAACTCCGTAGATGGCCGGACTTCAAAAATAAAAAAGCCCAAAAAAGCCCATCAAGGTAGTGTTGGGACATAAAATGTCATTGGGCTGCCAGGACGGAAATCGGATCTAAATCGACCTAGTTAGATCGGGAAGCGAGAATTCTAGTGTCGATCATTGGTGCATCTATTTTATCATACGATCGACCACCATACCGGAGTTATTGAACAAAGGCCACGAGAAGGCTGAGCACTAAGACGGTAGCAGCGAAGCAATTTGCCTTACTCCAAATCTTGAGGGAATTGCGTGTGTTCAATATTACATTGTGCTTCCAGGCAAGTAAACGTCGAAAGGCCGGGGAAACAAAGTGAGAAATTCAAACGTGAGTACCCGAAGACAAAATGATAGACTAGGTGGCATAATGAGGCTTCAGCACCTCTCAAGCTCGCCTGCTGGTTGGCGAACCCATCAACCTCGTGGGCTTGCCCTTACATAGACTAAGCAAAACTTTCGCAGTAATTACTAAATAGAGCATGTTTCTAGTCGAGACATACCCCGTCAAGGCTGACGACAATATTTAGCTGCTGGATGCTGCTGGTCACGATGTATTGGGGCCATCGACACCCTGAATGTGACATAGGGGCCGTAGGCGTCCTGCATACCGAGCAGAAGCTATCACGGCTCTGTAGCCTTGCTCTAAGTATGCACTAAAATAAATGAATTTTTTTTTTCATGGGTTGAAAGGCTTTAATTTAAGATCTTGTTTTTCGGATAAGCACAGGGTCCATGGTTATTCAACTTAGAAATCGCATAACTTGGCCTTGAGGCTCAAAGAGATCTAGTTTCTTGGATTTTGATAGATGTACGGAATGCTTCTCCATCAAATGCTACTCAAGTAAATCCACTGCACAAATATGTCAATCCGTATATTATTTCAGATCTGACTTTTCCCAGTGGATCTGTAAAGGGGGAAAGAAATCACCTCATACTCCGTGTTGTGCCTCGATCGCTGGTTGGTGGTTTCGTGGACCGAATTTAAGGATATAGATAATCTAATAAAAAACCTTGAGAGATCGAGCGAATCACGATGTAGCTATCTGATCGACCTGAATGTAATGTAGTCCATCGAGAGTTTCCATAACTATAACCTGTTTTTTTTTGGCCCCACACCCGATATAGCTAGTAGTCTTGGAAGCCCGGGATGGCGGAACGGCCCCGGGGGTCATGCATCTAGTATATTTCGTGATCCACCCATGTTCGGAGGGGGCAGCGGGAGGGGAAATCTTTTCAATTAACGCTTGGGTCTGTCTAGCCAAGGTGTGGCGTACAAGGAGTGGGGCTTTGATAGGCAACTCCAGCTAATGCATGGCGATGACCCAGTTATTGCGAATTTTCTCCGGTTGGTGAGACGCTTTGCAGGGGCCTGAGCCTAGTGTATGGTGGAAGTTATTCCAGCCGAGAAATCAGAGCTCAACAATATAATCAATTGCCCAATGCCAAGGGGCTGACGTTGCGTGGGGGGGGTGAATGCAAGCACAGTTGGCACAGACCCAGCAGCTTGGCACCACATGGCGTATGATGCACCTGGATCACCTTTATTTTGCATTATCGTGTTGCATCTTCTATCTAGAGTCTATCTTTGCTGTTTAAGGTATCGGCTATGCATCCCGGATGTAGTCTCCTCATCTTATGGATACGCGTAATGCTTACAGTATGCAAAGTAGTTTCCAGCCGGCGCATCGAATCCCGATATCTCAGGAAATGGTTAATAATGTTTTACATATCAACTCGCTCAATTATCGGAGATTAAACCCACTTGTCTGGCGGTATCTCTTCAAGTTGGTATGTCGCACCTGTACACGCTGCTAGTGGTCAATATAATTGTTTTCAATTCAAGCTTCAATGTTATGACTCCGAGTCTAGAGTAGAGTGCTTGAGTAAACTTTTATTTATATATTTGGAAACGTCTGCATATGCTATATATCAAGTTCCCGCGAGCTAACAATCTCCTCGTCTACTGGTTTCACCGATCTCTTGCGCCTCAAGTGTAGCCAAGGTCGATTCTGTTTTCTCCAGCTCCTTGATGGAGATGGGTTTCCTCTTGTAGCAAAGAAGAGTCGCGAGAAGACAGCCGATGGAAATATACATGCAAATCCGAAATATCAAATTGCAGTCTTTCCCAAATTCGTTCTGAACTGCTGCGTGCTTGTACGGACTCAATTTCGAAGCATTAGACATCGATTGCCTGATCAATCCAAGTTCTTCCGGTGTGAGTATTGTTGACAAACGCGTCCACAAACGCGACTGGAGCACAATTTCGCCGAATCCAACACCAATGAGACTTCCAATTAGCCTGCTTTGGGTGACTGCGCCCATGTTAATTGCTGGGAGTGTCCTAAGTCAGCGAACGTAGATCCAATCTACCAACCCATTTCGAGTGTAAAATACGCACCATGGTCAAAGAGAGTTATTTCCATGCGCGTGATAAGTGGTAGCACGCTCAAGGCGATTCCAAATCCTATGCCAAGGATAACCTGGTAACCATACTGTCCAGGAAATATTCCGACTGTTGTAGGTAATGTGGAAAGCAATCCCAGTCCAACAATCTGCATGATGCTAGAAAATAACATGAGAGGGAAAAGTACATTTTTAAAAACCACAGCGACAGCTGCAAGGCCAGCGAATAAAGACGAGACCAACAAATAGGCCAACATTCGCACACCAGCCATGATCGGAGGATCCCCATTTTGAATCTGAAAACGTTGTGGTAGATACACAATGACGGCAATAAACCCAATACCACTGAACAAAGCAGCCCTAATTTTCGATTTAGTAGATTCCCCCTTAGTTCGTCAATTCATGGCTTACAGTAGTCCACTTCCAATAATCCTTCTAAAGAAAAGATTACAGGGCCAGATTGGAAGTGCTTTCGATTTCCAGAGCTTCGAAGATAAAGCCATCTCCCAAGCGAAGAACGCGATCCAACAGCAACCAGTGATGGTCAGAAGGGCGATCATACTTCCACTGTCCCATCGATAGTTGACGCCTCCGGACTGTAGGGACAACGCTAGCAACTCGATACTCCCAACGCTCAGAAAAAAACCCACGTAGTCGATTCTTCTGTAAGCCTCTAGACTGTAGGACAAGGGGAACGGATTTGTTGGAAATATTATAAAAGACACAATAAAGACGACAACGCCGATGGGCACACTTTACTTCGGTTAGTCGAAGAAACGTAGAAAATGCTGGACGGGTTGGAGAACTTACTTGAGAAGAAAAACCCAGCGCCAGGATGTCCCTGTTGCAATGGCACCTCCAATAAGTGGACCTGCTGCACTTGCCAACGCAAAAACGGACGATAAGATGCTATTGATCGGGGCTCTCAGCTTGCCCGGTACTTCGGTGGCCACAGTCATAGCCAATGCGTAAAGTCCACCGCCCCCGATTCCTTGCAAGGCGCGAAACACAATACTAATAAGATTAAATCAGCTTCATTATCATAATATTTTACCCGTGGGCATGCCTACAGCTGTGTCATTGTTTGAGCTGCTCCGCAGGCCACAGAGGCGAGTACGAAAAATCCCAGAGCAACCAACCACGTTGTTCGTCGTCCAAAGATATCGCTTACCCTTGCGAAAACGATGACGAATGCTGTGTGCGTCAGAGAATGCCACCTTATTCAAGGGCCAGTCGCACTTACCACAATATGTTGCCAAATAAGTTGTGACCACCCATGCCGATCGCTCGAAATCTCCCAGATGTGATGATATTGTTATTAATGCGGTGCCTATGATTGTGACCTCCAACGAGGAGATCAGCAGGCCTCCTCCTAAGCTACAAGCGAACTAGTTAGCAATCGCGAGCTCCTTTTCTTCGTAAATGGGGCAAGTAAGCCTCACCAAGTTATCAAAACCCACAATCTCCAACCTTCAATGTGGGCTAGCCGAGCCTTTCGAAAATCTCCCCTTTCGCGTATCATGCTTTCCAGGATCTCTGGCATCGACTCCAGAGGCTCTTTGCGAGTTTTTCTGGAGTTCTCATTGCTTATCTCTGTAGTCTGTGGCGTTTGGGAGGAGAGCGTTGCGCTAGCGCTGGATGTCGCCATGTCAAGTAGATGGACGAGCCAAAGAGCTTCGAGTGTGCAGCAATTGAACTATCATAACAGTAAAAAGGCTATACTTTTTAAACTGTGGATGGTTCCAATACCATAAAATAAATTTTCTTGTATGATGCTCTCCAAGGCTGACGAAAACCGCACTAGCACAAGACTAAGTGACCGAGTTCGGCGACATTTCCTTAGTTCAACGGGTCCTGTCGGCGTTGCTGATTGGGGCTGACGTTTTTATGTTTCTGCATGATGATCCTATCTGATCCTAGAGTCATACTCCGGGTCTTGCAGGTCAATTTTTTTTTCGGATTTCTGCTTTGCATTTCCCGTGAACTGCGAAGGTGATGATAACCTCAGAAACTTACTTTTAATCCGCAAAATATATAGATCAATGCTGTATTTCAAATAGGAAAACTTTCATTATACTCAGTCTAATTTTACAAGTCGCTTGTGCGGCTTGAAGGTTGAATATTCGGGAAATGAGATTAGACAAGTTCAATATAAGTCATTTTTGCTGCGAAGTCAAAATTATTCATTCCTAGAAAACGCTATTCAAAGCCAACTCCCAAAGATAAGCTGCTGCACTAAGCAACAAACGCATTGAGATACCAAACATGACAAAGTCTCCAGCCAATGTGCTCAGGCGGGCAGTCGCACGGCTGTATCGCTCCACTTCCATTGTCCACTCCTGTGCTGTAATCTCACCATCCAACATGCGCTCCAGATGAAGGCAATTCAGTGCGGCTTGATTTACACTCATTGCAATATGGGGGCGGAACGTGGCGAGGGCATCCCCAATGGTCATAATGCGTCCTTCATGATATGAAGATCGGAAAGCGTGGGCTTCTCGTACAGTGGAGATGAAAGGCTGTTCTGTCTTCTCAACCAATTCAATAAATGGCGGCGCAAGCACTTTCCGGCCATACGACTTCTGGCATTCCCACACCTCAGTATCCATAAGTCCCGGTGGGATAGTCGTGCGGTGCCGATGGCCATTTACATCAGTCATAATAGTCCTGAACTCCTCAGAGGTCTCGGAAATCTGATTGTACCATACGAAGTTGAAAAGTCGTTCTCCAACCTTGTTGCTCCCCGTGGGGCCTGGTATTGTGTAACTAGGTGTATTTTAGCATAGCAATAGGCGAATGATATGGAAAAGTGATCATAACTTACACAAGGATATAGTTTGGTGAGGATTTATGTACCAAGAACGAGGTCCCGATGGCTTCATGGGTAGCTTTTGAGGCTTCAGACTCTTTTACAACACCTCTCCACGCAACATAGCCGGCGTATTGTGGAACATCGGTAGAAGCAGCGACGAATACATGGCGCAGTCTTGAGTTAGATCCATCCGCCATGATCACACGATCTGCATCGACAATGGTTTTATGTCCATTATTATTGAGGTCTTCATACCCAACCCGGGGTCGGCCATCTTCGCCGATCTCCACATGGGTCACTCGAATACCATTCGAGTACATTGCTTTGCCGTCGCCTTTCCGAGAGACGGGGGGCGTTTGACATAACCTACTCGTCCGGCCATCAAAGCAGCCTCTCAAATTATAGTAAAGTATTTCCCATGAGGTCATGCGCATCGGTGATTGCACAAAACGTTCAGGTCGGGTTTCCTTGTTCACGAATTGTAGACCAGGGCAGTCAATGCTGTCTTTAGCTGTCAATATGTCGTGTTTGATCAAGAAGCTCTGAGCATCGTCCCCGAGCCGAATACCGGCGGCATGACTGTCCCGATCTGCTGTAAGACTTTCTTCGAAGATATGGACTGCATGTCCTTTGCGTTTGCAGGCAATTCCAGCCATCAACCCAGCGATAGATCCGCCCACCTCTCAAAGTCAGCGATGCAAAGTCTCGAAATTTCAGTTAATATCTTGTACATACAATTACAATCATCATAAGATTTCGAGAGTAAAGTCCTTTAAAAACACGAAATTGATTCCAAATGATTGTGTGCCTCCCAGTCTCTACCGGGTAGCAACCCTATATAGTGTTGATATGGCGTTTCAGCCCCCATTTCAAAAGTCGCCGAGGCTCAGCACATCCACTTTCAGGGGATGGACAAAGCTCAGGGTGTTGGAACGGCCAGTCTACAGGTAGTAGCCAGTGTCATTGGAATTTCATTTCATTCACAGAATATGCTACGCATAGCTCAAATGTCTCATACAGTTTCATACTTTTCATAGGCCAGAAACTCCTCCACCTTACTCACACTCCATGCATCTCTACAGAGAGTTTTCCAGACGACGCTCCTTGCGCAGAGCGGTGAACTTTGCCCGAGCTTCATCGAGCGGAACCATCACGCCCTTGTTCTGAGTCGCGGGGTCGTCTCTGTTGCGGATATTCACAGAGCGAGAATCTCTCTCTTGGGCTCCGACAATGATGAGAAAGTTGTACTGGGCGAGTTGAGCATTTCTGACCTTCTTCTGGAGAGTGTTGCCTGAAGTATCGCAGTGCACATTCATCTTATCACCCTCAAAGATAGTCTTGAGCTCCTGAGCATACTCGTTCAGGTCGGGCATAACCGGGATGATCGCAATCTGGCGAGGGCTGAGCCAGAAAGGCCACTTGCCGCCGAAGTGTTCAATCAAAATTCCGAAGAAACGTTCGAAACTTCCGATGATAGCACGGTGAATGACAACTGGGCGGGCACGACCAGGAGCGAGATCCGAAGACTTATGCTGCTCATCAGTCTCACCCTCCTGGGCCTTGTCACCCCTCTCATTAGTCATATACTCCATCTGGAAGTTGATAGGAGCTTGGTAGTCCAGTTGGATTGTAGCACACTGGAATTCACGCTTGAGAGCATCGCAGATAGTAATATCGATCTTGGGGCCGTAAAAAGCACCATCGCCCTCATTAAGGGACCAATCGTTACCCTTGAACTTCTTCAAAGACTGCTTGAGCTGCTCCTCGGCATAATCCCAGGTCTCCAAAGATCCCATGTACTTCTCAGGGCGGGTCGAAAGCTTGAGAGAAAATTCAAAGCCAAACAATCCATAAATAGAAGTTAAGAAATCAAACAAACCCTCCACTTCAGAACTGATTTGGCTGCTCTCACAGACAATGTGGGCATCGTCTTGAGAAAACTATTCCCAAGTGTTAGTAAAAAGAACTTCACGGCGTATAAGTCTTCAAGAAAAGAATGAAAGAGATAAATACCTTGCGAACTCGAGTAAGGCCATGAAGAGCCCCTGAAGCCTCGTTACGGTGAAGGTTACTAAAGTCTGCAATTCGGAATGGGAGTTCTCGGTAACTTCGTTCCCTGTGATTGAAAAGAAGGAAGTGTCCAGGGCAGTTCATCGGCTTCAAAGCCCAGTCGCGCTTATCGACCTCTAATTTGAACATGTCCTCAGAGTAATGCTGCCAGTGACCACTCTTCTCCCAGAGAGTGGCATTATATAGAATAGGAGTCTGGACCTCTTGGTAACCACGCTTGCGGTACTCGGTTCGTAGCAGTTTTTGGATGGCGTTGATGATCTTAGTTCCGGCAGGTAGCATAAAAGGAGATCCCGGGGAGAGCTCTGAAAAGAAGCAAAGCTCCTGTGCTGTAGCAATTCGCATGTGTGAGCGTTTCTCTGCCTCCTCCAAAAAGTGGAGATGTTCAACCATTTGCTTCTTCTCAGGGAATGCAACTCCACGAATTCGCTGTAAACTCTCCTGAGACTGATCTCCAAGGAAGTATGCTGCAGAGTTCTGCAGGATACGGAAAGCCTTGATACGGTTTGTGTTCTGGATATGGGGGCCTCTGCAAAGATCGACAAGAGTACCATTGCGGTACACAGTGCTGCCTTCCCCAGGAACAAGCTTGTCGATATAGTGCAGCTTGTACTTGCTGTAGTGGAACATCTTCTTGAGATTTTCCTTCGACACCACTAAACGATCAAAGGTCTGCTTTTCTTTAAAGCATTTGGCGGCCAGGGTTTCCAGTGACTTCCAGTCGGCTTCTGTGACTACGCCATCCGCAGAAGGTAGTTTCAAGTCGTAGAAGAATCCCTGGGGCACGTCAGTAAGAAGAATCAGTGCACAACAACAAGTCACCTACTTGAGGAGTCGGAGGTCCATGGGAAAGCTTGGCGGTGTTAGTGCCATCAGAGTACCGGAGTTCACACGCCGTTCCTAGACAGTGCGCCGAGCTATGCCAAAAGATAGACCGGGCTTCGGGGTTGGAGAATGGCACTAAGACGACCTTGCAGTCGCTCTCAAGGGGTCGATTCAAATCCCAAAACTCCTTGTCCACCTGAGCAATCACGACCTCGGCACTAATCTCCTTAGGCACGTCACGCAGGAAAGAGGCAGGTGTAGTCTCGAAGGCCTTGGCGGGGACGGAGTATGGCTCGCCATTGCCAATATCCAGGGTAACATTAATTTCGGGGTGTGGGCGGTTCTTGGTCTCTTCGAGATTTTGCTGCCAGAGCTCTTCGAAAAGATTGTTGCGCTCAATGATGAAATCGGGCAGAGGAGGAAGGGCGGCAGGCTGCTTCTTGTCTTTTTTGGCGTCGTTTAACGCGGGGGCAGCGGATTGAGGCTTGTCCTGAGCCTCGCCAGCAGGGCGTACTGGCAGATCCTTGGGGGCCTCGGAAGCCATTGCGGAGGCGAAAGTCAAATCAATCTTCGAAAAGTCGCAAACGAGGATTGGGGGGTTTTAAAATAGTCCCCGCTGTCTAATGAAAATGACTCTTAGGAGGGGCTAGGCGGTAAGTCATGTGATAAAGAACTGCCCTAGCGAAGATACACCCCGCATCGGAATATATATTATTCCGCTCTGTACCTAGTACTATATCAGCCCGGTTATGACATCTGGAACATTGCATCTTACCATTTTCTAAAGGTTGAAGCTGAAATGAAGAAGTCAAAATAGGTTATGTGGAGCAATCTCAATTTTTCAAATAACCACTAGCATTTCCTACACAACAGATTTCCCTATAAAGAGAGTCACGACTCACCATCATGAAAGTCTTTCTTCTTTACACTTACCGGGCTGAGGAAGTTCTCCATTCTCTTCAGCCCTTTAGGCAAGTAATGAGATTTCACCTTCTGCCAAATTTTCTCTTGGCTGGCGGACGGCAGAGGTCGCAAAACAATTTGGCCAGCAGGGCGAGCTGCTGAGCGTCAACTAGAGCATCGTGATTACGCCCAGCAAGAGTGTGGCCCTGACCAAACAGCAGAACAAAAATTCCTGACAACTTCAATGAAATGGGCTCACCTCTGAAGCATTTACTACTGACGGCTTTATCAATATTAGGCCGGAATTCCTTCAGAAGCAGACAAACGTTCCCACTCTGAGGAAGGGTAACATCCAGTAATACCGCGAATATCGCGTCCTTACGCCGACCTTCCTCTCCCAATTTCTTTTGGCCATTGATTCGGTACAACACATCGGTGTCTACAGTAATGATACTACCATTAGGGCAAACTCTAGGCCCAAGCAGCAGGCCCTCCGCTTCCCGTTCCGGCCCTGGGCATTTGCAGCCCAAACTCCTCGAAAATACGGTCCATTCAGCTATATTAGGTGGGAATTCAGCATTGAAAAGTCAGACACAAATACCTTGAATTGCTGGCGACCAAATTCCTTCTTGGTTCCCCGTGATCTCGAAATTTTCGACATCCTCTTCCGGCTCATCTTACGCAGAATCGTTGGCAGGGAGCTCATCATCGGATAGACTCACATATTCAGCTTTGATATCCGCATCGACCTCCTCCCTGACTTCGGTCGTCCCATTTGCGATCCTTTCTTTCTGTATCTGTGAAGGTGGAACTCTCCTTTCTTGAAATGACCTTGTTCAAAATGCTTGGCATAATGCTGGTTGGCGTTGTTAGATCGGCCAGTCAACGGTCAGTAGAGTGTATAAAAACGATAATCTTTGCTATAAAGAAGGAAATATTACAGATATACTGCTATTTAGAGAATTAGTAGGGGCCTACAGGCCTTCTGCCGTAGACGGCCGTGTCAGACGGCCTGGTTAGACGGCCTGAATCTATGCGGTTTCACGTAAAGCGTACAGAAACGAGGATAGGAAAAAAGAGACTATTTATATATAGTATAATTGAAATAACACCTTCCTTTAAGGTGGTCTGTAGTACTAGTGCTGTTGTAGTCTATTTCCATTACCCTGGCTAGTACTACTACGGTATACTGCTTGTACCTTAGCCTGTAGGGCTTATAACAATCCTGCTCTAAAGAGGTATATTTAAGTCCCTTACTGTTATGAGGACTATGGATGGAAAGCTAATCGGTTGTGAGGTTTTCTATTGATATTGATGCCTGAAGTATCAATGCCCTGTAGTAGACCACCTTGGACGCAGGTATCTTAGCTGTTATATGTATAAAAATAATAACCATTTCTCCTATACTTAGAAATCTCTTCTTTTCTGTGTTTTATGTTTAAATAGACATATTTAGGTATCCTAATACTCATCTTGAACATTATGGTTCTGAAATATATAATGAAAGATTGTTATTAATCAAGGAATCAGGGGAAGTCTCTGTTATTCATACTAACTAGGCTATCTCGCGAGGCAGAAGGAAAGGGGGTCACCTGACATGCGGCAACAACTGCCCTCTCCTCAAGCTCGCACCGCCCTCGGTGAGCTTCCGAACGCGTGCAAATAAAATAAAATAAATTTTATAAAAATTTCGGAATAAAAATAGAAGAAATCAGGAGCGAATAGAACGTAATTGCATCGAAAGTTAGGTATTAATATTAGTATTGTTGAGCGTTATATAGTATCTAATTCGCTTAATTATAGTATATATTGGGCCCGGCGGTATTACAAAAATAATAAGATCTAGCCTTTAAAAGCCTTTTTATAGATATAATATACTTAATATAGGTTGCTTTGTTATTATAAAGTTATTAGATCTAGTATTTTAGTTAGATATAAGTATTTTATACACTAATTTTAGAATTAACTAATTGAATTTATACTATATAGGATTTATATTATTTAGTAATAGTAGAGATAATACTAGTAGTAGTTATATAAAAGCTAATACTTATAGTGATAGAGATAATAATAATACTATAGATATAAGAACTAAAGATAATATAGATAGAACTAAAGATATATAATATCTTTTTAAAGACCTCTTCTTAGTTACTATACTTTAGTTAATCTACTTATCTACTTAGTAGAGGAAATTATAGTTAATAACTAGAGAGTTAGAGGTCTATAGTAATCTATATTAGTCCTATATATCTTACTAATAGAATAATACTATACTATTAAATATATAGGGATAAAAGCCTAGGATTAGTATTAGATCTAGTATTATAGTTTATATTTTACTTAGAATAATAAATATATCTATAGCTATAATATTTTTAGTAAAGAAAGTATTCTTTACTTTATCTATTAGGATTCTTATTTATTATATATACTTCTTAGTAGTAATAGAGCTATTCTTTAAGATTATTAAACTTAGTAATACTACTTCTATAAATTATATTATATTACATAGTATAAGTATTATACTAATCTTATAGTATTAGTCTAGTTATATTAACTTTCTATATAGAAGACTTCTAATATATCCAATAGTAAAGATATAGGATCTATATAGTAAATAGTTACTCTTATAATATAAGAATTATAGTTTACTATATATCTAAATAATTATTAGTAGGTCTTAGGATATATATCTTTAATAAGGATTACCTATAATCTTAAAATTATATAGAAATTATATAGTTTTTTATTAGGTAATGTTATAGGATTCCTAAATCCCCTTAGATATGACTTAGATATGATTTATAGCTATTCTATAGGTAAATCTATCTTAATATACCTACTTATATATAATAGCCCTAAGCCCTAGTAATATAAAAATATATAAATAATAGCTACAATTCTTGTTTAATAAGAATCAGTCTATATATTAATTATTTTATTTAATCTCTACTATCTAATATTTTTACTTAGTTATAGGTCTCTAGTTTAATAACTTAGTAATTATTATAATTCTAATTCTTCTCTCTTAATTATCTAAGGATTAATAATAGTATTCTCTATATACTAAGACCCTATATTCTCCTATAATAGTACTTAGTCTAAGTCTATTATATTTTTCTCTTTTACTATTTAGTAATCTAAGGTTAAATTAGTCCTAGATTAGTCTATAAACCTAATTAAATCTAAGCTAAATTAGATATCTATTTATATAACTACTATATATAATATAGATATATAGTTCTTTCCTTTTTATAAAATATAAACTAAGGAAATTACTAATAATTTATAATTAAAAGTATTATTAGATCTAGAAATATTAATATAAATAGTTTAGAAGAGAAAAGATATAAACTAGAATATCTAGAAAAGTTCCTTATAATCTATATTTATCTTAAAAGGCTTTTTATTTAAGTTTTTAGAATTAATACTAGGACTTTCTTAGATAATCTATTTATAGTTTATAGAGAAACTAAGATTAAAATATATAAGAAAATAAAGGGTTTTAAGATTAATAACTTTAAGAAGTCTTTTAGTCTTTAGGAATAAGGAAATTAACTTTTGAGATCTTTGTGTGAAATTAGTATGTTATGTGGGCATATCTAACTATAGTAGGGGAAACAACTGTATAATATATACTAGATATAAAGATAAACAAAACAAATAGGCTTAATTAGGTTAGATTGGGCGGTATAGATATTATAGTAGTAGAGATAACAGAGATGCTAATATAGTAGGATAATATAGGAAATAATATAGTATAGAGAGGTAAAAATTTAATATCCTCCCCTATTTAGACCCTACTTAGACTTGATTATCTATAATTAATCAAAATAAATATAAATATATCTAATTATATAGTATTGCTATTAGAGTAGAAAGAATTAAAGCTATTTATTATTATTGGGTTACTAAACTTTAGTATAATAAATATCTAATTCTTAGTAAAGAGCTCTTAGAGTATAAAAAAGTCTAAGATATTATCTAATAACTTCTTCTTTCTTATATATTATATATTTTTATATTTTTATATTAATTATTAACTACTCTTAAACTATAATAAGTTTATTAAATTCCCTATTAAGAAGTAATTATAAAAGGTATATTCTTCTAATATCTTAAAAATATTTATTAGAATTAGCCTGGAAATAGGTATACTAGTATAATAGAGGCTAATATATTAATAGTTATTATTTTACTTAGGCTTAAATAAGATTCTACCTTTTCTTACTATATCTAATCTCTGGATTAATATTAAATATATATCCTTTTCTTCTCTCTATAATTTCTTCTTAGTATATATTATATAGTATTATAGCTTTAAGAGAGATATATTTATTCTATTTTATTATTATTATTCTAGATATTATTATATTATATTCAGGATATTACTCTTAGGCTTACTCTTTCGTTCTAAGTATTATATCTCTTAGATTATATAACTTCTCTTACTAATATATCTTTTCTTATAGTAATTATAATAATAGTACTAAAGGTTTAAAAATATCTTCTTAATAAGATTAAAGATCTTAGGGTTAATTATTCTAGTAATCTACTAATAATTCTTATAACTACTAATCATAATAAGCTATTTACTAATCTAATAATAATATATAATATTAACTAGCGCAATCTTAGCTATATAAAAATTACTTCTAAGTAATAAGCTAAAGCTATCTTTAATTAATATAATAGGATTCTTCTAGATATATTATATAATTACTATACTTATTAATATAGTCCTTTTATATCCTATATTATTATTATTTTTAATAATAGTAATATTGCTTTTAGAGGTTCTTATACTAATTATTTATATATAGATACTATAAATTATTATTTATTCTAAGAGATATCTTCTTTTAAATTAATTATATATCTTTATAAGTATTATCTATATTTATCCTATTTAATTAATAATAAGTTAGTTAATACTATATTATTTTTTATTACTCTAACTAAGAAGTATAAGCTTATTTCTTCTAAAGGTTCTTCTATTACTAAGTATTCTTTAAATATCCTAATTTAGATACTTTTAACTATATCTTTAACTCTAAAGAAAACTACTAGTAAGGAATATCCTACTAACTAATATATTTTTTCTTTAGAAAGTAAGAAGATATATAGTTATATTAAATTAGATAACTCCTTAGAAATAGTTTTTACTCTAGATATTTTATCTTCTATTTATATATATTTAGATAAAGATATAGAAAAGTTAAATAAGGTTTTATATAAGAATAGGACCTATCCTAACTAATAGATTAAGAAAGAGAAGAAGTCTAAGAATAATAATCTATTTACTATAGAAATAGTAAATATAGTTAAAAAGGATATTATTAAAAAAACTAGTAATCCTTTTACTATTAATATATCTCTTAAAACTTCTAGTTCTATTTAATTAACTTTAACTCTAATTAAATATAGTTAAAGTTATTCTTATAAGTAGTTATTCTTTTTCCTTTTATCTTATATAGGGATAACTTAATAATATAATATAATATATTCTAATAATTTCTTTTTCTTTTATTTAGAAGTAAGGCTTCTTTAGCTAATACTCTAGATAAATTAAAATATCCTTTTAGAAATCATATAAAATATATAAGATTTCTAGATACTTTACTCTTCTTCTCTATAGATTTACTTATTTAGAAGTCTTAGAAGATATTATAATAGGAAATAGACTATTCTTTATTAATATTTATTTATAGGTATCAGCTATATAATAAGCTAATAATCTATAAGTATAAGTTTATTATATATTACTTTTTATACTTCTTTAAATAGATATATCTAGAGATATTTAAGTATTCTTATTTATCTCTTTTTTATAAGAACTGTCAGGGTGT